AGCAACCCGGGCCTGGAATAATAAGAAAATCCTAAACGGGATGATGGACTATTTCAACATAACTCTTCCATGCGGAGAAGATGAGTGTCCACTTTCACTCGCAACAGGAAAGAGATGCTATTTCGGGGAAGACATGAAAGACCTGTACATTCAAATGGACATGCCAAAGGTCAACAAGGCGCTGCAATTGGTTGAAGCTGACGCATTTGACTTGATGCTACAAACCTGGAACCAGACATGCAGAATCACCTACAACGGACCAGAGAATGCTATTCTCTCCAAGAAGGAAGGATGTCCAGTCGCCCTGAATTTGAAGACATCCCGCATGTACGACCTGGTTCTTTCCTCCTCGCAAGACTGCCTGAAGGGATTCAAGAACAAGAGTGAAAATTCCTATTTCTCTGTGAAACACTGTCAAGGGAGAGGAGAGAAAGATGCAGAAGACTTCATACAAGTCAAGCCACATCACGGGTCCCTACATGTGTACTGCTTTGGATGCAACATTACAATTGACAACTTATCGCAAGAGTGTCCCAAGGAGGTCTTCATCCTGCCCATTGGAGCTCGATTTCGGATCAACAACCAGGAGTTTACGGGATCCATCGTGCACATCGAACACCAGGACAGCCCAGACCCACTCTTCACGATGAGGACAAATGCTTATCTCAAGCCGCGCGTGGACTACCAGGAACTGATGAAAGACCCGATGGTCAACAACCACTTTGTCTTCAGCAAGGGAGAGACGTGGACCCATTCGGAAACCTGGCATATGGAGATTGGATTGATCATAACCCTGCTCGTGGTCATCATAGTCCTGGCGTGCATCCTCACCAAGTGCTACTTGGACCACCGGAAGATAAAGGTGAAAGTGGTAACAAAACCAAAGCCACTGAGGAATCAAGAGATTGAAGAAGATGAGGACTCCCAATAATGCGAATGAGGGAGAGTGTTGGATAAAATGATCTAATATTAGGTATTTAGGTTAGCTATTTCAAGTAGCCTTTCATAACGGATGTTTATGGCACCGACTTTATTGGACCTTTGTACAGTGTCAGCTCATTCTTAGCATTCCCATTCTTGGGAGAAGGATTTAGCACTTCCTTTCTATTTAGGTCAGACACTTTGGAAAGTGTCGTGAGGAACAGTTTCATACATTTATTAATACATATTCTATTACTCATGATGTCTATATAATCATGTTGCATGTTGACAATAAATTATCAGTCGATTGGCAACCGTCGTGTTGTATCGTTGTTCATTATTTACCACAACATGTGCCATTAAGCCACGCGCAGCGCGATGTATAGCGACGGGGCGTAGTTTCTTGCGCCTTGCAGGTCAAATATATAGTTGCAAGAAACCACTTTATTCTTGCAAGTGGTTACTTGCACCCGAAACACTGCTTTTCCCGAAAATGCACGACCCATCCCTCCCTACGCGACATGTATGATCATCATCTTTAATCCTAAACTGTCATCAATTACTTATGTACACACACGCATGCGACTGCTTCATCGTAAAAACGAAGCGTTTTTTTCAACGTGAAACTTTTTTCTCCTCCAAAGAAAAAAAATCAATCAATTTTGACCATCATTTTTACGTATGCTGCAAGAAGTTCCTCCACCCTCCTCGCCCATGAATTGTATGTCAGACTGGTTTATTGAGTAGTAATTGAAGCCAAGATTTATGGCGGATTCTTACAATTCTACACATGTTTTGGGAACAATGGGTGGTGGGTTAGGGGTGCCAATTGGGCTGGGTCGTCGCTAAATGTGTTGCTGCTGCTAAAAATTTTTGCATACCGTGTGGCAAGCAAGAAGAAGAAGAATAGCTGGATAAAGTGGATCCTGAGGAGGTTTTGCAAGTGAGAAGAATGACGATGGATTTCACAATGGAATTATTTATATATCTTTTTTCCCTGACCAACAAAACCGGCCAGACACCATGAGACCAGACGCAGTGAGATGACGACAGTTTGGCAGAGTAATTGGGTGTACTCTGTGTTTATCAGTTCAGTGGTGAAAGTGCACTGTAAATTAATCTGGTAACACAACTGTGCCTGGTTTGTAACAATAATTGTTAATAAACTTGACACTTGGTACGACAAGTCAGTTTCTCACTGTGCAGTGATTAATGAGAATTGTAATCGTTACAAAAGGTGGCCAATCAACACTCGGTAACAATTTTTGTACCATTTTATTTACAGTGAAATAATCAAGTGAGGACAAGAAATCACTTTCTCAAGCAAGCAGAGGATAAAAATCGTCTCAACTTGCCTCGTACTTTCCTCCTCAAGGTGTCTCACGTAAGTACCTTTCAGTATTAATTGGGGCAAGGTGAAAATTTTATACTAAATGTGACACGTATTTTCGCCACTGTTTGTACACATTTTCTCTCCTCACTATTTTACTCGGTATGTACATATTTATTTTTACTTGTTGATTGGTGGTGTGGTGTGGCGTGGCGTGGTAATTAATTGTGTGTGTGTGAGAACTTAATCCAGAAATACATATGTATTTTAGTACATACGTGCCCTTCCTTCCCTCCCTCTGCATCCTTAATTTGAATCGTATCTATGAATTAGCGGAGCATGGCGTAAGTGAATATAGCCAACATATAGATGTGCATATGGCTTCTGGACAGGCGATTACATCATCATCATCGCCATCACAATCAGACGAGCAGAGTTCTGACCAGATCGGAAAGTGAGTGAGTGAGTGGGCAAAGTAAAGTAAAGTGCTATCCTGTTTCCAAACCCATCCATTTCATTGTCCACGAACAACGAGGAGGAGAAAAGGGGAAAAATTGACCGCACAATCAGCAAGGCTAAAATGTCATGAATGTAAAAAACAGCGGTGGGTCTGTCCGTCCAAGTCGTCGTCTCATTGTAAAAATTGAGGGATTTAAATGGCATGGAAAAAGTGGTGGGCAGGCCATAGGCACACATTCAACATGATATCTTGCCTCCCTATCCCACGTACTTGTTGAGCATCCGTTCGTTCCGGATCTATTTGTTTCATCTCGCTCGCCCAGCTCGACGGATTAGTCAAAGTGCACTGGTGACTGAGTGGAGACGCCAAAGTCGTGACTATTTTTCGACACCCTTTTCGACAGCATTGCAGTTTCCATAAGGTAATTCTACCCCCGAGATAAGCTGCTACGTCCCCCTGAGAGATCAGCTACATCCACGACGCCCCACACACAAGTAAATGTACACACACCTCGGAAAAAACGGGGAAAGTTGCGACGATTTTTCTCGAGTATATTGTAACCACTGCGGTTGGGGACGAGAAGAAAGCAAAGGAGTGAAAGTTGTGACACTAGTTTTGGGATAAATATGTATCAAGATATCAAGTGTGCGTGGTGGTGGTGATGGTCGTGGAGTGTCTGAAATTATTTGTTAAGAAATCTCGCGACGGGGATTACAAAAATTCCAATTTGAAACGGGAAAAAGGTCCAGCGGATTTAGTGAGACGATAAAACAGGTCAAATTATCGTTTATTTTTGGTTCAAAATTTATGGCAAAATTTTCATAAGTCTTTCATATTGGGAAACATCTTTTTCTTTTCATAAAGTATTATTTTTTCATGCATTACATAATAAATAGCTCATTTTTCGAGACAAGCTTAGCTTTATATTTGAACAATAAGGCTGGAAACATAGGAGTCATTTACATAGCTTCTCATTCGCCTATTCCACATTCACGTACGAACATACATAATTATGCAAGTGTACATTTAAAGCGATAGCTTCCTGTCTGACAATGATCTCTCCAGTCAGTCAGTCCATCCATCCATCCACTTTACGATTCGCCACCACATACGACGACCATGGCTGGACGCTGACGTTGGCTCGGCTCACTACTAGCAAATACCATTTCTTGCTCCTACTTTTTTTTTCAAGGAATACCAAACAAAAAAAAGAATGCTGGGAAATATTTCCCCTCTTCTTGACCAGTCTAAATATGCATCCAGAACTCCCCTCCTCTCGCACAGCAGACAGGAACCTGAAACAATTACAATCAGGATGATGGTGTGGTGTCAGATCAAATCAGGACACATTTAGATTTAGGTGAGGATAACGTTCCGTCGGAACAATTGTTCAGGTTGGCTAAATAGTTGTGTTGTTGCGTTACGTAATAATGGCTGAGTGGGTGAGTGAGATCGCATTAAACGGGGTGGACGAATTATGAAAGTATCAACGTTACAGTTTGTTTGAGACATGTAATGAGTACGGAATCATAAAAATAATCAATGAGTCCAGTCCAGCATTCTGTATGGGTGGCTGACTGGCTGGCTGGCTGGCTGGCTGGCTGGATGGCTGGATAGATGATGAGCTTTGATGAGATGATACATGTGCAAAATCCAAGTCCTCCTAATGAGGATGTAGTCAAGTCAAGTCAGTGGTGGGAATATGTCAATGATCCCCTCAAAGCCGTCGTGGTGGAGGCATCCATTATTTCATAGTTGGGCAAATCGTACTTATTATTCGGAAGATGAGGAGGCTGCTGAGAATAGAAAAAAAGTCCAAAAAACGGAATATTCTTAACATATGTCTCTCTCTCATTCATGCTCCAATTACAGTAACTTGACATGATAATAATTTGCATAATTATGAAACTGGATAGACTGCAGATGTCAATACTGCTCAATCTTGACATGATAATAATGACATATGTAAAATACTACGTCGTTCCGTGTTACTGGAGACGTCTGAAAAATCACTCTCCGTTCGTGAATATGCGAATGAGGAGAGAAAATGGAATTTATTTACGAAACTTGAGCCGAGGCAGTTGAAAAGATTATCATTATTTTTATTATTAATTCATCCCGTAAACACACATCCACACACATTCTTCTCCTCGTGAAAAGATTAGCAGTGCAGACTTGCCTTATCCAACTACATTTGACACTCGTGCACTTGACGAGCCGACAGTTTGCAGGTTTCTGCCTAATTTTTTTCTCTTATTTATTTTGCTCCACGATCATACATATAAATGTTCGTACATACGAATGTAGAATCAATCTCAGTAATGAATTTTTAGCCGAATATTTATGTGATACGAGTCCAATTGACTGCTATGTACTCGTTCATCACTGCTTTCTCAAAGTCTGCCTGGGTAGACGGATTGGGTGACCTTGTCCTCGTCCACGGGACAAGTGTAGTTAGTTGGCAACGTTGAAGATAAGAAATAATCCGAGTATTTTCCACCTCGTGCTATTTTTTTCTAGATTTTAATCGCATCAAAACTTTTTTTTCTTGCTGGGGGTTGCTCTCTCTCTCTCTCTGGAAAAGAATGGCTCGTAATTCCACCAGCTATTAATTTACTACCAGCTATACATTGGTTATTTGGAGAGTGTAGTGTTTTGGCTGGTGGTGGTGGTGGCGAGTGAGTTAGTGGCGTGGGTGATGAAAGGGTGGACACATACGTATCTGCAAGAGAGTCATCATTTTACTAGTGGGAAACGAACGAGGGGGATAATTGACACTTCCGCAATTTAAGTCAGTCATGGTTGATAGAGAAGGTCCACCACATACGGGATCGTACGGGAGAAGCGAATTGTCCTCCAAGTGGTCAAGTGGTCCCTCCTCGTCGTCCCAATAACCAACGACTGACTCTCTTCACCACCACCAGTACGTCCGACCCCATGTCTTGGGCGAGTTCCACTTTGAAAAACCATCCTCCGCTGGACTCACTCACATAAAGACGGACCAACTAATTGTTCCGTAGGAGGTTGTATAATTAACTCTGCTTGGGTGTGGTTCGTGTGTTCTGATAAGCAAGCCAGGGTGGAAATTTACTGATAAGCATAAATTTTGTGGGGGGAGAAAAGCCGTGATTTTCTTCTTTTTTTAAATTTCCACCACTTTCTACCCATTTCTCTGATACTGCCCAAGGTTGGAATCGTTCAGACGTGCGGTTGTGTCGGTGAGGTGAAGCTGATCTCGAGGTGAGACGTCGTTTGAGTGCGATTGACATTCATCAAGTGTGATAAGCAAAAGCGGACGTCTCTCCGGAAATTGAAGGATTTATTTATTTATACATTTATTTATTCGACTCTCTTTATAACCTTATCTTTGCTCTGATAACCACTCTCGCCTTGGGTGTTGTTACCTAGCTGTCTGCTGCCGTGGTGGTTGTGAGATGAGCGAGAAGCTGTCGGGGGAAGCAAAAGGATTTACAATGGAAATGAACCAATTTGGTGGTGGGAATGACTCCTCATCGCCCAAGATGAGCAACGCGATTGCAGCCCAACTTAACGAGGAGGCGGGCAGTGGGGGTGGCAAGGTGGCTTCGGGCGATAAGGATGACGACGTCCCCCTCCGGGGAAGCTGGTCTTCCAAACTTGACTTCATCATGTCCACCGTCGGACTCGCCATTGGTCTCGGCAATGTAATTTTTTAAAAAAATCATGGAAATTTTGAATTATTTTTTTTTCATTTTTTTTTCTTTCTCCCCGCAGGTCTGGCGATTTCCTTACCTATGTTATAAGAACGGGGGTGGTAAGGAGAATGGAGTGCATGATAAATAAGTGACAATTTTTGGCCAGGTGAGATTGATTCCCCGTGTTTTTGACCAGGTGCATTCTTGGTGCCGTATATCCTAACGGTGATCATGGCCGGGATCCCGATGTTCTTCATGGAGCTAGCGGTAGGACAATTCTTAACCATTGGCGGGCTTGGTGTATGGAAAATCACTCCAATTTTCAAAGGTACTTGATCAGACAGACGGACATAAGTATTATTCGAGCCACTTGAAATAATGAATAAGCGGATTAAGAAGAAGACTTTCTCTCTGGACAGGTGTGGGCTATGCCGCTGCGGTCATGTCCTGCTGGATGAACGTGTACTACATCGTCGTCCTTGCCTGGGCGATCTTCTATTTCTTCATGTCGTTCAGTACAAGTGAGTCATTTAAACATTTAAGTCGCTATTTAACAGTGTGACACACTCTTTCACGTGGAGAAAAGATTACAAAATGGACGAGTTGACATACCAAAAGTTGCACATTTAAGAACTCACTTCTGTTTCTGTTAAGATTTGTTAGTTTCAAATTAACGGGATAGGATTATACATTTATTTGCCATTCAATTTAGCCGAATTTGCGCCCCATTTACTTTTTTGTGTCATGATTTGAGTGAGGGAGGTTTTTTCTTAAATCACAAAAACTAATCCTCTTAAAAGATTAGGTACAAGTTAACATGTCGCCATTTAAATATTCTGACCAATTCAGCTCTGCCCTGGAGAGACTGTGGAAACTCATGGAACACGAACCTCTGTCTGGGTCAGAACTTTAAACGGGAGGACTTTTGTCGGAGCAGGTTCGAAAATGGGATAAACACGACCTTCTGCACGGTTGCGGGACAAACCCTCCCCATCAAAAACTTTTCCGACCCGGTCAAGGAATTCTGGAAGTGAGTCGGCTTATCCGGGATTTTTTGGTCAACTTTGACCAGCATACAACTAATTAACTAATTACCGGAAAAATTTCCTAGCCGCCGAGTGCTCGACATCTCTTCGGGGATCGACGACTTGGGCGAGGTGCGTTGGGAGCTGGCCGGAACGCTGCTCATCGTCTGGATCATGGTGTACTTTTGTATCTGGAAAGGTGTCAAGTGGACGGGAAAGGTGGTCTACTTCACGGCCCTGTTCCCCTACGTCCTCCTCACGATCCTCCTCATTCGAGGCATCACACTGCCCGGCGCCTTCCTCGGCATCAAGTTCTACCTCATGCCCGACCTCTCCAAACTGGGCGACTCCCAAGTCTGGGTCGACGCCGTGACACAGATCTTCTTCTCGTACGGGCTCGGACTTGGAACTCTCATTGCGCTCGGGTCCTACAACAAGTACAATAACAACGTGTACAAGTGAGTTGTCCAATTTCCTGTCATGATCAAAAATAGTTTCCACTGTGGGTCAAATTTTCCCCATGGCGTGGTCTGCACCTCGTAATTTAGTACGAAATGCAGTTCATTTTTATCTTGGTAATTAAATGGGTGACAAAATGGATGAGCGAGAAGCCTCCTTTTCTTCCCCGGAAATGTAATTCTTTGGTTTTGGATAAATTCTCAACGTCATTCGCGTCTCATGAATGAGATTTCACTTTCTTCCCCACCCACTCAGTCATTTTCACCAAGAATAGAAACATGATTGATGCATTGGTTTCCTTCTTATCGCATTAATTTACTTTCTCTCTCCAGGGATGCATTGATTGTGTGTTGTGTCAACTCGTCGACGTCGTTCTTTGCGGGGTTCGTTATCTTCTCGGTGGTTGGATTCATGGCGCACACACAAAACAAGCCGGTGGCCGAGGTGGCAGCGTCAGGTATGTCAAAATTCTACTCCTCATCCGTCATATCCGAGGCTCAATTACCGAGTCCATTTCATCATCGCTAGAAAGATAGGTTCGAATTGACTCAATTATTCTTTCCGGAAGGTCCCGGCCTTGCATTTTTGGTGTATCCGTCGGCCGTGCTGGAACTCCCGTGGCCCAGTTTTTGGTCCTGTCTCTTCTTCTTTATGCTGCTCTTGATCGGATTAGACTCGCAGTTTTGCACCCTCGAGGGCTTCATCACTGCGATGGTGGACGAGTGGCCGCGCTACCTGCGACCTCGCAAGGAAATCTTTATCGCCGTTGTGTGCACCTTCTCATACTTGATCGGGCTCGCGTGTGTGACGAGGGTATCGAACTGACCACTTTATTCATGCATGAAGGGTCGTGCATAAGGGGGAATCTCGGGCAGGGTCGCAATGTTAACCTTTGACACGACCTTAATAATGAGCGATTACACCCTTTAAGCACGGCCCTTAAGAGATTTTATGCTTGAAGGTATGGAAATCTGAGCTAATCACGGCATAAAAGCGTCTTTTTGGCGTAACTAAGATTTCCATATTTTCCCCAAAATGATGATCTGCCTCTACTCATGGTGTGCTTATCCAGGGCGGAATGTACGTGTTTCAACTGATCGACTCCTACGCGGTGAGTGGGCTGGTGCTCTTGTGGGTCATATTTTTCGAATGTATCGCATTCTCTTGGGCGTTTGGCGTGAATCGATTCTACGAAGCGATCCGAGACATGATTGGATACTATCCGTTCGCATGGTGGAAGTTTTGCTGGGTCGTGTCCACTCCGGCGATCTGTTTTGTAAGGAGAAAATTTAAGTTCTGGGGGGATTTTATTTTCACTTGCTTTTTTCCACCTTTTTGAACAGGGCGTCTTTCTCTTCAACATAATCCAATGGTCTGAGATCAAATACTTGGATTACCGATACCCATGGCCGGCCCATTTGTTCGGATGGTTCTCCGCAATGACGACGATGATCTGTATTCCTGCCTATGCGATTTGGATATGGCGCAGAACTCCGGGCGATTTCCAAACGGTGAGTGGCACTTTCACGCCAAGAGTGTAAATTTTTGGACGATTTTTTTTCTATAACACGTGGATTTATTGATGCATCTGATGAAGTTTTTTACCAAGTTTACAAAGTTTGCAAATGTTAGTTTCATAAATTAATTTGTTGAATGATTTTTGCTTTTTAGAAATTCAATCTGTTAGTAAGACCACAAATCAATTTGGAGGACATTAGAGGACCCGGAACCGCCCTGACATCGGATATTACGACACTTTAATTTCCTTAAACATGCAAATTATGCGTCCCTCCCTATATCTTTTTCTATTAATGTGTGTACTACTATACAAGTTATTACAAGTATCGATATTATTATGAGTTGTTCATTAGTTTACTGCTAGGAGTATCATCCAGGTCATCATCTAGGTCGTGTAGGTCATATTTAGCTTATAAATATTTACAGCTGCATTTTTAACCTAAGAGACGACGACAATTATTAAATACATATTTAGAAGAAATATTTAGGGAATAGCCGACAGTTGAATGTGACCGTGTGCGTGAATAAGTAGTTAATTAAATTGTGACCATTTGTGAAATATACATGTTCTTAATAATTAGATAAGGTAGCTCTTACTCGCCAAGTGTCATCTTGCCCCGTCTGTCTCATCTCACCTTTTCCCTTCTTTCTAGTCTCACTTTTCCACTTTTCTCTGACTTTGCCAATCTTTCACGTCGTATTCTTCTTCTTCTTCTTCTTGGCTAGCCGTGTATAAAAATAAGTAGCTTTTAAAATACGTTGTAAGTGGCACAAAGTCAAGTGCGAACGACAATCCGAAACTCTTCCAGTTTTTATTGCCTCCATCTCATCATCATTTTGGTGACGATATTGTGACGCAATTGTACAGGTAAATCTTAGTCGTGATCTATTTTTCGCTAATTCTGGTCTTCTAATTCTGTCTCGTTTACATATGTAAGATTCTGAAATTTTTAGATAAATGATCTAGTTTTCTGCCCCTTGTAATTCTGTCTCGTTTCTGAAATTATTTCATTTTTCGTAACCCTTCTCTCTCTTCTTCGTATACTTGTCTTGTTCTTTTTATCCTGTAAACGTTTCACTTTTTTTACTCTGTTCTACATAATTCTCGAGTTTTTCTTCCAACTAATTTCATATTTTTCATGTCTCTACGTCAATTTCTACTACTAACAGTTTACTCTCTTTTTGTCTCATCTTGCCTCCTTTCATATCTTTTTTCTCTCAACCTACAATCTAATTTCTCCTACATTTTTCTTCACCTCGTTAAAAATATCTGTTTTCTTGTTATTCCACTTCCCCAAAATTATTTACTTTACTTCACGTGCAAATTTTGAGTTACTTAAACTTGTGGCTTTTATTTTAACTCTACATAAAAATATCGCTAACTATAAAACTATTCTTGTCTCATATTTGTAAGCTAACCATATCCTTACTCAGAATTGACTAGTTTTATAAGAATATACTACCAACATTATTATCATTAAGGTATTAAATATTACGTCTGTAACTATCTCAATATTTAGCGTACAGAATTTCAAAGCTAATCGTGATTACTTACTAAAAATGTGGTATGGATGGATGAAATGAATGTGAAAGTTGTGTAGTGAGAGGTAGTCGAAGTTAATTAATTGGCCAGTTAGTTCATAGGTTTACAAATTATGCTAATTAACTAATTATTTCCCTTAACCAGCTAATAAATTTCCTATCTCTCTCTCTCTCTCTCTCTGCAGATAATTTAGAAATCTTAGTGACTCATTTCCGGTTGTGTCTGAAAAACCTTCGTTGTTTATGTTTAATCTGGTCTCATCGTTGTTATCAAATATTTCTGTTATTATTACTTCTCTGATTTTTTAATATTATTATTCATGCTTAATTACAAGTTAAATATTATTAGCTAATTTGTATTAACTAGTTAAATGAAATGTGTATAATGATTCATTTTCAGAAGGTGTTTAAGTGATGTTGTATTTAATAGATTTTAATTGTTTCTATTTTTAGGGCTCAAATTTATCCATGATGATTTAGTATGATTATTATGATGGCGATGATTTGGTGTATTTGTTTTGTTGCGAGTGCTGCTTTTTGAATTTATTCTGTAACACGGTGGTTTTTATTTCTAATAAAATCGACAAACTTTCTTTTTACGTGGTGGAGTATTTACGTGATAAATATGTCATTGTGGCTGGTGGTAATGGTTATCTACGATAAGATCATATGGATATCATACGAGAAGTTTGTGACATGGTCACTGGATAAGGTGGAGATTTTACTAAATGAAATGCATAAAGTCCTACTTTGCATTTTTTTTTACGGAAATATTGACAATTCTTATTAAGAAATTAAAAACTGTATCAGATTTCTAGAAACTTTGGTCGTGTATTCCATGGTATGCATACTTTTGCAAATCTTTCTCCAAAAAAGTCATACACATTAAAATAATTAAGTGTGAAATAATGCCATAAATGAGAAACTCTAATCGACTCTACTATTACAAATTTACATAAGTCTGAAGATTAAAAAAAATACTCTTGTTATAAAATATTAGAATCGAACTGAGTCAAATAATTCCAAATGCGGATTTTGCCTTCTTATCGGAAAGCGTCACCTGCTCCTTCTCACGTATCCGCTGGAATGCAGAGACGCCACGCTGCTGATAAGCGACTCGCTTCCCTCATCTCCAAATCCTCAAGAAGCAAAGCTGGCTGGATCATTTCACTCTGTTTCTTGCCGTCGTCGCAAACACACCTCGCCAAAAATCGTCCAGTTTCTTCCCTTTTACACGTCGTGCTCTTTGCCAACAATTCTGGTGTACGAAAATCTTTAAATCACAACTCGTTAACTAAGTTAGTTTGCTAAAAATCTTTATTTCTTGAGCAGCCGAAGATGGAGTGGTGTCAGCACAATGGGCAACGTTTGTATGGTCCCCCAGTGGAAAGCGGTCGCAAACCAGAACAGGGTGAGTCCTATAAAAAACTATTATTATGCATTTTTTTCAAGTTACTGCCGATGTATAGCATTTTCTTAAAAAAGTGTGCTTAATTTGTCTGTGATAACAGGAAGTGAGGTATTTATTCCCAACGTTCCTCAAGACTGGACGGAATTTGACATCTTCGACCTGTTCAAGACGATTGGGCCGATTTACCAGGTCAGAATGATGGTCAACTTCAGTGGGAGTACGCGAGGCTTCTGCTTCGTTCGCTTTTTCGAGAAGGAACATGCCTCCCAAGCAATTCTTGAGTTGAATAGGAAGGAAGTTAAGAAAGGTATTTTTTCAATAGGAGTACATTTCCAAATTTTGTATAACTAATATTTTAGTAACTTCGAGTAACTGTTCATTATCTGAATTTGTGTGTAGGGTGGAAAATTAAAGTCGTGATGTCTCTGGATAACAGCACCTTGTGGGTCACTGACTTCCCAAAGTTTAGGACTGACGAGGAAATCAGGAGCGAAATATTCCGAATTTCCAACGGCGTGACAAGTGTGACCATTTTTAGTCAGAATAAAAATCGATGCGGTCTGATCGATTATGCGACTCACAGGTCACACATTTATAGATATTTACATATTTTAGACTCATTTACATTAGTTCATAATTGGTAATTAATTTGCATTTTTCTTGAACAGCGCTGCGTCGAACGCTCGGAAGTTATTTCTGTCCAGAGAGGTGACGCTGTGGGGCCATCGCTGCTTTGTGGAGTGGGCGCCGAAAATTTCCAATGTTTAGAGCTATGAATTTCTTCAGTTTATTAAGCCTGACGGACCGTAATCTGTAACATGTATCGCATTTCATGTTTTTTAGATAGCATTTTACGATGAACTTTTTTCCTGTTATGATTGATTGTTGGATCAACTTTTTCCTGTTATGATTGATTGTTGAATGAACTTGACTTTAATTATTTGTTGTATTTGATTGTATCATTGTGAATTGACACGACTTTTGACTAACATACTTAAAATAAATTATTTCCTTGTTAATCGTATGGCGACTTTGTTGGTTTTATTTTCATCGTAATTAAAATGTGATCAATAAGGAGTATAATTTCACCTACTTATCAACCCCCTTCACACCTAAACTTATGAGTCGATTATTTATTTAGCAAGGACGATTTTATGGTAGATGTATTTTGGTTTCATAATCATTCAAATAAAAGAAATCTCCCAAACCCTCAACCAAATGGTATTACTTAACTGACGATTAATTTTATCAGCTACTCCAACCAAATTGTTTCAATAAATTGCATATCCTTCCAAACAAGTAATTTTACGAAGCGAAGGTGCACCAATAATTCTTCAGGAACACCACGACGACCTCATGCAAATCCCTCGAAATGCAAAACCTTCAGTGTCGTCAAATAATTCACATTTTTTGAAATCAGGAAATGAAAAAAGTATCAAAAATGTATGAATTTCGAGAGATGAGAAATTCATGGGAAAAGTGCGACCCAACGAGAACGGACTCCAGCTCCAGCAGCACACGACACGTGCTTGTTTTCCGAAGTGAAGAGTTAAAGAACAGGTATCAGGTATTTAATTAATTAAAGAAAATATGCTAACAAACAGATAAATTAGCAATTTTCCTTTGTATATTTTTTTTACTAATGAAGATCTTCTTCCCTCTTCAAAGTAACAAGAAGATGGAGTTCGCTTCAAAAGTTGACCGAGAATCTGCCCAAGCCGAACCTCCCAGAAATCGACCTGCTGGAGAAAGTGAGAGTGACGGCGAAGGATTCGACATCTTCCCAAAACCAGCCATCGTCCCAGCCAACACCAACGAACGAATTCATTATGACGAGGACGAATGGGGGTCAAGGAATAATGCGGCTTATTCTTCGTCACAAGCCATACTGCCAGAACCGGTGGTTATCTCGGCTAGCGAGTCAGCCAGGATTGCTTGTTCAAGAGGCGAAATTGATAAGGTATTTTAAGTTTATAGCGGTTTTTAATTGATGATTAACTTAAGACTCAGTATCAAAATAGTCAGAATCAACACATTTTTAATCATTTCTCGGAGCTGGGAATTTATTTTAATATTTTGAACTACAAATTTGTAGTCAGTGAGTTGATTAATGAAATGGCTGGTGAGTTTTTTGAGCCAGTTTCGATGTATCTCAATTTTTCTGAAGATTTCTTAAACTTGAGATCTCCTTCAAAAAGGGTCAAAATCTGGAGTGTATATGTTTTTTAATTTGTCAACTCCCTGCTCTACAAATGTCCAGAATTTTAAAATAAATCCCCCGAGGGGGAAGAAACGATTAAAAATGTGCTGACTTTGAAGATTTTGTAATGCGTGCCCTCAAGCCCTGCGTTAAATTTGTTACTGATTTGCCCCCTGTATTATCAATCCTCAGGTGCAGAAGCTCTTAGACGATGGCTCCATTCAAATAAACTGCTTCCTCCCCGACGACACCACCCTACTAATCACCGCTGCTGCATACGCTTATCCTAGCCTGGTCAAGTTTCTCATCGAACGTGGCGCAGATGTTACCCAATTTAGCCACGGTTTAGACAAAACCACCCCCCTCATCGCCGCCGTCTCCTGCACGCGCCCCTCCGCCACGGAAGACCACGTTCTCGCCTGTGTCAAACTCCTCGTCGAGAAAGGCTCCCCCCTCAACACGCAGGGTCACTCCGCTCTCACCGCGCTCGTCATCGCGATCAAACGTCGCCAAGAACGACACGCCGTTTCCGAGTACTTACTCCAGCACGGCGCCAATCCAGACGTCCAAGATTTCGCCGGGCGAACCCCACTCTTCCACGCGGCGGAAGTTGGCGACGGAAAATCCTGCCGATTACTCCTCGAACACAATGCAAACGTCAACATCATCGACGACAACGGGTGGTCCTGCCTCGACGTCGCGGGGGACAAAGGATTCAACTCGCTGAGCGAATTACTCTATAAAGTCCGCACCACAAAATGGAAACCGGGGCAGGATCCCGTCCTCATGAAGGAGATTAAGGACGTTATCATAGGTCGTGGAAGAGTATCCAAAATTCGGGAAGATTCTCAAATCGAAATGCTCCTCAGGGCCATCAATGCGGAAAAATATAAACAAAATTTCCGCCACCATAAAGTCACCTACCTCCAATTTCTTCAGTTTGATGAAGAAGACCTCAAAGCCGTGGGGATTGAGGAGGTCGGAATTCGGAAAAAAGTGATGGAATCAATTCGTGAAGCGCACAGTACCGGCTGGGCGAGATCTTGGATGAATATGATGTCCGTTAATAAAAGATGTACCGGAATGGAAACCGTGTGCATTGTGAACAACATCAATTTTCATGTGGAACATATTCAGAACACAATTCACAAGTTGACAAAAAGGATTTTGAAGGACCCCACAAGTCTCCGGCTGGGGAAGGAAAGGAGTGACATTTCCGGTATCTTGTCGCGCCTGAAGGACTTGGATAAGAACAATTTTATCTTGCATGAAGAACTGCTGAAGATGAAGCAACTCTTTGTTAGGCTAAAGAACAATGCGGAACTCCAGATCGGTGATAAGTTCGAGTTGGAGCCGAAGGATATGCAAGAATTTCTTGAGAGGTGGAATGCTGTCAAGAAAGATGACAAGAAGGAATCGAGTGATGGGAAGAAATGGGTGTTATTTGGGGTGACAAGTGCCTTACTTGTCACGGCAATTGCTTGGAAGTCCTGGTCTCGATGATGACTATGGTGCTAATCAAATATTTTCTACATAGATGACCTATTTTTAAGCATGTACCATTCACTCACAATGGAGGGTCTCCCAGCGTATGCGATCCGATTTTGAGAAAACTGGAGTCAATCGATCACGAATTTGATTAGTATGAAATTTGCAACAGACACGATCTCCCAATGGGCACGTTTGGCAGAGTTATTTGCATCCCAAGAGGAGAACATGCCTTAAAGATGACAAATTTTGCCCTTTTCAAATTTACTCCTCTTGGGATGCAAATAACTCTGCCAAACGTACCCATTGGGAGATCGTGTCTTTTGCAAATTTCATACTAATCAAATTTGTGATCGATTGACACTAATTTGCTCATTATCGGAGAGCATACGCTGGGAGTCCTCCATTGTCCGTCGTGATCAGATATTTAAATGATCTTACTTATTTATGAGGTACTTGTTATTGCTCGTATCAAATCAAATACAAATATATTTATAAACTGGTTAATTATTAAAACTCATAATTAGGACAATTGGCATTTAACTAAATAATAGTTTTTACGTAGAAAGAAAATATATTGTTACCAACTCGTCTATATTAATAAACCGGTTAATTATTAAATTAAATAATTATGACTTGTTTTGAATTTGATCATGACTTACATACAATAATGATAATGAGTTAAAAGTATATAGAAAGAAAAAAAAGTCGACAATACATACTTATCTTGTCGCGGCTGAAGGACTTGGATAAGAATAATTTTATAAGAGATAATATACGATATACTCCTCTAATTCTATGTCAGTTACATCACACAAGTAATTAACGATTGATCAAGGTGCTCACTTCCATTAAATTAAATATGCATGCGTTTGTGAGAAAAATAAAGAAACCCAGACTCAATCCTATGCAGAATTTCAGCTTTCGTTCATAGTTCGTTTCGACGCTTCATTTTAATAAAAGTGCCACACAATTCTAATCTGAATCTGAATGTCAAGGCAAAAAGATAGCAATAGGATAAGAAGAAAGGAAAGTGATCCTGATTCATAACCAAATTTGAGAGATAGTGGACGCAGGCATATTTCTTCCAAAGGTGGACAACGTTTCAACTTGCATTGAATAATTAATTAATGATCACCACCACCGTCTTCCTTGTGTCCAGATTTTCTTGCTTAATTCTCCACACAAGAGTTATTCTGAATTTTGTACCTTTCTGGAAGGCCTGACTACGAGATTAAGTCAGGGATTTTAATATTCATTGGATATGCAGATAAGCGAAGCCATCTCTCAGTCGGAGGAAGTCAGTGACCAGCAAGCTTCCCATCAAACAAGAGCTCACTTCTTGCTCCAGAAATTTGACCAATTTTTCACATTTCCACCCAGCTTACATTGAGAAGAAAGGAGCAGAACGACGTAAGGTAAAGAAAGTTGGAGAGGCCGAACGTCGATTGAAACGGAGGATTCGACGAGGGAAAGATTTTTTACTCTTGAATCGACTGCATCCCGAAATACACACGCCTCACGCCCAAGTTTTAAGCACCAACCGCTGGTAAGGCTGGATTCTTAATTTTCATATAAAATCTGTTGTTCAAATCCACATGGTGCATGACCTAGTAATTCCTGAAATATTGTGCGCAGAGAAAGGAATCGATTGTTGCTAGCGGGGGAACCGACCAGAACGCGAGGTTGCAATTGGACAGGATGGAGGTCAACGGAACACTCAGATGACAGAAAGCGCTCGTCCTCCCAACGGCAAAAGTGCCCAAAGCGGAAAGGTCTAGAAAATTTTCCAATTTGCTCACTTTTTCCATTGTGAATGGACGACTTCCTGCTCAGCAGACCCACCCCGTTCACCCACAGCCAACAGCAGTCGACGATGGCGAAGTGAAGTACCCTTCAGCTAACAGCAGCTCATTAAAAACAGAGAAAAGCCGGTCATGCAAAACATGCCTCCGTCTCCTCACATCCACGCCCACACCCACCTCAACCATAGATGGGGAGATTGCGCAAAATTCCTGCCCTCCTTCTCCCCTTGTTGGGGCTGTAGGAATGCAGGGGTTTTGCGCAGCCAGCCCATTTATGACCTCAGCCGGGATACAATCGACTTTACCCACCACGTCAATGCGCACGAAGGTCGTGGCCCTGTTTGCCAAACGAAGAAAACACCAGAAAAAAGATTTGACCGATTATCTATTGGTCCATTTGAGCCGAGAGGAGCAAGCGGAGGTGACGCAGGAAATACATATTTACATATTTGAGACTCATTTGCATTAGTTAATAATTGGCAACTAATTTGCATCTTTCTTCAACAGCGCTGCGTCGAACGCTGGGAAATTATTTCTGTCCAGACAAGTGACGCTGTGGGGCCATCGCTGCTTTGTTGAGTCCGGGCGATCAACCGGAATTGTCTAATGTTTAGAGCTATGAATTTCTCACTTGTTTTTAATTCGCCCGTATATTCGTCGTGGGATTGAGATTTGCAATGTATTCATTTATTAAGCCTGACGGACCGTAATATTCACATATTTTGACTTTGTAATATGTATCCGTCGCATGTCATGTTTTTTACATAACAATTTTAAGGTGAACTTTTTTATTGTTACGATTGATTGCCTGACACATTTCTTTGTTACCATTTTTTGAAGATGAAAATTTTTATTTAGTAAAACCTCCGTTTTTTTAAACACGCTTATTTCATAATCTGATTTTTACTACAGTTTAATTTTACTTTCGTCAAAATGCTAATAAAATGTACCAATAATGATCATTGCTATTACTTATTCTGTTGTATTAATTGTCATGATGCAGCAAAGTAATTTTGCTAAAATTGCATCCTAGACGCTCTCATTTTACATTTGTACACACATTTAATTCTTTCTAAATTTGGTATGGTCCAGGCTTTGGGATCACTTTATTATTGGGTGGCATTAGTACCAGCAAGTATAACCAAGTGCGGTTACAAAACAGACATGTGTGCGAAATTTATGAACAAGATTTTCATGCACTGACTGCCGAAATGCGAGTTCTGGATGGAATAAATGGAATTGCAGCATGTGCAATTTTTTGTTAATCATCAATTGATAAACTCACTTTTAGGTGTTTCTTTATGCAAATAAATATAAGGATTCAAAGAGCACAAAGAATGCATTATATTTATCTCTAAATGCATTTATTTTGATTTCATTCTTTTGATTTAAAGAAAATCAACAAAATGATTAATAAAGCGTTTGATTACAACTTATATAAAATGAAAAACTGGCGTTGTACTCACTCATGTGCAGATTCTGCTTTACAAGAATGCACTAATTTGCACACTACCGTAAGCACATATTGAGATTTGAAGTTATCATTATTAATAAAGATAAAAATGTCAATGTCATTGGTGCTTTTTCTTCCGTATAATGTTCATATAAAAGAACGCATTTTCTGGGAATAAAGCCAAAATTGAAGCCTGGTCGATTTGGTCAGTTAAGTATTTTCCTCAGCATTCCATAATCTGTCAAGATGGACTTTGAGTGGAAGCAACGCATCGTGTTCATGTTTGTCATGACCACACCCGTTCTCGCCTTATGCGGACAAGGCCTCCCACAAGGGGGAACGATTAACTGGTCTAAAAATCCCAACAGGGTAATTTTCTCACCATCTGCTTAATAAGTTCAATTTGCTCAATTACTTTACACGCAGGTTCGCCTCCTGCATGAATTTCAAGCCTCGCAACAAAACCTGGAGGACTCCGAAGTACGTGCCGACACGTTTCCACTTCCGCTCTGCGAACCGAGTTTACCTTTAAGTGAGAAAATCCGAAAATCGTTTGACTCTCGTCGTCACTGGATGGAGTGTCCGTCCCTGTGGGAAATTCGGGATCAGGGGGCATGCTCGGCGTGGGTGTGTATTTATTATTTATTTATGTACATACCTGAAATGCAATATGTATGATATCTTGTTATCATCTCTGGGTGGGTGGGTAGGCGGTGGGAGTAGCATCCGTCCTAACTGACCGGTACTGCATCGCTAGTCGGGGTAAGGACCAGTGGCGCATTTCGGAGCAGGACCTCCTTAACTGCGCCCCCAGTCGCGAAAACAGCGGATACATTAGTTGCCAATCCGTCGCCATTCCAGAAGTTTGGGATTACGTGACCAAAAATGGCGTGGTGACGGGGGGATACTTCCGCTCGGGGATGGTAAATATCTAAAACACGACGAAACTGTTTCAAAAATTTCGGTATGAATTTCACTCCATTTCAGGGCTGCCAACCCACCACGATGGAACCGTGTTATGGAATGAAGTCCTCCTCCTGCAACTCGATCCCTCCTGAGGACGCCGCCACTTGCCGGTCCAGCTGCACAAACCCTCGTTATAATCGCAGCTATGAGAATGATAAGCAAAAAATTGCGGGATCGTGTGGAATGAAGATGACGAATCTGGAGGAAGAAACGAATGATGATGCCATCAAGGCGGAAATCTACAAGAACGGTCCTGTCCTGGCTGTGATGCGTCTTTACGACGACCTCCACGAGTACGATGGGAGGGTCAGTGTCGTGAACGGAAGTGGAGGTAAGGACACATTTGCTATTGTTACTATGTACAGTTTGACCTGTTAAGAGTGAGAAAGTGATCAGCGATTAATTAGCCGAATTATTTTCAATTTTCATTCAATTTTGCATGATTTTTACGCCAAAATAAAAATAACCGGTGTTAAATAATAAAATAATTCGGCTAATGTAATCGCGGAGCGGATCACTTTGGAACTCTTAACTGTATCAAATAAGAGTTTATCAAAATTTTGCGAGTTCATGTCTCAAATTCGTATTGTAATACTATTTGGATATAAAAATTTTATAAAATTGTATAAAAATGATTAGGCTAATGCGACATTCATGAATTTTAGCTATGTACCAAAACTCACACGGCATTTCGGCCCCTCATGTCCTCCATCCGGTCAAGATTGTGGGCTGGGATTCCGTGCCCGTCGAAGGAAATGGGGACGTCGGGTACTGGATCGTGGCCAACTCGTGGGGCTACGCGTGGGGTGGACTCGGCGGCTTCTTCCGGGTCAGGATGAGCAGCGACATGCCAGAACTGGGCGCCTGGATCGCCACGGATGTGTCGTGGCCTGTCATATCCACATCGTCACCACAACCAGCCTCAGACTTGGCGGAATCCTCCTCCTACTCCTTCCTCATCAATCACATCCTTCGCAAATTTCGCATAAGCATCACATTTCCTGGAAATAATTTCCACCCAAATGATGTGTGAAACCATCAAAAACATACAATTATACTCTTTAGTCTCTAATTTTGTATTCAATTATGTTGTTAATCTTGGCCAAAGTGGCTTCAAATGCTAAGAACGTTAACAAGAATTTGCTCAACACGACCCAATCAATATCATTTTTTTATTTATTTATTATTGTTGCTGCTAATAAATTATCTTATCGAAATAAAGTCATTGAATGAATTGAATGTTATTATTGAATGCATTAGTAGAATCCAATCATATTTTTGTCATTTTAATTGTAACATTTATAATTTTTCTTTATTTGTAGAGATTTCATATTGTAAAACATATTGTACATTTAATAAAACAAATTGAGTAATACATGATAAACTCCTCCATAAAAATGAATTTTTGACAAAGTTAAAACTTTTTCTACGACTACTGGACTTGATGAAGTGGCGAGGAGGCTGCCGAAATGTGAGCGTGGAGAAGGATGAGCCGCGTGAATTTAGCCGTAGCCTTTATTCTTGAGTGGTGGGTTGGGCCAACTGAGAATTAGATCTTGCTTTAGTTAAATATTTAATTAAAAAATAATTTTGCAATTAAACCTTCATTTCATACTTCTGCCGTCTTCCACACTTCATTAAGTTTGGATTTCATCATTTTTTCGATTTTTAACCATTTTGAAATACTGATTAGAAGGCGGAGAAGGTCAGTCTAAACTGAAGAAGGTTGTTGCACAAGGAAAACGAGCTTGAAAGTAGTGTGAACATTTTTTAATCTTGATAAGGTTAGATATTATTTTAGTGTAATTTTTAATAATTTTGCGACAAACTTTGAAATAAAAAATATTGACAGTATTTCAAATTCGTGTCGCTTGTGAACCTTCATCGAACCTTCGATTCCTTCTTCCACCATGATCGTCTGCCTAAAATCATCAAACCCACGCCGCAACCACGTCGGCTCTCTCCTCCTCAGTCTCGCTTCAACTTCGAGAAATGATGGTTGGGTCGTCAGGATCGTCTCTACAAAATTTCAAGAAACTTTAAAAATTTAAATTCATTGAGTGAATGCCTGACCGTGGATCGGACTGTGGCTGACTAAGGTGAGTGATTAAATTTATTCAATTTTATCTAAAAATAAGAGTTTTTATTTCTTTTTGAAAGAACGAGTACTTTGTGAGACTGGTTGATTGATTTCAAGAGATTTAATTATTGTATGGGTGTGGTTCTTAGATGGCGGAAAGCGGTTGATGATGAATGAAATCCTCTTTGTTGGTGAAGACACTTTAACAAATTTTCGTCAGTAAAGATAAGGCCACATCTTCCAGTTCGACCGCAAGAGGCGAAGGTGAGTCTGAAGGTCGCTGACATTTCCATCATAGCGAACCACTATCTGGCAATTTTGAATAGTTGGAACTTTAATTTAATTGCTTTATGTTACTTTTTTCTTCTTCTAGGTCATCTTCGGGAATAAGAAAAGAAGTTGTGTACTTTGGAGCTGTTTGTTCTGATCTTGTATTAATCAGAAAAGGCAGCTCTAAAGTATACGGCTCCTTACAACGGCAAGAAGAATGGATGGAACGCTTCTCTGCCACTCGACGACCTCAACTTGACCCATGAACAACATACCTGGAAGGAAAAAAGTAGCTGTGCACTCCCAGAACTTTTGATTTAATCTTGAATTATTCAGATGTCTTCAATTGTTCTGGGGAGTATACGGCTCCTTACGACGACAAGAAAAATGGTTGCAAAATGGACGGATGAAACGCTTCTCTTCCACTCGACCTCAACTTGACCCTGGGAACAATATTAACTGGAAGGAAAAAAAGAAGTTGTGCACTTCTACGAACTTTTGCTTTAATCTTGAATTAATCAGATTAAGGCAATTGTTCGTGGGGGTATACGGCTCCTTACAACGGCAAGAAAAGTGGTTGCAAAATGGAAGAAATGGGAGGCTTCTCTGCCACTCGACGACCTCAACTTGACCCATGAACAACATACCTGGAAGGAAAAAAGTAGCTGTGCACTCCCAGAACTTTTGATTTAATCTTGAATTAATCAGATTAAGGCTTACCCTCAAGCTCGGAGGAGTGAATCGGGTTTGGAGCAATATCCCAGTTTCAACCTTCTCTCTCGCTTTGCGTAAAGCCTTGTAGTGCCTATCTCGAAACTTCGCATCGACCCTGTGGGGGGAGGAGTCGACCTCAGGGTTCATAATAGTGGAATATGTTGCACTCGTCTTTCTGCGTCTGATGGTATTTTTTTCAAATTTTTTGGACTCGCGCGAAGGGCTGCAAATGGTTTACCAGTCTACATAAGGTTACATTACTTGATGGTAAACCATTTGCAGCCCTTCGCGCGAGTCCAAAAAATTTGAAAAAAATACCATCAGACGCAGAAAGACGAGTGCAACATATTCCACTATTATGAACCCTGAGGTCGACTCCTCCCCCCCACAGGGTCGATGCGAAGTTTCGAGATAGGCACTACAAGGCTTTACGCAAAGCGAGAGAGAAGGTTGAAACTGGGATATTGCTCCAAACCCGATTCACTCCTCCGAGCTTGAGGGTAAGCCTTAAAGCGATTGTTCTTGAGAGTATACGGCTACTTACAACGGCAAGAAGAACGTTTACACAGCGAAACATGGAATTCTGATGCCATAGATGGCCGCGACAAAGGTCTGTTTTTCCTTATCTTAGTCTTGTCGACATTATCTAATACATATTTAATACTTGTATGTACCAAGGAAGCTTGCGCCATCGATGCGGTCTTGGATGATCTCAAATCGACCCTGTGAATGATACTGTCTCGGGAAGGGGGAAGAAGTTGTGTACTTCAAGGTGGTTTTGGTTTAATCTGGAATTAATTAGATAAATCATAACCAACTTGGAGTATACGGCTTCTCTTGACGACAAGAAGAATGCTTACACCGCGAACATATATAATTATGGAATGGGGACACTTCTCCGCCACCATAGATGACCACAACAGAATCTTCTCGACCTCAACTTGACCCTGCGAACGATATTGTCTGGAAGGAAGAAAGGAGTTGTGCATCACAGAGCTTTTCCTTTAATCTTGAATTGATAGATTGAAGGGATTGCTCTTGAAGTACACGGCTCCTTACACCGGCAAGAAGAACGTTTACACAGCGAAACATGGATTGATCTGTTTTTTGCTTAAAACATGAAATAAAATTCCATGAAATAAACGCATTACTTATCTAGTTTTCTCGAGTTGTATATATAATAAATGTGATTTTATGAATAGTCAAGAATTTTTGTATACAAATCATAACAGTTTTCTAAAAATAACCAAATAAATGCCTGCAAAACTACCACAAAATTAATTTCTTGTAAATAGCTTTATTTATTTTTTTACTTTTAAACTTCATAACACAAAAACAATGCATATTTTCCTCCGTAAGTCATAATAATTTTCACTCGAGAACAATTCAGCACTGGTGTAAGCACCGGTACCTGATCAGAATATCAAGTAACCATTCTCTCTACTCTTTCAGCTAATACATCAAAAGTACGTCAATTGTTAAAAATTTGCAGTACACAAAATCCACATTTGGCTTATCCTAAAACGTCTACCTGCTGTTCGTCCCTAAGGGACTATTCGTAAATAACTCTAAACATACGTACTTACCTCTGTTCCTTTTCAGTAAGTGTTTCATCATCGCCAAGCATATGTATGCATAAGTACATAAATTAGTAAAGAACAGAACACGGGAGAGATCTCGGGTAAGAAATCTGCACAGTTTTCTAATTCACTTAATAAGCGATACATCACCCTCGTTAAAAATTATTCCCCCTTTTTTGTCGTTTCACTTCGTCCTCTATTACTCGTCAGCAAATACTAAAAAAGATCTAGATACACAGCAGACAAAGACTTTCTCGCGTTGTATGGCGTCATAAATAATGACATCGTTGTCGGCGAGGAGTAGGAAGACTTTCAACGTAATAATTAAGACAATTTGCTAATTAGTCCTGGGCTACAGTAAGTTACAGTTAAGAATTTATACCTTAATACCAATCTGCAAAAAGTTAAAGTTTGTTTTTCTGTTGTAAAATCCTGGTCCTTTCTTTACTTCGTTATACATGGTTAATAATTTAAAAAGTCAGTCTACCAAGTAAACCTGACAAGAGTAGTTTACAGTATATATTTTTAGCGAGAAACTTTTTTTCATACTTTTCAGTCAATAATATCGACCACTTAATCCTTTGTGATCCTTATTGTCTCACAAGTGTGACAATTGAAAACTGACTATTAAGTTGAGATATATACTTTTTTAACAACAATCCCATAAGAACTGTGATCCTGACCAGAAGTTAGTTGAAACGGGTTAGTTAAGTTAATTGGTTAATGGAAGCGCATATTTTTCTAATACTAATTAAACATTATAAATACTTACTAAAGATTAAAATTAACCAAGAAAAGTCAGTCTAGTACTCACTCTGTGAATGAGTAGTACAACAACATTGTTAAAAAATTATTCATGACAGGAATTCAAGTTTTTTTTCAAAAAAGAAGGCACATATCAACATCCTCCTCTTAGTACTCATTAAAGCTTTCAGATACATAAGAAAACAAAGATACATGATAATCATGAATATTCGTGATTATTCATTATTCATGAACGGAGAAGGATTCATAACAATAATAGTAATGATTGTCGTGGGTCGTAGTAAAATTTTAAAAGTTCCAATCCTCACAAAAAAAAACAAGATTGATTTTGTATCGACTTTTAAAGCTGGACAGTCGAGACGAACTTGGGAATCAGAATAGAGAAGTTTATCCCAGCAAAGATTCCTGTTATGAGGAAAGCCGCTGCAAACATTCCAGCGATAGGTGCGTGTTCGTTTTCAACGGTTCTGGACAAAGGAGAAGAAAATATACGAATTTATAGAAAATAGATGTATGAAAAAGTTTATTCACCAAGACCCACCTTGGACAATACATCATCGAGAGGGAGCTAAAGTATCCGCTGGTGAGGCCAAGCAGAACTCCGCCAATCCAATAAGTCCAGTCGCCGAACATGAAGTCGGGCAGAAAAACGCGGTCGTGGCCGAGCGGTTGGTAGTTGCACAGGATGAAGAATGGGATGAAAAGGAAGCGGAGAACGACAGCGATCCATAAGTATTTTGGGCCAGGCTGGAAATGAAGAGGAGTTTAATTAATTTTAAATTAAAGAGTGGCCTAATTAATTCAGTATCCGTACCCATTGGACAAGAGCAGGTATCATGTTTCCAACCATGGCAAAGAAATTGAACGTCAGGAAACACGTCACTCCGACGAAGTACTTGGCTGGAATTATAAAGTTACTATCCACCATTTGGATATCTAAAGAAATTAAATTAAAATTAGGACACAATTTTAATCCTAGAAGTAATCAACCATGCAAATATGCGTTACCCGAGTGCACAGTTGGGAAAATTGTCAGCGTCACGAAGAAAACCAGAAACACGTTGATGCATTGAGGAAAGCACTTTTTCAGAATGGCCATGTACGGCGTCTTCTGTCCTACGTGACCCACGCTGCGTTTCGACTCTTGCTCTTTGGCACTCATTAGTTCATGGTAGCGATAGAATTTCTAATTGTAAACAAAAATAGAATTATAACCGATCACAAGGCACAGCCAAAATACGTATGTAGATAAATTCGCTCACGTTCAGTGGGAGTGCGAAATAGGTATCGAAACATGTCAAGAGGATGAATAAGGCAGTTATGAAATAGTAAATGGCCGCTGTTCGCTCGGATGGCGCGGTCGCCAGTGAGATGAGGTTGATGATGGAGGTGAATGTTCCAGATATGTTCTGAAAAATAGCAGTGGACAATTTTAGAATAACTAATTCTCCAACGTGTTGACCCGATAAGTAACTAATACTTACTGATCCCAACACAACGGCACCCGAATAGTCCAACTTTGCAGCGATGCCGTACACCGAGTTTTGAAAAATACCTCCAGCCACTGAAATTCGATATCAAGGTAACACATTTATTAAAACCATTTCTCTCACCCCAATGGTCATAATAATTTCAAATTATCAAGACCATAAATTATTTATTTCACACGCACTGTTGATAATCACAACGGAGCCCATCGTCATCCAGAAGAAAAGTCCAGGAAACGCGGATGTGTCCAACATTGCAAGCACGATGGTGAAAATGAACAAAATCACTTCCACTACGATGGACCACACGATTCTGGTTTTTAAGCTCCCACTAAATTATATAAAAAACAAATTTACAATATTTTTGAATGATTTTAAAATTATTCAATTTCGAAATTTTCTAACCCAATTTGAATAAAAATGTTGAGCCAGTTGAAGAATACGTTGGGGATTTGAGACGCAAAGCCGAGGTAAGGCATGAAGTTGTTCGCATATTCAGACTCCGTACCCGTGTACCCTTTGCTCAATTTGTAATCCACGAAATACTAGAGAAAGATAAAAGTTAGGGAACATTTCCAATCACGAATTGCTTATCTTATCCCGGATTTCTTACCGCTTTCGCAGTGATGAACATATTCCACGGCATGAGAGTTCCTACCCCGTGTATGATCAAGATCAAGTACACGATATTGAACCTGCCAGCAAAAAATAGTCATTATTAGAAAATGAAATCATCATAATTAACGATAGACCAAATTAATTAACGGTTCCCATCACTAAAACAAGTACCTATCTCGAGGCACTTTAATTAAAGGCCTCAGTTTTCTGGAGGCATTATATTTAGCAAGGTTTTCAAAGTTATCATTATTTTCAGGTAAACTCTCGTGTCGTCTGCCTCCTCCCCCTCCGTTCGCGCCGTGCCCATTTTTCTTCAAGAGGGGCGACGAGAAGGGTTCCCCTCCTCCGCCCGGACCCTTCTTTCCCGCAGCGGGCGAATAGTAGGAGATGAAGGAAAAGTCGTCCAGCGATGCCAACGGGGCTCGTCTCTCCATTTCTTTCTTATCCGTATTGGCGTACAAGTGAATTTCAATTTATTTCCACCACCACCAATGTTAACTAATGACCATGTCACAATATTCACCAAAATTCACACACTTTACGCAAGTCCAGTCCAAGAGTAGTAAGAAATGCTAGAGTTGCAGGATGCCTAGCTTATGCCGATTTGACATTTCCGTGACATTTAGCTTCTCGTATCACTTTCTGTCTGTACTTTTCGCCCAACAAATATTCACACAAATGTTGCATAACGGAATCAGATGTAATCCTTATTTTCAAAATATCTCAACTATCCACCAAGCTGGATCTAAACCTTCTTTTCGGAAACCATGAATGAATGAAAAGGGACGTGTGTAAGTGAGTAACAGCAGCGTTTGTCTGACTTCCCTTCTACCAACTCAAAGGAAATATTGTCATTACTTCCACTACTTCCTTTCTACTACGACTACTACGCTGTTCCTCCGTAAAAACCATCAAAAACCATCACAATGAAATATCCCCCATCGTCATCTACAACAGTCCTGGAAAGTAATAAAGTGTGTGTGAACGAGGACAGTATAGAAAAAGAAGAGGAGGATTAGGAAAATACGGGAGGGATACGGTTACACTAGTCCAGTAGTCCAGTCACGAGCTACATATGCCATCATCAGATCCGAAAAAAACAGGCAACCCGGCACATCCCGCATGCCGGGTATTATGCCTCGCTCGCAAAAATCAATAAATCTCATTCTGGCTAAGTAGTCACGTCGCTTATTACTATTATTATTATGATGGTGCTGGTGGTAGCATATTTTGAATAGCATGACGCTAGAATTACATATATGAAATTGTAATTAAGAAGCTATTTATGTGAACGGTTTGTATGTCTGTCCGTTAGAACGATAATCCATAAACCAAGACTTCTTTAATTGAAAAGCTGCCTTTTCTAATTCTTTAACCAACGAAAAATAGACAACACAGTAAAATTAGCTTTGATTAGGGTGACCCGATTGAGCCCAAAATTAAAGTCCAAGCTCCCACATATCATAGAATAATCATACCCAATTTATCTCAACTGAATAAAATTGATCGTTCAATCAAAGTAATCAAACTGAGGAGTTGACAGGAGCTCTTTTCTAACAAAGCAAACCGCTTCCGCTACGTATACATGTCTGTTTACCAAGACTTTATTATCCTAAATTACGTCCAGTAACTACACATTCCTTCCCCTACCCACCATATCCATGTCTATACGAGAATTCAACGAATGGAATAAATTAACTTTTCCACCTTCACGTCGAATACGACGAAGAAAAAAAAAGTCGGGAGCAGATGAAGCGAGTCGTGTTTAATTTGAACAAAGAGAGGTGAAAAAAAAGAACGACGAAGGGCAAAGAGCTCCCTCAAAGTAAATAACGTCATAAAAGTTGATCTGACTTTGGGGAAGTGTGAAAATAAGTTGGTCTCGTAAATGAAATAAAACGCCTCGACTCACACTACTCATAAATAACACGTCTTTTTAGTAACATGAGCACCAGAACTCGGTTACTTACTGTGTCACTCAACTAATGATTTGCCTTTTATTCCTGTCTGGATATTAATCTCGAAATAAGCTACTTGACATTTTCTTGACGTGTCTTCTACCTACTCGACAGTTGGATTCATGGGAACCCAATTAAGTAGAACGACAAAATGCATGCTATTCATACCTACAAACACGATTTAGTTAAGTTACCTGTCCGTGGGAGGGGTCCTCTCGTAAAGGTCGTCCGCCCCGGAGGCCGTGACATCCTCCAAGCCCGGCGTCAACTTGACCCCACCACTGCTCGTCCCACTGGACACCACGGTTGGTGAGGACCCGCTCGCGATAAAAGGCTGAAGCTCGACATCTCCATCCTTGTCCAACTTGGGATCTGTAAAGTTAATTACGAAGTTAATTAACAAGAATATCTAGGATTTGAATGCAAATAGAAAATATTTATGTAAAATATTCTCGCTTAAAAATTGTGTACACAGTTTTTCCGACATCCGAACCGTATCAATCAACTGGTTTGGTTTCACGTCTAATTGAGAATTACACAACCCGAGCAAAAACCATACAGAACTTAATCTAAACTAAAACTAGCCGTGTTCTGCATCTCTCTGCCTTTTACATATTTATACCAAGCAGTCCTATCATAGTAGTGGAAAAAATGCTAGAATATTTGCCAGAAAAAGAGTCGTAAAATTGCAGGAGAAACAGAAGAAACTTGAGAAACTACTAACTTAAACGTCTCGATCTCAACTCTTCCTGTCGGGACATGATGATGCTCAACGGATTCCAGAAGTCGGGAAAGAAATTGCATGCACTTTTTGAGATTCGTGATTCTCTCTCCTCCAAAAAAAAATGATGCGACTTGCTGGCAGAACTGTCACTCAAAAAATCACTCACTTCACTCCAACCACATGTAACCAACTAACTGACACAAATAACAAGTTGTATGTACAAATTCTCCAGTCGTAATTATTCCCATTCATAAATTGATGAAGCCGAATTAATTGAGTCTAATTTCCAATAGAATCAGTAAAGCAGCAGCAGACCTGCCAATATTTAATTCCACCAACCAACTCGAATAAAGGCAACCAGACTGTGGAATAAAACCTAATATGCAAACTCCGACAGTCTCGTCTTTTGCTTTGGTGTCATATAAAATTGCTGGGATCACTCACGATCGGTGAGAAACGCAGGCACCAACTAACGACCAGTATCTTGAACTGATTATCATCACCTCGATATCATCCAGTCCACATGAATGACATTCTAATCTGCAACACAATGCTACATAACATACTCCATAAAAAGCAGACCAGACTTCTCAAGTTTCTGTGTTCGAAGGGTAACTCGATAACTAGGCAAATTTAATGTCAACCACGCCACACAAACCAATTCAGTTGATCATGTAATCATCTCGCAAAGTAAAAGTCTCATGTGCAAACATATTAATTCTGCACTTGATTCCGACCCGTATCAGAGAGAGCACGATGCACATGGGCAAATGTGCTGTCAGGAAAATTGTGTAATGTCGTGCGGTTGGTAATTCATTTCCATCCTCTCTCATTAGCAGACCAGTTAGCAAGTGGCAGCAAAAGTGAGATGTTAACGTGACAATGAGATGGTTTTAGTCGTCGATTCGTCCAGCCAGAGAAGTAGACTCAATAAAACAGAAGTCGGTTGGAGGAATTACGACACGATGCTTTTTTTACGACCACTTTTCACTTCATGCATTTCATTGGACTCGGAGTAGTAAAAATCTTAATTATTATTATTACGATGGGATCAAAAGTTCACGGTTTTTACATCACCGTCACCACCACCATTTGCGTGGCTGAAAAAGTGCAGAGGTTTCAATTTTTATAAGGGGCGAAGAAATCTGATCGAGTTGAGCGTATCGTAAAATAAATAAAGTTATCTTTTGTATGTAAGGCTTAAATTTGAGGCAACCTTGAGGAAAATTGAGATTATTTCTGTCATGAACAAGAAATGAATAAATTTGCGTCATAATTAAGTAATTTACGCGAATGTAAATGTCACATCGCATAAATAGAACAATCTGCATCCAACCCAGGCCAATGGATGAAGTAAATTAAGAAGGCTGTTACCTTATCTATCAATAACCAAGCCCACTGACTCTGATAATGAACTAATTGGAAATTGGGTTGTTGGGTATGAAATGAAAGAAGAATGATGATGAATTGCAAGCAAAAAAGTTGGCCTCCTAAAAATAACTCGCTACATATACCGAGTAATTTTCATGAAAATCAATCAAGATGAGAGTTACGATTACGAAGTAAAGTTTGGTCCGTTAGTTGAGGTACTGTCCTGACTAGGACTAACTAACTATCCGTTCATTAATAGTACATGCGTTCAATTTGGATGTAAATATCGTATCATTCTCTCGACCAACTTCCTTCTCATGCTACAAAATTATGTTTAATTCAATTACAATTCCTGACTACACACATTACCGACACGCTACTTCTTCTTATCATTCATTCCACTCTTAATGTTGACATGTTAAGCAAATGATAACAAGGTAAATAAACAACTTACTCCAAGAATTTTCCCTTCGGTCCAAAGATCGCCGCATCCTTGTGTTGTGGGTGGGACTTGTGATAACCGTTGATAAGTACTTCTCACCCTCTCAGACCTGACCTGACCTCTGACCTGACTGGTGGAGGTGGTGCTGGTGGTCCTTATCTTAAGGACCAATTAACTAACTATAAATAACAAGAATTTACTAACGGGGAGACGAGAGTGTTGCGAGGATCGTGGGAAAAACATGCCAATCCAGCACCCGCACTCCCATCGGGGCGAAATGGTAACGAAAATGAGAAAAATCGACCCACGCCTATGCACCAAACTCGTTGGTCCTTATCATTATGCAACCAAGAAGGCGAGTGGTGTGACTTTATTGACTTGAATGAAGCACCACATGTCACTCTAATAAATGGAAACAAGGCTTATCACATTCTCAGCATGGGGTGCACGTACTCAGAAATTGATGCAGACTTTTTTTCCTGGCAACGGTTGGTGGTACTCTTCTTCTCATGACGTAAGGTCGTTTTATACAAAAAAAGGAGACCAGAAAATGTAAGATTTTGATGAAACAGTGCAAAAATGAAGTTTGAAATGATTATTGTACACCATTTTATTTTGGCATGTTCAGTTTTACAGGTTTTTAACGTATTTCCGAACAGGTCAGGTAATCTGAGTTGAAAACTAGTTTGTGTTCTTGTTCTCATGTCGCCTCGTCATTTTATCCAAAAAAGGAGACCAGAAGGTTTACAAGTTTGATGAAAAAGGGCAAAAATACATTTTAGAGACAATTATTGTAAACATACCATTTTATTTTGTCATGCTCAGTTTTACAGGCTTTTAACAGACTTTTGTATGTATGTAGTTCTAAACAAGTCAGGTTTTGGGTGAATCTTCCTTAAAAAACGCAATGTCTGAAAACTTGTTGTCTCATCTGTTTGAAACTGCAGTTTTTTTAAGCCGTGGAAACATTCTCATTATTGTTATTATTACTGGATAACTTTGGCATGGTTGGGGTCACTGCAAATTCATTTCTCTGGTCCGCACTCAAATTGAACCTTTGCGTGGACACGGATGGGATAAACTTGGAGTTGTTTTTCGTAAAGTCGTAATTATTCTTGACCTTTCTTTCGAGGAAGTACTCAACGGACGTGGCTTTGATTTGATGATAACAACAGGACGTGATCCAACTACAACAATTCCCAAATCCTCCTCTACTCTCGTGACATGTAGAACCAGCCCCACCACCCCCAGAACCCGCAACTCCACCCCCTCCATCTCTCCCCGCAATCCCGCTGTTCCTCGTCGTACGGATGGAATCGTTCTGAAATAATAAGTACAAAATTGTAAAAAAAATCGTGACCAGTTGTGACATCTGGTCAGTAATTTTAAAAATTATTTATTTCAGCAATAAATAATTGACAGGCTTGTTGGACCCAAAAATAAGCGAATAAGCTAAATTTGCAAAAAATCGGAACATTTTGGCCTTAATAGCTCAATTATTTCCACCGTAATCAGTATGAGCACCTATTTGTTCTTTCATGCAAAATTATGCCATTTTTATGCCATTTTTGTACTCTTAAATTTTCGCATGACTCGAAACCTTGCCCAAAATGTGTACTTGACAGGAATGCAAACTTACGAAAATCGCATATACGAACGGATTGATTAAACTGTTCACATTTGACAAGAGGTGGAAACTGTACATCAAAAGTAGTGTCAATCTATTTGCCGGGGTCTCCTTGATATTCGTCACGACGACGAAGGTCCAAACGGGCAGACGACAAACGATGTTGAGGAAAATGAGGCCTAAAATTAGTCTCAGAGTTTTCCTGTTTCTCGCAATCCGCGTCTCCGACCCGACCCGTTGTCCGAGAGTGACGACATGGCGTCGGACGAAAATGATGATGGAAACATAGCAGAAAAGGAAGGCGATGGTGGGGACAAGGATGGCGAGCCCGAGGGAGGAATAGTAGGCGACATTGTACTCGTCGAAAGTAGTTCGGGCGCAGATGTAGTAAAATTTGGAACAAGTCTCGTTCCGCGGACGGACAGGTTGCCCGTTCACGACGACGTAAGTCCAGAAACTTTTGTGCTCGTAGTACCACAAGTTTGGGAGGGCGACCACTGTAAGAAATTTGAAACAAAAGAAATTGTTGAGGCCATGCAATAGATTAAAAACTTGACAAATTGAAGAACTGGTTTTTCTTTCTCTTTGCATGAGACGGATTTAATCTTGCTTTCAGGACCATTTTTAGGTATTCGCCCCCATGGACAAAATTATTTAGTTTGTTTGATAAATTAAAAGTCCGTTTATACTTCAGTCCTTAGTAGCTTGCGCCATAGTTAAAGTATAGCATTGGCGCAAGTTATCAAGGAGTGAAGTATAAACCCATCTTACTGCTTCATTTGTTATAAATTTCCAAACGATCAACGATTACATTAGCCGAATTATTATATTATTCAACACCAGTTTATTTTATTTTGGCGTAAAACTCGTTCAATGTCTCAAATTCTGGACACCTACAACCTAATTGAACGAGCTTTACGCCAAAATAAAATAAACTGGTGTTGAATAATATAATAATTCGGCTAATGTAATCGTTGATCGTTTGGAAATTTATAACAAATGAAGCAGTAAGGAAAATTCATAGTCAAATTAGACTCACATATGGACCAGATCCACACCGCGGCGACCACGACTGAGGCGAAAATGTCTCTCCACGGGGACTGAGAAACGTTCGGAGATAGCGCCCTTACTACGTACATGTACCTCTCGGCCGCGATGACGACTAGAAAAAGGGCCACCCCCATGACCACCGTCGTTTGGATGAAGGGGATCACTTTGCAGAGAAAGCCTCCAAAAATCTAAGACAAAATTTAGCTCTGACGAGACTTTTATGACATTTAAAACTGATCATTGCCTACCCAGCTCTGATATCGGGACAGAATTTGACTCAAATCCACCGTTGGCGAGGTCAGGGCGAGAATCAAGTCGCACATCGCTAATGAAGCCAAGAACTGTTTCGTCGACCGTTTTGACATCCTAGTTGTAAATTTAGTTAATAACTTATTACCACTAATTTTCGTTTAATTTGAGGTCTTCAACTTACTGAGATTTGTAGAGAATCAGGAGCGACCCAATGTTCCCACATATTGCGGAAATTAAGACGATTATATTCCCAACTGAATTGGCACAACAATTAATTAAATAAGTTCCATAGTGGATAACTGGGTACAAAAAGATAAGTGTAAAATTCACCTGCAAACAACGCCTCGCTCCAGTCCGGCAGACTTATGAAGGTATCTTCCGGCACGAAATAATCAGGCTGTTTGCTGCATTCCTATCAATTTCAAAACTATACAACGCTATAATATTTAACGAATAATTAAATGAACAGTTAAAATTTCTTAACAAATTTACCTGTCCGTCACTCTGTAAATTTTCCATGTCGAAGTAATCATCGTCGTCTCTGAATTGTTCCTCATACTGAAATTCTCGTTGGAACGCGTTTCGTAAAAAGAAGTGACCAACTCCCAAATTTTGGTGCATATTGGAGGAAAGTGTGGCTGGAACTGTCAGTCACTGGGAAACCACGCCTAAGGAGTCCCTGACAAAGAGCAAGATCACTCTTATTACTGTATCGCGATAAAAGTAATGGCAAAATAAATCCTTGTGCAAACCAATCCAAAAATGGTTCGTGCATATCAACAGCAGGCTAATTTTATCGGAAATTCTGACATAAATCATGTTTGCTTAGATAGAAGAATACCTTAAATCCTTGGGTAAACTCGTACCGAAGCAATACAAATTGCGTCATAAATTGGGATAGGCTTTGCAATGGGAGAAATATATGTGCATGCAAACCTTATTGCAGTTTGGGCAGATACACGTATGCAAATGAGTTCGACATCCTGTAAAACTCGGTTGGAAAAAGATGCGATTTTAGGATTTTTAGAGCTAAAAATGGGAAACCTAAATTCATGCGTATTTAGCTCAATTTGGGATGAACATAATTTTTGACATGTTGCATAACTCTGTGTTCATCCGTCATATCTTGAGTCTTGATTTGCTTTGGTATTTATTAGAGATTTGCGAAAAAATAATTAGTTTTTGCCCTTCTGTCCACACGGATAAGAAATTCTGCAATTTATGTACATAATAGGTAGTTAGCATAATTCAGCAATTTTTGTTGGACGTATTTATCATGATCCGGTTCGCTAATTGCTACTCGTATCACCAAGGCTGAGAACAGCCTCTCCGACTTCTCGTCCGATCTGCATGCAATTTCGACAGTCTCCACATTAGAATTGCCAACATTTCAATGCCCACCGCATGGCGTACATATGGTCATAATGATGGGCGCCGTGTTGCGACATGTCGGAAGCACCGGGGGACGGGGGGAAAGGTTGTGTCGAAATTCCGTGCAAATGGGATGAGAAATGACCAAGACATTATGACATGGCGACGAAGTATGTCGAAAACAGTGGCATGCGCCGTTTTGCGACGTGTCGACAAGACCGAGAATGTGTCCCTTTGTTAATAATAGCATAGCAAACTATTTGTCTCCAAAAAACTTTATTTCATTCAAATATATAATTATCAAATATATAAATATATAAATATAAAATATAAAAATTATAAATATATAATATAAATATATTTTATATTTTGTACATATTAAGTATTTTATTACTAGATTTTACAATTTGTATCAATTTTCAGCCAATTATCAGTGAGAAATGTAATTGATTAGATGGTAACGTAAATAAATTAGAGCATAAAACAGTTGAAAACTAAATTATTGTGGGGTTATCATTTGGCAAAAGGACGGGATTCCAAGGATGAAACTTCTTCATATGCTTCCAAAGGCTTGTTTTCCATGCGAATGACTGAGCGCAGTGGGGGCAGCGGGGCCTAATTTTCAAATGAATGGCGTTCAGATGGTCCACCATGTTACTCTTCAGGATGAACTTCATGGGGCACTTGGGACAGTCGATGTCCTTCAATTTTCGGTGAACCACTTTCTTGTGAGTGAACAAATTTTCTGTTTGAGGGAAAGCTTTGCCACATTCCTCGCAGGTGAAAGGTTGCGGGTTGGCGCTGTGCTGGCGCTTATGCATTGTTAATTTAGAATTCTCAGTGAATTCCTTCCCACACTGGTCGCAGCGATAACCCTTTTCCTTCACGTGGATCACCAGATGATAAGCGAGGTCAGATGGCCTTTTGAATCGTTTGTAGCAAAAGTAGCAGCCGTGTCGCCAGCCCTCCTTCGCCACGGCCTTCTCCTCCTCATTGAGATGAATGAAACAGTGCTCGGTCAGCTTTAATTTGGAGACGAAAGTTTTTCGACAAGTGTGGCAGCGGTGGATCTTCGAACCCTGAACAAATTTTGAAATTGTTAATAATTAGGCAGCAAAAATGTGGCAAAATTTCATGCAAAATGAGATCCGTGAATCCTGCTCTTAGTTTTAATTCAATAATTAGCGATAATTCGCAACCTCAAAACGCAAATTTGTAAGGAAAACTTGCCACCTTGCTGCCAGAGGAAGTGGAACTGCGTGTAGTGCGTCGATCGTCGGATTTAAAGACGGGTCTCCGATTCAAGCTAGATTTTGACTGGGTTGGAGATTGGTCTGAGAGTGACCCTTGGGACGCAGGCACTGTCGGAGATGGGATTGATGGGGCGTTATGTTCCGAATTTCTCGACTTTTCCTTGGCGTGAACGCCACCAATTAGTTTTGGCACTTTTACTGCTGTTGCTTTCCGTAGTTTACGACGTTTGGCTCTTCTCTGCTCGTACTTCGGAAATCCCCTTCGTCTCCTCTCGTCCAGAACATCGATAACGTCGTCCACCGCGACGACAAGTTTGTCCAAGTAGCGGACAACGCGACACGAAGGTCGTAATCCCACTTCAGAAATCTGCACAAAATGATAGCCAACCAAAATGAGACAAACTATAAAAAGTCAGAATAAATCGAATACGAAAAATATATTTTCACCGGTGCCGTTGTGTTTGGTGTGAAGTATTTTTTCTGCACTTTCACCCAGCGTTTAATTTCCATAAGCGAGTCGACCTTGATCTAGAAAATTTATAAAAACAACAACACAAATACATATTAAATTATGGCCAGTAATTTATGGTGACCACTTCAAGGACAAATTTCCTCACCATTTTTTCCTCCTCGACTCTGTCCGCGTCCCTATCGTCGTCACTGCTCAAATACAACTCAAAGTCTTCCAGGGGTTCCGCCTTCCTTTGATTAGAAACAATTTCCGGGTCAGTTGTTACAGCTGAGGTCGTGGTGGCGTCTGTCATGACCCTTCTGCCATTTCTGTAGAGAGAAAGTCTACGGTCAGCCTTTGACATCGTCCTGCTCTCGGATTTCTCGGAATTGAAATTTGGAATTTAGGAGGGGCAGGAATTTTCCAGAATGCGGACAAGACAATGACGAGAACTGAGAATGAAAAGCTGGTAGTTTTGTTCTTCCGGCTTTGAGGGATGTATCCAAAACTGTGTCACAGATGAAATCAAAGCTGTGATTAGAACTGAATATAGAAAAATATGGGACATGAAGTCAATTCGATTGAACAGAATATTTGTGGATGCAGTGTTCACGATAAGAAAAAGGTGAGTAAACGACCATTCATCAATTATTAAGATCTTCTTATCATAATAATATGCAAACTGAGACAGTCAGGAAGAACTATTGATGCACCTTCGTCCTTACTTAAATAATATGAAATTTATTATTGACATGAAATGAGTAAAATTTATTTTACGCATTATTTTAAAGTAATGAAAAGTGGAAATTTGTGCAAAGTTTGGCCAAAAAATGAAATTGTTAAAATTCAGCGTCGATATTAGTATGTGAGGATTTACAGGATTATATTGGGCATTAGGTAACAATCTTGTCGCATTCCAACCCGGTCCTCTCTCGCACTTTAAACCTCATTCTGAGTCAGAATTCTGACTGTAACATACAAACACAAAGAATTTACACTTTAATTTTTTAATTTGTTTATTTGAGACACTTTAGTTATACAATTTGTAAAAACTAAATAACATGATGTCCACGTCATGACATGTTTCAACGAAACATCCACCATTACGAGCGTTTTTTTAATGGTGAGGCCAGCAATCAAGAACAAAACGGTGATAATCCCCGTAAATTAAGTTATAGTTATCTGTGCGAGGAAAATAAGGAAATTGTAGCGAATTCGATGAGTAACCAATCAGGATTTGAGGACACGAGGTGGGTGCGGATTATCAATGCGAGCGATGAGTCGGTAAGTAAGATGATAAAAGTTTTGCAAAAGTTTAGGATAAGAAAATTACCTCAATTTGTAATTAATTAGCGCTCTTAATTTCCACAGGTAATTGAACTTGTGGGAAATAAATTAATAACCCGTCCACATGATCCGGCTAAGGAAGAGTTTCAAAGTTTCCAGTGTCATTTGACAGGTATTCATAATTATAATATTGAGGTCAAGTTATTATTAAATATAGGATATCAATAGATTATTCTACTCATTTAATTGCAGCAAGTGGACATTACAATATCAAATCGATGTATCAATCTGCTGGAGCAACTATCCCTTTGGTTTGGGATTACTTACCGAGCTCGAAGCTGCTCGTTCAAAGGGTACAGATCCTGGCTTTGACCTAATTCAAGTATTAAATATGCCAATAATTGTGTGCATAATTAACGTAGTTTCCTTAACTATATAATTTACAGAAACAGAATCGATTGGCGAGTAGGCATAATCAAAACTGGACATCAGAAGTTCTCCCTGGTCCAGCTACGACCTCATATTTTATAATTTCTGCCCCCGAGTGCACATTATGCCTTAAAAGCATGGGGTATAATTAATAATGTGAACGGATAACTAATAATTAACTTGTATAGTTTTAATATATTTATCTTTTTGTACTTCTTTTCATAGGATTGAGAATCAGGTCAAAGCTGTTCCGAAGGATTCTGTCATGGGCGATAAAACTGCGCACTGGAGTTTCGTGCTACTTGAACCAACTGCGGTTCCATCTCGAGCAGTTCCAGTAGCTCCAAAATCACCAATTGCTATAGCTCCCCCTCAACCAATTGCAATAGCTCCGCCTGAACCAGTTGCAGTAGCCCCAAAACCACCAATTGCAATAGCTCCACCGCAACCAGTTTCAGCAACTTCAATAGTTACACCCCAAGCAACTACAACAATGCCAATATCTCAGCCTCAAGCAATTGCAGCGGCTGCTAGTGCTCTGCCTTATCCAATACTAGCTCCCAAGCCAATTCAAATCGTTGCTCCGCAACCTCAACCACAATCAACTGAAATTCCTAAAGAAACTCAATCAATTCCGGCCACTTCCTTGCCAGTGATTCAACCAACTCAAACTCCCGAGCAATCTGTTGTCCAACCAATGGAAGTAGCTCCCGAGCAACCAATTCAGCCAGTTGCACAACCAATTCAACCAGTTGTCCAACCAATTCAACCAGTTGTCCAACCAATTCAACCGCCAGTTATCCAGCCAGCAGCGCAAGTTTGTGCCCAACTAATTCAAAGCGCTGTCCAATTACTACAAGCCACACAACAAATTCAATCCCCGCAACCAATGGAAGTTGACCCTCAGTCAATTGAGGCAGTTGTCCAGCCAGTTGCTACACCACCGCAGGATCCAATTAAACCCCCAACTCCACCCACCCAACAAACTCCGTAACTATGAATCTCTTCCCTGAATCGTCCTATTTTATTCTATCGACTGATGATATTGTGCCTCCTCAGAAGTATTAGTACATAGCTTTAATTGGATGTCAACTAGTAATTGCAATAATTATTTTACAGTCAAGAAAACAGAAAAATGCAAAAAATATTTAGTCAACCTTAACCAAAATAAGTAATTGGTCATTAACTTTTTATATGTTATTTTAAAGTTTAAAGTTTTAAAAATTGCATGCCAAAAATTTTAGTTGTTATCTCACATATATTTAGGCCTACTGGGTTATATGTTAAATGTACATGGTGCACATTACTTACTAGAGACAAATTTAATCTAATTTGCATGTTCCTCATATCATTTCTCTGATTATGTACCTATACTCGTTGCAAATTTTTACTTTGAAATAAATTTTTACTGTTCTACAGACATGTACCACTTAAATGTGCATGTGCGTAATTTGCATATTTTAGATAACCCCACGATCGATACTTACATACTGTCCACACTAAACCATTTTACACGCCGGATATTAACCTTAGCAAGGTTATCAGATCTTAGAATCATAATATTTACACATGTCATAACATAATCACGCATTTCGCACGCAATACGAATAATACGATTAGAAACATTCACATCCAGTAAAATTAGCTCATGGCAATAATGACTCACGTTTACGATGAGATCATGAGATTTAGCAAACCACGAATAACCAGCCAACCAACCACTGCACTGCCTACAAAAACTTCTTGCCGTCAAAAACTCACCCTCTTCTTACATAACATTCCTATTAAACCTCCTCCACCATGCACTTTACCAGTATGAAAAGGCATTATTTTGTTCACTTGGTCTGCAATCCACCCCTGGTTCACCCTAAAAACTGTGCGTATGTATTGTTCTCTCTCTCTCTCTGCCTTTCTCCATGCTCACGGTTTAATCAACCCCGGAAGGAATTTGCCACCACGACGAGGAAAAGCTTTTAACATGATTAAATTTCTCCTGCGGCTGAAACATATTATGAAATGTGCTGGCACGATGAGACGAGACCCTCGAAACAGTCGTAACGTGATCCCATCCTTCCTTCAATAAACCCACAAAGTCAGGTCGATTACGATTACGATTATGTCGGCCGGTTCGGGGTATACACGTCAAGTTGCATTTCAGTAAATATGTAAATGTAACAAAATTTCGCAACTCTACAAATTAATTTTCACTTTAAACAGCTCATAAATGGGGAAAAAATGCATATTTTTCCCATGCAATTTTTGCATGCATTTTTGCAATTTCAATGCCAAATGAGACCTTGACTTGCCGTGAATGAACTTGGTACAGGATTTCGAATAAGCAATATCCAAACTTCAGTTTCCTCTGAGAAAGTTGCGTACATTTTGTGCGTATTATTTTTCCTCCATCGTCTCATCTATCTACATACGTACCACCCTCTCTTCTTCTTTTATTCAATTTCCCATCGTTTCGTTGGGTTTGGATTGGATCATCATATTTTCTTTATGCGTCGGCCAGCCACGACGAGCATGGGACGCATCGAAGCAGAGCCTCATCACATTCACTCATGTCAACCAAAATTCTCTCATGCTTTGCAAACTGCATATATGGCAAAAGTCATTAAATCTCACGATGCGTGGGTATTTTTTCTTCTTTCTTCAAAGCTGTCCTGCCATATATAGTTGGCCTTCCATAAAGCATTGTTTAGCCCAATGTCCTTTCTTCCTCGACGACCTGTCGATGATATTAAGCAGTGGATATTTTACCATTTCACGGCTTTATTGGGAGGAATGATACGCAAAGAAGTATGTAGGAATAAGAAGGGTGGATTGGCTAGTTGGGTGGGTGGAAGGAAATTCCATTCCATGCGCGAATAAGTAACTTTCTGATTCTCGAGATGGATGCGTTCCCGTCGACCCAGCCAACCTTGTCAGTCTCTTATCCGAATCCAAACTATACGTTGAAAAAAATAAGCCACGCATAAGTTATATAGCGCGCAATAAATAAGAGGCTAATCATATTTAGAAGCTTTACCAACAGACGCATGGCAGGCTTAATTTTTACGAGACGGGTTCTCCACATTAAAGCAAATATTGCATAGAGGGGAGTGTGTAATTTAAATGGTCAATATTCAAGATATTTGAATGGTGCAAGTAAAGAGTTGACTTTGCAGAGAGTGAGAGAGAGATATGCAGATTAGGGATCAGATTCTCATCCTCATTAGCCATAATTTGTGACCATTTCTCCTGATTGTAATCACGATACTTATTACATTCCTACTTTTCGTGATCTTATTTCCATTCAAAGTATGCAAAATTCAGGCGATTCGAATACTACGGATTTTTCTAAACATCTCAAATGTCATTACTTCTCTAAAGGATTGTGAATTCTTACGACTCGTAAAGAAATGGAGGGGATGATAACCTCCTGCAGGCAAAAAGTGAGACACGGGAAATGGTATCAAACTTACAAGTACACAAACAACAAGTACATGCACAAAATTCCCATAAAAGTTATTAGCAACATGGCAAAAGGCAAACTCGCATCAATAAAGGCGTAACACAGAGTGAGACGGGAATGCGAAAAGCAATTGTATGTACATACACATTTCTTCCCTTGAGTAAGTTGAGACGCCATTTTGATTCGCAATTCGCAACATGAACGAAAACTGTATAGTTTGGATGAGATTTTGGTTCGATAAGAGTTTTTTTTATAAAATTTTGAACAATTAATCGTGTCCGTGGTTAAGATTAGTTTTTAGAAAAGTGTGAGAATTAGTTTAACAAAGAATGTCCCATGATAACGACGACTCTTACCTGACTCGTCGTTTACTCACGCCACCAACTCCGATAAGCGAAACTATGCAAAAAGTGAGGATCGAGAACGAAAAAAGTAACAATAAAATGACGACGAGTGATAAAGAACCAGATTTTCGACTGCACGATGCAGTTTGTGATACGGAAAATATTCAAGAAGTTCAAGATTTATTGGAGGAAAATCCGAACCTTTTGTTCGAAAGGGATGACGAGGGGCGCACCCCACTTCATACCCTCACCATCTCAGGTGAAGATTAATAGTGGCGAATTTAGGCGAATTTGCGAAAAAATTGCAAAGTTCAAAATTTAGCTTTACAATTTTTGTGTTTAGTTTCAAAAATTGGTTTTAATTTTACACTGAGGAAATTCACGCAGGCTTTCAAAACATTGTAAATCCGTAAATTCTGTAAATTTATAAACTTTCACAAAATTTCACAAACATTCCGAAGGAAAATTAGCTTACAAATTTTTATAAAATTGCTCGCCTTAAGGGCGGCTTTTTATTTTGTGAAAGTGTGTAAAATTATTTTACAAGTTACAAATAACTGCGTGAATATACTTTAATTATAATAACTTAAATCTGAAGCTTTTTTATTCAAATAATGTTTCTTTGTTATAATTTTACTTAAAATTTTATATTCAAATTTAAGAATTAACTCTACTTTCTTCTTTTAGGTGACGAGGAAGCACCGGAAGTGGTGAAAGTTCTTCTTGGCGTTACTGAAAGTTCGGACGGGAATTTCGTGGTGCAGACGGAGAGAGCCAACGCCCTTCACACCATTGACGACAAGGGCTTCACCCCGCTTCACTACGCCGCCAGAAACTGGTGGCCTGCATTGACGCGCCTCCTCCTCCAATGTGGGGCACGACCCGACGCCCAAGACTCCAAGGGCGACACACCCCTTCACCTCGCAGCGGAAGGTGGGCATGCACAATCAAACACTATAACGGAATAACAATTTTGAACTATAATTCCGTGTATTTTTAGGAAATATTGATGGAGCGTTGGAGTGCGCTTCGGAAATTTTGAAGCATGACTGGGACGGAACGTTACTAAATTTGAAGAACGTCGACGAACACACCGCGTTACACAGAGCGGTGAAAGAACAGGGCGTGGAAATGGTGACCCTCCTCCTTCAACACAAGTTGGACTTATCCGCCCATTGGGTTTCTAAGGGACAAAGCATTTTGCAATATCTTTGCATCGAATCAGGTTTGTAAACCAGAACTTTTTAGCAACGTCACATCTTGGCGAATTTTTGTAGGTACAAAAACATGGCATAATTTTGCATTATTTTTTGGCAGGCGAGACGGACAAATCTTGCCAGATTTTCGCATCCATCGCCACCGTCTGTAGTCCAGGGCAGCTCAACTTTTCCGACGACGAGGGACGCACCGTCCTCCATACCGCCGCTATCAAACGATTGCCACGAATCGTGGACATTTTGGTGGCCGACGAAAGGCTGGATGTCCTCAAGATTGACAAAAGGAAGAGGAACGCCCTGCATTATGCGGCGGAAAACGGTATCCACACATACACATTCACACACTCATTAAATATGTGTATTAATTAGCCATTGTTCTGCATCAGGCGCATATCCCGACGGCTATCGATGCGTTGAGGGACTCATTAATCGCAGATTCCCGAGAACCAAGGTGCAAATTCAGTATTTGTATGAAATGAATGATGAGATGGGAAGCAGTCCTTTTATGCTCGCCTGTCTCAACTGTCCGGTGGAGACAATGAGAAAATACCTCCGAGCCATTCGTGAACCGCAGTTCTGGTGAGATTAGATGGTGACTTACTTAATTTGGGGGCTGTGCAGGGAGGATGGCGTTACTTGTCACGGTTGACGACGGTGAGGTTCATCGTCAGGACCTCGTATTGGATCAGGGCTCAATGAATCACATCCTGCCTGCACGGCTGCCTGCTCGATTATTTCGTTCAGTCCGGGTTGATTATGACATTTGGTTTATTTATCAATCTCATCTTTTTGTAGGATGTCGGATACGAATATGACTCTGGTTTACAAGCAGTGTCCGATGGCGATCGGTGCCTTGATGGATGGGGCTTTTTCTGAGAAGAAAAACCCAAAGGATGCCGAAGTGGATGTTATCGTGACAGATTTTGGGTTAGGAAATGTCGACATTTTTTGTGCAAATTTATTTATCAAGCTTTCGACATTAAAACCATATGTTTTCACCATTAGGCCGGTCACCGGATATGCGGACCCCATCGAAACCCTGCCCCAACAGGAGACCAAATATCTCAAAAATGCACTCTGGTGGGATTATGAGACCCAAAAGGAAATTCTCATGCATCCTCTCGTGCAACTCTTCGTTGTGAAAAAGTGCCAAAAACTTCGTGCCATTATTTACGGCTGGATCCTGTGGCAGGTATTTACTAAGAACTAATTGCGCTTTTAATTGCTCTAATAAATGCGCTTTTATTTAGTAAAAGTTTTCCATGCAATTTTTACCTCGTAGCTGATCTGGCTGGCCGCATACACGATGCTGGCCTTGACCACGTACTGCAATGTGCTCGACTCTCCTCCCACGGGTTTAGTGGCCGCGATAGTTATTGGGATTTACATCTTGATTTCCTTGATCAACGAGGTCTTCGAAGTCTCGTCCGTCGGTTTGGCCTATGTTCGCAGTATTTCAAATTATTTCCAAATTATTCAAGTGGTCTTGGCGTCCGTGGCCATTTATCCCGTCCTCTTGGCCATGGAGGTGACCGTGGTCAACAAAAACTGTGCCGCTGTGAGTGCATGAATTTCAAATACTTTTTTAACGATAACTTATCATAACCAAGTAATTTTTTAGATTGGCGTCCTTCTCGCGTACATCCTGAGTATGCGGGACATTGGTAAAATGCACGAAGAAATCGCACTAGTGGTCGAAGTACTGAAACAGGTAGTTAATTAGTTACACAATTCGTTTGAAATTTTACACCACAAAATATTTTATTCGTTCAGGTTGTCATCCAAATTATAAAAGTTTTATTGTGCTGTTCCCCAATCCTGTTTGGATTCACGCTTGCCTTCGTTATACTCTTTGACGACGTAAGTATATCTAAATTTTTGCCCTATTTGAAAATTAATTGACGTATTTATTTTAAGAATTTTTCATAAATTTTCAGGACGAGTCTCTCAACACAACGTTTCCGGGACCATTGGTGAAAGTGTTGGTGATGATGACGGGCGAATTTGAGTACAACGACACCTTCAAAACTGAGGAGGGCGAAGGAGGAGGAAAACCTGGTTCGGAAGTGGACACGAAAAACAGGGCGATTCGACTCTTGGTCTTCCTCTCCTTTCTGATCTGTATTCCCGTCTCCTTCTTCAACCTTTTGACCGCCTTTGCCCTCGAGAGAGTTATGGTGAGAGGAATTACAATATTTAGCTTTTATAGACACTAAAATTTCGGAAATATTTAATTGAGAACAGCCATATTTTGGTTTGAAAAACGTAATTTTAACCTCAACAAATTTGAACTACTTAATTTCCAGGAACTCCGAGAAAGAGCGAAAGTCGGTCGAATTGCGAAACAATTGGAGCATATTTACTTTATCGAATCCATTCTGTTAAGTCTCAGCCCTTTGAAGAAACTCGTCCTCCCACACGGAAAACTTGCCCGGCTGCTGCGCAAGTACAACGTGACGACTGCTATGTTAGTCAGCATTCGAATTTTATATTACACATGCATAATTACGTGCTTACATTCATTACTTTCTGACCAGGATTGACGGTGACCTGAAATTTGAGACCTTCATTTCGGAACAAACGCCCAAAAAGATTGACCGCAGGACGGCGAAGGAGAGACGACTCGATTTGTGCGCCGCGTTGAGATCGATTTTCGGTACAGAATTGTCTCCTGAAGTTCGGCGTGAAATTTTCGCGATGGCATCTCAACAAAGTAAAAAGTGAAAGTTAACGAGTTACTTGAAGAGTATTATCTCAATATTTTAGACACATTCTTGTCATACGTTCCATTAATTACTTACATACTTAAATATGTTTCATTTGTCATTTACATGCTTTCTTCCATATAATTCCTACATCAGTGAAAATTCATACGCTACGAATTTTAACTGATGTACGCGCATTTCTTGTGTAATAATAAACAATGCAATCCATTCCTGGCCTAAATATGCATATGTTTTTGTATTTTGCACTCAAAGAATGACTTCGCTCCCACAAAGTCATAAAATTCTATCAAAGATTTACAAAACTTGATGGCCTGGCAAAAAAGTGGTAAAATAATTTAGTTCAGACATAAAATTGAGCTGTCCGTCAAAGCTATTTAGCTTGCGACATTGTAAATGGCACAATGTAAAACTTGCATCGATTACTCGACATTTCTACCCTAACAATTAATTAGTCATTAAAAGAATACTTCAGACTCGTCATATAAAAATTCTGACTTTTAATCTATACAAATTGGAATTTACACACCCAATGTCAATCTCAACCTGGTACGAGAATCACCAACCAACCAATCTACACACCCTCACAATTTAAGACAGAATATTAATTTTTTACCTGACCCCATCCCCCAAAAGAAGACGTCCCCCTCCTGACTTTCCCTCCTGCCTGATCTTCTCGTGGTTCACCCTTTCCATTGATAAGCACTGGAGCAGCAGGAGCTGTGTAAAGGTCCATTCTCCTGCGGCACTAGTACTTAGAAACGAAATAGGGATCTTTTCTCGCCTCTTTCCAATGAATCCCAACCCCAGATATCCAGCCAGATCGAGAATAATAAATATAATGCCCATCCATCCATTGGACGGATTATGTGCATACTCTGCTTGACAAAGTCCAGATTACTTATTTTGCCAAGAGGATTCCCCACAAAACCCACTTGTTCATCTGGCCTGAAAACTTAAGACCTCCAACCAACCAACCAATCCAAGTATGAATTTATGTATGATGGCCTCGTCAGTTTTTTTTCCTCTTTGGGCCCGAGAGACGTTCCAAGACGGCCGTGGTGACAGCCCGACCGCGAGAGGACGACTACTCCCAGAACGACGACGACTGACCAGGCATAGACGACGGAGGGATGGGATGCAGCGACAGGATGTGACCCTTAATACGTTGCAATGAAAGCAATAATATGTAATGCGTGGTGATGGGCACGATTAATAATAAATAACGTGGTCCATTCAAATATTGTGAGGGTTGTGGATGGCTGGCTGGGTTTGATCAACTTATTTAAATATGAACTCCCATTATTTCGAAAGGACAAGCAAGTACATAACGACAAGCAAGTACATAACTCGTTGAAATGCCACCCCAAGTAAAAATCAGTGCTTGCTGGTGCTTCCTTTTTCATCATCATCCATCCAGTTTTGACTCAATTGAGATGATTAAGAGGAGGCTGGGCAGCAGAAGGAGAGAGATTTGTACACTGATCAGACTGTTGACTTAGAAAAGGAGACCATTCTCATGACAAAGTGCTTCGTACTGGGCTAATACCTACCCAAGCGGAGGGGGATCAGCAGAGTTGGCGTCGTTGGCGTCAATTAATTACGCGGATTTAACCATGTACGTATGTACGTATGCCACCAATTAAAATCTGGGCATTGGAAGGTTTTCCCTGTCAGTTTTCTGTATGAATTTCTACAGAAGAGGAAATTAATGTTAATGTTGAGTTGAAATCTTGCAAATTTTTCATGTAACTTGTTTTTTGGTAATTTTGACTTTTTATACATTTTCAATCGTATACATTTTGATATGAATTTGACTTGACGAGTCGTAAACCATTTTTCCATTCGTAATAAAACTGTACTAAAAGTTTGCACACTGTGCTAAATAATGTTTACGGGCGAGTTAAACATGTCATCATCACACCATTTTGCAAGGCGAAGATGTGGAACAAAAAAAACGTATGTAAAAAATATTAATAGTCGCAGCAGGTTTATAGTTTAAGAATGTCAGTTATATGTATGTATCTACTTAACAGATGAGTTGAGCAGTTATGCCAATTATTTCTTCAGGCAGGCAATTTATTGATCATCAATTTTTTGACTGATCGAATTTATTTTATCGAGTGTGATCAAGATCAGCATGAAATTTGCACCGTTTGCAATTAAATATGTAAGTCAACTTCAGGTTCTCGAAATGATTGCAAAATTCTAAAAATCCAAAGTTTTCAACCGCTCGAAAAGACGGGGCAAAAAATCACGGCGGCGAGACGTGCAACATTTTGATCATCATCATCCTGCATTTTCTGGCTCTGTCACTTTGAATTAAGTCAATTACGACTAATTCCCTATTAACTAATCATCAATATGAAGACGAGACTCCACACATGAGCTTTTGAAGAATCCACACGTTTATATTCCACATTGGTCCATATCCACCAAGTGCAATAATGCAGAGGGCTGCTAAATCTGACAGATGATAAATATGCAGTACATACATAAATGCAAATACAATGAAACAGCCGACCACTTGAAATAGTTAAGCTGCAATTTAAACCGTCTCAGAAATAATAAATAAATAGTCGTGTAATAACTTTTAGATGCACCATTTCCATCCAACTCGACCAACCACTAATCAACATTTTTAAAATTAAATACCCGAACAAAGTGAATATTTTTACAAAATAAATTTATTTTCAAAACCATTTTTATCAAGACATTTAATTTTGTTGGTACTAAAATATGAACGTACAAGTTGGGCTTGGGTGACTACTTATCGTCGTCCTAGCGGAGGAAGCGTGGGACAATGTCCCCACGGATGTTCGATGTCCCCATGTTATACAAACCCCATCCCACAAGGGCAATGTCCCCAGATGTCCCCACGGCTTCCGCGGTCACTGGAGGGGACTTTTCCTCCAGAGAAAGGCGTCATCTTGGACGGACGAGTGTGAAACAACCAGAGACAAGTAGTATGCTACAGGTGAAAATAAGACACCATCACCTGCGGCGCTACTACTTAGCCACCTCTATTTCCATTACATCCTCCTCCTCGCCTGCTTTCTCCCCACGACGCAAATGGTCCGTAATAAGCCAGCCTCCACTTGTGCATATTTACCTGTGCAAAATAAACAGAAAATGCCACACATACACCAAAACCACATGTTTTTCACACAAAATTCAGTCACCACAAAACAGACGGAGCAGCGACGCTTTACCTATTTTCTTCTCCATGAACTAGGAATATGTATGAATTAACTGTTCATTTTTTCCTACCCAATGATAAAAAATACGCCAAGTTGTGATTGATTGCAATCAGTCCAGTCCAGTCCAGGCCACGAGTTGACCAACCATTGCACGCCGTCCATCCTCACTTTATTTATTGCACGGCATTTTTTTACCCAGCCACGTATGTAAATACACGAGGCTATTCGCATTTCGCTTCGCAAGTCCTGCACACACATTCCACTTCCTGGCCGAGTTGCAAGAAAATGAGAAATCAAAACTTTTCCGAGAAGTGCCACCACCGCGACGACACGGGTGAACAAAAGGTAGTTAATCCGCAATAAATGCTAAATTTTAGGGGACATTGCCTCTCCGAAAGGTGAGAAGGTGTGACGTAACGGAAAAAAATATATCATCCGACCCCGACTTTCTCCCCGATTAAGAAATCCTGGCAGATTGATTGTGCACAAATCAAGGAGTCAAATGATGCCTCCATCATCATCCATGAATTGAATTTTTAACTTATAAAAACCACACACCTTGAATGATTACGATTAAAAATTCAACTGCATACCAACGTTTCTGACAGGGCTGTCAGTTATTCGTGCATTACTTACGTGCATGTCTGTTCCTCTCCCCTCCATCCGATGAGATGAGATGCGATTGAAATAGTGGTGGTGACAGATGAGATGATCTTCAATCCAAGAAAACGCCTGATCAGATTCACTCCGAAAGATTCTGCAATTTGAGAATATGAGTTTTTTTCTGAATAATTTTCGTATTTTTTTTTATCAGGATAGAAAATATGCAATGCTTTTCACCCTAAAATATGGAAATCCTCCGTCCTGATGTAAATGAAACTGTGGACTTTGTGCGTCTCTGAATGTGACGTGTGTGAGTGTCTCTCTCTGAACAGTTTCACCTGTTGAATGAGCCGAGCATTTGAGGTACGGAGGATGCAATTTGTTTGGAAAATATGGATACTACAAATCCTGCGGTGTGTTGTCCCACATGTGTATCTAGCTAAAATTTGTGGAAAAAGTCGGAATATAATGTGGATCTGTCATCCCAGTCATAAGTAGGAAACTGCATAATACACTATTTACACATTTATTTAGCTCTGCCTGCCTGCCTGCTCGTCGAGATGAAGCCCAGATAAATAAGTAAATGCGGTGCACGATGAGATGAGGATGGGCCACATTATGTTGTCCCTGCCTAAAATATGACTACTTTAACAATGTCGTTAATAAATATTATCTGGATTTTAGGTTCAGCTTTAACAGGCGATACTTCATCCACTGCTGTGCACTATTTAGATTCTGGATGCTGCGTATTTATTTTTAGGAGCTAATAACTGGATGGGAAATTCTAAGCGAGGATGATGATGTCCTTATCTGTAAGTACGTATATTGTCTCCATTTTGTATTTCTATGTACGTATGCATGCCAGACTTTGATTGAAATTGGTACAAAATTAGGGCAAAACCCAAGATTTCTGAGATGATGCACTTCACGTTAAAATGTGTCGTGTTATGAATTTTAGGAAATTTTAGGAAAGTTTTAAAATATTGAAAATTCTAGAAATTAATGTTCAAATTACTTACCTCGAACAATTCTCCACTGAAATTTCCCGATTCCTCACAAATTTCCTCGTCTCACAAAATTTGGAAACGTTTCAACCTTCCTGAAAATCTATCCAAGTCCTACTCGTCACCCTCTCGACCGTAAATGACGACTCCTTGACCAGCCAACCTCCCATTTTATGTGGGATGGAAAAGTAAACACAACTCTAGGATTTAAGAGAGATAATTAGAATGCAATTATTAGTTTAGTTTATAGGAGGAAGAGAGAAACATGCGTATTTACATACACATCCGTCCGTACATTTCCCTAATTTCTACCCAAAGTTCATCCACTCCTCCAGCCAATCAGTCAGTTAGTTAGTTAAATGCGTGTACATAAGTAAATAATTAATATTTGTCACATCAACATGTTATGATCTCACGTGTCCCTTGCACATATTTTACCCGTGAACGACCCTTATTTCCACGCTGCCTTACCCACCTGGCCCCTCAACCACTTGTAATATGCCCACCTTTTCAGGGAGCAGGTGATTTAATGAAGTGTCATAAAAGGGACAAATTGTTTAACGATCGTTACTTAATGGAGTCCTTTTCACGCTCTAAACGGGTCACAAATTTATGCAGGCAAGCATTTTTTTATGGCCCGGCTCTGTAAAAAAAGAACAAGACGAAGGAAGGAAGAACAGCATGTGCCTCGTGTCAAGCATGTGGATAAATAAATACACGCATGTAATTAAGGCAGCCTTCTGGTGGGTTAATAATAGGAAATTTATGCGTCAGGGCCCCTCACTTCATGGAAGGGATGACACACATTGGATGCATTCATCAAGCCCAGAGTGACGATAAGCTGTGCAGAGTGTCCCATAATTAGAAAACTGTTTGCCCCCCTTCTCCTCCCGTTATCTTAATATGGATCAAATGACCGCGTGGGAAATGACTCATTAAGCTCCCAATTGACACTCTCATTTCGTCATTAATGACCAAGTCCATTATTACCCATCTCCGGCATTGTTAAGTAGTTGACTCGTCTGCATTGTTGCTTAATCAGTAGGAACGGCCTTCATTCACGTCGCACTTTCCCCCATGGACACGCTTTCTCAATTTGTTTCAATAAGTAAATACCCTCTGGAGTGGAGTGGATGTGGACGTGGACGTGACGCTGAAAAAAAGAGGGTGACGACGAATTGTTGCATAATAAAATCCGTATGAAATTCGAACTCTTAAAGACAAACGGGATATGTTGGTGAGTGTGTTGAGCATGGTTTTCCAGCCACTTGAGATAGAAACCCAAAATCTCGAGGCTCCGGTTACAGCTAATTTTTTTCTGTTACCATTTATTAACGATTCATTTTCGACAAATAATACGTGCATCATGGGACGTTGAGAATTGGCTAATTTTTTTATGAGGTTATTGAATCCAGTTACATAGTTTTTTTAAATGTAAAAGTAAGTAAATGACGGTTTCCGGCTTGAAGTGACATACCGCATAACTTGATAATTCCGTTCGTATGTAATATGCAAATATGTATGCGGAAGGAAACTGGACCATTATTTTACATACATGGAGAAATAAAAACATTGTACAAACATGTTGCGATATTCTTTTTTAAATATTTTATTTGTACAAAATTAGAACGAGTTTAATTACTTATTAAATAGTTGGTAAATATTTAAAACTAATAAATGGCTTAATTGTTCCGGTGGGTGGGGATAATTTTTTTTTGCGTTTGTGTGAAGATTGGGCAGACATTATGATTCATGAACGAACTGACGAGCAGGTATTAATAATTATGCCCATTAGAACGGTCACAAATCACATGACGTCTGCAGATTCATCGTCCATCCATCCATCCATCCAGAGGCTGAATTTATGGTAGTTTAGTGGTGGTGCGGTAATTGGATAACTCGGTAAAATTACTTTCATGTGACGAATGAATAGCACGAGGTCCGCATCGTCTTAAAATATTTATGGATGGATGAAATTCAAACTTTGGAATTATTTCGACGACTGGGCTGAGAAAAACTCAAACCAATAGAATTGAATCAGATTGAAATGGGAAATTTACTTACAATTTTTTACAGAAACTTTCCAATTTCTTAGTTCGCGTGAGATTTTTGGTTTGCTGTTGCCCATGCCATTTCCTGGCAGACATTATCCCCACAAGTTAAATAAGTCTGATTACAGCGAGTAAATTCTGGTGGTCTTCTGGCAAATATCATGTCTCACTATTCCTCTCTCTCTCTCTCTCCGTCTCTTAATTGGTGTCGAGATTTAATTCCCATTATAAAATTGGGTGATAAGAAATTTTATAAATTTCTCCATGCAGCGACCGAGTGTGTTTTGTGGTTGGTTTTTTGGTAGTAGGCACAAACTTGTGCAGGTAGAAGTTCGGAGAAAAGGGCCAGACGGAGTTGATGCAACAAACTCTGTGTGTACTTAGCGAACAAGTATCAAACCACAAATGAAACAAGGAATAAATAAAAATGTTCATTTTTCCTACGTTCATTTTTCTCCATGTTCCATATGGCACAGGTGTTTCCTTGATTGAATATTCATCACTCATACATTTGCCAAGCCAGCCAGCCAGCCGATGAAGCTATGCTATAACAATGCTCGCTAACCGTGCTGCTCCTACGAAAGCGCATCTCGAGAGATCCACAAAATAACCGACCCGTACTTTAAAAGGAGCAGATAATAAAATGTCGTAATAAAATTAAGCCACTTATTTCAGCAGCACGGGTTCTGCAGGTAGGCTTTTGCCAAGTCCGGACCGGAAGTGAGGAGCGACTGTGGCGTTGGTCTTTGTCCCCGTCTCAAATTGCCTCTCGCACCCAGTTTTTGTGAGACGACAGGATTCGCGTAGAATCCCAATAAATATATCGTCTCAATATTTTAGAGCAATTTTCATTCCTTTCGTCACAGACATAGGGATACATATGTACGTATAATCAGTGAGTAAGTAAGTATTTAGAGGTGGTGATCCAGTTATTAGTATTGTATTACTTATTTACTACTTGTGATGCGTTAGTTGCAGGGGTGGGCAAAATAGATACTTTGTTAAAATGTACAGTATTCTGGGCTCTGTTCTTCCCAGGGTTTGGATTTACAGGGGTGTTACACTCACAGAAAGACGAGAATCTACGTGAAGAGGACAATAGGTCATACGAAAATACGGGTTTTCTGAAGAAATTAACTTTTTACCGCTGTCAAAATACTTGATTTTTTTAAATCATGAAAACAATGAATTTTGACAACGATTAAAGATCAATTTCTTCACAGGACATTTAGTTTCGTATGCCTTTTGCCTTCTCCATGCAGATTTTCGTCTTTTTGTGGGTGTAACACCCCTTGAAATCCAAACCCTGGCCCTAACAGAGCTCAAAATATGGTATTTTAACAAAGTAGCTTGCCCACCCCTGAGTTAGTTAGTTAGTGGGAGAGTTATCATCATCATCGTCGTCGTCCTGTTAAAAAATACTTTGAACACGTATGTATTTATATCAGACCAAGAAGAGTTTTCTAGTCGATCTGCCATAAGCAAAGCTAAAACCATTCAATTCACCAGGATGCTTAAACGTATTTAAATTAGTTGCTCTGCTGCTGTTGCAAACAAAGTTGGACACATACATATCGCAACCACGAATGTAAGTACGTACATATGTACATATCGCCACGAGAACATTATTAATTCAAGTCTGCATAATGATGATGATGATGAACGTAACAAGTACTACACACAAGAAGGAAGACGATGAACTGAGTTTGTCTCGAATCCTCCATGCACAAATGTTTTCCAAAGAATTAAGACTTGGCACATTCATTCTGTCAATAATTGACTCGAACGAGAGATGGATTTCAAATCTGGGCCGAGATTAATATATTTATAATCGCGAGTAAGCCGTAATAAAAACGTGTCATTCATTCCATTCCATTATTCCTGCTTGAGTGAGAAGAATGTGAATTTATGGAGGAGGATTGTGTAACAGGAGGATGAAGTTTACCATACGTATTATTATTCGGTAGAGCTACTAAACATGAAAATTTTGTGTAGATATAATTGGAGTTGCATGAAATGTAATATTTTTCAAAATGAGATTGTGCAAATTTTGGAGAGACAAAATTATGAGGTGCGGATTGATCCTCGGACGGGGTGTGAAATGACTACCGTTTTTGTAAGATGAATAAGTAACTTAATAAAGTTGAAACTGTTGCAGAGGTTGGTGTCAATTGCATGAATATATTTTTCAAGGTAGCATTTTACTTATGTATGTACGAGAAATTTGGACGGCATATGCACAATATGGCGCAATGCGTTATTAGTTAGAAAAATCAATGTGAGCATTTAAATGTTGATGATTTCGACACGTTTTTTGCCGCTAAAGGTGAAGGTGCTCTCGGTCTCGTTGTCGTTCGACGGGACAGAGGAGGGTGCCACGGTGGAGGTGTAGTACGAGCTGATCTGCATTGGAGTGCTGGGCGCCATGGGGAGAGACAGACAGTCGTCTTCGCTGTAGTGGTCAGCCATGTGTCCAATGACGTGGTGACAAACGGGACACAGTTTCGGGTCGGCGAGTGATTTCACGTAGGTCAAGATGACCCAGAGAGCGTAGGCTTGAACCAAAATGACGAACGGGATTGGGATCAAGACGATGAAGGAGAGCCGAGTCGAAAGAAATGCCAATCCAAAGAATTCAAAGGCCCTGGGAGAAAAAAGAAATTGTTAAGTTAGGAAATCGAACAAATTTTTTTTTATAAATGTGTCAATTAATAAACTTACGCGACCATACAGGAAAAAACGCACCAGGCATAGCACCAATTTGCAGATTCCTATATTCATACGGAAAATAATCTTCAGTTTCAGCTGATGCATTTACACCGTCAATTATGATGTTTAAAAAAAATTTGATAATTATGACCTAATCGAGGTCTACTCTCATATTACGTTGACAACCTTGTATGTTTTTTTGCAAGCACTATTATGAAATTACTAGGATTCATCAATATTCATAAAACAGGTACGTTTTGTGATCTGAAGCTTAAGATTTTTACAAACAAACTTGCAATCAAATCCGCCTTATCGGGCATACCTTGACGATCCCAAAAATCAACTCGACACCAAGCAGCGACCCGATGACCTCTATCACGCCCCCCACAATTGCGACAATGTGAACCTCTGGAAGAAAAAGTGTACAATTTATGAGAAAATTATACAAACACAATCTTGAGACATTAACATCTTATATATATTATGAAATTAAGAACGCTCGAAACTCACCACTAACCACGTGCTTCATGTCCTCGTTGTCGTCAGCCCAATAAAGGTTAATCTCCCAAAAGTGCAGAAACCCGTTCGTGTATTCTTCCGAGTTAAGGGCGATGCAGATGCAGTAAACCATGAGAAGAAAGTGTAGACCCTGACAAAAGCATGATAAGTAAGAAAAATGTTATCTTTTCCTCATCTCGTACAACAACAACTTACCGCACTGATAATGGCAAGATTCATGGCGCTGAAATTATTAAATACAGTTACAATATTAATTCATCACTTCATATTCTTTCTTTGAAACTTGTAATTTCGAAATAAAAAGGAATACCCATGAAAAAATCCAACATTGCACAACGCACAAGGATTCTTTCTTTGAACCGCATGTGTTACGTTGATATCCTCCTCGGCCTCCAAGGGCAGTTGGGGACCTGTCATGTCCACGAGAGAGGGGTCATGTCGCATTCGTGGGCGACCTGGGCGAAAACAATTGTAATAAATACTGCCGTTATGCATAAGAGATGACCCTGTCCCAAAACTTACTCGGACATTCGACACGAGACGGAGAAGTTATGCGACGACCAAAATTCAACGACAAAACCTGGCTCCCATCCGGACTGAAGATGAGGTCAGGGTCCGGGTGGTGAGGGTGAAGGACGAGGTTGACCCGGGTGCTCGTCGTGTGATAGCGGCGATAGGACGTGGTGCGAAACAACATTATCGTAAAGATGACGACAAAAAAACAACGATTTTCGAGTCGAATGTCGTCAGCGGCGAGAGATTACAAGACAGAAATACAGATTTTTTTGAGAAATGCCAGCTGACGGCGAGACTTGAATTGAGGAGAGAATTTTTGTTTTTCACCATAACAACGAGACCACCACCACTCGACTTTTTAGGTTTTTGACAAATAAATTCATTTATTTATTTGTACAATAATTTAATTTCGACATGCCAATTATTATAATCTGAATATGCTTATCATAACTATTTTTTATGAATAGATAATAAGCTGTTTAGTGTTTCAATTTTAATTAAGATGTTTCAGTTGTTTACTTCATTATAAAATATATATCCTAAATATTCCTACCACCAAACTAACTACATTTTTGGAGAAGTATTTAATTAATTAATTACACAGTTTTTAAGACAAATCACAGACAGGGAATAAATAAAAAAAAGTAAGTAAAGTATTGACTGATGGGTAAAACATGGAATGCTCGTTTATAATTTGAATCACGTTTTCCTTCACTCGTTCAATAGTATGATATGCATGATATAATTTTTATCGAAGAGATTTAATTAGTTAGTACCAGTACTACGAGGGAACACAGACCAGACCACAGATGGGTGATAAGTTAGCAACAACAAGATTAAGAATAGATAAGTTTATTTCTCAGCCAAGTTTTCCACAACCGAGGCCTCTAACAGGGTGGGGTTGACGCAGCGGTGGATCGAACTGGCCAAAATTTCGTCCAAGAGGGAGTACAAGTAGCTGGAAGAGAATTAATTAATTGGGATAATCAATTTAAATAGTTAAGGCTAACTAAAGGTGCACACGAACCTTTCATTATTGACGAAACGCCACAAATATAATTGGAAATATTGCACGTCCACTTGGATCTGATGAAGGCCAAATTTTGACATGGTTTTCTGCCTGACAAACTCAAGAAGCGCCTAAAAAAATGAAGACAAACTTTTAGTTGAAGAAATGGTTGGAATGGCTGATTTTAAATCTATACCCGTAAACAGATTTTCACAACGGCCATTAAAATATCACTTTTTTGAAGTTCTACTGGACCAAATATTTCAACCTTTTCTGAAAAGAGTTTCTGAATATTGGTCGTCATATTAGTGTCTAAATTGGACCAGAGTGATTGTCTAGAGGGTCCTTTATTCGCTTGAGAAGTAGTGCTGTTAATAAATCATGGTTTTAATATAATTTAAGACTTTTAAAGTTCACACAAGATTATAAATTACTTGTAAGATCGACGCGATGAGTCGGAAGACTTTTCGCTTCTTAGATAAGAATTTACATCCGGATCAGGAAATATGGAATCGACAAGTTTTTCCAATTTTGTTAATTTTTCTACAACTCGTTTCATCTCGGGCTGGGGTCCAACGGGATCTTTGGTAATTTGCATTAGATTCTTTTCCAGGATGGCAGATTTAATGAACTGTCATATCATAGAATAAAATAACCATAAACTAATGGTAACGATATGCACCATGTTAACAACCAATTAATCGTCACCCACCTCAGCTAAATCGTTTCCCTGCACGGATACAAACTCTTTCACTAGGCCCTTAGCCGTCGTATTTAGCGACGCAGTGATATCCGCCACATTGGTCAAGTCCCATTTCGCTATGGTGCGCTTGTCTCTTTTTATGTCGAATTCTAGTTCAACAGAATTTACCTACAAAACAAAATAATAATTAAAAATTTATTTCAACCACAATAATAATAAATATAAACCATTTACCATATATTCCACCGTTCCATTCTCAATGTCCAAATACAGCTTGGCGAGCAAGAGCCAGGTCAGGATGTCATACTCGTCACTCCCAGAAGAGCTGAGGGATTTCCCAAAATCGGCCAAATACTTAAAAGACGCAATCACCAGTCCCTCTCTCACACAAAGGATGGACATTTTCTGACGAAACTGGGAATGTTGGGCGAACTGGAGATCGGGGCGACAAAAGTCTTGCAACTTTGTCAGGCTGGATTTCATCTGGAGGATAAGCGTTGCTAAAATTGATCCCAAAATTTCCTGCGATGAGCCCGGATGAGACCGTAACTCTAAACTCGAGTCCTTCACGGCAGTCTCGAACGAACTCTTGATCCGTTGCAGGCCAAGTTCAGAGTCGAGCTTGGCCACTTTATGTATCAAGTTTAGCCCCAAACTGGTCAGAAATATTTATATTAATAACATCTAAAGTTAGTTACAAATGTCCATAATAAATATGACCACTTACGGAGCAAAATCTGCATTAGGCACCAAAATTCCTAGCGAAATTAACCTTCTGTACAATCTTTCTAACGCTTTTATCAATTCCTCCCGTTGCTCGGTATCCTGCGAGCTCATAGACTCCACTTCAGGAAGGAGACGTTTCTCCATCAAGTCCAAAAAGTCTGTCATTAGGCCTTGAGCAAAAATTTTAAGTGTGTCCTGAGATTCTAGGCGAACGTTTTCGTGTAAGCTAATCAAAGCACGATTATTAAAGTTATGAAAAATAAATTTGGTTATTCGTAATTAAATTAAATTACACGTACTCTGCCGTTTGGATGAAAACTTGGGAGAAAGAAGCAATCACAAGGCTCAAGTTGCTCACAAATATTCCACAACCTAGCTCCATAAATTCTTCTAGTGAAACCTGAACAATAGAGAAAAATGTACAATTATAAAATTATCAAAGTTTTAAACATTCTTCATAATTTACTCACATTTGAATTGTTTGCTCTCTTTAATGCGGTCAGATTTTGGTGCAACTTTGGCATTGCATTTTCAAGAAACCGTTGTCCCAGAACGGTAGGTGATTCCCCCAGGCTGAGGAGAAGGGTCACATTTCTGATCAGATCTTGCGAACATTTCTGTTAATTAGACAACCCAAGTTTAGTTTATGTTAACTAATACAACAAATTAAATGTAAATTTTGTATTGTGATTACATCAGCATCATCAAAATCCTGGTACAACTCTGCCCGAATATTCTCCATGATGTGTTGACAATCTATTTTAATTGCTTCCAAGCTGGGAAATCTTTTAAACTCGGAGACAAATTCGACACCGCTGAGATAACAAGTGACAGCCTGAAAATAATTGAAGTCAATTTAATAATTATATTTCCTAATAGTATTAATAACATTCTATATTTTTAATTAGCTAATAATAACTACCTCTTCGTGATTCTTCTCTGCATAAAATTGTTTAAGTTTGTTCGGAAGTTCGAAGAGAAACTTCAGCTTTTTTAACAAATCGTGAATGGCCGAAAGTCTGCTGACCTTGTCCCTTTTGTCCTAAAGTCATACAAATAAAATTAATACGTTCATTATCACTCATAATTCGTAAATAAATCGTCTTCACCTTCAAATTATTCGAAACGCACGCCGAATTTTCCGCTATTAGACAAATATTTGTCGACAGACGACCCATTTTGTCCTCCATTTTGCCAAAATCCGTCTTCATTTTTCGTATCGTGTCCGTAGCATCGATAAACTTGTTATAATTTTCATAAACTAAGGTCTGCATGTCGGAATCCAAGTCTTGGATTTGGCGAATTAAGTTGGACTCGGTTTCCATCAATTTATTTAAGGAGTACTCCTACAAAAAGATAAAATTTGCATTAATACTACCAACGATAACCTGTTTCGACATACCTTGATAATCTTTTTAATAAAAAAGTCTGGATTGAAGGTGGTTGCATTGATGTCGTAGGGATTTCCGGGGTCCTTGGTCAACGTCAACCTGCGCCCACCAACACCACCCACGGACGTTGATGAGGACGACGTCCCATTGACGACATTGGTCGAGGAGGAGGACCCTTGAAGCGATGTCGACGAAGTGCTGCCTCCAGGCACCGCTGCCGCTGCTGTTGGTTCTTGGTCACTCATCATCACATGACACCCGGCAGTCCGTCAGAGTGGTCACGTTGTGATGTCAAAGTGTGTCACGATGATAACCAATTGACATTTTACTTGGTGTGTACGCCCTTAAAGTTGGGCTTGCTACGAGAACAACTGCTTTCCTTCTTGATTATATAGCAGATTGGGAATAATGAAATGACTCAAATATCATACTCGTGACGTGAAAGTTGTTCAATTCCAAGGGAAATTGAGACGGGAAAGTGAGATTAATTAATTCTTGGTGAGAACTGTTAACGAAAGTCTTGTTGAAAGCTAAATCATTTACTGTAATATATTCGTCTCAAGTATTCTTGAAGTATTTTGAGACTAAAAAATTGGGAAACGTAAATAATTAATGTCAAATTAATAAATACTAATTTGACTAATTTTTTTAGTATGTTGTTAATGTAAGATTTGAAATGATTAAATACGGACATGACTTTTATTTTCGGATACGTAAAGATTTAAAAGATGGATGCTATTACCGGTCAGATTTGTGACCAATTAAAATATTAATTGGAAACATAAATTGTCAAGTTTGTTGAATTAGGAATGAAAAATATGCTCGTGATTTTGTAATGCTTCAACTTTTTACAACATTTTTTGCATCTAATTGTAAGTATGAACATACGTGTTCAGGTAAACACTTATTGCCAAAAAATGCCTGAGAAATTTTGGTTTTCCTATCGACTGTGAAAATTACGCATAACTTGTGTAGAATGATGATGCTATTATTGGTCAGATTTGTGACCAATACGGGGTCATAGGGGGTCAATCTTGCACAACCAAAGTCAGAATTTTTCAATTTGCACAGAATTATCTACTTATCTTACTAATCATTATTTTATTGAAGATGCGTACAAACTTTAAAAAAGAATAAAACTATTTTGTATTGCAACAAGGACAAAACACAAAACAGGCAGAAATTCATTCATCCTCCTCCTCCTCCGTTTATATACTGTTAGTTATAATATCTGGTTTTAACCATTTCGGAATTCGTTCATTGCTCCATTTATCTTCCGGCCGGGTGAGTTTAGCGTTTTTTTTTTAATTTTCGCCAAACACCGAGCTGCAGCAGATAGACGGATTGTGAGGTTATTGGTTGGTGATATTTAGATCGATCTGTGCATTTTCAAGCCTCTTCACTGTTCCAGACACGAATCGTTCTCACGTATTTAATAATATTACATATTATACGCAACAATGGTAGGTAGACAATGTTAAAAGGTTAAAAGTTCATGATGAAGAAGAAATCAGCAGTCCAACTTTGTTTGGTATTGTAGCTTGAGGGGTGGGTCGCGAAATCGCCAACGTGTAACGTACACAAATTTGAGGGTGTGATCCTTTCCTAAGAGTTCGTCATTGCACAGAACCTCGATCTAGGCAATATTAAATTAATTTTTGGTTATTATTAAGGTCAAATAGTGAGTAATTCCACGCCACGTCACAATTTTAATAAACTGGTAAATTTATGCACAAGATTTGCACAACGTGGCGTGAAAACTCAACAAATTTTGTTAACTCACATCTTTATATTTATCAATGGAATTTAAAGTTTTCTTGGCTATGTATTTCTTCAAATTAGTTATCGTTGCTAGAGCAGAGCATCGTATGAATCGACGTTTTAAAGCTTTCATAGATCCGCCACACGTTTCCAGACAAACGTTGACCTGCAGATGAGTTAAATAATTAACCAAACTGTGCGTCATTACATCGCAATTATTAATAGATAAGTAAATTACCTGTTCATCTAATCTATGACAGTCAGACTCTGTCGGTTTAGCCTCTTCCTTAACTGGCACGGTCGCATCGGCCTCTATTACGCTTATATTATTCGGCCCCACGTCCTTCGGACATGCTTGACCTCGAGATCTATAAAAGTCGCGTTCTCTCTTCACTTCGCCTGTAATTAATTTTAAAAAAATAGTTCCAAAATTTCAAAAATATAATAATTTTGCCACTTTTGAACACTCACTCTCTTGCAGATTTGGAACCAATTTGTACACAATGTCTTGCATCGTCCTATCAAAACTTATATATTGTAAGGGATGCGATTGGTGTATGACTATTTCACATTCCGGACACGTATTATTCTCCTCTAAATGTTTAACCAGGCAGGTTTTGCAAACTATTTGCAAAATTAGGAGAAAGAACAAAAACGTGTATTAATTAATTATCAATTCTTCTTCCAAATAAAAGCTGTGCGTTAAATATGTATCTCACAAGTATGAAGACACTCCGTCACCGTCGTAGCGTCGATAAGATAACCCCTACAAATTTGACAGGTTATGTAAGGGTTTAACGTTTTCAACTTTATCTTCCTATCCATCTTGTCCCCCGGTTGATGATTATTATATTGCACTCCACCCACACCTTAAAAAATAAATAAATCACACACCAATCCTTAAATCCTGCAAAACTGTATCAAATTAAACACTGTTTCTCCTCAAGATTTCTCTTACCTCTTAAAATACCAAAAAAACAGTAATACTCTCCTCAAACCGGCCACCAAACACCTTTTACACCCAATTTCAACAAGAAACCTTCATCCTGGGCCTAAATACTTGAAATAATTTCACTCTTTTAATACTTTTATTCACTTTGTCCCCTTTTTCTCAACCCGTTGTGCGAAACTCATCGTAATAAAATAATTTCCAACCAGTGAAAAACACAAATTTCTATTACGAAACTCTTCCCTTGTGACGATGAGATGACGAGACGTTGTTAAAATACCTCTGCTACATTTTCTTCACCGGAAATTTGCACATTTTTGGGAAAAAAGTCGGTGGTGAGACTCGCCTTGGGCGTTTCACTGATCACAACAGATTATGTCACCGTCTCATTTTAAAATTCATTGTGACTCGTCGTCAATGTTGCCTGCTAGCTGCTTGGCCAGGAATAAACTGCATTTGCACTGCGTGGAGGAAAGGAACGTCAAAAATCTATGGTGGGCAAGCGGTACGTGCTGCTGCTTTTAGGCCGGCGTTGGGGTTACGATGCATCCTAGCGTGGGGCGTGCTGCAAGAATGTGACCCGATTTTGACCCCTGTCTCACCCACGACGCGTGACCTTGACGAGGTCAATGGAATGGGTCACCTTATCCGAAACTAGTGAAGGTTGACCCTTGACATTCAGTTGAAATCTGTACCATTTCTTGTGTACGACCCCGAACAACCCGACACAAAGAATGTTACACAGAACAAAAGAACCCTCTTTTAGGTTGGATAGATGTGTAGAAAGAGCGAAAGAATGTTGAGTGAGGAATTCTCAATTTGGAAATAATTCGAAAAATTTTGTACACGTTTTTGAAATTATTATTTATTTATGAAGTATAACTTGGTGGATGAATCGTCTCGTCTCCATTTAAACGGAGTTTTATTGATTGGAGTATTTATTTATCAGTGTGTGCTGAATATGCATATTGCTTATCTATAAGATAAGAGATATACTTTGAATTGATTGCATTTTGTGGGTAGGATTTTTGCCTTGTGGACACACACTCATCATTGAATGTTGGTCTTCACTACGTTTCAGATTATCCTGATGGTTCTGGTGATGATATTTATGCACATATGCGAACTGGTTAGGGACGCGTATGCAAAAATATGTACGCGAGGAGGGAATGAATGGAAACTGGAATGAAACTTAAAGGAAAATATTGATTGATTTATTTCTGTATTTTTTTCGTTTCTGTGAACATAACATGACAAACATTAACTGAAAGTTGACAATATTTATTTATTTGTGTGGTTGGTACTCTGTCCGTATTTTATTAATTATTATCGAACCCTAATCACTGATAAACAAATATCTTTTCTATTTTTATTGGACCATATTACGTATTATTATCAATAATGTGGTGTGATTAACTGTCTTTATTTATTTATTGTAGTTAAGTACTGTGGGTGGGAATGGGTTTGCAGGGGGTGGAATATTTAGGTATTTTGTGTAGATGTCATAGATTTGTTATCACAAAACTATTTAGATGCTTATCCTAACTTAGGGTTGTTAGAGATTTGATCGTCATTTGTGACCCCCGTGCCATTTGTAGGATCCGTAATATTTGAAATCGTTGCTGGAGCACATTTCATCCGATTCTTTGGGCCCTCGGGATCCGTACCTGGACAGGAAACGATGCATAATTTAGTTAAGAAATTTTTGTAATATTTATTTGTATTAATAACAAAGTCTTCACATAAAGTAGCTGAAGCTACTTAATAATTGTGTCTATTTACTTGTATGGGATCAGGTTAGGTTTCTCGTTCTCGATCTGGCGCAAGAGTGGCGTAAAGATTCGCCAAGCCTCCGCCAACTCGTCGGAACGGACAAAGTGCATCTGTGAGCCGGTGAAAACGTCGAGGATCAAGCGTTCATATGCGTCCGGCAGTTTCACGTCCTGCAAAATCACGATTTTATCGGTTAAGGAAACATTTAATTTCAATTTTGTTCATTATTTGCCAACCTTGTATCGATGATCGTACGTAAGATCTAATTCGGTCTCCTCAATTTGGAAACTAATTCCGGGCGTTTTCGTCATAACCTTGGCGTACACAGCTTCACCGGGTTGGACTCGGATGACGAGCTCGTTCCGTTTCGCCTGACCGTGAAAAATGTCTCCCGGAACGTCCTTGTACTGCACGCGGACTTCAGCCTTGCGCTCGTTGAGGGCTAAAAAGCATAGATTTTTGGTTAGATTTAATAGAATGATAACAAATAATTGATTCACCGTTACCTTTCCCACATCGCAAAATAAATGGAACTCCGTCCCACCGCTCGCTATTTATTTTGCACACGGCAAGAGCGAAGGTGGGCGTGGTTGAGCCTTCTGGGACGGTAGGATCGTCAAGATAACCTTTTTGAGCGTCTTCACTTTCTCCTTCCGGGTCACCGATGTACTGGCCGAGGATTACGTCGTCCAGGGTGAGAGGCTTAATGCACTTGAGCACCTTGACCTGCAAGATTTAAATATTTAAATCCAGATCTACTGAAGGGATTTTTATTTATTTTCATTTTACTTTCTCATCCCGAATGTCATCCGGATGCGTGGAGGCTGGCTTCTCCATCGCGAAAAGGGACAAAATTTGAAACAAGTGGTTCTGCATGACGTCCCGAATAATGCCAAACTCGTCAAAGTATCCACCGCGACCATACGTGCCGAACGGCTCTTTGAACGAGATTAATACCGATGCAATACTTTCTCTGTTCCAGGTTGGGCCAAAGATGCGATTTCCAAAACTGAACAAATACAATTAATTATTTATCTACACGTAGTTTTCAAACTTATTATGAAATTTGGCATTATTCATAAATACCGAAGGGTCATCAAGTTCTGCACCATTTCTTTCCCCAAGTAGTGATCGATCCGGTAAATTTGCTCCTCTTTAAACAGTGAAGCTAAATGACTGCTCAACTGAGCCGACGATTCGCTATCTTTTCCAAACGGTTTCTCAATAATGACGCGTGTCCAACCTCTGGAAAGTAAAGTAAGTAAAGTGAAATACATGATAAATTAAACAACAAGACTGATTGAGGAGGCAATTTCCCAGTGGAAAAAGTGATCACTCAACCGAAGACGGAGCACTTAGTACGAGTTATTTATGTAGTCAAAAGTTAAAACGCTACTCATTATTAATTTATACCTCGTAGCCATGCACGTATTTCGCAAGCTGCTCGTCACCGGTTCGAACACGGAGGGCGGAAGGGCCAAGTAGAAGAGCCGATTGGCCGCAGCGTTCTTCTCCTTCTTGGCAATCTCCTGGTTGAGGAGTTCGAAATCGCGGCGACCATCGTAAGATCCGGCCACGTAGTCGTTCACTTGCCAAAACTGCTCGTACGCCTCGCTCTCATCCGGCTTCACCTGAATAATGAGAATGCATGTGAGTGAGATGATTAATTTAACAAAACCATGCTATTTTTTTGAGATAATGAATTACACTCATGTACGGCTCGCACTTGGCTCGAAGTTCGGGAATGGTCATTTTCGAGCGGGCGTAGCCAAAAAAGTACGTGTTCGTGGGTAAAAGTCCGTCACGATAGAGCCACCAAAGGGTTGGATAAATCTTCTTCTTGGCCAAGTCACCCTAAATAAATGGAAATTGTGTGGTTAAAATAATCCATAAAAAAAATAATGATATATTTCACGCCAAGCTGTGTAAACCGTGCTTTGTAAAATTGCAAAAAAATAATTGGCAAAATCTGGGAGCCAGCCAGGTTTAGTTCAGATAATAAAAACATCCCCCATTTTACACCCCTTCGATATCACCCATCTCACAAAGTTTACACGGTTTACAACCCGTCAAACAATCGTATGCATGTAAATACATACCGAGGCTCCCAAGATGGTGAAGATGTGCGGAATAGCGTCCAAATGTTCCATGGAGTCCCCATTCTGACTTCGTAGCGATTGACGCAACATTGCCAAGCAGTCGGGCCGACCGTCGCCTGAAATATCAAACCAACGTCACAAATTAGTGTCAAATTCGGTTTTTCTAATGTCAAACCGGGCACAAATTAGCGAATCTCTTGAACAAACCGACTAACCACAAATTGACTGTGTACAACCAATATTGCCGGACTCGAGTGAATATACTTGTCCCACACTCTTTGGTCACATTGACATTGGTCACAAAAACTCGTCAGCGATGATGAAGAAGAACAACTACTACTTTATCAGGTCGATGTTGGCATACTATTCGCGTCGTGCAACAAAATATACACAATTTGCTACCTCCAATCCAAACGAGACTGGCTACATAAATCTCATTCATGTAAATAAATACTGCAAGTTGACTTCTCCAGTTTTTGTATGGAATTCTGTTGCATTGCACTCCAATTTTTAGTAATGTCTCATATCTGCTATCCTGCCTGCCTGCCTGGTAGTGTTGAGGGAGAGGGGGCTAAATTACTAAATAAACGTTGGAGTGGATTTTCCCCAGTTCTAGCACAAACAAACCAATGTACATACGTATCGAGCTGTTGTAAATAAATATCCGACCCGTCCGTCGTTCGTTCTGTCCCATCCACTTAAACTGCATCCATATCGTACAAATATTACTTGAAGGGCATTTACTCTCCTCGTCCATTAAATCAACCACCACTTCATGAATTAATTAGTGACCGTTCCATTCAAACGTCACCAATCAGCATAAAATTCTATGCACGTCACAAAGTCAAAGTCAATTTTCGATGGGAATATATTGACGATCAATTGTCAACTAATTGATTAAAGTGGTGACGAGATGACGACTTTTTGGTGACGAAATAATTCCAAACTGATATTTTTTAGATAGCGAACCGTCAAGTGCATGGATGATGATGAGACGGCAAAAAAGAGAAGTAAGTGGTGGTCCGTCGTCTCATTTTCGTCTCAATTTGCCTCCCAACCACCAAGTACCAATAAACTCAAGTATTTATAAATCTCTTACTGGAAAATAACCGATAAATTTTTTTTGACCAAAATCCACCCTGATTGGCACTACTTTTAGTTAGCAAGCAGTGACCGCGGAAGCGTGGGAACAGAGGGACAATCTTCCCACGGTTATTCGATGTCCCCATCATCTACTAATGTTATGTAAACAAATCCCTCCCTTGTCCTTTAATGTCCCCACACCTTCCGCGGCCACTGTTAGCAAGGTATCAATTAAAATTCTCACCTGATACGATTTATTGTATCACAAAGTCTCCAGAAACCAATTAAACAAAATTGTTTTACAATTTCCCACCCAAACTCGCTTTTCCAGTAAAAAAAAGTAAAGTACGAGTAAACAAACCAAAAAAGAAGGACTGTCTCGAGTAAAGAATTTTGAGCAGAATTGAACCTAAATCGGCGTGTAAGTATTTTTGCGATGATGATGGTTGGGGATTAGTGAGATGAAAAGGTAGCACTGAAAAATACCTGTTCCTCTCGCCACTAATATTCACACCGAAGTGGGATGATGCCCATACAGAAGGCTCGTTATACTCGACAATAATAGAGAAAAAGTTAGTTTACAGATATCTAATAGTGGGCAGTAAGTAAGCAATAATAATCATGATGAGATGGCATTTTGCTCTCCCCGATCGTCCGTATATATTTTTCCTCTTGAAAAATTGCACCCATCGCTGGCAGTATGCATACTTTTCTTTCGTTTTATCAACACAGGAACGAATTGCATCCCATTTTTTTCGTTTTACTTGTTCTTCTATTCCATCATCCAACTGTTTCATCATTCATTTCATGATGATGATGGTGCGAGTTTAGGTAAATAATTGGGCAGGAGGAAGGGCTAGAATGTACTGGAAGAAGGATATGTACCGATGTATACCTCCGTATAATAGCAGTTGCGTCAAAACCTAGCAATTTTTAAGGTGTATCTAGCAAACATACGTATATACACAATAAATAAATAAATACTGAGAAATCCCATCATCATCATCATCACGGTCACTTTAATACCCAGTGAGAAATAGTAAAAAAAAAAGTAAGATTGATGCTGGCAAAGTCTGACTGACTGACAATTTGATGCTCATGGTGTGCTGATAGTATGTATGATTTACTAGTTTGTTCTCGTGGTTGGTGGGGATGATGAGCAGAAGATTAGCAAATTCGTGGGGTTGGGGTGGCGAGAATTAGAAAAAATAGCTTAAGAGAACCAGTATTATTTATTTTTCGGCCAATGGGGAATCCGACCAAGTGTCCAATCTTGGTTCATCTCAGCAGCAATTGTTATGTTCGAGATGATAATGAACGACCTTGCTCAAATAAATGTGGTGTTGGTGGCCAAAATAAAATGCATCCCGGTTAAAAAGCCGGTGGAAGAATCTCATTGTACATTTTTATGCGAATCTTAAAATGTGCCCCAATTTCGACTGATTTGATGTGTTTTCTGATTAAATGGCAATTTTTTCCTCTATTGTGTGGGCTGGGCGAAGAAAGAAAAACATGATAGCATAAACTAAATGCTATACCTGCTGGGTCGGTGGGTGTACTGTGAATTTTCAATTACTTAACGATTCTCTCTCCTCATAAAATGAGACTCTTTACACGCCACGAGCAATATGATAAGCATACAATTTGTAGAGAATCTCATTCTCAAAATTGTCGTTCAACCTCATAAATTTCGCTCCGCTTATTTACCAATATCGATTTGAAAACAAGTTCTAAAACGACTGATGCAAACTCATAAATCACCGCGGAGATTAAATCTTTATCAAGTTCCGTCTACATTTTCTACCTCGTCGCAAGTAATGGTCTCACCTAGGAGAGCATTTTTTCCCCTCAACGATCGAACGAAAGGTGATGGGAGGAGATCCGTTCAATTTAATGGTATCAGTTCGCTTGGGTACAGAAATTGTGATTTGCTTTACGACAAGAAACTTTTATTTTATGTGTCCCATTTTTTGAGTGGAAATATTTCAATGAGCCCAAACTAATAAAGGAAGTGAATCAATCTGCTACTACTACTTGAAATATTGGACACGAATAATAATTTTGAAATGCAAACTCGTACATACTTTCATCCTGATTACACCAATTTTCTCACCAAGTCGACTGTGTGTGGAGGTGCGATTTAGAATTTAAGTGCCATTTTTGCCTCATCACATCCTGCACAATCTATTCATTGATCAATACCGTGTGAAGCATGCACCCATCATTCATGTAGAACGGTGTGAATGCATGATCATCACCGTCTCAAGAAGATCAGGCCATTTCCTCTTCACTGGAGCATGATCATCATCTGCATGTTGTATATTATGCACATAGATACGTTGTATCGTGAGGTTTTTGGTGGTGTGGTTTCTGACGGGGCTACAATTCACCAAGTATTAACCTTTGTGCGGTGATAAATTATTCAGACTTGACGTTCGGTGGATCTATGTATGTCAGTCAGTCTGTAAAGTTGGTTTGGTGCTTTAAATACATGATAAGATTTGCCGCATAGCGTGACAGGCACGATTTTATTTTACACTACATTTTGTTACGAGTTATATGTAAATAAATATGCATCTAAAAGTGAGTGAGATGAGATTTCAGACTGAAATTTGCACACAGATTTTGCAAGTGAGCAGAAATTGCCAAGTTACATAAGTTAAGTTAGCTGGTCTGGTCGTAGTGTTTATGTTTATCTGCGAGTGCAGATTTGTGGCACATGTAGTTGCATCGTGAGAAATGTCATGCCATATAAACGGTGAGAAAATAAATGTATATGACCTACTGACCACTGATGCACTCCAGCCCAGTCGTCGTATTATGTATGTAAGTAGTTAAACTTTTACTGGATTGGATTAGCATGAAGTTTTGCTGATAAAGTATACTTATGTATTATACTTTTATCACTGGTTTAGTAAACCAATCGGTCTGCAGATAGGACACAATTATTCAAATAAGTGGTGAGCTGGTCAGTGGAGGCATGATTTTTCTGAGAATTGTTAATTAATAAGTGATGATATTCCCTCTCGTAAGTTGTGGTTTGGTTACACTAACCAGACCATAAATCAGACCAAAAGTCAACACGTATCATCATGATGATACATGACATATTTTTTTACAGTGTCACTTCCAATCTGCTCTGTAACCAATTAAGTTTTGCATACGAATCGAGCACGCGAAAGTTAATTCAATAATCAGACCGAATAAAAAACAATTCGCCAGAACTCTACAAGTTCTGCGATGCAAAAGCCTGACTACAATGGAACAGCAACGTCCTTGGAATCTGGGAATAATTTGAATGCGAGTCACGAGGTCATCGTCCAGTGTGCAAGCAAATTACATATGCAACAGCAGTGACAGAAATCGTTGTACATAAAGTGTAAAAATTTGACTTACATTCAAGCGCCTTCCTTATATAGTTTTTCGCCGCTTCCATTATTTCCGTCGTGGTGATGATAACCTCAGCAGTATTTTTTCTGTTCTTTACCCCACAGATTTCCGTCCTCCTCTTTGGCAACGTTTCTCTTTGTCCTTCAGGGAGAGCGTCCCTTTTTTCACTCTCCTCAATCTGACTCAACCTCGCGGCCAACTTCTTCTTGAACTCGGGACCGTCGATGACCGGGGAGAAATTGGTGGCCGCTTGTGGACAACTTGTCGGCAATTGTCGCTTCGCTCTTGACGACGATTCTTCTGCTTCGACGGGACTCTGCGGTGTGACAAGTTGTTTCCTGGTGAAGATTTGGTGAGGTTTCAAAAGTGGTGGCAGTGGTGGTGGTACAGGCGGAGTGAAGGTTTGGGGAAGCTGGGCTTCGGATTTCGGTGATGAAGTTTCCGCCTTCTGAGGTGGAGGTGAAATGTCACTGATAACGTTGTCCACTTGTGGCTGCGGTGAGGTCCCTAATGACGAATGCGACTCTGAAGAGAGTTGCTCGTAGTGGTGATCTTCGTGGTCGGGGTGATCATAGTGGTGAGGATGGTGAGGATGGCAATTCTCGTTGTTGGCGATCCACGAAGATGAAGTCGCCGCACAACTAGTTGTCGTTCCCAGCTCTACTCCTTTACTTGGTACGTCGCCTCTGAAATCAGATTGGTTAAGTATTTGTTAAGATGAAAATGTAAATTTCTCGAGACTCTCCTGAATGCAAAACAGTTTTCCTGACTGACTGCCTCCCTGCACCCACCTGAACCACTGCCCACTAAATAACAAGATATTACCAGCAAAAAAAAGCCGGTCCCGGTAATATTAAGATGTACGTGCAGGCAGGCAGGCAGATATACACACAACGACCCCGATATGCCTACATCTATGCATGTTTCACCAACTACGTATTTTTTGTCCATACTAATTAATGCCCATTTTGTGGCTAAATGTGAGACAAATGTTGTTATCGCGGTGGTGTTATCCACGCGTGGGTCTCTATCTCACTTACCCTTTGAACGTATGTATCTCAACCAACCTCACCCGGTGATGTTACCAATCTGGCCAGTTATGTCAAACTAATAGCTGACTAAAGCATGACATTTATGCGAAAATTGTCTGTTTTTTGCATGAACACGATGATGATTAAATCTACATGAATAATCCACCATTTAAAAAATATTAATCTTTATATCCGCTTAGTTTGGTTGGTGAAGCAATTAGCATTATTTTTATGATCTTGAATAACATGCATGCATCCAATCCAACTAGAATATTGAGCATCCCATCACCACGTTGGGCAATTGCATGTATGTACTTGTACACTAACCAAATGTATGTGTGTACATGCAGCCCTCAAATAATTGTTTGTCATCGTTTATCATCACAATAACTCGCCATCATCGTGTAGTTAATGAGTCGTCACAACGTGATGTTATCTCACTCACTCTACGTGCATGAACAAACAGTCGGCTTGATGAGCACACACGGGATGTCGTTACATTCGTAGTTCTACTTTATGTCAGAAGACCACTGGCCATTTAATTTTCACTCAGACATACATAAATCATCACAAGAGAAAAATCAGAGGCTGTGTGTGCATGGTCAATTACTTCGTGGTGGTGGAGCATGATTTATTAATGGGTTTTGCTATGTCATCATACTGCTAAGATGACATTATGGTCGATTATGATGTTTCTACGAGAAATTTTCTGGGCGAAATTCATCTCAGAATGGAGTATGCTCTCAGATTTTGACCAAATTAGCGTCAATCGATCAGAAATTTAGTTAATATGAAATTTGCAAACGACACGATCTCCCAATGTGCCGGTTTGGCAGAGATATTTGCATCTAAAGAGGAGAAAAAAGTAAAGTAGTCCTAAAGTTGACAAAATTTACACTTTCCTAATTTGCTGCTTGTTTTCTCCTCTTCGTTTGCAAATATCTCTGCTAAATCTGTGCATTGGGAGATAACGTCTTTTGCAAATTTCATACTAATTAAACTTGCGATCGAATGAGACTGGTCTGCTCTAAATCTGAGAGCATACGCTGGGAGACCTCCATTTTCAGCAAATGCATGTAAATAAATAAGCGACAACAAATTGTGAGGTACACGCGTGGCGAGAAAACTGGGGCTGAATGATGACTGAGCCCATTTTCTGATAAGCCACCAACGCATCAATCTGAATGAAATACAACACCACCACCATTTTTTTCGTCTTATTGTCATCGAGCAGTCGAAGAAGTGAATGAACGGGTTGAAGTATAACTACTATTTTGTGAATGAATGAATGAATGTTGACCGCGTATTTACAATAAGAAGTCTAACAATAGCGCATAAATTACTTTGTTGTGGGTCGATGCGGTGGTATTTACGTATGTGCGCATTTCGACGCCTGGGGAGGGAAACAATGCAAATACACAATTCTTCCATCCAACAACAACCGGATTAAATCTCTCGGCTACATTTATTTATTTACTTTTGGGCCGGAGATACATAGATGAAAGCAGCAATCTCCTCGATGTCATCCTTTGCGACACATGCTACACTTGTCTCAAATGGGATGAAATTTCATCACATCAGGCAATCCTTTGTCTGACAGTCTTTCCGTTTTGGTGGTGTGGCATGCTACATACACGTATGCCTCACATCGTGTCAAAATATGGACGTGTATCATCCTGCCTCATTCTTCGAGTTGAGAAATGCTCCAATGTTTTGTAGCATTAAAATAAATATGAAATGCTAAAATTCTGAAAAACTGAATCATCCCCAAATTAATAACAATAAAATAGAAAATACAATTTTGAAATTTTTATAGCTTGACTTTCTCACGTATTATACTAATTTTTGAAGAAAGTACATAATTTAATTTATTTTTTATCCTGCTTTTTCATTTCCCCAAATATTTCAATGTATTGGGAATATTGTACATCAAGTGAACTAGAAGACAACGAGGAAATTGGATAAGCATCCCATTTCCATTTCCAATGACTTCCCTCAGTTTACAGGGAGATCACGAAATCATGAAATATTTAATGCCGAATATCTACCCTGCAATCCAACCGGGACAAGAGAACAAGACTACATGTGTACATTTGTACATCCACATTTCCAGAAAATGGAGGAAAACACGCCGTGACAAAATTTAATTTCCTTCCTCTTCCTCCACTCTAAACAATTGTATCTTTATTACTGTATCACGGTCATGCAGGAATATGTAGTGGCTCCTCAAATTGAGACACAGTTTATGAGACCGTCTCATCCCAAAGCCTATTTCCACGCCAGAAAAACAGCCTCCGACCAAGTTGTGTTGCCCGTGCATTCCATAAATTTTCTCATGAAGAAGATGATGCCAAACGTGAACGTCGTTGGATGAATAGGAATGAAATTCAATCCAATTCACCAGAGAGAGAATAATCCTCCTCGTTACGTGTTTCGCGAGTGGAATTGTTGCCAAAATCGGGTATCTCGTTTTCCCCACGGCTTTCTTTACAACAGCAACAACAACGTGTATCTACTACATTATGGAAATTCTTTTAGACTTTCTCCAGAAAAAAGGATCTCGTCCTCATTTAAATATATGCGATGGACGCGTTACGTTACGTTTCAGCCCGTAAAGAAAGTGGTGGAAAAAAACTTTTAAATTTTGCACGAAGGATTTTGCACCATTCTTCTTGGCAGGAAAAAGAATAGCGATTTATTTAACAATGTTTTTGTCCAGTTAAATCCCAACTGAGGCGGAAAGCGGGGTCGGAATGAAAAGGTGGCCAAGAATGCGAAGAATTTTCAATGCAAATTTAATCCCTGGATAATAGACGCTTATTTCCAGTGACATGGTGTGCTTGCAAAGTGATGGGTTCGCTCTTTTTTTGCAATTCTCTCCTGTACGTTGTACAGCCTGTAGGTTGGAATAGTGTTCTTTGTCCTCAGTTAAGATGCAATTAAGGCTTAAAAAGATTGTCGTGCGAGTATGTAATCGGGACAAGAATGACCAACCGGATGGACGTTATTGAGCTAAAAGCTCTGTTTCCATCAAATATGCAGAACTTATGCTCCTCTATTTAAATTATGCCGTCTCATTAAATTAAGTAATTCTGCCATTTCTGCCATGTCCCATATAAAATTTGCAACCTTTTAACCTAATTACTCATCCTAAACTATGCATGACAAACTATTTAGCTCAAAACTAAATCCTTCCTAGAAATTCGCCTTACCAAGCCAAATATTGCGGTGGTCCTCCCACTCGTGTCCTGCACTATGACATGTATCCACCCTCATGTCACGTGTCGGTGTCACCCAGACTTTTCTCTCCTTGGACGGACAATTCCCTTACAAAATTTATTTCTACACTTACATTTCAATTTTTCCAAAATCCACTTCCACCCCAACTTTTTTCTGTTTAGTTACACATAAATATCACACACGACTTCCTAAAACGGCTCGCACTTTCACGAAGAGAAAGTAAATCCGCGCACCTACAAACTTTCTCCAGCTGTCCCACACGACCAGGCCAGAAATCGATGCAAAGTCCAATGTTCTTCGTACTAAAGGGGGACCCACGTCGGGTCGGGCCTCAGTTCACGCTCACACTTCTTCCATCACAAAGACACACTTTATTTCCTCCACGACACAAACGTGTTCCTCCAACTGTTCAGGAGGAAGAACTAAATAAATTATACCAAACCACACAAAATAGTTAACACCTCACCCACCACAAAAGCTGCATATCTATTAAAACAAAACAAAAAAACAGAGTGAGTATCTCACTCACTTTTCGACAACTTTTTACCCCACGTAAACAAATAAAAAGTGTCTCATTGACAGTACAATTAATTACTTCATCAAGAAGGCAAAAGAGTGGAACTCTTTTTTTTTCTCAAAATTCTATTCAAAAAATATAAAACAAACGAACCACAAATACAAAAAGGAGGAGGTGCCGCTGAAGGATTTTAAACGCACTAAACCTCGACAGGATGCCATTCTTCTAGTAAATAAGAAGAAAAAAACATTTCATGAAATGAAATGCCATTTAGAAAAATCTGTGAAAAAAGCCATTCGCTGTCAGTCAGTCAGTCAGTCATAATATTCGACAGGGAGGAAAACAAAGGTGGTGGTACTACTCACCAACCACCACATTATTCATTAAATTAGCAATAGCTAAATCATCAAGAGGGAAAGCTGCCAACAACAGCAAAACGCGTACAACAAGAAACGTCTGAAATCTCGCAGCAGCTATTATTAACTAACTGACTTGATATTAAGACGAGGTGAAGCCATAAATATTGTGGAGGAGACGAAGACCAAGTGATGATCTACAATCTTTTAAATAATTCTTAGTTTGCTTGGCTGGTTAAGTGGGTGGGTTGGATTTTTGGTATCTTTCGTATGATAAAATTTAAATCTGCCATTTAGCCAAGAAACACCAACAAATTAAGAAAATAATGAGAAAGTATTTAAAACGTAATAAAAAGATTGCATCAAATTATTAAATTATGTGAATGAAGAGAAAAATAAACCTTTTTCGCGTAAATGTTCCCCCATATCGAGGGATCAACAACTTTCTAGAGTTCTAAGATAGAAGAATCGACTAATGACGATTTTTGTGTCACAGTTTGTCGTCACGTCATAGTTGAGAGAGGAGGAAATAATGTTTACAATGTAAAAAATGTGACAACGGTGTCGAGGGTGGTCAAGTGGTTTCATGAATGAACAAAGTTATGGGAATTGATTGACAAGAAATTATCAACCTGGTGAAAATTATGTATCGCACTATTGTACGTAACTTGTTATGCATTTCATTACCTCAGTCCTCATGTCTAGTATTACATTTTTGAAAAAAAAATCCAACTTTTTTGAAATCCGAATTAAATTTAGCAAAACCTGTACAAATTTCCCAAAAATCTTGACATGAGTAGCCCCCAACATGTAAATAGTTCGCAATTATGAAATGGTCTCGTATTTTGTCCCCAGTATTCGGACACGTCGTCCCCCACACCGGGCCTGACGTCGCCTTCCTGGTATGGCAAAAAGTCCAGCCCCATGAGTCGGAAGAAGGCGTTGGAGAAATGTCAATGCATGCGTCTCAAGTATCTCCACCATTGGTCATGGTTTAAAAAAGGCGTCGGAATTTTACTCGTCGTAGTCTCCATCGTAATTCTCATTTGGAATGAGGTACGCAAAAATTTCATGGAAATTTATTCGCCAAAATATTTATAAGCCTTGTAAAAAAATCACCACAAAGTTTTCAAAAATATGTTATCACCCAGAAAAAAACCGAACTTTCGCAATCCGCGTCTCTAACTCGATTGTGTCCCAGTTTATCACAGTAAATAAGTAGTTCATCCATCTCACAAAATTTGCAAGGTTTACAAACAAAGCATTTGTTTAAATTTTAACTTTGACTTTTCATATTCGGACACGAAAAGAATTTAATTACGGCATCGCGATGATAAGAAAAACCATTTAATAATCTCCCCAGTCCGTTACAGATCTCTTAATGAATTTGTATACGATTTTATCTCTGTAGATGATCTTAATTTTATAGCAGGTTATAAAATTACAATGCTTTTTTTAGCAGGTGTGTATATGTATGCAACTGCTTGAGTGAGGTACCATTCATTCATTCATTCACCACTCTGCAAACAAGAGTGAAACTATTATTTATGATGTAAAAAGTACTGTGGCCAAATTATGAATTAGACTGAAAGTACAGCAAGAAGGGGAGGATAAGATCTTATCGCGGTTAAATAATGAAAGTCAGTCTAGCAGCAATTCTTATAATTACACTACATGCGAAGACTTTTCTTGTTTGCAGCCTCACATTTTTTCTGTTTGTTTTTTTAAACTACTAATTTAAGAATGAATGAATTACTTAAAAAATGAGTCAATTTATTCTTATTATTTAATTATGGCAGAAAAGGGCCGTCGATAACTCGCGATCTTATCACCACGGGCTCCGAGCGATCCAACCCGTTCCTGGTCCGGAGGTCGTGCTGCCGCACAATGACGGGAAGCTTATCCATGTGACCGGATATCTCAGGGTGCTCGAACCCTTGCAGGACTCGCCTTATGGCGTCGCCATCTCTGCCGTCAAGTTAAAAAGGAGGGTCCAAATGTACCAGTGGACGGAGGAGACTGTGAGGTACGTATGCAAATAGGTGGTGGTGAGGCAAGGTGAGACTTTATAAAGTAACCTCTGACCTGAGGCTTGTTTTTAGCCTGGGAGAAGATTTCAACGCTCCGGTCGGCTCTCTGAAGTACAGACAAGTGTGGAAAGACAAATTAAGTGATAGCTCCACATTTCAAGTTCCGATTGGTCATGAAAATCCAAAGTATGTACAAAACAAAACGCGATATATAAAAAACTTTGGGAAAGGAAATATGTTTCTGTATGATGATGATGACACGCGAATTGGGAAGAAATAATGAGAAATCTTGTAAAAATATGCCATGTTGTGTACTGCGAAATTAAAAACAAAGTTTTCATGCCATTCTTGAGACACGCAGGTGATGGCTAAATTGGGAAAAATGTGTTTGTGTTTTTGCGTTCCTATTTCTTATGATGAAAGTTGAAAACAAGATGAGATGTCGAAATTAATTGGGAAACATGATTGAAAAACACGCGTGCAAAACCTGATTGAAACATGTTCCTCTTTCAGTTTCATAATAATTTTGGTTGCTGATAAGCTTGCGTATTTTCAGAACACTTCCAGTCCAAAGTGAGATTCGGGTCAACCCGCATGTCTACCTGGGCGACTACCGGTTGGGGGCAGAGTTGAAGGACAAGTTCAACTCGTTCGTGCAGTTCACGAGTGGGGAGAGGCCACACCCTCAGCAAGAGGTCAAAATGCACATGGGGCTCTACCTCCACTCCGCAGACATTTGGAACCCCTCCGTCGGCGATGTCCGCGTCCAGTTCTCCTTCGCCGGACCAAGCAATACTTACGTGAGTGTAGTACAATACTTGCCAAATAACCCTTGCAAATAAGTGTGCAAATTTTGTAAAGTTTGCAAAAATATGACCTGTGACATTGGGATTTGGATTTATTTACATTGTTTTTTATCTATTCTTTTAGGTGAGCATAATCGCCATGCAAGTTGGGGATGAACTACGGCCTTTCACAACCGAAACTGGGGCGAAGATCGCTTTCCTGCACGAGGGGAAGCAACACTATGCCGACATGTTGCACAAGGAACACTCCTCGACCACCATGGAGTGCTGGATGTACCGTTCGGCCGCCTTCGTCGCCACAATCTTCGGGACATGCATGGCTTCCAGAATTCTCGTATTTATTAGTAAGCACATTCTTAAACTTTTGTGGTGCATAAAATTACGAGTCGATACATGGCTGTCCAACTTGTGACTAATTTTTGTCGAATTAAAAACGTGTCCTCCCCATGTTTCCTACCCAGACCGGAGAAACAGCGTGATTCGTAACCTCATGTGGATGGGACCAAACAAGTTTAGCACGGTGGCAGCCATCTTCGCCTGTCTCACGATAACGGGAATTATCTGGTTCTCACACAAGCCGTTGATGGGGTCCCTGCTGGTCACCTTTTCGGTCACCCTCGCCCTCTACTACGCCCTCACAAGGCCGGACGCCCCACGCTCGGCGAAAATCTCACTCCCCAGATACTCAAAGGTGTACTAACTAGTTAGGAACTTGGCATATGAATAAATTAGACTAGAATTGAAGGACGAAATTTACAACCCAGGGATCAATACTACACTAAATTGGCTTGGTGGCGATGCAATAACAAATTATTAGCAGCTTAGTTATACTTTAAATATGATACGATTGCATGGGAGAAATAAAAATATGTTCCTTTCGTGTTAATTGTGTCAATATTTATTTATTTTTCTTTGAAATTTCAAAATACAACCGGTATTAATAATCGGGTATAAAAAATATTGGCAAGAAGTCGTGTCATGCACACACTTCTTTGCTACATTTATTTCATACGACATAATTTGGAGATACAAAATAATGACTTTATTTTTATTAAGTACGCGAATATTTTTAGTAGCATGATTATCTTTCCTGCTACTCTTTGCAAATTGGTTTCTGTTGGGTGTGGATTAATGAGGATAAAAATATCTTCACATTATTTCCCCACAAGAAGAAACGAAATGAATGAAAATGGAGCTGTATAATTATAATATGCAAATCAAATGGGTTAGAGTAAGTACGTAAGTTTATTACCGCAAGCGTTTGGATTACGAGCATCAACAACAACGAGGGTTTAAATTTCACTTACCAAGAACCAGGAATTTACATATCAAGCAATCGTGTTATCATCATCAATTTAAGATAAGTGTAAAAAGCATCCCAGCAAAAAAAACACAAGACAATTATTTATTCACCTCTTTGATCACATATAGCACTTTAAAAAAGGTGAACTTTCTTGAAGGGGAATTTTGAAAATTTGACGAAATAGGAAATTTTGAAAACCTCCTTCACAACAAAATTACAATTTTCAGGCCCACATTATTTTTGACCACGTCGAGAATGAGGTTTAAACTTGCCCTTTTCCGTTTCGCCCTCTTCATGCACGATTTTGGACTTGTTATTCTTCGTCCATCGTTTAAATTGTTTATGGTTAGCGTCAGTGAGTTTTTGATAGCCTCTATTATCGGGCACATTGTCACCACGCCCGCCCCAAGCGTCACTACCCTCATCCCAACTGACACCCCCCTTAGTCCACCCCGCATTACCACCACCCCAGGGTTCTCCATCACTCCCATCGGCGACGCCATCACAGTCCTCGCGAACTTGAACAGTCTTTTTCAACAAGGGCTGTGTAAAAAAAACACGAAAATCCGAAAGCCATGAAAGCAGTCAAACCAAATCAAATCAAAGCAAGCCATATTCTCTCAACTCAACAAAAAACTAGGAAAACAGTTTAGAAAAAATTGGGAATTTCTAACAGTGGGGAAGTAAAAATGAAGCAAACATATACATTACACGAGTCCTAAATTCATACGTTTCCTTTCCATTATGGGACCAACTCTGTCTCTGTCATCGACTAATTTCTCATGAATAAAACCTGATATATAAATGTAGGAATGACATTTATAGTTATTTATCATCTAAACCTTGGACTTGTTGATGGGTACGTCCCGCGGCGCGGACTGCTGGCGTGGAGGCTGATTGAAGGCAGACTGGATCACGTCCAATTCCCGTTGATGTTCTTCCGCCTCTTGGAGTCGACTGATGGCAAGGGTTCGCATTTTGACGCTCTCCTTCTCGGCGCGTTCCAACTAATAAAAATATTTTAATTAATACATTGATATTTACATATTGTCGTTAATTTGATAAATGTCACTAGTCCTACCTCGTCCCGAGTACGAATTCTTTGTACTAATTCGCTGTCGGCAGGAACGGGGATGCTTTTGAACTGTTGTTTGTTTCCCTTTTTGGTCATGAGGGTGAAATTCACTGTGCCAGGAGGAGCATCTGGGTTGTTCCCAGTCTGTTCCCCAGCAGCACCATCACAGCGGTTGCTTTTCATTTCTAACAGTAAATAAACTGGTCAAAAATTTAATTCGAAATTTATGCTAGTTAGCCTTGGCCATACCGGACGTGGAATGAGCCGAATTACTGATGTGGAGTGGGATCGTTATCTCAGTCTTCATTTGTTTCCCAGTGTAGACGACTTCAGAGCACATTTTTTCAAACAGCGCTTCAAACTCTTCATCTTCCGGGCACATGTTGTACTTTTGATGGTGTTGGCGTTGCAGATTTCTCGCCTTGGCTGCGGCACGTTCGTACGGGTCCATTTCCTGTGGAAGTTCATTAAATTTTAAACTTGAATTGCTTTTCTTTATGTGTGACTGCAGAACTAACACTCTCATCCTCTTCGAAAATCGTGTCTGCACCAAATCCTCCGTTATCGCCGTTGTACTTCCCATTACTTGCACGACTAGCAGCTAGTTGCTGTTGCATTTCGTTGTACTTTTGCATTGGGTCAGCAAATGGCAGTAAACCTGTGCATAACAAGAACAAAACTTTGTTACAACTGTGCTCAATTTATTGCGAAAATATCACATATTTCATTTAGCATTACCAGTCGTTTCAGATACGGGCATCAGTTTTGGTAATTTTCCGCCAAATTGCTTAGATTCCTCGTCGACATCGTCTTCCATTTCTTCCAAGAATTCTCTAGCCTCTTCGAAACTTCCTGCAAACTTCAGTTTTGGACAGTGCTTACTGGCTGCTTCAACGAAAGATTCATAAATTCCGAAGGGAAATCGGACTCCCTTTGCGTTCCAAAACGGGAGACTTCTTTTCAGCCATAAGTACTTCTGTAAGAGGAATCAAAGACACACCAATTTCAGGAATTATGTACAAAGTATTCAGTTATTCGACTTTAATTTTTACTTACCTGCATATGCAACAGAAACAGGTGCAGTCTCCTCTTATTCTTTCCATTGTTGAGATATTCACCACAATCTTTGAGCAAGAAGCTTGCGAGACGAATTCGCCCAATGTTATCGGGTGGATCCATTGTAGTTTGCTTGTTAAAGTCCCACGACACACCGTACGTTATCAAAAGGTACATGACCTGTATTCAATATAAACAAAAAACATTTAGTTAATTTTAACTGAACCAAAATACTAACGTATGTAGAGAAAATTCATGCACTCGTTGTAATCTTACTGCATGAACTGTGTAAAGATAAAACTATGAAAACTTGGCGAAATATCTTCACCACAAATTCTCCACTAATCAAGCTCACATTATAATGAGTAACTTACATCAAATAAGGTATCACTCCTGATTAGCCGATAGTAGTACAGCTCTGCAAGGTACGAAAGTGTAGTAAATCTACGTTGATTGTAGTGCACGCTAGGATTCTCTAATCCTCGTCTAAGCTCTTCCATCACAATATCGACTATCCTAGTGACGACGAATGGCTATAAAAATTGAGAAATTGCTCTTAAAATAACACATTAACAAAATAAAAGTGGTTAAAGCAATTTGTGTGTGCGTACCTCCAATTTGTTCAGATCAAGTAGCAATTGAGCCTGCAGTTGCAACTGTTGATGTGTGAGCTGCCAAGGTTGTGTCATACAGCGACACGCAACCTCAGAAATCTATAAATAGCAGGATCGAAGCTTGTTAACAGTAATTAAATTACATGACAGATAAGTGTAATTTACCCAAGCATCATCCCACGGTATGCATTTCAAAAAACGGAGCGCCGCCTGATACGTGCTCTTGGAGAGATCCTCGACCAGAATAGGGTATAAAAAGAGTTCGATTGGAGTCAACTTCTTCTCAACTCGCGGAGCCTCTTCCCTTGGGAGCACTATCGAGTAAGCGTGATCAATCATGCAAGTGTAGCGCTGCTCCAGGCTCTTGACAGTCTTCTTTCTTATCATTTCTTCCTAGAAAATGAAGGAAAATTTCACCGATTTTACATATCGCGTGTTTTTTAGTCATTAAACAGCTTATAAACTAATCTGACAAGATTTACGTGGACGCGATTACAAATCTGGTTACAAATCTAATTTCTTACCAGATAAATTTTCATCCTACGATGAGAGTCCGGTGTTCTGTATAACATTCGACCACATGTTTCCACAAAGACGCACGCCATCTCAATTTGGTGATGGACAAAATTCATCAAGAGGAACTTTAAGCACTTGAGAGCATCAGATTTCGGAAAGATGCGGAAATTGACTAGTTCTCCGATAAAGCGAACAATTTTGAGCTTTGTTTCAATAAATATTTGATGTTTTTTCTTTACGAGGAAGTAGAAATCGTTTTTTAAGAGGCGACAAAGCTCGAGACCCATGTCGGGCATGACTGGATTGAGAATGGCTACCATGCGACTGTAGAATGGAATTAAGTCAATGCGCTGACGAGGAATGCGGAACATTGTGCTGAAAATAAAAACAAACATTTCAAGAAATTGTAAATACATTGACGAAATCACAACTCATAATTAATTCACTCACTGCACTAATTTCTTTCTATTCGGTTTAGTATTGTGGTTCTCAGCAAACTCGAGGGCACACTTGTCAATCGTATTCCGACCGCAAGAGTTTCCCAGTTTGTCCAGATAGTCTTGAAAATTTGGTTTGATTGGCACATCGCTCTCTTTGCCTTCTCCATCTAAATACAAATTGAGATTTAGTTAAAAACTTATTAATTATACATATTAAAATTTTTATTCACACCATTTCTTAAAGATGGAGGCAATTCTGCATCACCATCGGTCGTCGCCTCCTCCTCGGCACGACTTTCTCCCTCTTCTTCTTCCGCCAACTCGGCAGTTTCTACCGCATCGTCAAAGTCATTCAAAGCCTTTTCTCTCTCTTTGATTCGTTCAGTCTAGATGATGATAAATTACGTTTATTAAATTACACGAAATCAATTACGGATTAAAGTCAACTCTAATTAATTACCTCCTCCGCAGCTTGTTGAACGCTCTCGCGGTAAGCGACCGGGGGCAAGTAGACTTTCAAATCTTTAAAGTCTTGATAGAATGATCGGGTCTCTTCTTCTTCAAAGATGATTATTCCAGGCACAGTGTCCATTAGTTCGCCACTTTCAGACCGCAACATTGCCTTTTCCTCCTCCTCCTCGGGATCTATACAGTAAATACATAGTGATGTGATCATCATGATAACAAAATTATAGGCCAGCTAGCAGGAGAACATTTATTACCGGCAGGCAAATCTACCAACACTGGTAGGTCACTGTCTAACAGGTCTGAAAATTTGGTTGCAGTTCCCAAATATTTGTCAAACTTGGCCACGATTCCCATGTGCACCTCTTTCCGATCTGTTGGTATTTCCCCCTTGGAGCGCAACAGTTTGCGATTGTGTAACTCAGACCTTTGTTTCTCCGTGTGTATCTATAAACCATAAATAATAATTATTTGTTCATGAAATTGACAATTAGTTAATTGGAGATCATACATTCACCAAAGCCTTTGCCACAACTCCGAAATAATCGTAGACAATGTTTTTGAACACGGTTTTAAAGTCGTCCTTAAAAAGGTCGTATCTAGATAGCGCCACGCCGTGCTCTTGACATAGGGCCGAAATTCGGCGAGGAAGGACGCCCAAGTACGGATCACCCAATCCGGCTGCAAAGGACATGATGGGAATGAGACACTGCAACCCTTCACGATCCGTAGCGACCAGATTTCGCAGGAATGAGCATAACAACTGACATCCTTCATTCCTTGGCATGACGCCGCACATGACGAGTTCACCAATCATGCGCACATCGACTGATAACTTGCTAAGAACGCTAGGAGTCTGGACAATACAGGTTAAACATGATTATAATAAAGTGGATTTTAAACAGACAGTTAAAAGGAATATTGCCTTACTACGTCTGCCCTTTTGGGCAAATTTTTCTTAAATTCTTCTACAAGCATGGGCGAAAAGTCTGAATATCTTTGATGCACCAGGGAACAAATTGTTACAGCATCGTTCACATTTTCAATCTTATAACGAGCTTCACTAAATGCTGCAGCAATTTCAGTCAAATACTTCGTGAGGTTCAGTGTCTTGACATCATTTTCTATCGACGATTTTTGAAACTCGGTGTATTGTTTCTGCAAATAATAATTAAACAGTGAAAAAAATGCATGTACAAATAAAACGAAATCATTTTACTTACCAATTTTCGGACGAATCCGGTACACTTTTTTAGATTAGAATCCAACTTTTTAGAGCTGATTAACTTTTCATATTCTTCATAGACAGGATTTTTGTTTGATTCCAGAAGCTTCAGTTTCGCCTCAACCTCGCTGTTCCACGTTTGAGCAAAGACTTTCAGAGTGGGCTAGAAAAAAATAGGAAAAATATTTTTAATTTCATACTTTTATTTTATTTTAAAAATCAATGCGCTAATTGTTTAAAGACGGAATTAATCACCTCATCAATCGCCTTGTTCATTAATTTTTCCAGCGGAGACTCATAGTCAACATCCATACTTAAGTTTTCCAAACTGGCTTGTCGATTGGATGCCGCTTGTGAGACCGTGATGGCTGAGGACGACGACAAGGTTGGTTTCGTAGGTGTTATATCGCTCTTCACGTCGCAGGTGAGAGGACCGACTCGTAACCCTTTCTTCTTGCCCATGATGACGATTTCCGATTTACTGACTGATGATCAATTCTATATTCAATTGATCAGAAGTTGCGAGGTGGTGGGGATGAGTGAGAGGGGACTTTGTGTCTTTCCGATTCACGCATCAATTAACCTGGAGAAAGTAGAAAAGACAATAAGACTCGTTAATTGCTCGAATGCTTATACACATTCATTGACATTGTAAAAGTAGTGCTTTTAAGGCACTACTTAATCTACATATTGCGCTGCTTCTATACCACTTGAAGAATTATAATTGTGCATCTACATATTATCCACGACCCCATAACTAATTACCTTTGTAATTATCATTATCACCATCAAAGTGCAATCATGAAGAAAAAAGTTATAAAACGAAATAATCACAACAACAAAACAATCAAATTTCTAAAAATCGTATGAATATCATCGTAGGAAATATTGATATTATACGTAACACTATATGATGATCATACCCTGCTGATAAGACCATGATGGTGATATCGATCAATCAATCAAAACAATAAATAAATAGTCATACCTTTACGACGAGCCTTCGCCTTTCCGTCTTAACGTCGTCACTTATCATGAGGGCCACGCTCCGTCCAAATTTCGAAACACTTGTTCGCAAGAAGGTTCAAAGTTAAAAATAAATTAAAATAATAGTGACTTTTTTAATAACTTGATACAATTTTGACTGTGTCGCACGAAAGGAAACAAACGAATAGTTGGCTGCTGCTGGCAAAAAGTCGGCCTCTCTTCTCTCCTCACTCGCTCCAAATTTTTGCTCTATGTCGCGTCGAGGCGACGACGAGGTTTCTTTCCCACGTGAGAAAATGTTTCGCTAAATTTTGCCAAATTAAGTACAAATCACTCGCTAAATGTGGACTTTATTTATTTAAAAAAACAAACAGGGGATTTGTCAAATTTCTTGAAATTACTGAAAAATCTAGCCCCTGAATATCGAGGTCATCTCGTATCATTCGATATCGTCTATGCTTATCATAATTAGTTTGTCCCACAGAAATTTTCCGCAGAATATAGAACAATAAAAGGGAATTAATTGTATCTTCTTTCTGTTTAGGAAACATTTCATTACATTTTTTTGGGCTGTGGAATTGAAAACGAAAGTGTCTCGCAGTCTCATCATTAGTCGTCGTTGTACTTTCCAGGCGGGCGGAAGGCGGTCAGTTAACTAAACGCGTGTTGTGAGCTGGTTGTGATTTTGTAATTAAGAAAAACAATAGAATTTTAATAATTAATTAATCGCAAAGGTTAACTTTGCAATTTTATCTTATCCTTTGTCTCAAATAGGAATCTCATTTGGAATCTGGTTCATAATTTCGGCAGGAAATTCCTACCAACTTCAACGTATTGCTTAATTTAATCCAGAAGTCATTAAGCTTGTCATCCCTCAAGGTACCGGTACCGGTCACTTAATAACCTTACCAAAACTGTTCTAATTGTTAACCCTTATGCTTTTAGGAATGAAGATGAGACGGGAAAATTGAGACTCCGTGTCATCCAGGTTCAGAGCATTCAGACAGAATATATACAACTACAAAGGATTGATCACCACAAAAACGTACCAAGTGCGAGGATGGCTGAGTTCGACGGGATTGGTGACGGCACCGCAGAGCAGGGTTACGCAATTTGTACATACAGTGTCATGGAGGGCGTGGTAAAAAAGTAAGTAAACTTTTTAACACCATCGTCAGCATACTCATTCATTACACAGACAGAACTGCTGCCAATATACTATTTGGACATGCACATACTTACGGACTCATACACATACTACTTATCATAATACACCACCGGACGAGTCAGTGGTGTATTATTTTTGACCACCACTTGAAAGATTTCGCCTTCTCAGTGTAATTTTTACTTTTTTCCGGCAGATATCCAGTTAACCTACTCCCTCTCGAAATGGTAAGATATTTTTTTAAATTTTTTCTCTAATGAAGAAGTTTTCGACATGCTGAGCTCAGGATGTTTTGAGGAGAGGATGACATTCGGGAGAGGAAAATGATTTTGTCTTACGACTACTTTTTAGGGGAGGAAATTAATAAATTTTTTGTTCTGATTTATTAACAGGCGGCGACCTTACGACCATATCTGACCGCGGTGAGACACACCTTGACTGCTGCCATGTGCCTAGAAAACTTTTCGTCACAAGTGGTCGAAAGACATAATAAGCCGGAAGTTGAAGTGAGGTGGGTGCGGTGCGAGACATTTAATTTGTGGTTATATTCGAGACGAAATTAAGTAATGATTGAACATCCTAAAATATTTTTTACAGAGCGAGTAAAGAGCTCCTCCTCAATCCGGTCGTCATATCGAGAAACGAGAAGGAAAAGGTTTTGATCGAAGCTTCCATTAATTCCGTTCGAGTCAGTATAGCAATCAAGCAGGCGGATGAAATAGAAAAAATCCTCTGTCACAAGTTTATGCGCTTTATGATGATGAGGGCAGAGAATTTCGTAGTCCTTAGGAGGAAGCCGATTGAGGTAAGAAAATTATCATTGTACTTTATGAATTATTTCCGTTAATATAAAATTACCACTTTGCTTCAGGGGTACGATATTAGCTTCCTAATCACCAATTTCCACACGGAACAAATGTACAAGCATAAATTAGTTGACTTTGTAATCCACTTCATGGAAGGTAAGAGACTAACTAATAATTCACTATCCTAAACATGATCTAATTAAGTATTTTTTACTTTTTGCACATAGAAATCGACAAAGAAATCAGCGAGATGAAACTCGCTGTCAACGCCCGTGCCCGAATTTGTGCCGAGGAGTTCCTCAAAAGGGTATTATTGAGTTACAAATTTCAATAGTGTATCCGAATTTTAAACAAAATTTACCCTTCAAATTTCAGTTTTAACGAGACAACAACTGCCTGCATGCATGTACCCGTTGTGGTGTCGACTTTTCTACGGATCAATTTGTCATAAATTAATATATCTGTCTTCTATGTAAAAATGTTTTGTATACTTTCTAACTAATATGTGTAAGCTCGATGTAAGATATCCGAATAAAGTACTTGTACCGTTTCATAAGAATTTAACAGAGATATGCAACTTGCATAATGCAAGTACTTGTACATTAGCGATATGCAAATTATTATGCAAATTATTTAACTTGTATTCATTAACTCTCATGCACATATATTTCTTTATATCTTTGGTCACAAAATTATTCAGTCATCTACAGAGTAACATAATAATGATTTAATATATATAGAGTTTTTTATATTGTTTAAGTCATGATCAACAAGGCAACAATGCGGTCACTGAAGACTTGGCCTTTTTTAAAGCTTATGCAAAAATATACCTAACACTGTGTTCCAACTAACATTACAAGATTTTACAAGTTAGGGGCCGCCCAGTTTAGAAACTTGAGGGCAACTTCGTAACCCATAAAGCAGGCCGCGTTGGCAGGAAAAGCTCTGAGCATGACGGGGACACATCCCTTGTACAGGGCTTTGGGTCCCTCCTCCTTTATGATCTTGGGGAAAATGTCCCGTACTCCGCGAGGATACATTCCTTCAGGTGCTAAGATTAGAGAAATTTAAACGTAAATTAGACATGACAAGAGTAGTAGTGTACACTTTTAAAGTACTTATTTGAGTAAAATTTGACATATTTGGTATAGATTTTTTGTAAACAAAATTTGCTTGACAAAATTCGCAAGTGAGCAGAAACATGCTGTCTCCTCAATTTTTGTAAACGTTGAAAAATTTACACAATTAAAAAGATTAGGCCTTCCATCATTTATTATGTCTGTCTACCTGTTTGTAGTCTACTTTTCATAACGTCCGCCGGGATGGCGACGGCCCAGTTTAATATCCCGGCACACCCACCGGCCAACAAGGTTCGCCACGCGCTGAGTTCCGTGCTCCCTGGCGGGGCGAGGGCTTTCTTGAGCTGTTCATACGTCATGAAGTACATGGCCGACGCAGGCACGTCTGTAACATGAAACAAAGTTAGTTAATTCATCGCATTTCAGATTCAATAGTATATTTCCACTCTCCATTGAATGAAATTGTAACAAATATTTGTTTAACATGACATTGTAACGGAGATCATCTCTACAAATAAATACAAACACAAGAACGCAGAATGAACTTAATTCGTGCCCGAAGAGCAAAAGCAGCAGCAGCAAGGAAGCCGTTTCCGATAAAGACGAGCAAGAGATTGCTATTTCCGGTGCTTTTAGTCCCACGAAGAACACGATGCCAGAAATATGTAGCAGTTTCATTTCGTACAACACAAGAAGAATCAGTAATGGCCCCTGTCACTACGATACCAATATTTGCCGTAATTGTGCTTATCCTGATAAGCGTGGTTCAGGTGGGTGAGCTAGATAATCAACCCCAATAGTTAACTAGTTATAAATTGCCAATTTAAAAAATGTGCTTTGCAGGAGAACGAGGCAGACGAGGGCGGCTGTCCCAGCGACTGCGTCTGTTTCACCGAGTATCTGTCCAATCTCCAATCGTGGAAGTGGATCGAGACGGATGTCAACGTTCAAAAGGATGATCCCTTCCACGAGGACTTTAACCCCTACACTGAACATAACGAAGTAAGAAAGAACTTCTATTTTGAAAATTGTGTGTGAAATAATCCACACGATAAGCAAGTTCATGGTAATATTTTTCTTCAGGTTTACGATAATCCTGCAGCCGTGCGGAGACGTCAAAAGGAGAAAATCCTCTCCACTGCAACATGCATGTTGCGAACTAACTCGTCCTCCGCTCTCGCCGTGACTTTAGCTCGACTTGGTTCCTCATTACAAGTACGTACATACAATTAATAAAGTGTAAAATAAAATTAAATTTGTACCCCAATTAATTCACATATTACGCTTACGTAGATCCTCTCCCTACTCCAAGCCCCTGGCTCAGGTCAAATTTCATTAGAAAAAACTCACCTCTCACAAATGCAAGACTTGATCGGGCTAGAAATTCAAGGCTACTCCATCTCCAGTGCCCCCTCCTCCCTCTCAATTGCCCCCGACGCCTTCTCCAACCTTGGCAAGTTGACCTATCTCAGCCTCGAGCGAGTCACCCTGCTCCAGGGTGACGCCGCCTCCTCGTCCACGACCAAATACAACTTCACCTACGGGTCCGAATACGTTGATGACGAGCAGATCATCATCGTCAAGTCAAAACCCGACTCAAGCTCGGACACCATCGTTCCGTACAGTGTGTACCGTGAAGAACAGCAACAGCAAAGCAAAACACCTCCACACCCGGTCGACCCCAAAATAACGGTCGCCTTCACAAACCTCGCCTCCCTGCAACACCTCCGCATTTCCAGCTCCCCTCTGCAAGACATCAGTTGGGACATGTTTCACAAACTTGACTCCCTCGGATTTCTCCTCCTCGACGACAATGATCTCCTCTTCCTCCCTGATTTCGTCTTCTACTCAACCCCAAACCTTGGAGCGCTGTCTTTGTCGCGAAATCGTATCCTAAACTTGCAAACTGTTGGGCTCGCAGGGTTGTTGACGCTTCAAAAGTTGGACGTTTCCTATAACAATATCACCTACTTGTCGGAACTCTCGCTACCACCGTTTCCGCATTTGGAAGTTGCAGATTTTCGTCATAACCCGATAACGTCTATATTTCCGAATACTTTTGAAATCATGAACTCTACAAAGACTTTGTTCCTGGGGAGTGAGTCGACTCAACTGGAAATTAGTACGAATTCCTTCTTCGGTCTCGTCGCTCTCACCCGGTTGGATATTTTGAACGTCCATGTCGAATTTTTGGAGAGACCGATGTTGAAAGGGATGCCCAACCTGAAGTCGCTCACCGCCACGGGAACAATAACTCGCATCATGTATGACGCGTTCAGTGAGGTGGCCAAGTTGGAAAAGCTTATTCTTAAAGACTGTGCGATTAAGAAGATTTCGATGGACGCGTTTTTTGGGTTGACAGCCCTCGTGGAGTTGGATTTGTCCCATAATGAGATTGGCTTCCTCCCTCCGGGCATCTTCGAACAGCAAGTTTCTCTCAGGGAGGTTTTTCTTCAGCACAATTCCCTCAAAACGTTGCCACCATCAATATTTGCAAAAATTCCGGCAAAACTGATCCGCCTCGAGGGCAATCCGTGGCACTGTTCTTGTGACATGAAATATTGGGACCCCAGCCAAACCAACAAGATTAAGCGGTATCATGTCCCTCCGCCCAATGGAACGTTCTGTGACCCACAATTCTTCAAGGCAGCGGCCTGTTATGCCAACTATGAGCCAAAGTTTGAGGCGAAATATGTCTACGAGAAGAGAGTCTCTCCCGTGTGCCAGGCTCCATCAGATTTCAAGGGGAAAAGCGTCTTTGAAGTGCTTAAGAAGGGGTTGCACAATGTTTGTACCAATTCTCTCCAGCAAAATATTTCCATCCTGTTGACATCCAGTAACCCGACAGAAACGTTAGAAATTATGGGCACTGTTCGAATTCCGACTGAAAAGGAGATTGAGAAGAAGTTATTGTTTCCGGAGAAAGTGAGAAAGCCGAGACCAACGAGTGCAGCAATCTTGGAGAAAGTCAATATGTCAACTGATCCGTATTTCTCGTCGTCGTCAGGCAATGGCATGACCTCGATCTCTTCGACGACACATCACCTCATCATCCCACCAACCATCTCTATCCCAATGGTTCTCAACTCCCCATCACCACCACCATTGTCACCACAGGAAGAAGAAGAAACAAACAAACGACGAAAACCGAACCGTAAAAATGGTCGAAATCGACCCCCTCCAAATATTGAGGAGCACGACATGGAAGTTGAGGATAACCGGATCAATGTGCTGTGGTCACCACAAGCAAATGGGGCCGACGTTCGTCCCCGCACGATATATCCCATCTCTAAGAAAGCTCTGCAATACATGAAGGTTCAGCAAAAGAGACAGCAGCAGCAGCAGCGACAACAGCAGGGCTAGTTTTTTTTAGTTTATACAAAATACCACATTTTAAGATAACATACGAAGTACATAAATACCTCTTAAAAGTGTGGCACACGTCCCCTTATACAAACTCTGCACCCCGCCCTGTTTCACTAGTTGTTTTGCACAGTCGACGGGACCATTGTACTTCACCTCGGCTCCTTTCCCTTGCTGGATCTGTAATTGAATTCAGTCTACAATTAGATTTTCTTACCTAATTAAACTTAATGAATGGCATAATAAATAAATTAATTACTTAATAGCTACAAATATTATATGTTACTTGTAAAAGGCACTTTATTCTTTCTCCCGGCGTCATTATCACGGTCGTCATTATACCCGATATCCCACCAGCGAAGAACATTTGCAGGGCGGAGAGTTCCTCGTCCTCGTGACGAGCGACCATCTGCTTGCCCACGCCATAGCCGAAAAAGGATAGGGCGAAAATGGGAGCAACGCCGACAATAGGGGCCCCCATTCCTGACAAGTTCGTGAAACAGAATTGTAATTTCAACTTAATTTCAATTCATATCTGGATAAAATAAATGCCTTATCTACAATTACCCTTATACAGTCCGAGGACGCCTTCATGCTTCACAATTTTCTTGAAACAATCGTATGTTCCCTTGTACATCAACGACTCGCCGGGTTTTGGGATTGGTTGTGTTTGCAATCTGACCTATTTTGATGGTGAATAAATATATTTATGTGCAATTCATTACATTCTAAAAAAATAGAGTATCGTTGTTCTTATCATTACGCACCTTGATCGTGTCCAAGGGATGACCTGCCGAGACGAGACACATTCCTCCGAAACCACCAGCTAAGAAATTTTTTATCGCACTGACAGGGGGCGGCTTCGCCTTCTTCGTCTCCGGAACAACGTCAACTGCTTTGGTCATAGTTAATTGGTTGACAAAAAGTGGATGAAAATTGGTGAAAGATCAGCTCTGAATCTAAAATAGAAATAAAGTTGGATATTAAGTCGAATTTACAAATTATTATGAATTTTAAAGTATCGATATATATTCCTTGGTCAAGAGTCTATAAGGAAATTACAGAACTAAACAAAATTCCAAAGCTACAACCATCCAACTACACATACAATTATTTGCTTTAAATAGAACAATAACATAAAATAAAGTGTCATATACAAATTATTTCATCACCTGGATTTTACCAAATTAATTCAAAATTTTACCTGAATAATTTGTCTGGCAGTGTTATTTCACAATATCACAGTCTTAAAAGTTTAACTATGCAAAGGAAAGTAAGCCGAGTTACTAAATATCTTATCAGTATTTTTGATAAGCCGGGAGAATAACTGGCAACTTGTTTTCTTGTGACGAAATAATACAGTAAATGAACAGGCAATACGAGACTGGATTTTATAGACTAAATTGTGGAATTTCTGTATTTTACTCTAAATTATTTATTTTATTTACTCCGTGTCTTGTTCATATGAAAACAAGTGGATTGGGTGGATTTTTTTTGGGCAATAAAGTATCAAGTCCAAAAGTCCAACAAATGTCTCACGTTACATATTTCAGCAGCATCCGAAAAGCCACGATTCCGATTCAATTCTTTTGTATGCAAATTATTCAGCATTAAGATTATGTACATACGCTTCGTGTTTAAATGGTGTTTACAGGCATAATTAAACACAAACAAGGCCTAAATGGTTTTGTAAAAAAAACTAATTAAAAAAATTTGTCAAATTGAGACTGGATTCATGAATAAATCAATATTTTTTATAGATTTATATAGATTTATATTTTTATATGCTTTTATAAGTGAGGTGGGAGCTGTTGGCCGCCCTAAGAAGGGCGTTTCCAGAGCACACGACGAGGACGTCGCTCCCTCGTGCTCCACGCGGGCGGGCCCCCACTCGCGCCCGAAGGCGTCCGCGGACGTCTACCTCCCGCCGACCGAGAAAACCCTGCCCACGTCGCCGCCTCTGCAACCGCGTTCCCCATGGGGGCTCGTCTTACCCTCGCCTTACGAGGTGGGAGCGCACCCGTAAATCGGCCCCCATTAAGGCTTCGAACTCGGGAACCCGGCCAGCCCCAAGGGGAGTGCAAGCTAAAGAGCCCGGTCACCCAAGGGTTGGAGGTAGAGAGCCCCTCTCACTTGCCTAGCGCCACCACGCATTTTGGCAAGCCCCGCCGGCTCCCCACCCGGTGAGTCTGCTTAGTGGGCGGAGTGTTGGAGGGGGACTTCCCGTAAGGTTCTCCCCTTACAGCATTGCTCCCCCGGGAAGAGAGTCGGATCACCGGCCGAAGCCAGTGGTGGGCCCGACTCCCCAGAGAGGCAGGGCGGCCCAAGGGCGCAGCTGCAATGGGGAGCTCACCCAGGGACATGTCCGTCCCCTGCGAGCTCCGCCCGCAGACTGACAAAAAATTCTGGTGCAGCTCCTTTTATACCCTCTGGAGGGCGGTGAAAGTGGAGAAAGTCCTGCCATACCTATCTATGTTGTAGTCAAAGGCATACCTACACAGGTTATACGGCTGACACGCGCATAACCGCTTATCACACTACTTACATACATATGTGTACACCCAGTGTGTATACCTACATGTGTTATAGCCACATACCGGTATCTGATAAGCCTTCAAATATCACATTCCGTGCTATATATAAAGGTATGCCGTATAGCCACTTATCTTCCGCATGTTTCGTCTTTACAATTGTTACTAATAACTCATTGTTGGGTTGGGAAATGTCGAATCTAACGTCAGTTTTTCGATTGCGACATCATGGGAAGGGGCACATGGCCAAGAAGTTTTCTTACAATTGGTCACTTAAAACTTTAATTATTTGAATCAAGACCAAAATTGTTCGCATCATGGAATTGTGTTTGTCCACCAAAATTTTAAACTAGATTAACAAAGAATCACTAACGCTATGGGACAAAGAGAAGCTGTTCATTTCTCATGTAGAAATCGCTTTAGTTATATTTCACAAACCATCAAAGTTGTGGCGCATTTAAGCGAGCGGTTTGCTTTAACAGTCTCCTTTCTTTCTTTCCCTCCTGCTGCTGCAGTTTTACTCTACGTGCTTCCGTCGGATGTTTTATAATATTTTTTAAAATAAATTTGACACTAGATGCATCAAAGTATAAACTTGTAACTCCACAATCAAAATTAAGTTGTATCGAGGAGACGAGCAAGATCAAAAACGTGAGTAGGAATGACCAAAGTGTCTCGTTTTTATTTTATTTTTATCATTCTTTTTTTTAAGCGAATTATAATTTTCTCTGTTTAATGAGTCAAGTTTATAATTCTCTTTTATTGCAAATGGTCCACTAGATTATCATCACAACTCGTCACGGAATCCGTCCTCAGAATCAGAATGGTGTCCATCCGAAAAATGCGCATGGTCGACCTGACCTCCGTCCAACACGTGAATTATGTCTGTCTTGCTGAAAATTTCCGTTTTAAGTATGCCATGTATCACTTGCTGGCATGGCCTCAAATCTCATTTGTCGCGGAAGACGTCGCGAAAGGGACAATCATCGGTTATTGTCTCGCCAAAATGGACGAAGACGATTTTGAAGTTCGCCCCTTGGGATATATAACGTCACTCGCGGTGCATAGGCAATATCGGTAAATATAAATTTACTAATCCAATTTTTAACTGCATTGAAGTACCACCAATCTTGGGAAGTATGCTAATTTTGTGAAATCGGGTTTTAAAATTTGGGATAAAATTTTTAAAAAACTTGGATACACAATTTATGAATTTGAATTACTTTCCGGAAATCTAAACGTGGATTGGTTGAATATTCATCAATTTAGAATATTTTGCACAAATTTTGTTTCAGCCGTCGAGGAATTGCGACTCTGCTTATGGAACAAACGATTCAGGCAATGATTTCAGTTTTCAACACGCCAGAAGTAACTCTTCACGTCCGTGTTACCAACGCGCCCGCGATCGTGCTGTACACGAAGATGAACTTTAAGGAAGTGTGTCGCGACCCCCGATACTATTTTGACGGGGAGGACGGAATTCTTATGAAACTCGATCTACTTCAATACGCGCTCTTGCGTGGGGTCCAGCCTGCCGATAGGGGCACGTTCTTTCTGAAGATCGATTTAAAAAAGATGATCAGACAACAGGATAGTCTGAAATCTGATGATTCGGTGAGTTTTTATGTGTATATTTTGTTCTTTGTTAAAAAACTAAGTACCTTTTGGTCTTTATTTTGAGTATTTTGCATACATTACAGTTCGTGGCAGAGGAACTAGAGAAGTTGAGTCTTCAAATGAAAGAAAACGATAGGAAGAAGCAAGCTGAGGCAAATTGTGAGTTCGGGCCGAAAGCTTCCACTTCCTCTGACGCCTTAAAAGCGATGAGATCTGAAGCGTCATCCCCTTCATCGAGTACAACGTCGACGCCAACATCAACACCAACGTCGACCGCAACGACAACGAAGCGGACACGGTCTGAAGCGGAGGCTGCAGGAGCTGCGAGATGGAAAGCTCGAAAGGAAGATAGAAGGAATAAACGCAAGTGTAAAGAATCTGGTCAGGACGAGACCCCAAACCGGAAACCCGATCCTGATGATGAGCCCGACGAGGGTGCGACAGGATGTTCTTCTCCTCGTGTGCCATAGATTTGACTATTTTACGAAAAAACGGAATTGAATTTTAACTTGGATAAGGACAGGTTTTAATACTGATTTTAATTTATATTTATTTTAATAATTTTATCACTTATAATAACACAATCAATTTACAACTTAAGATTTATTTTTATTATTTCATCTATTATAATGATACACAATCAATTTATAATTTAATAATTCCAATGTGTTTTTAAAATACTTTTTTATACAAGATTTAATGTAATAAATAATTTCAATCGTGCCATTCTGCACAATATTCCTAAATTAATCATGAATATCTAGTTGTGTCATTGTGAATGTATCATCAAATCATTATGCCAGTATCACTATTATTATATAGCTCTATATTCAGTATACAGATATTCTAAATTAGAGACGGGTCAGTAGTTACATGTGTATATTCGATAATCGAATTTCAATTACAAGAATAATTTCTACAAAGTTTGTTGATTATTGATTGATAAAATGAGGGTTTAGTCAAGACCCTGGTGAAAATGTGGTTCTTTCGATGAGCCCCATATCGACAACACCAAGAACAATTAATTTCAGGGAAATCGAATAAAAAACCTTGTAGATTTATTTCATCGGACGACCAAGACGACGCCGTACGGTTAAATCCTTCCCATATACATTTTGATGTTCCTTGTTAATCAATGAAACAATTCACGGAGTCATTGGTAAAATGGTAAAATCCGTAAACTTATAAACTTTTATAAATATTTGTAAGGAAAATTAGCTTACAAATTTTTCCAAGTTTACTCAGATCAAGGGCGTCGTTTTATTTTGTAAAAGTATGTAGTTTGTAAAGTATTATATTAAATTATTACCAATAATGACTGCGTGAATTGGCTCACTATTTTCTTTAAAATTCATTCCGATATTTTAGTATGCATGCAATTAATTAACCAGGTTTACAAACATTTCATCTCAAGTCATGAGATGAGATTTTTAACGAAATTGCATTTATGCAGTTGTCTCAATTTTCCTGTACAGTGGATTTCAACCGGCTGCTTCTCTCTCTGCCGGCCATGTGTGTGACACACACTGTGTGTATGTGAATCGCAAAACTGCGACTTACTGACTGATTTTCGTCATTGTTTTGTTAATTGATAACACCAAATATTTTAGGCCTAGTCACTAATATAATAAATAATTAAAGCGAGATGCCGACGCAGAATTTGACCTCGACTTCAATCTCATTGGCGCAACGGTTATTCAAAGTTGCCATCGTGGGTGTGCCAAACGCTGGGAAAAGTACCCTTATCAACAGTCTTCTCTCAACGGTGGTAAGTTTCCTCTGAAATATATTTGTAAGGTCAAGGGTCAACTATTAATAACTAGTAAATTAGTTGGTAATGAATTGTTGTTCAAATAATCGAGGAGGATCGAAATGTAAATCATAGTTAAACTATTAATAATTAACGTTAATTTTATTTTAAAGGTTTGTCCCGTCTCGAAACGAGTCCACACGACGAGGACTAACCAATTTTCCGCTTATCTTCAAGACAATGCTCAAATTGTGCTGGTGGATACGCCCGGAATCGTGAATGTCAAAGAGATCAAAAAGTTTGTAACTATTTAACATTTCCTAATTTAAATGCCAGGTGAAGCTAAATTACTATTACTTTTGTAGATTTGCTTTCTCCAAGGATTTTGTATTCGGTCCGGACAGATCTATCGCTGCGGCAGATCTTGTCGCAGTGATTCACGATGTATCAAATAATATTTCGAGGAATAAACTAGACCCACGAATTAAAGCATTGTTGGGACGGTTTCCTGATAAGAATTCCATTCTGATTTTAAACAAGGTAGTCAAAAACAAGAAAATATTGATGTATAAATGATGATTCATATCACGTGTAAATTTTGTCAAATTATGTATGTAGTTTACAAACGTGTACACAATTTGTAATCGAGAAAAGCTCATATTTTTGCAATTCTACAAAGTTTACACGGTTGGAATGATTGACCAGAATGTAAGCTAGCTTCAGAAACAAAAATTTAAACTTGTTTGTATTAATTTCAAGGTTGACGCAGTAAAGAATAAAAACACGCTACTCGATACCGTTCGAATCCTGACATGCGGAATTGTTGACGGCAAACCCATCCAAATGAAAAGGTCTCATTTTAGTCGAGTCAAGGAGGAAAAGATGCGGATGACGATGGAGAATTTATTAAAAAGGGCGAAAGCACGAGTGGACGAACTACCACAGGATCAGATGGAATTTGATGATAAAATCAAGAAAATGATGACTGTGTCCTTTTCACAAGAAGAAATTCAGGAGGGTAAGTGATTTAAAAATCAAAATCTAGGTCTCAATATCGAATTTCATTAATTCTCTGTCAATCTCATTCTTTTGTTAGGCCTGAATCTCATAGGATGGCCAAAGTTTCATGATGTGTTTATGATATCAGCGTTAACAAATGAAGGCGTAGATGCATTACGGGTATGATTATAGTTTTTTATTAGTTAATTAAATTGTTATTAGCATAACTGACCCACTTCTTCAACCTTTCAGGAATATTTTGTCCTAAACTCCAAACCTGCATCGTGGCTGTATGCCGAAGATTTTTTGACTGACGTAAAACCACAAGAGTTGACAATCCGTGTCGTCCGAGCCCTCTTGTTGGACCACCTCCCACAAGAAATGCCCTATAAACTTGATCCCAAAGTGGAATATTGGGACCGTAATGACACTGGTTAGTTGGCTAACTAAAAAATATTTCAATTTTTAGTTGAAATTTTACAAATATTATTCCAGGTGAACTAAAAATCATTGTGCAGCTTTTATGTCCCAACGAGCGTTATGTTGGTCGCGTCGTGGGAACGGGGGGCTCAATTATTAGAAATCTAACCCTAGCTACACAAACCATTTTATCAGATTTACTCCGCGTCCCTGTCGACCTTCTCATTAAACCTTATACAAAGCAGAGCAGCAAGGACAAGGACAAACCGTCATCGTGATTAAGTCCAGAATTTTGTACTAATTAGTCGTTTATAATTTTGTGTGAGTCTACAGTAGTAGAACTTATATATGCTGTTTAATAAATGTTTACTGAATTTTTATATGTAGATTGATACGCTCAGAACATTTATAACCATCATTATCTATTTTAAAAATTGAAAGTTATAAATATATAGTTTAAGTTGACTCGAATGTTGTATACTTGCTGCATAAAGTTTGCACTGTTTTATTCTTTCTATTCTATGGTTTTACCTGGATAAATTTGATAGATTTATTGAAGGGGCCTAAAATGGGAAAACAGTTTGAAAACTGAACCTGCTCTCAGAAAATTCATGATATTTCGTAATTTTAACGTATTACGACGTACACGTAAACTTACGACGATTGACGTTGGAGAATTGCAAAATAAAGAATTCATGATTGTCTGTCATTCATAAATCGAACTCTGCGTGAACCTTTGTTATGGAATTGGATAATAAATTGCAATTTATATTAATACGGGTTCTCTTGAATTTTACATGAGCTTAATAATAAATTATTCTTAATCAAGGAAGACCAATTATCTAGTTTTGCATAAATGTCACGCGTCATGTCGAGATAATTCATAATTAAAATGCTCTTCTCTTCCCGAGATGGATATTTTCATGACACACTTATTTCGGCTCCGTTCCATTTCATCGCAGGGAAATTCAACCACTTTCCCCAATCCAAATTCAGCTGTGACGAAGAAACAATCATGAATCTACCGATCTTATCTTTGATAACAACAACACTACACAATCCACAATTAAAACTTGACTAGTCATTTCTTGTTATCTGTAATGGTGGTCTCGTCCAAAATTTATAATTTATCTAAACCCGTCCTTTCAAGCCAAATATAAAACTCAGTCCTCTACCAATTTACGTTTAGATTTGTAAATATTTTCGTCTCTGGAAACGTTAACTGTTCTTTTTTTAACGATGACGATCTGTTGTCCAGCCGCGCTCGGAGCGTTTGTAACGTATGCGATTGCATCCACATTTTTCTGGCATTATCCACACCTACTTCATAAAAAGAAACGTGTTGCATTCACTGCGGCACATATTTCACATCGGGGAGGTAAGTCTTAAATAGTTTGATAGTTAGAGAGGATTGTATATTTAACTAGTTGACGTTTTTACTATCTTGAATTGTATTATAGGATCCGCGGAGGGATACGAAAACACCATCCGTGCCTTTAGAAAGTACGTTGGATATGGATTAGAGATGCATTTTTTATGACATGACTAACTTAACATGATAATTGATGATTACATTTAATAATAACTAATATTTGTAATGATTAACAGCGCCATCGACAAAGGGACCGACATGCTCGAGCTGGACGTCCGTTTGACGAAGGATGGTCGTGTCGTGGTCTTTCACGACGCTGATTTGAGCAGAATGACTGGGAAAAATGTCAAAATTTCCGACCTCGAGTACAGTCAACTACCCATTTTGTGCCCAGCAGTACATATTGATACGATTCCAGGTATTTATTACGACGAAAGGTCATCATTTTTTAACCTTTCACTTGAAATTGTAGAGAATTGTATAAAGTTGTACATAATAAATAATAACGTAATTGTGTACAGGCACAAAATTTAGTGACCTCTCCTGGCCGGAGGATGACCGACGTATCCCCCTTTTACGTCAAGTCTTCCGTGAGTTTCCGACCGTTCCGATGAACATCGACATTAAGGATAATGACGACAAACTTATCAGAAAAGTAGGAAAGTTGCTAAACGAATTCCACCGGACAGAGATAACCGTGTGGGGTAGTTTTAACAATCGCGTATGTAAACAGTGTTTCGTCACGGTAAGGACTAATACCGAACTACTGTTATGAGTCAATATAATACATGAATCAATAAGTGCTTATTACAACTATTTTTCCCTTACAGAGTCCAGATACGCATCTTTTCTTTTCCGCGACCCGAGTCATCGTTTTGGTACTTTTCGCTGTAACTGGTATCCTCCCCTTCATTCCGTTAAGAGAATCGCACTACGAAGTATTTCTTCCTCTTGCGATGAAAAAGTGAGTCAGACAATTCACACCAAGTTTTGTAACCGTGTAAACTTTGTAGAATTTGAAACACCTCGGTCAATCAATCGGTGTCTCGACATTACATTTCAGCTTCTCAGTTTGCACGGTTATAACTTGCATCAATTAGAATCTGCACCATCAATATTCTCATTTTCTATCCAAATTTTATCTAAATTTTAATTACTTAATTTTTTTTAGACGCCGCCTCCAAAATGGGGGAAAGCTCTCTCTCACGGAAACCGTGATTCTCTTTTTTTCCTCCCTACTTGTTTGGAAGCCGATGATTGCGCATTTGCAGAGACGCGGAATTCAAGTCTATTTATGGGTTTGCAACAGCGAGGAAGAGTTCGCCGCGTGTAAATCAGTCAACGCCACGGGAATTATGACGGACCGACCGACAAAGTTGAGGGAGTTTTTAGATAAGAGAGACCCCCCTAAATAAACTCCAACATATATCAAATAAAGGGCCAAGAATGTACAATCCACTTCTACAATACATGTCTAAATTTATAATCAATGCAAATTTATGTTCTCCAAGTTTGTAAGAAAGAAACGCTAAAGAAACTTTGTGATATTGATAATCCAATTTCGAAAGTATTTCGGTAAAGAGAAAACATGCCAACCTGTTGTGTCACAAAATATCGTAGCATCAAAGTATTTACAGAGAAAAATGCAATAATAATGAGTCAAAGTTGATACAATTCTAGTAGAAATTTCCAGTCTAGTCAACAACACTATACGGTTTTTCATGGCAAGAAGATACGCATTTATTTTACCTTTTTCAAACGCTATACACAATGTTTTATATAAGTAAACTGATAGTGCTAAATAAATACGCTTGTAATTCCAAATTAACCAGTATTTTGTGTGCTAATTGCTATACTACAGACTAAAATATCAGATTGGTTATTGGTCCCTTCTTTCTTTCATTGTCTTTTCGATTTCATCACTATAAATGCACCGTAATTATTGTAATTAGTTACTTAATTATACATTGCAATTTTAACATGATTGGTTACTTATTATTTAATTATGTATCTATTTATTCTCTTTGGTCTTTCATTCTTTGGAAGCATAATTAGCATAAGCAATTGAAGAGCAATTAACTATAATTACCCAACCGGACAAAATATTATTATTTGCATTGACGATATTCACACCACTTGTGTAACTTTGTAAGCTGTGTAAATTTTTGAGATGGACGAACCAAAAACACAGAAAATTGTGAAGATTGATTTGAAATTACTTTAGAGAGATTTTTTGCAAATTTGATAACTTTACAGTTACACAGCTTACACAGTTAATAATAGTTGCAGGTGAATTGTCTGATTATTTTGTTAAATACTGAACCGATAATATCATCGTCACTTACCACACCACAAAAATTATGATGATAATGCGTGTGGGGTACTAGAGAAGAGCCTGACCAGCAGCAGTAACACATTAAAGACTAATTAATTGTGTACTATAATATAATAATAATACTTGACATCATCGTCACTCTGATCTCCTGATCTTCATATATTTAAGTACCGGTTAAATAGCACCCTTTAAACCTTTCCACACTTTATTAAATTTTACGTTTCATTTTTTTTGTGAAATAATAATGATCACAATGATCACACAGAGAATTTAATCATATCACAACAGATTACGACTGAATATTTTTGCAAGTACCATTTTCCTAGTACTTGTGCACCGCAATTCGTTGCCAGTTAAAGACAACAAGAAATAATACTAAACAGAGATCCAATCAGTAAAAGATCGGTCGCCTCGTCGGAGTTCGGCGAGTTCGCACAAATGCAAAATTTCTAGCGAAACGGAATCGCGTATCTTTGTACAAAGCTAAACGTTGGAAGTTTAAACGGACTGGATCTACAAACAAAATTGAAAATTCAAGCTCATGTTCATTTCGTTGTTTAAATTAATTACCCAAATTTTCAACTTTAAAATTTTAGTTTGATCCCACTTTACAACAGTCGGCTTACCATACTTGGCCATAATTTCAAGCTTGGTGGGTCGATGGAACTTTTTCTGTTTTCTGTAAAACAGCTTTTCATAAATACTCATGATTGGTTTATGAATATATTCGACATCTTTTCGAGCCGCTTTCTTGAAATCCTTCTTCCTTCTGTCAACCCAGGAGCGTTGGACGATGTGTGCGATCAGATCGTACTCGTTGACGTCCTCTTCGTACGTATACTTGAGTCCGAAGATTGTATCACCTGGAAGAATCGTCTTAAAGCGTGAGCGGAAGTGTGACCTCTCACAAAATATTGGCATTAGTTAATTAATACTAAATGAATAAGTAACATGGCAAGAAACCCAATACTAAACAGGACTAATTATGAATAGTTAGTGAACTAAAGTGCATTTTTTTGTCATGGCTATCTGTTTCCTTCCTCCCTACTCATAAAAATCAGTACCAGAGATCGGTTTTTGAGTAAAGATGCTTGTGATGTACTCGGGATACTCTTCATCGTAGTGGACATTGTCCTGCAGGTCGAACGACAACTTGGCCGCGATCGGGTCGCAGTTACAGGCGCAGGCGGCCACCGTCTTCCATCCACGTTTGTAGAGGACGAGAAACTTGAGGGCGTTCAGATCGCCGAAGATGACCGTATGGTTGTAGTGCTCTCCATAGCCTGGGACATATTAGCAAGTAAGAAATTGATAAGTGGAGGCAGATATGTGCAGTATACTTACCAACGTAACGGAGCGTCACTCCAGCTACGGTTGTCCAGAAGAAGGGAACCGTTTCAATGATGGACTCTGGCTGCCGATCTGCCATGGCAAGAGCCGCGATGTGTCCCATTTTCTGGGCCATTCCAAAATGACCGCATTGAGCCTTTGTTGTCACAGAACTGCGGCATGGGAAGGTGACTATGTCCCCGCAGGCGTAGTGGTCGCGAAGATGGGTCTCCATATACTGGTGGTGGTGGGAACAAAAAGAGAACCATGTTGGGCATTAATAAAATAAAATTGAAACACAATGTTCAAAGTTTCGACAAAAAACGTAAGCGATATCTCATTTCGCAACAAATTCTCTACTATTAAGATTATGACGAATTTACCATACCTCATTGACCGGGATGAATCCACCTTGCATTCCTAGAGCAGGCTCATGGGGAAGCTTGAAGCCATCATTTTCCAGCTGTGGCTTATACGGCAGGATCATGTCCGTATTCGGGATACCGCCGATAGCAAAGATGACCAGGTCGCATCTGATTGATCGCTTCTTGAGGGTCCGAATCTTCCAAACATTTTTCTTTGCATTGCCGTAAATTTTTTTGATTGCGTCGGAACAAATAAAGCGAACGTTCCTCCCAAACTTTTTAAGCAAGTGCTGTTGAACGACGCGACCCACGGAGTCGCCAAAAGTAATGCCGTATGGACGTTTACTACGGTGGATGACGTAGACTCTTCTTGCAAGGAGGCTCAGCGAGGGGAGGATTTCCATCGCGATGAATCCAGCCCCCATCATGACGACCACATTGCCTTTGGACTTCTCCTTGATGCGGCGCGAGTCGCGAAGGTCGTACAAGGTTTCGATGTTGCCCAGATCAGTGCCGATTATTCCGTTCTTTGTCGAGATCGGGACACGGGGTCTGCAAGGGAAAAACGTATTTTGTAAGTAACATTTTCAATGCACCAAGATAAATGGTTTAACTTGTTATCAAATATTTGGAAAATTATTAAAAATCAGGTGTCACTTTTTCAACCATTCAAGGCTTTTCGAAAATGAAAGTTTACGCGTATCGGATACAAAGCAAAATTTTAATGATTATACCTCGTTTTGAGTATAACAACAAATGCGCACACTAATTTTTGAAATTATTTTACATTAAACTCACTTCATTCCGGTTGCGATTAAAATCCTATGATATTCAACCGTCTCGTCCATCCCATCGATCGTAAGCTCTTGTTCTTCGACATCCAAAGAGGTGACATTTGCACTCAGCATGACCTCAATTTCTGCCGCCTGAAAGGAATCATTATTAAAGAAAACATCAAATTAAACAAAATAAAAATTGATCCCACCTCAAACCAAGCCTCGTCCCTCAATTTGATCTTGTCCCAGTCAATGCCGAGCGATTTGCTCAACTTGGTCCGATCATAGGGCAAATAGTCGTCTTTCGTGATCATTATGATCCGACCGTCCCAACCGATTTCTCGTAACGTTTGAGCCGCGGAAAGACCACCAGGGCCTGGACATTAACAGTAAAATAATGTTTATCCAAATAAGTGGCAATAAAATTTCGACCTTTATATCAAAGGCGGTACACACCTGCTCCAAAGATGACGTAGAGGTCCTGCTTCACCTGCAGACTGCACATGGGTCGCTGAACCGTGTACGTTCCGATGTTGTTGGGATACACGGTCAATTTTCCTGTCTCGTCCCGTTTCACGGGGTATGAGGGGATGCAATCCAGACTGGGATAGTCTTCGATGTCACCTATGTATTAAACATAGAAGGATAAGTTAAAGTCACAACAACCTCTGGATAAGAAATGACATTAATTCATCCTGAGAGTATTCACGCCACTTTTATAACTGTACAAATTATATGGGAAGAATGCAAGATTTGGATTGATCAAGGGGTATAAAATGGGTATGATTTTTGAGCTGGAGATGTTTCGGCGAAGGTTGTTTTTCATTAAAGTTGACAAAATTTGAATTTAAGTTTGAAATGGGATATTACACACACCTGTCCGCACATCAAACGACGCCCCGTGCCAGGGACACTTGATAATCCCATCGAGATAAGCACCCTTTGCCAAATTCGCCCCGTAATGAGGACACTTGCTCCCGTACGCGTAAAAATTCCCCTCCACTTGCGACATGAGTATGGTAAATTCCGGCGTTACCTTAATTTCCCTTACTCTATAGATAATACAAAATAGTAGTTAATATTTTAAATTAAAATTAAATTCCATCCCATTTCTACTCACTCTTGCGTCCCGTAATCTTCAACCCGTCCGGCGTCAATGCCTTCATCATCTGCATCAACTTCACCTACACGATAAGAAAAAGGCGTTAAATTTGATAACTCAAATCAACTACTGAATCCAACTCACCAATCTCGGGAATCTGGATATCCTTCTCTTTCGAACAGCCGAGCCCCATCGTACAACTTTTGCACAACCACACCCAACTTCCTGTTTGTGATTCTGGTGGTGGTGCGTTTCGTCACACGGGTGACGAAAAAGAAATGATTAAGTTTACCGATAAAAGATAAGTGACTTATCCCCGTAAGAAATTGGAGAGACAGAGAGAGAGAGAGGACCAAACCACAACAGATGACAGGTTGTAAACACACAATGACAGACTGACCCAGAAATGAAAGTGAAATGGAAAAAAAGTAGATCAGATCACCATCGTCGTCTCAATATTCCCATTTCGTCATTAAATTAACTGTCGTCATAAATATGTCCACTTGACATGTACATCATTGGTTAATTTGTTTTCGGTCCACCTGTTGCAAAAGAGTAGATAAGCGAAAAACGTAAAAGTATGGATAACCTTGTCGATAAGGTACTTACCCCACCACAATCTCCGTCATCGGCCTTTTTCTCTTATCGGAATGGTCTCCTGTACTGTGAAGAGGTCAGTATAGACGATTTTCTAACCACTAGCTTATCTAAAACGGAGGATAAGAAAGATGTAGTCAATATCAATGGAAAAGTGTAAGAAGAACATATATAAGCATAACGTAATTAAAATACTGTTAATAATGATTGATAAGGTATCAATTACTTAATTTTTAGAGTGACCTTGGACGTTCCACCCACCCCGGTATTTCTGTACAGCTTGGCCGCTTTGAAGTCCAACGTGTCGAAATATTTGGACGCCATACGAACTTCAGAGTTGAAGTGTCGCCTTGGGTAAAGACTAGAGAAAGAGATGAATTGACGTCATTGACGATAAGCTGCTCTATTATTTATTACATCGTGTCATCATATGAGAATAATATTATGATGAGCAGATGATAACCATTTCGTCACAGATATGCCGTCAAAGCGAACGGGAACCATACCATTTTGACTACACTGCATCAATCCGGGGTGGAAATGCTAGTATGCGTTTCCGGAAATGAAGTTCTCTCAGGAATTCAGGCCGGTTTTGAGCCCAGAAATATAATTTTGAACGGAAATGGGAAACAAGAGTGAGGATAAAATTTTGAAAATAATTATTTACTTAATTTTAAAAAATTATAATTTGTTTTTAACATAAATTTAAGATGGGAAATAAAGCTTGCGATCCAATTCGGTCTCCTGCTCAATGTAGATTCCGTCTTTGACGCGAAAAATATTGCAAACGTGGCTAAATTGCATCCTGGACGAGAAGGTGCGTCATTTTCCGGAATTCATGTAGCTGTTGACATGTCATGACCTCTAAAAATGTCTGATTTAGTCCGCCTCCTTCTCCGAATTCGTCCCAGTGCCACAATCCACAAAGGAGATTTGGCCATCCATCCCTACGTGAATACTGCAGAAGCATCCAAATTTGGCTTCGGGAAGGATGAGTTGGATCAGGTTTTGACAATATTGGAGGGTCAGGAAACCACCAAAGTGGTCGGGATTCATTGTAAGAAAGTGCTAATTAACAGGAGAATCTTATCAAAAGTTATGACTAATTTGTATCTCAGGTCATCTCGGATCTTGTATTTACGACCCCGACGTGTATCACTCTATCGGCAAAATAATGACCGACATGGTTGACGAATTGGGGAAGAGGGGTCACACCGTGGAGCTGCTCGACATCGGGGGCGGCATAGGGATCGATTACTACAAAGTGGTACCAGGCATGGAAGAATACGGGGTCAAGACAAGTCCGAACCCTCATCAAGTCGTCCCAAATATCGCCTCATTTATGTCCATCTTAGCCAAAACTCTGCCCAAAAATGTGAACATCATTTTGGAACCGGGTCGATCCATGGTAGGACAAATTTTAATATTACAAAGTAGTTAACAAAACATCCAATCAAAGGTGGGGTAATACAAATTATGCACATTTCCAGGTCGCCGACACTGCCCTCGTAGCTTGCAAAGTGCTCGGAAGGAAGGTGGCTGGACAAAAGAAATTCGTCATTGTTGACGCCTCCATGTCGGAAGTGATTCGACCCTGCTTGTACGGTGCCCATCATCAAATCCTTCCCACCAAGTTGTCCAAGTCGAGTCAAGTGTGTAAATTAATTATAGTCAAATGTGCAAATTAATTAAACAGAAAATTGCATAAAATACTTGGTCCTTTCCCAGTGGGAACCGTACGACGTGGTCGGACCAATTTGCGAAAGTGCTGACTTTCTCGGTCACAATGTCCCCCTCCAAGAAGAAGATAAGGATTCGACAGCGTCTTATCTGGCAATCATGGACGTTGGTGCCTACTGCTTCTCCATGTCTTCAAACTACAATATGAGACCACGGCCCGCAGAGGTGAAGCTTAACTTATCAATGACAAATTTGTCTAAGTATACATGTCAATTCCCCGTTGTCACTTTTCCCATTTTATCAATTCACACCTGTCATGAAATGCTAACAATTGCATCAAAACTGCCTTCGTAGAACTTCTATCCATTACTTCATATCGTAGAACCACCATTAAATTCTATCACTGAAATTTTATCATAAAATCCTAAGACCTCAACTAGATCCTGGTTTGGGTCATGTAGTGCGTATCATTTCATGACATTGTGTGAATTGATGATGGGGAAATGCTAAAGGGGGGAAATTTACCGTGGGGAATTGATAAATGTAAAAATGCACGATACAATAACAATATCCTTCTCACATGCAGATTATGATTGACGGCACGACTTGGACAACAATTCGGGAAAGAGATACCTTCCAAAATGTTACAGGGAGAGGAACAATTAATTGACTGGCATTAGTTACATTACAACATTTAATAAAAACTATACCCTTACGATCAGGCCTTTATTAATACATCATATGTACACATAGAGAGATATTATACATTATGAATGCATATTATAAAATTTCAATTTTGAAAAATTTTAAGATATTTGTGCACATTACATGCAATAATTGCACATAACAAGACTATGATTGATTAGAATAACAAGTTTTAGTTTGGATTGCTCTTATAAATTTAATACATTTTAGTTATCCTTGTCTCCCTCCACGTCTGACCAACTATCATCATCCTCATCCCATGTCAGTGTTCTTCGTACACTAGGATCACGAAGCAGGATATCCACATAGTTTGCCGCAACTATAATCAAAAAAAAATATTCGTTATCTACCTTCCCTTCTGAGTGATTCATTCCATTTATGAACATTTATTATTTTAGATAATCTACTTGATCCGCGCATTCCGATGGCTCTTCCTCATCGCCGGTGCTGGCATCCCCTTCCCCCGATGGAACCGGGGTCCTGTTGTACTCGGATGTGGGAGATCGTGGGTCCACTGAATTGTCTCCCGTACCTTGCTCCTTACAGTATCGCTGTGAAATCAGATTCATGATATTGTAGCCTTCAATATCTAGACTACGACCACATTTGGACATTATCAGTTCGCCTTACCTCATATGAAGTTGATGGTCTTGAATCAACAAAGTGGTACGTAGTAGGAAGAGAATCCAAGTAATCACGAAGCAGCTTCTGATCCTCTGGCGATAATGGCCAGTCCCCAATACGAGGCACTGGCAATGGTGCCTTCGCACGGAGCGAAGGTCCTTCCACACTTGTCGACGGCGCCTCAACACTTGTCGACGGTCCTTTCACACTTGGCGACGGCGCCTTCGCACTGGACGGAGCGGCCTCCACATTTGTCTCCACACGGGGCGAACCTGCGTTTACATTGCGCCGCGGTGCGTCCACGTTGGGCCGTTTGGAAAAACGAGACTTGATGTTGCCCATTTCGACCTTTTTCCACTTTAATACTTTCCTCAGTTGAAATTTTGCGACTTGCTTCCAGAGGTTTCGCCAACGAGTGAGGAAAAGAGAGCCAGCGACGGGACTGGAAGTTGGAAAAAGTTGAACAAACTGACTCCGTTCGTTTTACTTTTTCACCCATAAATTGGGGAAATTTGACTCATTTTCATCCCACTTGATTCTCATCTTTCCACGTTCACGGTGCGTTTTTAAGCCGTTTGGTTGAAATTTGCCCATTGCCAAGAGTAATTTGACAAGTTTAAGAAAACTAAAAGTTGTTGAATCTCGAACATCGGTATTTTTAAAACGGACAGAGTTTTCATACATGCGACGCCAGCGTGAACAAAGGTCGTCTCACGCAACCCAGCGGGAAAAGAGAGTGGCACATGCAGTGAAGTGAAGCACGTTGTTGGACTAGAGACAGGCAAATAAGTACTGTTAACTAATTAATGTTGGATTTTGTCAGTAATTAATTCCGTTAAATGGGTCGAGTCCGTAATTCGGGAAGTAGTGGGGCCGGTCATCGCGCCGGACCACTCAAACAAGCCAACAAGAAGCATAAAACTGGACGGCATCGGAGTAAAGGCACTCTCGACACGGAAACGAGAGGTATATTAATTTAAATTACTATTAAGTTCTAATTGTTATGTGATAATGACCACTTAATTAATTAGGTCGTGTTCCAAGCATGGATTCTATTTCCAAAAGGTCTAAGGGAATGACTAGCCGGGCGGAAAGGAAGAAACAGGCAGCTGTCGAAAGGTGAATGCTTTTAATTAATAATATAGAATTAAATTGTGCCTTTATATTGGAAATTATTCATTGTCACAGAATGAAGAAGATGGCAGAGACTGTAGAAAAGAAGAAGGCGGTGGGTGGGATGCGAGGAGCTCCAATTTGTGTTGCCCTCATCCCCCTCTCTGCAACTACGAATGTTGACTTCATGCTCAAGTTTATTCTCTCAAACGTGAAAGGATTTGGGACCGTGGTAGGACAATCGGCCGAAGGTGCAGCGACACATGTCAAGTAAGACAGCTATTAGTTAAATTAACAAACTGTTAACGTATTTTTATTCATTCTCTTACACATCTCTTCCTCCTCGTTTGATAGGTTATCAAATGGAAAGAACATCATGTTGGTGAAGCCTCCATCCAATGATATCTGGGCAGTGTTGGACACTCTAAAACAGAGTGACATTTCCCTGTTTTTGATGCCAATCTTAGATGAAATTTCCCCCGAGGGGTTGACACTCTTGAAAACTGCGAAAGAACAAGGTGCAGTAGTATTTGACATAAGTGATGTCGTTGTCTAATTAATTTAACACGTCGTTTATGTAATGTTTCCTATTTCCTAATCTTTCTAGGTCTACCAACCCCATTTCTCGCCGTTAGTTCTTCATTTACCAAGCAGGAGGAGAGATCATTTCTAAAATCCATCCAGAAGCTTGTCCCAACCGATAAGATTTTTCCACTTTTGAATCCTGGACAGATTTCAAATCTATTGAGAATGATTTCTGTCTCCAAGTTAACTATCCCTCGACCGTGGGGGTTGAGATCGTCTCTTTTCATTGAGAACTGTGTCCCATACCACGCCATTGACCAGGCCGTACTGCATCCAAACTATGTCGCCGCAGCTCCAGAGGATGGCCATTTGAATCTACTCCAAGTCACTGGAGTTATCCGACGCAAGAATTTGAACCCGTACAAACCCGTTCTCATTTCTGGAGGTGGAGCCTTTCAAATTTTGCGAGTTGATGTAACTCCGATGAAAATTCCGACAGAGTTCATTTCTGCCGAGCAGTTGGAACACGATGGGGGTGAAGTAGCAGCAAGTGGTCTTCCTCCTAGATTTTTTTACGATCCGTTAGCTGTGCCGCAAGAGGAAGTTGATACGGTTGAGAATAATGATGACGAGGTGACGCTGAAGTTTGGCACTTATATTGTCAGTGGAAATGTGTATCTTCACATATGTTTTTTTTTAAATATGCAGATGCGAGACGATGACATGTCAGATATCGACGCCTTGAGCGACAACGACTATCCATCAGAAGATGATGACGATGACGACGACGATGATGATGAAGACGATTCTCAAAGTCAAATGTCAATGGACGTGGAAAGTGAAAGTGGTGCTGGTGTTGGAACAAGCAAGAAAAAGAAGAAGAAGGCACAAACCAAGCAGGGGTTGCCCAAAGGAACTTCCGAATACCAGGCCGACTGGTTAGTCAATTCGGATGGAGAGGCCGACCAGGATATCATAGGGTCAGATGAGGAACTAGAGAATGATGAGGAAGAAAGTGAAGGCGACGACTATGACGATAACCAAGAAATGGATTGGGAGGAAGAGAAACGACAAGTACAGATTAGGAAAGGTAAGTAATTAGACAAAACAAATTATTAAACAAAATTGTAAACTAAAATTTAATTTTATTGTTCCAGATGCGAAAACAGAGGCTGAATTTCCGGATTGGGTCGACACACCTTTGGAGACTTTAGCTAAAGTCAGATTTCAAAAGTATCGAGGACTTCAGTCGTTCAAAAATTCAAGTTGGGATGTGAATGAAAATTTGCCCAAAGAATATGGAAAGATTGTTCAATTTCAAAACTATAAGCACGTCTACAAAGTTGTATTGGGAAAAAAGGTGGCGGATGATGGACCAGGCTACATCCCGGTAACTATAATACTGGCTAACATTGCATTGTTTTTAAAGTTCTATTGTAATAATTAATGTAATAATTAATGTATTAATTAATGTATTAATTAATTGCATTAATCAGATTGGCCAACGAGTTACCATTATTTTGAAACCACTGGATGAACACAGTTCGAAAATGGTTGGCACGATAGGCTCTTCAAAACCGGTATCTCTGGTATCTCTACTCCGCCATGAAATGAAGATGTCGGTGCTCAACTTTCAACTAAATCTTAGCGACGTGTTAAAGAACAAAGAGGAGCTCATATTTCAAGTGGGTTATCAACGCTTCTCCGCAAAACCCGTGTTGAGTGAGGTTTCACCAGGAAATAAACACAGAGTGAGTTGGTACAAGTTTAAAATTAAATGAAGAAGAATTTGACATTAATTTGAACCTTTGAATTTTGTAGATGATCCGCTACGGACAAGTTAACCAAAGTTGTATGGCCACTGTATTTGCTCCCATCGTGTTTCCTCCTGCTTCTGTTATTGTATTCAAAATGGCCAAAGGAGAATTGGTAAGGGTCATATCGAATCGAATCTTAATTAACCTTAATCCTGTATCTGTAATTATATTTCTATTTTATTTTGCATTCGCAGATCCCTGTTGCAAACGGTCACTTATTTTCCGTCGACCCAGCTCGTCTCGTTATTAAGCGTGTTCTCCTGAGTGGTCATCCCTTCAAAGTTTCAAACAAGAATGCCGTTGTTCGATTCATGTTCTTCAACAGGGAAGATATCGACTGGTTTAAACCAGTGGAGCTGAAGACACGCTACGGTCGTCGGGGTCATATTAAAGAACCGCTGGGTGAGTTGCACAGCAAAACGAATATTTAATTTATGTAGATGTGTAGGGTGCATTTTTCTACTATTTTAATTTTCTACCTCATTTAGGAACACATGGTCACATGAAGTGCAGTTTCGATGGACAAATGAAATCTCAGGACACTGTTCTCATGCCTTTGTACAAGCGTGTCTTCCCCAAGTGGAACTATGAACCCTTCGTCCCAGCCTTCACAATTTTTGATTCGTATCAAAAATCATAACGCAATTTAGATTATATTTAAAATAATTATAGTTTAATATTATTTACATAATCTACATCGTTATTTGAAAAACATTGCAAATGTTTTGAACCGTGTGCGCACTGATTTTGTGTAACTTACAAAATAAACGTATATTTAGAAAACCAGAATATATTGTTTATTTATTTTTCAGTCTGTCGTGTCGTTATAAGTATTTGGGTTTGTTGAATATGGATTCATGCTTGTTTCATACTTTAATTGGCAATAGCTCTATTTTAGTTTTGGAACATCCTTAATCACAAAGTCGGCCAACATTTGAGCGTAACCTTTTCCTTGTGGGTCCGGATTTAAAGCAGCAATTCCTCCTCCTCCCAAAGACTTTTCGAGGACAAAGTTGAGCCCCTTTACACCACGCAGTTCATACCTGCATAAAATAGAACTTCATGTAATAATTGATTGATTATAATTGAAGGGGTCTTCAGGTTCATTATTTAGCCACTCACCGCTTACAAACAGGGACTCCTTGAAATTTATGTTTAAAATAATCAATAACTTCCGACCCACCAAGACGGGTGGAAATGTATGGAAACCAGTCCGGATTTCGAGCGATGACGCCAATGTTGCAAGTGTCGCCTTTGTCCCCCGAGCGAAGCCAGGCGAGGTCACTCAACTTGTAGGAATAAGTCCCCGATGGTACCGTCGCTGTGGTCGATTCTGCTGTCCCAATTTTTTCTAGATCTTCCAATCCAGTGAATTTGTCATTGCCAGGATCCACCCAACTCTCCTCGTGGCCATCCGAAGTTTGAATTTTAACGACGAGCTTCTCCTTGGGAAAAAGGTAGGAGAAGAAGTGCAGCAAGGGAGCTGGTTTTGGTCTTCCAGAAATGACGGTGGTCAAACCAGGCGCCATTCCAGTGCCTGCAGAAGCAATCTCTTTGGCGAATATTTCTAGCGCTTTTCTCTCCGAGTGGTGAACAGCCATCCAGAGCACGGCGTCACGAGTGGCCAAGTTTTCAGGTCTGGAATATATGCAATTTTACCAATCTTTAAAACGTTTTTTATCAAATAAGGTCCTAAATTCCTACGAACCTCGCATTATCTCCATAAGCCTCCTCCGATCCTAGAATTTGAACATACTTCCGCTTAAAGTCCTCAAGTTTGAGCATTTTATACAGAAAACTGGATCGTTTTAGTATCGCTTCAGCGGTTTTGCGACCCTTTTCTCGTGCCCGTGGACCAATAATTGGACACACTGCGGTGCATTTCCATCCTTCTTGGAATGTTCCACCTGGAGAAAAACACAACATTACGTTATACATAAATATAAATATGTTGTTGACGCCAAGTTCCAGAGCTGCTTGCAATCATACCGACTTTATAGGTTGACGTAGGCGCCCTGCCCTTCGCCCCAGAGACCTTAACTCCACCCTCCACCTCCTCCAATTCCACGTTCGAAAAATCACAAACTACATCCGGCAAGACGTACGCGGCTGGGTTGCCGATTTCGTACACTAGCTGTTCCCCAACCGTTCCCCTGGTAAGGAGACCTCCTGTACCTTCCGGTTTTGTGATTGTGATTCCGCCGTCGGAGGAGCAAATGGCGATAGGGAATCCTACATCGTGAGAATTATGGATTTCAACACAAATTTGTGCATATAAATTAATTGTCATTCTGACCATTGTTCTCCCACCCTGACACAGAATCCCAATCCGTGTAAATCCCTCCAGTAGCTTGAGCACCACACTCGATAAGATGTCCGGCTAGAGAACCTTTCGCCATGAGGTCGTAATCTTGCGGCGACCATTTATACTGTAGTACAAAGTAATAGGGTAATTTATTATATTTGATACTTGCGTAGAAATGTCCCACTATTTCATCCACACAAAAATATATCGTCATTTACGGTATGGATAAGCGGTCCCAGAGCCAGAGCAGAATCTGTACATCGTCCCGTGATCACTATGTCTGCGCCAAGGTCGAGAGCACGACTTATGGGGCCAGCACTGCAAATATCAGACATAAACAAGATAAAATTAGGCACTACTTCTCTACAAATCAGTAAACAACGAGTAGTCCACCCACCCACCCGAGATAGGCATTCGCACTGGTCACAGTTTGTGGTGAGGGGCACTGTTCCAGCGTTAAGGTGTCCTTCGAATGGAGAAGATCGTCCCCAGTGACAAGGGCGACTTTGAGACCTGTACAACCAACCTTCTCCGCCACGCCGAGAAGAGTCTTCATACACGCCGAAGGGTTCACTCCGCCCGCATTCGTCACAATTTTAATACCTAAACAATAAACATGTCATAACCTTGAAAGTGACCTTTATAAAACATATTCTGCAATATGCGCACCTTGTTTCTTAACTGCCGGCAGTAAAGGTCCCACACTCTGCACAAAGTCGGGACACCATCCCCCCAACTCTGGATTTTTCTGTTGAGACGCCACCAACAAGGACATTGTCACTTCGGACAGATAATCCAAAACGAGAAAGTCCAATTTACCACGGTTGATAAGTTGACCAGCTGTGCAACAAAAGAAATACAAATTAAAACAATCCATACATATTTAATTGCTAAATAAAACAAGTCTAACCCGCAGTGGGTGTATCCCCCCAAAATCCGCTGGCACACCCGATCCGCACAACGTCTGCCTTGTTCCTGGTCGTCGTCGTGGCATAATTGGCATGTCTGGAAATACGCCCGCACCGAATTCCTGCGCCCGGCGTTAGTAGAGAGAAACGATGAAAGGGAAGACGCATCTTGATAATAATGACGTGATATAAATAACTTTACTATTTATTCCACCATAATTAATTATTATTTATCTTTACAGTAAATAAATAACACACGTTCACTCACTGATGGACTTTACACTCTGCTCGCCTTTTTCCTTGCATATGAATGTACATGGATCTCTGGTTATGTAAACAAGAATCTCAATTTAAATGTGTCATTCATTAACCAAGACCAGTCTCAAACTGCCTCTCGAATCTCATCATTGTGCTTTTGGTAGAAACCATGTTCATGCCAGTCTCAGTCTCATTCTTGCAAAAGTTGGATTTTTGCATGCAAAATTGTAATTGCTAAAAAAATACGTGTAAAGGATCACTTTTTAAATTCTGAGTACAATGGAGTTGCAAGTATTGCAAATAATAATATGCCTCCACGCCCCATAGTTTTTTTGTAGATTTGTTTCGCCAATAGTGCTCAGGTACTGGTGATCAGAAAATTAATTAAAAAATTTATTGTTAATTTTCTTTACATGATTAAAATTTACATCAATAATTGACTCATATTATTACTCAATATTGGCTACGAACGACTATGTATCGTATCGTACGCACAAAAATGCCACCCACCCACTAGGATTTATTATGCTCCAATTTTTCAGGTAGCTCTGTAGAGTCAGTGACAGGAGGACGCTAAAATTAGAGGATAACCTGGCATGTTTACACTCACAGATTTTGGGGCCATTTTAATTTTGCTAAATCTCTCAAATGGTATTTACACCATTAAAAATTTACAAAGATTTCTAAAATTTAAAAAAATAGTTTGAAATTTTGCTCAAATTAGTATATTTTGTCCTTTCTTACAATTAGTATTGGTCTTTCGAAGTATTTATTTTCGGCAACAAACTCGGTTGTTTTTAATTTCTGAGAACAGACTTCTACTGACTTGCGCCATTTGAACTCAGCAAAGTTCGACGCCGCAGGTAGAATTTTACGCCACCGATAAATCTGATTTCCTATACATACATTTAGACGACCTGAAAAATCACCAAAATTCGAGCCCTCGCCATTTTCTCAATATTTGCAATTTTCAAATTTTGAAATGAAATTGAACTTGTATAAATTGGATCAAAATGACATCAAAATCTGTGAGTGCAAACCTCTCACGTTATCCTCAAACTAATGATGCATAGATACATACATAAAATAAATAAACTTGAGCTTATGTATACACAAACTGCCCAACAACATTACCAAATGCGTTAATTGCCTCATCTCTCCAAATTCCCCACCTGCAAAGTAACTCTGCAGACGGAGGGCTGATATGTTCATTATTATTCGAATATATTGAGCAAGACGAAAAAGGAAGGAAGTGGTTGAGCCGTGACCAATTCCATTGTTGTCCGAATCGTAAGTTGACCACGCAGCCGCGGCCGCCTCATCCGACGCAATTATTTCAATTCTTTCTTCGACACCTCATTTAATTCCTAGCATTTATCGAGATTCGGGTCCTACAGGCATATGCACGCGCTGCCTGATCAACAAGTATTGTTATTTGCTGCCTTTTTTACAACAAAAAACCAATCTCGTTGTTACGAATTGGCATAATAATCATCTATCCGTATTGCCCAATATATTATTATATTCACGTCGAATCAAACATGCAGACAAAACAGGGCTCCCTTTGTTTCTCCCCCTTTCTCAAGTCTCGGAACGACTAAATGACATAATAATAATTTATTGGGGTAATTGTCCCATTAACGATCAAGACCGAGAGCAGAGTGTGGCTGTACGTATTTACGTCCATGTGCAGCACCACTAAGTTGTACAATGTTAGCATTATTAGTCTGTGATTAACTAATGATTTGCTTGCATTTTGATCAGAAAATGCAACAATTTAGGTATGGATTGGATGCAGGGATGCAAATAAATCTTCTGGTGGGCCTTATTTTGAATCGGGCCTATTATATAAAAGGTGCCCCGTTCTAAAAATGGTGACCAGTGAGCAGTGGGCCTGCAACCAGTACAGTTACATTGACCAGTAGGAAATTAGTCACATTTATTTTTAATATATTATTAAAAATGAGTTTGAGTTTGACAAGTTTTCAATTTTCGGGAATAACTCTGGGGGTAAGAAGTTGTACTTTTTGGGAGTGACCATACGATGAGGATCCGATAAGAACTTGTCATTTACATATGTTTTACAGCTTTTCGTCCTCATTTCACTTCCATCCTCGCAAGTGGAGTGCACATTTAAGAAGCATGGCGGAGGTGGAGGTGGAAAATACTTAATCCCCGTCTACCCAGTGGGAGGAGGATGGGGCTGGCATCACGGGGGAGGATTTGGTGGTGGTGGTGGCGGAGGGGGTGGTGGGCATGGAGGAGGACATCATCAACCCATCATCATCGTCCTTAAGTCACTTCACCACTTGGGAGGAGGTCATCATCATCACCACACTCCAGTGAAACAGAAGGTGGTTCTCCACACGCATGGTCATGGGGGTCACGGAGGACACGGAGGACACGGCGGCCTTGGGGGGCATGGTGGGGGCAGCTACGGAGTTGGATTTGGTCTGGGTGGTTATGGAGCAGGGATCGGAATAGGAGGAGGAGGAGGTCATGGGAAGGGTGAGACGAAATCCTGACAACTATTTAATAGCAACTATTTTAATATTTTGCTTGATTAGGTCACGGTCATCACGGAGGTGGAGGTGGTGGTGGAGGGGGCAAGATCATCATTCACCATGAGGGAGGAGGAGGTTACGGTCATGGAGTTGGTGGGGGTTATGGTCATGGCGGGGGTGGCGGCGGGGGAGGATATGAGAAAGCCGCAGTGGGTGTAGCCCTTGGAGGTGGCGGAGGACATGGTGGTGGATTTGGAGGTGGTGGTGGTGGTGGTGGAGGAGGTGACTTGTACGGAGGGGGTGGCTTTGGCGGGTGGGGTTGGGGTATCAGTGAAGGGTACGGACTTGGCGGTGGTGGCATCGGTGGGGGTGGCGGCGGCGGTGGCGATTACAAGAGAGGAGACTACTATTAAAATGTGAATCCATTAAAAAACTCGCGTAATAAATTTCCATGATAAAACAACCAAAACTGTTTAACTTTGTCGTCGTATATCTTTTTTCATGGGGATAATTACATTTCATACAGACGCCTTACTGTTACATATTTGCATGGTCCGAGTATCGTGGTTACGAGAAGATCAACACAAACGGACGGACGCATGCTGTCACTTTTTGTCAATCTACATACAACAAACGTACAGAGTTTCACCATAGCATGCATACCGTCCGGTCTTGTTAAAAGGTTAGATTACAATTTTTTGCACAGCAAACCACCAAGTCTGCAGCGTTGCTATTGCAAATACTCGTATTACTACTTGCACTCCAACAATAAAAGCCATGCAACAACAATAATAATACTTACGACGTTGGCAGTATTACAGACCGGCTGGGCTACAACACAACAGTCATCCATACCTCTTACTTACCTACTATTCAGTTTTTAGCACATTCGAAATGCACACACGGCGATCAAATCCATCAATTTGAACATTCCTTTTTTACTCCACTTTCTAAAGTGGTGATTATTGTTTCCGTTTTACTTTCAGTTCAGCAGTGCCTTTCGTTCAATTAAATCTATTAAGTGAACACGTTTAAGCATTTACTGGTCGCTTGGCGTTGATGAGGAATAAATAAATAAATAATAAATGGGATCACGACACACCATCGTGAGGAGGATGGTAAAAAAATTAAAAAATGAACCATTATTCGTCCTCCAGTCGTGATATTGTGGCCGACCAAGGCAATGGTGATGATGACCACGACGATCGTTTCGGGTACAAGGTACCCACAAAATATAGAAAAATGTAAAGTTTCAAAACTCGAAATTTTATTGATTTTTTCTCCTCATGCAGGACCACCCCTCGTTCCAGTGGAGGAACAATTTGAAGGGGAAGAGTCGGGATTGTTCACCAAATTCGATTTTCAAGATGATGAACCTGACCTGTTTCCTGCGAAGTGCGAGGTCCATGCTCCACCGGAAAGCGAATTTGTACAATGTGACGGTTTTCTTCCTTTTGGTCGGAGTATTTTTAACGTACCTCAATCTCAACAAGTTGCACGACCTCATCCTTCACCAGCAAGATTGTGGGGGCTTGCTGAAAAGTAGTTCCGCTTCGGGAGGTGAATTCATCCAGAAGAAAAAGTAATAATAATAATAACATTTATTTTGCATATATTTATTTTTAACTGAGATTTACTGACTATATTTATGTTTAATTGTAAAGATTTGCCTTGCACGGGCGTCGCGTCGATTCCGGATATTTGAAGCATGTCGTTGAAGTGCTGGAGTCCGTGGGGTGGCATCGCACCAGTTTGGAGTCGCAAGACTGGGACCTCCTCTGGGCGCATGATTACCCATTTCGAACTCTCAAGGACCAATTAGACGCGTCCGGAAATAAGAAGAGGTTCATCAACCATTTCCCTGGATCTGGTTACGTCACGAATAAAATGAGTTTGGCGACCTCTTCCCTGCCTCATGTTCCGAAAGCCTTCCAACTTCCCAAGGACAAGGATAAGCTGCTCAAATATGTATGCGAGACTATAATATTAATTATTCATTAGGTAGTTAATTAATTAACATTTAATTCCAAAGGCTGCTGACAACCAGCATAAGCGTTTCGTCCAAAAGTCAAACAACCATCGAGGCATCCGCATTTCGCCCTTGGCTGCATTGAACCTCACCTCAAACTCCTCCTTTGTCCAAGAGGTTTGTCAAATTATTAAATTTACATTGTTAAAAAAGAGGTAAGATTTTCAGGTTAATTTTAAAAATCTTATGTATCATCAGTACATCTCGAACCCGCTCCTTATCGATGGACACAAATTCGACATTGGCGTGTACACCATCCTCACGTCGATCGCCCCCCTTCGCCTCTACATCCATGGCGACGTCCTTTTCCGCTTCTGCCCCGAAGCTTATCACCCATTCGACCCGGACGTGGTGGACAAATACGTCGTGGGGGACGACTACCTCCCCCTTTGGAAGGTCGACTCCCTCTCGCCATTCTACAACGGACTCGGGATGGGAATGAAGGCCAGTTTCAATGCGTGGTACGATTTGAAGCGGGCCAAAAATAAGACAGGGGCCAAGACATCTGACGCCATTTGGACCCAAGTGGAGGACGCCATCCGAGCCGTGTATTTGGCGAAGGAGGCGTCGATTCTCGAAACCACGAGGAAATTTGGAAACTCACACCACAACTATTTTGAAATGGTTCGTTTCGATTTCGTGATTGATGACGACGGCCAAGTTTTTATAATGGAGGCGAACATGAGTCCAAACCTGTCGTCGGCCCATTTTCCCCCGAATCAAGAACTGTATCGCCAAGTGTTGTACAATCTGTTCAAATTGGTTGGTGTGGCGTCAGTCGAGGTGGACGGGAGGTAAGGATAACTTGGAATTATTAGTTTTTTTCATAATTTTATACGTCATCCTTTTTTAACTATTTACGCAGGTCCACGACGGACACTACGAGTGTTACCAGGAAACATTTAGCCGTATTTCCGGAAGAATGCAGTTCTTCCAAGTGTTTGTATGACTGTGATTCGGTGCGATGTTCCCTTTGTGCCCATTGTCTCAGTCCGGGAGGGAGGGAAGCCTTGGCTCGTGCCTACCTCGAGGGGGTCAACCAGGGCGACACGATCCGCATATTTCCACCCAACAACCGATCCGGTGCGTTGAGAAGCCTCGACACGGTCAAACTCAGCCAAGAAAACCAACGGGAGGTGGAATGGTTCAGAGGCAAGTGTGACCTGGCCCCCTCCACGGTTTTCTGCTAGACAAAAGAATAATAATCATGCGAACGACGATGGGAATTTTAGTAAATATTTCATACGAGTTGCATATTTTATTTTACTTTTAGACAAATTTTTGTGATAATAATACGTATACTTAAATAGCATCGCAGTGCGGGACAGATTTGTATTTAACTAATTAAACAGTGACTAATTTATACCTCATAAATAATATTTGTAATTACCTGAGGCAAAAATTTTATACTTAGATTGCAGATTTATTTGACGTGATATAAAATTTTAAAACTGAATTAAACAAAACGAGAGTTGAATCAAACTTGAGATTTTTTCTCTATCTAAAACATAACGATGGCATTGGGGTTTAGCGATATCGAGAGGAACAACCCATGATGTCATCTCCTCGGATTCGTCTCGCCAATCGAAGGTCGTGGGGTTTGAGAGTGACCCTCTTTGCATGTAAGGCACATAGGTTGCCCTCTTCCAAAATGCTAATGACGTAGTCCTCCGCCGCTGTCTGCAAAGCTTCCAGTGCGAGCGGGGTCCATCGTAAGGGTTTTGGAAATTTATTTGTACACACTTCTCGGACGAGGCGTTGAAAGGGTGCCTTGGGAATTAAGAGCTCTGTTGTCTTCTGGTATCGACGAATCTCTCGGAGAGCGACGACCCCTGGTCGGTATCTTGAAGGCTGGATGCACCTCCCCTGCTTTGGGACAGTTCGTTTAGCAGGGATACGGGAACGAGAACGTTGAAGTTGTGGCGGTGTGAGGACGCCGTTTGCACCAACCGTGGACTTGGCCGGATTCGCATTCTTCCGCTGAGTACGGTTACGGTTGGGAGGGAGATATTCGGACCCATCACTGGATATCATGATGATACTTGGTTCGCTGCTGTCGATTGTGAAAGTATCGTCGAGGGAAGGATTGTGGTCGACGTCCCTGCCGTGAATTAGATGGCCAACTGGTGGAGCCTGTTGCATGGGTTGCTCCATGACTCTGATACTACCGGAAGGAAGAGAAGGGGGGCCTCCACCACCGCAGAAATATTCAGTCAACGGTATTATGCGGTTAGCTACACCTGGAGAAAATACAGATAAATATTTTGTGAGGGATTGCATCTCGTATTAGATGTAAGAAATTTCATGTCTTTACCTCTCAAATTGCAGCCAGGATTATTTCTTGGGAGAGGATTCTCGTTCTGTGGTGGGCGTTGGGCTACGTTCTCAGGTGGTGGTGGTGATGAGCCCCTCCTCCCTGATCGTTGCACTCCCATGCAGGCCCCTTGAAGTTGACGTCCTCTCATTTCCGGTGCGAGAAGAGGTGATGGTGAAGCAGGAACTGCCGCCACGTTGTTATCCGCGCCCCGACGGGGCTGACGGGCTGGTCGTGGGAGCATGACGGCGGGTGGGCGACGAGGACTTTTCTGCTTCGTTCGACCCATGTTTCCTACATACATTAATAAAATTTAAAAAACTGGTACAAACTGCATTTGTATTGTACATAATTGTGAGCAAATTTATGTCCAAAGTATTTCGAAAACTTACCAGCTATTCTACTGAAGAAAACTCTGGATTATGAGGTTTGAGAAGAAGCGACAAGATCCTATTAGTTCAGAAGCCAAGTAAAATTCCGAATGCTGCTCGTCTCCAAACTCATTCACGACTGGCAGTATGGAATGACCAAAATGAAAATGTTGGTTTAGAATAAAAACGCCCCTAACGATGAATACTGTATAACCGTCACATTCAAGATAATCATCCATTAGTCGTATCAAGGTGGATGAGATTAGTTACTTTTGAGGACTGGATACTTAATTTCTTGTATGCATTACTCCGGCTATTCAACGTATGAAACACACAAATTAAAATAACAAGCTTATCTTATAATGAGTGATTTTATCCGTATAATACTTTACTGTATCTAAGAATGAATTCAAATGAGCAAGGATAAGCACGTACGTGCGTGACCTCACAATGTGACATGCAGAGGAAATAACGGACTACAACGTGGATAGTTAATTAAATTAAATTGCTAATTCTTTTAATCGGTCTACGTTTTTCTTGTTGATGATTGTACTTTATAATTATTACTAGAATATATGTAGGCCTGTCATTCGACGGGCAAAACAGGAATGAAAACATTAGTGAAGTGAAATCACTATGTTACCGACCCACCGATACACTCCCCTCTTTTATAATTATTATTACATTAATCTAAAGAACATAGGCTCTGTAAGGACTATAAATGGTCAGATCACACTTGGTTCCTCATGAGAAAAAAATTGGTTTACATATCGGCTCGAAAGTTTTGATGAAGCTCGGGCTTAATATCGCAAACGAATTCGAGCAATCGTCCGATAACCTGAGAAATCACAAGACAACATGATAACCTATTACTGCTGATAACTATGAACTAATTAACTATTTGCTTCTTTTTCTTAATATTTCATACCTTATCCTTGCTTGCGGCCACTTGATGCTTCATAGCTTCGATTTTCTGAGTCGTATCCGCATTAATTCGAGCCTCTACATCCTCTCGGGATCCCATATGCTGAAAAATGGCAACAATCAATCAAACCATGCTCACCAGATAATCAATTTAAGATACCAATTAAAGTTAAATATCCATTATACCTTGGCTTCAAATTCTTTAAACGCCTTTTCCCGATCTTGTCGATATTTTTCAATCTCCTGTTGCGCCTCTTCTTTGGCCTGCTTTAATCGACGAGCCTTACCTACAAGGAGGCAAAAATTGATAAGGTGCTTATCATAACTTAATAAACAAACGCCCATTTCACATTTCATCTGAATGAAAATAATAAACTGTTCCACACAAAACTTACGTTTCCTCGCTTCAGAAACTTTCTCCGCTGCTTTCTTCTCTGCAGCGAGCAATTGCTGGATTCCCTGCGTTTGAGAAGCCATTTTCGGAATGTTTTGGAATGCTTAGTTTTAATAGTTTTTAATTATTAGTTAAATCTGGATAAATACAGATGACGAGAAATCACACCCAAATCTCCAATCTGACTGACTGTGAGAGAGCATATAGAGCAAACCCAACCCAACAATATTGTCACATGGGCCGAGTGGTGGTGGTGGTTTGCGGGGATTGAGAAAAACCGGAGGGAATCGCTCACTAGCAGTCTGAATTTTTTGCCTGAATTTTTATTTCAGATAAGTGCCGAGTTCTTATCAGTGTCGGTGTCAATAGGTCACGTCACTTGTCCTCACTTTGAAGCTTTGTCAAAATGCTGGTGAAACATTTACGGAAGGATTTTTACGAACTTCTCTTCGGAAAGGTGAGTGAAGCAGTTAGTAATTGGTTATAAAATTTTGTTTTTTGAAAACTATTTTTTTTATCGAAACATTACAAGTTAGACACAGTTTTTATAGATTACTTATACTTTGGAGGGTGAAGGTTGATTGTTGTAATAATTTTAGTATTATGAATATTTTTCTAGCGAGTCCTAATCATTGCTAATTTCGACATTGATTCCGTCTGTACTGTCAAAATACTCACAGAATTGCTGAAAATTGATGGCATCTCCTTCTCTTTATGTCCCGTGGATGGGATTACGGCTATGAAACAGGCATATTCTGATTATCGTGAGACGGTGAGCAGATAATAAATTTAAACATTATTAATTATTTAATAATCTGTAGTAGTTTATTCCTGTTCGTAAGCTCATGAAAATAGGCTAGTGTGATGCTAACTTTATATGCATTCGCTAGTACTAGTAATTGAGGATAATAAAGGCTATTATTATATTATTGTTATTATTTGAGTCAAGTGGAGAATTATTTTGATGTTTTATTTATTTACACATTTCAAGGTGAGCGTTTTTGTCCTGATCAACTGCGGTATTGCTCTCGATATTCGAGCTTTCTTTGACAACCTAAAGAATAAACTCGTCTTCGTTTTGGATTATCATCGCCCCGTGCATGTCAACAATTTTTATGATGAAACCAATCAGGTAAGTGAAGAGAGAGAGGTTCACCTTGTTGGTTGAAGTTAAAATGGTCAACTATTTTGTCTCTGTTTGCATGCAGATTCGCATCCTATCGCTGGACGACAACTTTGACGAAGTGCCTGGTTTTGATGACCTTTTTTGGTCCGATGAGGCATGTGAATTTATATTTTAAATAATTGTTGTTTACATTTTTATGCAGACAGTTAACACATTTTGTTTTTTGAATAGGGCCTCGACTCCGATGACGATGGTGATGACGACGATGAGTCTGAGATTATGGATATGGGCGACAGCGAAGATGAAGATGGATCGCGACGTCGTGGAAGAAAACGAAAGCGTCGCAATGAACATGACAGAGAGCGAAGGCGAGCCGTGTGGAAGGAGAAAAGAAATGAATTGCTGTTTGAATACACACAATTTTGCTACTATGCTCCCCCGGTAATTTTGTAGATTTAAATTTTCATACTTGTAATATTTGCAAGTCCGTATGCATTATAAAAATCTTTGTAAATGTTAAATGTAGTCGTCTCTGGTCGCACTCGAGCTGTCGTGGGCAATTTCTCGAGGTGATATTCAATACGTGTGGTGGACCACGGTAGCCTTAACCGACGCGTTGCTTCTGGAGAAACTTCCACGATCTGAGTACGTGCAAAAATCTACCGAGCTTAGTTTACACATTGCACGAGAAGCAAGTACAACGGAAACACCGAGAGATTGTTTGAAAGTCAATTTTGAGAAAGAGTGAGATCACATTATTATATGGAATAATATTGGCTATTTTGTTGTGGCCTGTTATTCTGTTATATGTAAACATTGTATTCCATTTAGCTTGTGCTTCTTACTGTATCGTCACTGGAATTTGTACGATAGTATAAAAATGACACCACACTCAGCTTGTATGCTGAAGTCATGGAGTTTAAAAGGGGAAGGAAGGTTTCACGAGATGTTGGGAGAGTTGGGGTAAGTACGCTCAATTGAGAACTTTGTATCAGCTAATCCATTCACTAGTAATTTTTTAATCAGGCTTCCACAAGTTGAGTGCCATCGAAAGTATGCATCGATGGATGTCCGATGTCGGAAAAAGGTCGAGCGTGCATTCAGTGAACCCGTTCTCCGAGATAAGTACAATTTCAATGACGTCACTGTTGGTACTTTTATCTCAGAGATTGGGTTTCGACCAGCGTTCAGTGCATTTGATTCTCATTTGGCATGTCTTGCCTTGTTAGAGAACCCAGTGCTGAATGGGAGTGGGAATGTGGTGGACAATTTTTTAGACTCACTGGCAGCCTTGTCAAAGTATGACGCATGACTTTGAAATTTAATGAAATTATTAAACTTTTATTTCATAATTTGTTTAATAGGAAACAATTTGATACGCTCGATCGTGGTATAGGAATGGCTAAAACCCATCTGACTGCAATGTATAACCAAGTAAAGGAATTTCTCAGCATGAATGTGGTCACACCTCGGGGTGGATTTTTGTATGTGCAAATGCCAGAGGTTTGTGGGTTATAAATGACTAACAAAGTATTTTTGTGAATTGGAAACTAAATTATGAATATATTTATGATTTCTAGGGGTCGCCAAACGTGTGTTACTTCCGGAACACTAGTTTCCTTGTTTTTCTTGCTCAGTTCACCCAGCGTGCTGCTGTTTCCCATGTAAGAAATAGACGCTGGTCGACATTACCACTTGTACTGTGTGCCCCACATTTGTCAGGATATTGGGTAATCGTGGGGATAAAACCTTTGAGCCTTGAGTTGCCGAAAAAGTAAGAATTTTTATTACGTATTACAAATATCCTAATCAAATTGGCGATTACAATATTGTTATTTTTGGCATCTAGTCTATTCGGGAAGTTATTTGAAACGCTGGCCATCAAGATGACGGACGGCGCGGTGCTCATGGATTTTCTCGACCCCCACATCGTGTTAGTGCATGGAGACCATAAGGATAAATTTATCCAGTTGTTGGAAGCTTGCATGGTGTAAGGAGCGAAACCTTATTTAAGTTATACATACGTAAGTTTGACGAAATGAAAGACAAGTTATCGTATCTACCAAAAATTGCAAAGTTACAAGAAATCCAAGATATAAATATCATGAGAAATACCCAAATCCATCCCAAATTCGACTGACCCTAATCTCATGATGATAACCCCGAAACTCTAAATCATGCATTTTTATTGCATGCAAAGCACAAAATGTTTCCCTCTTGCGATATGAACAAAGGATTTCTCGATTCCCTTTGCACGTTCTTTTCACTATGTTTATTATGATTTTGTTACAATTCCACGTTGCAATTTACGTACGTACATATTATTATTTACATATTATGATGAATTCCATTGTTAATTTAAGACATGTATTTCTATACATATTTTCTATCCGCATGTCAATTCCAGATACACAAAAAATCACAACGTTTTATTGATGATTCTTCATGTATCCATTTTGCTCTCGTAAATAAATAAGTATACACTGTTGAAAAAAAGCTCCCCTTCACAAAAATTTTGCAAAGTGATAAATTTGGTTGAAAAGTAAAAATAAACTTTCACCCTGGCACTTACACGGACGGGAGTGAGCGAGGAAGAAGAAATCTGCAAAGTAAGAGAAAAGAGTTCCTACAAGAAAAAGTAGGAATGTCTGGAATGTGGATGGATGGATGGATGATTTGTGTCCATTCATCATAAAATAATTCGAGTTCTTTTCATCTCTCTCTCTCTCTTCCTCTCTTCCTGTGTGAATTGCGGACTAATTGTGACCATTTCATGAATCATTAGTGTGCTCTTCTCTCCTCGGCTGTCTGTTATTATCCCACTTTTCAAAAATGGGCGAACCTCCTCCAACCAAACCAAGGCACGGATGCGAGCTCAGAGATCTTGTGTATGTGGCGTCGGGGAGGTTTTTCCCATCCTCCAGTACCTATAATAGCAAGAAGACTCCTCTCTCTCATCCTACTTGGTACCCCATATAGCGTTCCCTTCAGCATGTGCAAATCCGTGTACGATGGGAGATCAATGTTCCCTCGTTGTCTCTCCTGTTTTGCGGATGTGCCGTAAAGAGACGACGAGAGCGAAGTAGTAGCACTTTCTCAGAGTAAAACTCTTCGATCGCTCCCTTCTCCGTCCACTCTGCTTCCTCCCGACGACACAGGAGCACTCACTTTCACTACCAACTTTCACTCTCTACCACCACCACACTTTCTCTCTCGCTCTCTACTTGAGCTGTACGACCACCACGAGAAGGAGGAGGAGGAGGCGAAGAAGAAGAACACCAAGAAGAAAGAATCATTACATTTTGTCTATACTGCTGCACTCTCACCCCGGTTGGGGATGCATGGTAAAAGTTGTGGCACTTTTGCGCAGAGGTTTTGGTTTCCCATCCACCACAAAATAACAAGACATCCTTCTCCCCAAAATAATAATAATAATAATAGCAGTGAAAACAAGGCGAAAACGAGGAGTAAATTGTTGCCAAGTTCTCATTACATAGAAAAGGAAGAAGAAACAATGTGAGAAAGTTCAAGTCTTGTTTTGGTCACAAGAAGAAGAACAACAACAACAACAACTTGGAACTTTCATCAAGTCAGTCAAGTCGTCATTATTGGTGAGAGAAAGTAAAACTAAAGTTGGCAAAGTAATAAAGTAAATAGTTTTCGGGGGAAGATTTGTGATTGTGTAAAGTTGATTCTTCTTCTTCTTCACCGCACATAAATAGTTAGATCGCCATTACACGAGCTATTTCGTCACCTTGATAACAATTACGAGACGATTTAGTTTGCATGTGGGGGTCTGGTGTGGATTGGATTGTGCTGCTGGGTGACATAATATCTGACCAAACTACTAATTCCTCTCTACCAAGTCCTCCTCAAGGAGTAGTTTAACTTTTTAGTTGTTAACTTGAGACAAGGAGAAGAAAACTGTTGCAAAACTAACTTTTCTCCTCTCGAGATCCATATCCAACTTATTGTCGGGGACGACAATTCATCCAAGTTTCTGGGTTCCCCTGCATTATAAACTGCGATAAAGTTGCTCAAGGTAAAAGTTGGTGAAAAGAGGCAAGAAAAAAAAGAAAGCCAGCCGCAAGAAAGACGTTGTGTCTCCTTCTTCATCTACATATACACGCCTGCTGCCTGCCTCCCAGTTTTGTTGTGGTGTTGGTTGTTGTGGTCCGTTCTCTGCGGTCGGTGGAAAACTAACTTTGAACTGGAAATTTGATCACTCTTTCATCCATCGTGGACACAATGTGACACCAGCGACGACCAGGATGATGACGAAAACAAAAACAAATAACAACACGGCAGAAGAGCGGAAATGAGTCGGATGCTTTCCTTTGTACAAAGACGATACTGATTTTTTTAATAGAAATTGGACTTGTCCTCACGGAACGTATTGAAATTGTGCCAGCGTGGGTTGAGTGAGAAAAGATTATTATAAATATAATATATATCTGAACTACTTTCGTTCAGTTGAGGTGGTTGCGTAACCCTAATTTTCGGAGACGTGGATAAAGTAAGTTTTTAAACTAAACTTAGCTATTCAAGTAAGAAGTTAAGTTGGGGAAGAAATTGGAAATAATAATTAATTGGGTTGGGTAGGATTACGTGATGAAAAGTTCCGAGTAGAATAATTTGTACAATGTGGATTGCATAATAATAGGAAAAGTATGGAATTTGAGTAAGTGATCAAAGATATTGAGCAAAGTAGGAAAGGCGATATTCTCATGATTGATGTGACCCATTTCGGAAATATATTATATGCATATTTTAAACCAAAAAAGTTTACGAAAAGTAGATCAAACTTCAAAAAGATCAAACCATTACATGTCACAAGTAGAGAAGTAGACTGTAAAGAAGGTCGTATTTTTAAAGCTAAATCGTATTTCCGCTTAATTATTTTCCTTACTGATTTTATTACTTGGTGAAGAAGAAAAGTAAAAGAATTACGTAACTGAGAGAAAAAAACCAAAGTTATCGATCCGATCCGTATCTCATCCAAACTTTCATGCAGCCAAGCCAAACCAGCCGCATTTCATCTCTCACTACTTGGGTCAGACACATTTATAATTTATTTTAATAAAATTTCTACAAAGTCGTCGTCCCACATTAAAAGAATATTTAGTCGTCCGACGCCGCCGCCTGAAATACAAAATTGTCCTCGAATTTCCTCAACCACTCTCCACTTTAATCTATTTATGGGCGAAAAAAATTCATGATAAGTACACACTAACTTTCACCACCACGGGATAAAATGATACGTAGGTAGATAGCACATGCTCCCCAGGGCTTCGAATCCTTTGCCAAAATCGCATACATATATTTCTCCTTCGAATCCCGTGGTCGAAAGATTCCAAGCAACCATTCCACTTTTTAAAAACCACCACTTTTTCCTCTTTTTTTGAAAAAATAGGAAATTTAGACTTTGATGCCACACACAAGTCCCTAATTCACACTCGATTCCCTTCCTTCCCATTATTCCTTCCTCTCGACTACTTTCTTTACTTTAGTTGTTTTTGTTCCTGGTCTTGTCTTAAAGACGAAATAATGACGCCCGGGTGCACCCTGAAAGACAGTGGCTGAAAGAGAGAAAGGGAGAAAGAGAAAGAAAGAAAGAAGGAAAAAATGACTACTGCTGGCTGGCTGGCTGGACGACTGACAAACTCCTCACGCTGGCTGAGAGTCAGTCAGTAGGAGTGAAGTGAACGTGGTTCCCTTGAGAAATCAAAGTGTACCCATCCATCCATCCGACGACCCTTTACACAATTGTTTGCCAGACTTGCACAAGTTTTACTTACAACCTCACTTACATCGTGTCATGACCCAATTCAATTCTTTGGATAGGCCGAGATGATGGCTCTTCTTGGATTGTATAACGCATCGGATGACTCTTCTTGCATGCCAAGATTGTATAATTGTCAGTCACTCATCGCCCATTTCGACGGGGTCAATTTTCCCCCACAATGAATTTAATTGCCACATTTGACACGAGATAGCTAGCTCCTGCCAGAGGAAATGGAGGCATGTGTTCTTCATCTTTTTTTCTTCCTTGGGTGGTGCATAAAATAGTGTAAAAAATGCGATTTCATTAAAAAAAGGATACCCTTTTACTGAAGTTGAGGTCGTAAAGTGAGAGATCTCAAAGTAATCGAGGTTTCGTAGAGAAGACTTGTACTTTTATATTACTTTTTCCCTATTTTACTCTCCTCACAGGTTCGACTGGATTGGATTTTGGGAAGTTTGTTAATTAAAAAATGGATAAAAGCGGTGGTGCCGGGACGCAGTATTGTTCCGATGAAGGTGGCGAATTTTCCCTTCCCGACGGCGTAGATTTAGTCGGCGTGGGCGACAATGGGCGAAATAAGGCGGCCTATTATCAACAATCTGGGCCTGCCGGGTCATCCTCAACGTCCCGAAGACGCCCCCACTCCCCACATCACCACCCCCATTCAAACTCTTCTTCCCGGGGGGGTCACCACCATCAACCGCCCTCTTGGAAGACTGCTCTCAAACTCGTCATCGTCAACATGTTCGTCTGCAGCCTCGTCCTCGGTTACGCCCTCGTCGGCTCGTTCGTATTTCTCGCACTGGAAAACAACCCTCGTGGCGGGGTGGGCAGCAGCGTGCTCGCCTCGACGAGTGGGGGCGGGGTCAACTCCGGCGGCGCGGGTGGGGGCGGCTCTCTCATCAAAAGGAACCTCACCACCGCCATAATGAACAGTTTACAGAACGAGGCCATCCAACAGTTGAAGAGTGACACGGTCCGGAACATTTGGGACATTACGTTGAGCATGAATATTCTCTACCCGGACAACTGGACGAAAATGACGAACGAAGAGGTTGGCAACTTCCAGCGGTTTTTACTCGACAAGGTCATCACCGCCGTGGAGAATGCGACCGGGCAGGAAACCTACGTCTACCCGTGGACCTTTCCGAGAGCCTTTCTCTTCGCGCTAACCACTCTGACGACAATTGGTGAGTGCGAATTTCCATTTCAAACAAATTCCCCATCTTGCCATTAATTTATGAACATTATGAACATCCCAACGAACGAAGGGTGTCGTAATTACGGGGAGGATGAGAGAGAGAGAGAGATCACATCTCCAAGCAAGAAAGTAGCTTTTACTTCCCCTCCTCGTCCTCCTCCTCCCCGATGACGACGCCAACAAATTAAGGAAACCCATTATTACTCAGAGAACACATAATTTAATTTCTATGTAATGTCCCCAACTCCCAACTTTGTGTCATCCACCACCGACGCAAAAGCAAAGCAACGAGACAAACTTTATCCCCCTCCTCCTCAACCAGCATAATAATGATAATAATAATAATAATAATAATTATGCCGTGATCGTCCCACCCAACCATCTCAAAGGAAATCACCTCCACCACCACCACCTCCCAATACTCTCTCAATCCTCCATGTACTACACCGCCGTCGACATTAATACATACTTGATCGCTTCTTGTTGAACATGGTTATTATAATAAATACGACGAGGACACGAGGTGGTGGAGAGAGAAGGGATCCATCCAATCATCCCTCCCTCCCATCCGGAAGTAATCCGTGAAACATGTACAAATGTGGGCGAAAGTGATGAGCGACTACGATGATGATGAGAAAGTAAAACACTGCTCGGCCGATATATACCAGGCTCATCGTTCAGTTACAGACTGAACCTTTCCTTTGGTCATTTTCCACTCTCTCTTTCTCTAGTCTGAGCCCATTCCTACTTAAAACCGAGGAGGGCAAGTATTTAGTCAGGGTTTGATGTAATGAAAGTAAAGCATTAGCCGTGCGGTGGTCGGTGGTGGTCTTGGTCGTGGAGAGAAAAGTTTACACGGTTTAGTTTTACTTTTCCTCCCACTACCGACTACCGAGAACTGAGATAGATTTTAGCGGAGGGGAAGAGAGAGAGGATCCAGAATAAGCAGACCTGTCTCTCATACCGAGAGGAAGATGGGTGAAAAGGAAGATAATACTTAACGAGGGTCGTCCACGTATCAGATTTACATTTTGATGACCAATCCCACCAAGAAATGTTTCCTGGGGGCGGGCCTGTGCAAAATCGTTTTTTGTTGTGTCTCTTTGAAAAATCAGCATAGTGCATGTCCCTCCACATGTGAACGTGGTGTATCTATAGTTCAGTCCTCGTCCTTGTTGGTGGCTGGTGGTGGTGGAAGGAAAGTCCTCGATCCGTGGTGAAATGGTGGGGAAGTGAAAAGTACGGGAGAAAGTGGAGTCGGTTAGCTGCACGGTGCGGTCTATCTCTACTTTTTGAGCTCTTTTGCCTCCGTGCGGAGTGAGACGGTGGAGTTGAAAGGTCTCCACGATTCCGTACATCTGCTTTAAACTCCTTCCCCCTCAGGGTGGCTGCCTATTTAAAAGTAGACTCCATTTTTACATTAATCCCAACACCAATACTTTCTAATTTCTCCAACTTAAGTAGTTTTTAAAAAGAGAAGTATAAATTATGTCTATACAAAATTACTATTTAAAAAAAGACGAAATTAAGTCCCCCTTTCTTCCTTCCCCCAACGGAAAATAGAACCGATGTCCTCCTTCTACTGCATCGCTTTCACCACAATCTCCCACCACCACCACCACGCCGTCGACGACTGGTAAATCTGCCCTGTTTTCATCATCTCTCTCTTCCCAATCATGGGGAGAAAGGAGTATGTGAAATAGTGAGCACGCCAACCAGCAGAATTTCCAGAGAGCCCAGAGAAAATTTGCCTTTTCCGTTTCGATTGAATTCTCTCCGACATGGAGAGACACGAGTACAAAACTCTCTCTCTCTCTGAACATTTCATCCCAAATGAAATTGAAATTTGCTCACCAACTTGTTATTCAGGAATACTTGCTCACTCACTAACTCGAGTAGTGGTGTAAGTAGTGTCTCCCCGTCCGTCTGTGTGGTAAGTGGGGCAAAACGGTGTGCAAAGTGTGAGAGAGATTAGTTTCTGAGAATTCTCGCTTTTCCCTTGATTGCTTCTCACCTTGTTTCCATTTATTTCATCTCTGACTCGCCAGCAAAACTTGCTCTGTGTCCGTCGTGGTGGACTTGTTCTTGTTATTATTATTCTATCCCCGCCTGATGCTCGGACGTGAATTAGGAAATGATTTAGGATTTGCCGTGATGATGGGGATTGAATCGTTATGTCTATATTTTACTCGGCTGGAATAAAATCAGGGTGAATTTTCCTCTCCTCCTCCTCCTCCTCCTCCTCCTCCTCCTCCTCCTCCTCCTCCTCCTCCTCCTCCTCCTCCCATTAATCTCATTAAGCACCACTTAGCCAAAACCGTACACACATAGGAGAAGGACGACGACGAGAGCTGTGTATGTGGAGATGGGAATCCATCTCCGTCTTCTTTATGTATTCTTCTTCGTGATACTTGATGGTGTAGCTGCTCGATATTCTCATTTCGTTTCGTTAGAGAGGAGAGGAAGGAGTCAACTCGAATCCTTTTGTATTTTAGAGACGAAGAAGAAGAACATTCAATTCAAAGCAGACTCTGAGAGAGAGAGAGGAAAGGAAGCAACATTTTCCATTATTATGCCAACACTATACGTAGTCAGGCGGCGTTCTGGTGGTGAGTCTTCTTTTTCTTCGGAGGAGGAAACGACAGGGTCCACCAACCAGGGTTGATAAAAAAATAGCATGTTCTTTTTAATGAAACTTTCCCCTTACTCCGTGTCCATTTTGTGCAGATACCGATTAGAAAGTTGTGGTTTCTTTAAGTGGGATTTATTTATGGGAATTTATGTATTTTAAAAACCTTCTTAAATACTTTTTTTAAAATATTAAACCCAGGATTTTACGAACCCTGGTCTGGTGAAGTACCACGAGAAAGAAAGAAATTTAATGATAAGATGCACACTATTCTGCGTCGTCTTCTTCTTCTCCCCTTACGGGCGACCAGACCAAACCAAACCGAAAACCTATTCATTATTCGTTCCCGTCTTTTCCAAATCGGCGTTTGAAATCTGAAACGAAACGAACCAAGATTTTTAAACAAGATATTTCCCTTCACTTTCAATTTCGTTCTACCTCCAACATCCTCGCTGAGGGAGCGTAAAAGGGAACTAAATACATAAATAGATCGACACACGAGTAGGTAGGCGGCGATAACTTGGATTTCATTCTCCTCCTGAAAAGAGGGGCGGATATGATAATACCCAAATTAAGGAGGACACTTGACTCTTCTTTTACTCTCTCATCGTCATCATCATCATCATCGTCACGACGTTAACTACGTATTTTACTGGATTCCTATAATACATCCTTTCCTCCTCCACTAGCCTCCCTCCCTCCATTATCCATTAAGTGTCATCCCGCCCTTTCCTTCATTATCAAACAATGCGAAACACAACTACACAACATGGCAAACATGCATTTAAAACGGGGAGAAAGTTTCCTTTTGTTTGGCTTAATTTGCTTGACAACAATTCCGCCTCCGACCTGTCTCCCATTATCCCGTCGTCTACAAAACTGAAGATGAAACCGAGAGAAAAGGAAGCTTCTTTGTTGATCACGTCTTTTATTTCGTGTCGCCCTGCACAAACGACGTCGCCACTTTTTCTCCGTGGGCGACTATTTATCCTCTCCCAATCCCCATTTTCGCACAACCCCCGACCACCGAACCTCCTACATTCTCACTTTGTTACGACAGTAGCCTGGAGCAGAATGGAATTCCTGGATTGGATAAAACCAGAAAACAAAACAACAAGAATACTTATACAAAACAGGATGAGGACGAGACAGGAAGTGTGAGTCGAGAGAGGACACGCACCCCGCAATTATTTATCTTTCCCCATCCCCCAACTTCTGGCACGGAGTAGTGGGACTCGATTATTATTTTGTGTATGGCAAATATTTTATGGAAAGGAGACGGAAAAAAATCGGGATTGGATTATTATTATCGTCGTCGTCGTAGTCATTATAATTGTTACCATATTTTTCATCGTCGTCTTCTCGAAGGAGAAGACGGAGGAGGAAGGTTGATAGGGTTTTCGTAATGCATAATATTTTGATTCGATTAGCATCACAACAACAACCTAATTAATTCCGTGACTGGTTGGATAGATGATGAAGATGCGATTAGGAGATTAGGAGGAGGATGTAAGGAACGAGGAGGAGGAGGAGGAATGAATAATATGGGATTTAACTCGCATAAATTTTCCTCTTCCTGCTAAATTCCATGGGATGGAATTCATTCCGCAAATCATCACATTTGCTCCTTCTTCTTCTTCTCCTTAGGTGGAAAGATAACGTGAGGGCAGGGTGCCACAAATTACGGTACTAAAATCAGATCGCCCTCTCCGCTTCTGATTTATGCCTGTATTAATGTCCAGGAAAGATAATAAATCCCGTACAAAATCAGGACTACGATTAATTACTAGTTTTTCTCAAAAAAAAAGATGAAAATCGTAAATTAACATGTTATTTTTTCTCCCCAGTAAATACATCCATTACATAAAAATCCCACTGCGAAGAAACCCCTGTCTCTCTCTCCGGGAGAGTAAAGCCTGTAGAATAATCTGTTCTGCAAGTATTAAATTTGCGATTACTGGGAGACGTGATGTGTACCTAGTTAGTATAACAGAAGGGAAGAACCAACTAACCCAAAATGTATAGTCTTCCTCTCCTCAGCCAAGAATTTGAGACTGCTCTGGATAATAATAGTTTTCTCTCTTTTTCGTTGCGGGGTTAAGTGTCAAACTGCTTCTCGACCACCACGAGCAGCAGCAGCAGAAGACTACAATGCAATCCAATCCACAATCCAATACAAAGTTAAGCTCAGCCACCAGCCAGCTAAAAAGAGAGAGATCGAGTCTCTGGCTGGAAAGAGAGAGGAGATGATTAAAAATGGGCAAAGTTATCGAGTTAGACTTTCTCCATCCATTCAATCCTCCTCGTCCACTGCCTGCCTGCCTGCCTGCCTGCCTGGCATGAAAGAGAAAGGAAACACTCGACCAAACCAAACCATTTCATCCAAAACGAACCAACCAAAAGGGTTTGAAACCATACACACGTCACGACACACCGCACTCTCACTCCCATCATGCCAAACCAAACCAAACCAAACCACTCCACGACGACGACGACGACGAGGATGACGACGATGAGCCGTGAATTGGACGCGTTTGCATTCACCGGGCCGTGCGGGAAGGATGACCTCCTTTTCCTCAAGGGACTGATGGGGGTCAAAATTTGATCAAAATCCTTTATCGCAACATGTCCCACTTTTTTTGGCCAAGGCTGTATACCGTCCTTTACATATTCTTTCCAGAGCGATATCATCAGTTGGTTGGTTGGTCTTTTTTTATGGGAAAATATTTGTCAAAAAAATTCACTTTTTTCGCCAAGAAAGAAAAAAAAAAGTAAATTTCTTTCTCCATGTTGTTCTTTCATCAGAGCGTGGTGGTCAGTTTGGAGAGAATAGCATTATGGTTATTATTGGTTATGTAATAATAATCTGGACAGTATATTGGCACGAGATTTTTATCCCGGTCGTATAAATAAGTGAAGGTCTGCCATATATAATTTTCTCTGGTAAAAAACTAAAAAGAACAACAGCTTGTGTGTCGAGCTGCTGCTTTCTCTTCTTCTTCTTCGCGATCCGAGGAGAGAAACATGTTGAGAATTCTTGACTCTCTTCTTCTTTATGAAAAACTATACACGTAGTTTTGTGTCAAGAGTTCACAGATTTATAGGCCATTACATAAAGTACATGATTCCCTCTCGTAGTAACTGCTCCTTCACGACGTCGCCCTTCCAGGCAGGCTGATCGGGTCTTCAATTGCATATAACGTTCTAACTATGTCGTCGTCCTCGTCGGACAACGCGAGACCCATTTCGTCCCCAGATGGACGATGCAGCACAACAACAATACGTAGCAGGCGACACTAGGGCGATAATCATAATAATATGGTGGGGACATGCATTAAGGGTGGGGTTCTCATTTGCGCCACGGGTTAAAATTGGGTGACTCAGTTTTGAGGCTGATTACCCATCGGAGAGCTTCAATTTGCGCCGTGTGTTGGGAATTTAGGGATAAATCGGGAAATTCCTGGATGGACTCCCATTTGCGCCACATATAAAAACGGGGCAAGCTAGTTTTAAAGTTAGTTACCCATCGGAAAGGTTCAATTTGCGTCATTGTTAAAACGGGGTGGGAATGAGTCGCGAAATTTTCGCCACATAATTCCTGCCCGGCCCCTCTAAGACCTGGAGGAGGACAGGAAGTGGAGAAAATGAGGCCGCTTATTAAACTTCTATATATATACAAGTTTTCGATTCTCCTGCTGGAACCTCGTTTTGTGAAAAACTTTGTTAATAAAGAGCCAAGGAAATTATAAATGTTCGCTGGTTATTGTGTGCATCTGCTGCACCCTTAATTGTCTCCTCCTCTCTTTCTCACACTGCTTTCAATCACCAAACTTTGAAGGTTATTATGTCATCGTGTTGTACAATTTAATTCTCTGTGCAAGTTCCAGATGGGGAATTAATTTCTCGATTATTTTTCCCCTCTTCTATTCCCTTACCTCTCGCGAGTAAAATAAAATGCACAATTCTGAGAAAATAAAATTATGTCATGTTCCCACATAAATTTCCAAGCAGTTGGTTTTTTCAGGTGCAGACACGTCAAAGGCATAAAAATAAAAAAAATAAAACGATACCCATAATAATGCACCACACCGCTAATAAAATTGGACATAAATCCGCTCCGCCATTTGCAGCCGCACTTTTTAATAAATCTTTACAATTATTTTTTTCTCTTTCTCTCCCTTAGGATATGGTGGAATTGGGCCGAAAACGTCCTCTGGCAAGGTTGCCACCATGGTTTACGCCGTCTTCGGGATCCCCATCATGCTCTGGTACTTGTCCAATGTGGGCTCCCTCCTCGCCAAGATTGTCCGCTTCTTCTGCCTCAAGGTTTGCGGGTGTTGTTTTTGTCGTGACGTTTCCTCCCCATCGTCGTCGTCCTCCTCGTCCGCCTCGACGCGTAAGGTGGATCCCTACTACAACATGAAACCCATCGTGGACACGTCGGAAATGCATCACCACCACCACAACCATACCTCCGATGATGCCACCAACTCGTCCCGTCACCACCACACCCACTCGCAACACAGGATCTCAATCTGCTTCATTTTCACCCTCTGCATCCTCGTCCTCCTCGGCTACGTCTGCCTTGGCGCGTGGGTGGTCACGCGGTGGGAAAAGTGGCGTTTCTTGGACTCCTTCTACTTCTGTTTCCTCACTTTGACAACAATCTCGTTTGGCGATTCACGATCGCAACGGACCGGGCGGTTGGACTCTTTCACCGCCACGACCGAGTGGTTCTGCTCGTTCTACATCTTATTCGGCATGGCGTTGACGTCCATGTTTTTCAACATTTTACATGAAGAAATCTCCCAGCGGTTCAAGCAGTGGAAACAACACTCTCCGAGCAGTGGGGATAAACGGATCCCCGTGGAAAACTCGTACTCTGTCCATTTCATGAACTTTTCCGGTCCAAATCAAACCGGCCGGAATTTCACGGAGGAGACGCTTCTCTCGAATAGTAGCGAGGTGCATAGAGGACTCGCGAACCCAGACTCGCCCAAGGGTGGTGGTGGTGGGGGTGGGGGTGTTGGTTATGACGATGACACCGGTGGTGACAACAATGCATTCATGTCGCATGGCATGGTGCCCCGGGAGATTTACGGACCGCCCCACACCCAAGGGAATGTTTTCCCCAGATAGGAAACAGTCAAGTTTTCGCCGACGACGAGGCTGTGAAATGGTTAGTGACACGGCCATCCCTGACATTACGTTACGCAAACAACAACCACTTATACGACGACGTGAATACATAAGAAGAAGGAGAAAATTGGGGAGATGTATATGCAGAAAAAAAGAACAGTAAAGATTTCCGAGGCGAGATAACCAAAAAAAAGTCTGTTATTTCTTTCTCTGTCTCACTCCAGGGACTGATTTAGCTGTCAAAGTCATGGGTAAAAGTGCTCTCGGAGAGAGAGGAATGGATGCAAGTGGCAGTAGTGCGACGACAATGTCACGCAGATTTTTTATGGTGCAATTTCAATTCCCTGTTTGATCATTCGAATTCATTCTTCTTTCTTTCTCCTTTCTCCCTTCGTCCTCTTGAGGAGGAGAGAGAATAAGCATAAGTGAAATGCAGGATGTGCGATTTGCCACTTTTTTTTGTTCTAGGATAAAAACATAACATAAAATTTGTCCTATTTATTACTATAATCGTGCAAAATGCGAGATGTGTATGTATGTGAGAGCAGGATTCTGCAAATTGGGAGAGATTATAAACTTGCGAATGGATAGAAATGTGCAAATTCTGCGAAATAAATTGGAATGAAAGCCAAGCGTGTGTGTGTGTGTGGAGGAGAAATGTTGCCAAAATTTGGATAGAATCCCTCCGAGCAGAGGGCAATAAATTATGTAATTAATCATATAATTAGCATTTATACACTTATATAATTTTAATTAATTAGACAACTTTTACCGATTAATCAAATTAATGGGAAGACTTACATAATTGTGTAAACTTTATAAAAAAGTTGAGGATTTTAAAAAATGTGGAGAAATTTGTATGTGTGAAAAATTACGAATTTTGAAATGATATGCCAACCTTTTTGATACTGGAGAGATTACGCGTACAATTCTATTGTTAGTTTTTAATTGTTATCTTTCAATGATAAGTAAATACTCGATAAAAGAACGGAATCTGGTGAAAAATAAAATCATAGAGTTAGAAATATGTACCATAATTAAGTACTTAATCTAACTTTGAATCCTGATAATAATGCATTGTTAACCCTGCCAAATTATGAAATACTGAACCTGATGAGATACATAAGTAATGACGAAGCCTAATTAAAGCGCAATTACGGCGTCGTTAATTAACTAATTGCAGATTGAGAAAACCAGACCCGACATGGTGGTGAAGAAGAAGTGAAATTGAAATTATGTAACGTCCTGAATACTCCATACATTTAGTTAAATAAATAAATACTCTTAAAAACTTGTACTAATTAATAATACAAAAATATTCATTATTGTTTCGTTAATTTGAAAAAAAAGTACGAGAAATGCATGACATCGTACGATTATCCTAATTACGCTGATATTATATAAGGAATAAAAAAGGCATCACTATTACACAATTATGTACTCCACGTACTCCCAAAATTTTCATACAAACCGTTATAAAAAATATTAAATATGGATAAAATAAAGGTAAATTATGGAGTAAATATTGCGTGAAAATTGTTAAGAATGTTTTGTCATCATTTCAATAATACATTAGCCAAATGAGCCGAATTATTTTATTATTTTACACCAGTTATTTTTATTTTGTAAAAATCATACGAAATTGAATAATTTAAACGCCAAAATGAAAAAAGTTGGTGTTTTCGGTTTTCTTTGTTGCAATAGATAAGAAAATTTCCAATTTTAACATGATGGGAAATTAACCATTCTATTAATTATAACTTTGTCTAATATGACGTGTACCATACTTGCATGGAAATGTCCATGGCCCTTGGATCAGTCAATCACCCTGCTCCTCCTCCCCTATGCAAAAATATCACCCGTACATGCAAATTATTTTCCATGCACATGCTTGCTCATCATCATACATAATTGCGACCATTGATCATTAAACAGGAAACTGCAACATTGCACTTTTGCGAGTATTAAAGAGCTCCTCTTATTGAATCCAGGTCAGCGGTAAGGTCACTGGGTGGCTCTTCTTCTCATCTCATTCATTCATCCATCCACCACAACTAAACTTCTCTTTGATATCGATATCCTTGCAAAATTAAGCAAATTAAATAGCTCTCACTCTTCTGGATTTGTTTACATCATCATCATCTGTGCTTTTCTCATTCAAAAGTTGGGGAGGAAATGGTTATCACCTTATTTTCGCTTATTCTGCAACAATTCAGTTGATCTCATACTTACTTGCACAAATTATAATTAATTGACAAACAGGGAATAAGACTATGTTGCACTTATCTTAACAGTTTTCTGTGATCTCTCTCAGTCACTCTTCCTTTTCATAAGAAGATTCATTCTGTTTTAAACTTTTAAAGCACAGATTTATTTAATAACCAATCTGAGGACACATTGTCATTCAGTTGACACCGGGGTGGCGACAATGTCAGCAGTTATTCTTATTACTTACTCCTTCATGTGGGGACACTGGTATATTTTGTGGTGGTGGTGGTGTTATCCACCAGTTGATAAGCTCTTCAATCCAGAGTCCGGAGAACATTTTTTCTCCACAAACTGCACACCACAGTGGAAATCGACACCAATAAATAGTCCGTCCGAGGCTGGATTTGGTATCAATTCACTTTCGGCTCTCTATTGGTAGTATCACCCCCCAGAAGCCAAAACCCAAGAATCCATCCACCAAGGAACCACACCCCCTAGAATTTCCAGTATGAAGGCAGTCTTTGCGATTGCCCTCGTCCTCTGCGGTAAGTAAATTAGTGGGGAAAGTTTCTGAGGAAATTTTCATAATATTTTTTATTTTTTGTAAATTTCCAGCTGCTGCTGCAGCGTCGAGCGACCGAGAGGCATGGAACAACAAGCACGAGTTGGTGTTCCGAGTTGAGGGTCAAACCACGGTTGGCCTCCCCCTCCCCACTGTTCGTGGACAAGGTGTCAAGGTTTCCCAAACTGTCAGAATCGCCCGTCAATCGCCTAGAACCTACTTGCTCAAGGTGCGTGAGTTTGTTATATTATTTCCGCCAGGTTTAAATTTGTACGGAACTAAAATTTGGATTTTTTCCCTATAGCTTGAAGACATCGACGTGAAGGAACTCCAAAACGAGCTTTCCGACGCTGGCGGTTCATCTTCTTCTTCCTCCTCTGAATCCAAATCTGGATCTTCTTCCTCCTCCTCCTCCTCGGAAGAGAAGCAGGTCGAACTTCCCTCCGCTATCCGATCCATTCTCCAGACCCCCATCGTGATCCAAGTCGCCTCCCAAAAGGTGGCCTCCATCAACGTCAAGGAAGGCACTCCCCGCTGGGCGAGGAACATCTTCCGGGCCATCGTTACCCAATTCCACTTCATCTTCGAGCAACAGTCCGAACTCCCCACTGGAGGACGACCAAGCTGGGATAACACCTTCGAGATGAAGGAAAAGGAGCACCTCCTTTTCGGTGAGATCAAAGCTATAGTTTGATCCCATTTTAGCTTACTCTTAAAATCCGTACTTGTTTTTATTTACAGGAAAGTGCCCCGTTCAATACAAACAGAAGGATTTGGGCCGATTCAAGTCTTCCCAAGAAGAAGTTAGGAAACAATTGGTTGATGCCCTTAAGCAATTGGACATTGTTGGAATCTCTTCCTCCAAATCGTCCTCTTCATCCTCCAGCTCGTCTTCGTCTTCATCTTCCTCCTCCGAGTCCAAGTCCGACTCCGAATCCAACTCTAAGGAATCCAACTCCTCTTCCGATGAGCGTACGTTTTACTAACCTTTTTCTTTCCTACTACGAATTTGCATAGTTTTAAAATATTAAATCCCTTCCTTCAGGATCCTCTTCTTCCGAAGAGCTCGAAGACCAACTGCCCAAACTTGCCCGTCAAATGCACATCTCCTCCCAGGCCGGACAACTCTGCACTTCCGATGAGCGACTCGTCCTCGTCGTTAAGAACGTCAACCTGACCGGATGTGACCGCATCGCTGCTCTCGACATGGGACACCCCGCCCTCGAGTTGAACAACACCAACCCATTGTACTCCCGATCTGCCGTCTTTGTCTACTTTGGATGTTCCTCTGGCGCCAACGTTGACTTCAAGCCCCTCGTCATCATCGCTGCTGACACCCTGAATGTCGGTTTGGAGAAGAAGGAACTCCCCTCTTTCAAGCAGATCACGACCCAGATTGCCTCCCTCAAGGAAGTCCGAACCTCCTCCTCCATCCAGAAACCATCCAAGACCATCGAGGTTTCCAACTTGGAGTACCAATTCGGTGCCTGGAAAGAGCTTCCCCGTGGTGAAGATTTCTTCTCCCACATCGCCATCCAGAAGAAGGGCCGCGCTTTGAGGGCATCCGTCTCCGAGTCGTCTTCCTCCTCTTCCTCCCAGTCCGACTCCAACTCCTCCTCCAACGAGGACTCCAACTCTTCCTCCGACTCCAAGTCCGACTCTGAGTCCAACTCCCAGGAATCCAACTCATCCTCCGATTCTGACTCTTCCTCCTCCTCTTCCGAATCCAAGAGTGAGTAATTCATTTAAAATATCCGAGTGTTTTTCAAACTTAGAATTTATTTTAAATTTTTTTCATAGGCGGATCTTCCTCTTCTTCATCTTCCTCCTCCAGCTCCTCCTCATCCGAAGAGCTCGACGAGATCTTCGCCCCTCTTGAATTCTCCCAATTGTCGGTTAACGACCGTGCCGAACGTGCCAAGGAAATGCTCCGAGATGTCGTCTCCATGTTCCGCTCCTCCCGCCCAGGAGATGCTCCATTGAACGTGCGCAAAATCATGGAAAAGTACAGGACCGTCATCCGATTGGTTCGATCCGTCCCGAAAGAAAAGTTGGAGAAGATGTACGCCTCGATCGTGATTGAGGGCAAGAGCACCAACTCCCGCGGATTGATCACCCTCTTCTTCAACGCTCTCCTCATCTCCGGAACTTCCCCAGCTCTCGCTGTCTGCGACGATTTGGTCCGAAAAAGCCAGGTCGACCCCGTCCAAAAGGTCCACTACTTGCTCGGAGTTCCCCGATACACCCGATTCCCAACCAGGAAGTTCATCCAGATGTTCAAGAAAACCGTCGAGACTGTCCGATCCCAGGATCGCGTTTACGGTCAAATTGGTCTCTTGTCCCTGTCTTCTTTGACCTACCAGGTAAGCTGTTTATACTTATTTAATTAGCCTTCCCACCTCTACAGAAATGCTTAATTGCCATGTATTTGCCAGGCCTGTGTCAACTCTCGCGTCGCCGAGGCCAAATTCCCCGTCCAAATCTCTGGCTCTTTCTGCGGCCCAAGCTTCGCCAAGTCTGAGGTTTACGATTACATCAACTCCCTCTGGCAATCAACCATGTCCGGCTCCAATGACGAACAGAAGGCCGTCCTTCTCTCCGCCGTCGGTATTTTGGGACACCCCGCCGCCGTTCACAGCCTCGAACAAGTGATCCTCTCCCAATCCCAGTCCACCTTCGTCCGAACCAAGGCCATCTTCGCCTACAAGCGATTGATCTTCTCCACCAACGGAAAGTGAGTGCTTACAAAAATAATTAATTTTGCAATTAATTTAATTAACAACCTCCTTTGTTCCCAGCGATGCCGTGACCCGAAGCCTCGTCCGCTCCACCGTCCTGCCCAACCTGATGGCCCACGTGCAGTCCACCTCCCTCCCAACGCCCGTCCGTATGGCTGCTGCCGCCCTCGTCTTCGCCTGCGAACACTCCGTGTCCCAACACTGGTCTCAAATCGCACGAACTGCCACCTCCTCCAACGTCGAGTTCCAATCCTTCATCGCCTCCTCGATCCAATCCATGGCGCAGATGGACACCGTTGCCGACAACCACCACCGCATGAAACATATCGCTTCCCAAATCCAATCCGAAGTTTCCAACCTCCGTGGGGCCGATGCTTACCAAGGAATTTCTCAAAATCTCTACTACGCTGAAGAGGTCGGAGAGAAATCCGAGATTGAATTCCTCGCCCGATTCGCCCTCCTCAAGTCTTACCGATCCAACGAGTACCTCCACCTTTTCACCAAGGGATCCTTCAACCTTGGATCTGACCCTCTCGAACTCACCCCACTCGCCGTCTCCCTCACCATGCAGTCCGAGACGAACGACATCTGGAAGCAGAACGACCTCTACGCCACCGTCTCCTTCTGGAACGAGATGTTCATCACCACCAAATTGTCCGCCGACTCTTTGGAGAAACTCGTCAAGGGAACCGAAATCGGAAGAATGATCTACGTCTGGTTGGACGAGCTTGACTCCAACTCATTGAACAGGAAGGTCGAAGAGGTCTCTTTCCAGAAGGCTATTCAACCATGGGAACAGGTCCGAGAGGTCCCAACCATCCTCGGATTCCCCGTCTCCTTCAGAATGAACATGCCCATGATCATCTCCACCGTGGGACAGATCGCCATCAAGGGACAAGGAAGCCAATCCCGCGTCCATGCCGATGTTTACCTTAGGTGAGAAATTACTGAAATTTAATTACTGAATTTAAATTATGGGGCTTAATACTAAATAATTAAATTAATTCCACAGCGCCGTCGGTCAACTCAAGGCCCGTCTCACCGCCAAGGTTCCATACACTCAACGCTACTACCAGGTCGGTTACGAGAGGAATGTCGCTATCGAGCTGCCCTTGAGAATCGTTGCTCAACGAAGCCAAAGCCAAGCCGTCCAATTCGCCGTGACTCCCACCCACTTGGAAAATCATGGTACTCCATCTGGACAAATCCGAATCTTGTCCTACTCTCAACTCCCATACACCGCCGTCATCAAGGACCCATGGGCCAAATCCTTGTCCCAAAAGTACGAAGACTTCGACCTGATCAGGACCGGAAAGCAGTCCGAATCCACCCAGAAGGTCGGCAGGGAAGAACTCGGAATCAAATTCGTGTACGAAAAGGAGGCCGATCGTCCCACCCAAGTATCCAAATACTGGACCGCCTTCACCTACAACAACATGAACCTTACCGTTGACCTTTCCGCCTCCAAGACCAACACCGTCCTCCTCACCCTCGGACTTGGCCGAGCTTCCCAGCTCTCCCAATCTTCCGCTTCTTCCTCCTCCTCCGACTCCAACGAGAGCTCCAACTCCGTCCAAGGAAACTCCGTCGAGGTTGGCACCAACATCAACCGAGGAATCGTTCTCGCCGCTGCCATCACCGGAAAGCGAGCCGTCGTCCAACCTCTGGACAAGAAGGCGACCACCATTGAAGAAATTGACAACAAGAACGCCAAGAACACCTTCCAATACTTGATCCAGACCGTCATCTCCAACGAAATGGATGCCGGATTTGTTCGCATCGCCAGAGGCAAGGCAGCCGACAAGGTCGCCACCACCATGCCACAATCTGGAGGTCTTCGAGTCGTCCGAGAGGCCATCACCGAGTCTGACAATGAGTCCCAACAGGAATCTGGATGCATCCAGGTCAACCACAAGGTTAAGGGTGGATCCAGCAAGAACACCATGCTCGGAAAGAGTGAGTCCCTCACTAACTAATTACATAATTATTTAATTAATCTCACTGACTAAATCCTCCTTTCTTTCTCTTAGCCACCATCGAAATCGGTCAAACCTGTGCCCAATCCGACTTGAAGGATTACACCATCGATTCCATCGTCAAGATCGCGCAGGAAGTTGAGGCCCAATTCGAACTGAGAGGCACCCACATTCCCTCCTCCCTCCAACAAGCCGCCCAACAACTCCAAGCCGTCGTTCAACAATCCAACCAACAAGCCGTCCGTGCCCAAGTTCAAGCCCACCCATTGAAGGTCAAGCTCAACTACAGCCCAGCGGCCCACTCCCACTCCAGGAGACAACAACAACACCAACAACAACAACAACAACAACGCCAGCAACAACAACACCAACACTAAATTACGACCCCACGCCCCCCACCGACCCAACAATGATGAAATGACCCGCTGGAACTTACTCTGTTCGTTCAAGTAACTCTTGCGGTACTACAACTAACTAACTACTTATTTATTACACCTCATAACACGTTTTCCTCCCTAAATTATTTATTTATTTGTCACACCATTCATTTGTTCAGTATTCATTGATGTAATGTAATGATGTGCATTTAAACAATTTGATAAGAAGTCTTAATAATAACCAGCATTCATAAAATCTAAAAAAAACACGGTGTAAGTAGAATCACATTTATTTCGGCATAAATTGTTCATAAATTGCAATTTCATAAATATTTATATTGCATAAAAAATATCACATTTTTGTTTCTGGCATCATACTAATCCATTGTTCGTCGTTAGTATTCATATTGTGGCACTTTTACAATTACTTAAAACAAAGTAAAAAAAAAACAACAACTTGGAAACTTTTGCATAAATAATTCTCACGCCAAGATTTGTAAAGTTGCATGTATAGAAAAATCTCTTCATTTCAGGAACTCAGCATCTCTTTAATTTTTGTCCAAAATTTTTTGCACAAATTTCCAAAAATTTGTAAACTTCACCCTTTCTTCTTCTTCTCCTGCTTCTTCTTTTCTCTCTTTTTCACCTCCGCCTCCCACAGGTTTTTACACGTGCAGTAATTCTTCATCTTGTAATGCGTGATGCAGTCGCTCTTGCCCGCGTACGAGTTAATCCGTCCCACCGAGCCGAGCAAGGTCATCGCCGCGTTGTCCCTGATCCGCACCCTGGCCTCGAAGCGCCCCTCCCATGGCGACGTTTCAAACGCGATCAACACGTCTCGATACGGCTCCAGTTTTCCAACCCCATTCCAAACCTCGCCCTCCCCGACTTGACGACCGTACAGAAATGTCGTGTAGTTCACCGGGGAGCAGAGCGAGGTCAAATTTTGGGCGGAGAGGTCAGCATTAATTTGCGTGACGATGAAGACCCCCAACTCGGCGGAGAGACGGGAGGACGTCGTCAACGAGGGAGAGACGCCACACATGCAGTATTTTTCAGGAATCGCGGAGCTTTCGCAGGTCCGATTTTCCAGCGCGGTGGCGAGAAAGGAAGTTCCGTAAGGGGATGGGGACGACGTGTTCTTGTTGTTCACGAGGTCGATAAGCTGCACGAGTGTGGCGTAAAGGTCGTGAGGCGACGTGAGACGGGCGGCATTGGTGCGGAGGGCGGCTGACCAGGAGGGGGACGAGAGTCGAGGGGGCATCCGGAGGAAGAAGAAGGGCAAGGATTCCTCATAAAAACCGAGGAACGTTTCACGAAAAGCGCCGAAACGGTAGCCATGGTCGGAGATGAAGAGGATGAGCGTGTCCTCTCCGACCGAGGAGAGAATGGAGGAAAGGAAGCTGCGGAAATCTTGGTCGTAGGGCTGGAATAAAAATTGTGAAATATTGGATTCATATTTTTTTAATTAAATCTGGCCGCAAAACAGTGCGATTAAATGAACTAAAAAAATCATGGAAAAAATTTGCCACTATTTTCATCAATTCAAATTACTATGTAAAATCCAAGTAAAAAATTATTGCGTGTTTCTTTGTCCTGCCAGAAAGCCCAATTTACAAGGACGGAAATCATGCCTTTTTACAGACCTGCATATTGCATACATACAAAAACAAAACCTTAATAGTAACAAGGTAAATATAAAAAAGGAGAAAACTGCTCTCCTGCCTTGGACAATAATAAATAAGTAAATATAAACATTGGACCGGAAACACATCTCATATGAACTCGTACCATCCACCCACCTGCCCGCATGTCACACAAACCTGCGATATTTGCATACACGAAGCAGCAACAAGTAACGTAACGTATGTACTCGACAAATAAAGGAGAAAAGTGTGATATTGGTTTTTCATTACGGTGGCAAAATCGCGTATTGACATGATTATCTTACCGACGACGATGAGGATTACCTTGAGCCCGTTGAAGTCGTCGTGCGCCATGGAGGTGAACCAGGAGAGGAGGAAGAACGGCGTCACGCCGCCCACTTCTCGCACAAAGGAGCGAATGTACCTGAGGAGGACGCGTGTCGGGGTGAGGCCACCGCCCAGACAGTCGTTCGCCCCGCCGAATCGGTGTCGATTTCGACCCGCTTGATGCTCCGCGACCATCAAGGGGCGCAAGTAGTAGTCGGAAGGGGGTAAAACGAACCCTGCGCGAGACAATTACTTAATTATTTTTTTTACTTGGTGATACGATGGTTATCTTAGCTGTTTATTTACCTGTCTTATCATAATTAAATATCGCAATGCCCGGAGAATCCTCGACATGCGCAGTGACATAGTTCATCCTAGAAAAATTCTTCCAGAGGAAGGGACAGTCGTCCAACTTGGTGTGTCTCGATGGCCAGCAGCGTGCAATCGTTTCCGCCTCCGTCATCCCAGCAAAGGCCGCCTATTTATGAAGGTACACACAGGTCAAATAAAGGTCACACGCATTGACCTTAATATAAAAATGACATGACCTCACCATAATATTTGGGAAAGTGTTATCCCCCACCTTCGTGTAGCCCTTCATCTCTGTGAAACCGTTCGCTGTGAGAAATTCCTTCGTCCTTGGCATCGACCGAATCATGTGGAGGCGTGAAATGGAGTCAATTCCTGCAACAGTAACGAATCGTCAAGGTCATCATCTCGAAGCACTTGGACATTAATCTTTTGACCTTCATGACCTCACCAATAACCAAAACGCTTGGTGGGAAGATGGACGATGTCTTCTTATTCGGGTTACTCTTTAGTTTCTGCTCGTCCCAGAATTTCGCCTTGGTTTTCGTTCCCGGCGACAAGTTTCTCGGGGAGGGAACGAGTGGGAAGAAATCCTTCCAAACTTGAACTTTCAGTTCGTTGTGGCATTCAACCTTGACATATTGGACGTCACCCGGGATCACGACACCATTTCCGCCTCCTGGTATTTTCCCACAGTTCTTCGTGTCTATACTGAAATGATGCGAATTATGGGATTTACACGGCAAAATTGATCCCATCGTAGGCAGGGTCCACTCATTAATAACGGGTGGAAAAATCGGATAAGTCACTTTCTCATTATCTGCGCTACATATTGAAAAACAAAAATTTTCAGTGTTTTCCTTCTTGCGGGTTTGCTACATTTCTTGCACTTCAAAGCAAGAAGCGCAAGAAATGCGAGGTGCAAGAAACTGAAAGAAAGTGCAAGAAATATGCGCCACCTAGCCACGCGCCGTATGAAATATAACGGCGGGCGTAGTTTCTTGCACCTTGCAAATGGTTACTTGCACCCAAAACAGATCAAAATTTCCTCCTCCACATAATTAACGAGTGGCCCAATTCTCCTCCTTATGCAATTATTCGTCTTACTCGACCCCATAGTCGGCATCGTTGTCATACTTGTCTGGAGATTGGGTGCGTCGCGTGATCCTCCTCCAGCAGCAAGAGGCCCCCTTGTACTTCCACTTTTTGAGTAAGGCGCCACTAACGACGAGGCGTGATTCACCGGGCGTGGTGGTGGGCGTAACGAGCGTGACGAGGGGTTCGTGACACGCGTGGATCGCTCCGTCTCGGAGGAAGGTGTCCACCACGGAGGAAAAGGGGTCCATGTGGCGTAACTTGCATCCCGCCGTGTGCACGAGGAAGAGGGAGGCGTCGTCCGCAGAGGTGTCATCCGATCTGCTTATTTTTTTGGGAAAAATGATACGGGTCGAATTTATCAAATCATGTTGAAAACGCCCCCGCATGAAAAAAAAATACATTTGTGCATACACACTCAACTTGACACTTCAATATTGAATACACTCAACAATTATGAAGGCCAGAAGAGCGTCGTTCGTCGTGGTTGATGGACAAAAGTAAAGGATTCATTTCCGACCCAAAAAGTGTGTTACATATGCAGGCGATTTTGTATTACTTCTTGTCAACAACAATACGCCGACTAACTAACCAAGTAAAATATAAATGAGGCTCGTTTCATCACCAGAATGCAGGCTAAATATTATTACATATTCTGCAAACTTGAGCCAAGGACTAAATATACAAATAAATAAGTATGTATGTCTCTGCATATTCACTAACTTGTGTGTACATAAGTACGTAAATTGGACAATTACTCTGTGACGACACCACGACACGACATACGCCAAAAGACAAACACTTACTACTTTCGAGTCGAGGTTAATTTACGTAATGATGGAAAACGAATATGTAAGGAGAAGAAAATATTAGGCATGCTAATTTTATTGAGGAGAAGATTGCGAAAAATATATGAATTATGGATCGCATTCGTCATTAGGAAAATAAAAGTTTGAAGAAACAAAATCCACCCTAAAGAATTCGCACTTTCGAAAAAAAATCGGAAGAAAATCCGAGTTGAAGATTTACAACGTGATTAAATAGTTGGTCATGCAGATGCGATTTTTGGCAGAAAGCCAACTAAATTCTTTCTAGTAAATTTCCTAAAATTTAGCAACATCTGTGACCTTTCTTACTCCTTCGGGGTCAAATTGAGACGACACAAACAAAACAAGGAAATAGTGCTAACCCTGTCGAGAATGGGAAGATGAGTGACTTGATGATAACCCTGTTGCCGGTTTCCTCCCTCCCCCCAGAGTTCGAATAAAGGAGGAGGACCAAACTGAGGGCGCAGATGAGGAGGAAGCTTTTTCTCCTGTGGCGACAGTACGCGCCACCACCGCCGTCACTCCCCCCACTGGAAACCATGTCGACACTCCACGCACTCCAGCAGCAGGCGACGAGTCGTCACTACTTCTTCCAGCGGAAGACGACAGTTAGGTTTGAGACATGACGATTTTTTCCGTTGAGACGAAGGAAGCAGGACGGAAGTGAGTGATAAAATTCCGATTGCGATACAGCAGGGGCATCACCAGCCAGCCAGCCACCACCGGGGACCAAGGAGTGACGACAACTAGTGATATTTTCCCTATCGTTCTTGTCGTATTACTGAACTGACTGCGAGGAGCAAGTAAGTTAGTGGGCTCTGTTCATCGTCCTGGTTAAATGTGAATGTGGTGCTGGTGCATGGTGTATGTAATGTGTGTGTATTTGTAAATGCATGGTGCCAGGAGATATTATGTTCTTATTCAGGGTTTTACTGGGTAGTTAAATATATTGGCAAATACTAGGAACGACTAAATTGCACTGCACGATTGTACGAAGCAGGATAAGAGAGAAGGACAGGGGGCAGGAGGACAAAATAGGTGATGGTTTAATAAAATGCAAAAATAAGTGTGACCGATTTCTTCCCTTTCTTCTCAGATAATTAATTCCATTCACAATGGAAGCATTGTTTTACATGTTTCGTGCAGCGGCTTGTATGCAAACCGAAACTGAAACCACTTTCGCCATCATACGAAACTAAGAAATGTATAATAAAGAGAATAATATAATGCAAACATTTAGCTAGAAATAATGCATAACAAAAACTATAACCCTTGACCTCACCTAACATACATGCATTTACATGCTTTTTGATTGGGGAGATTGAGACGGATAATGGAGATTCCTAGCGTATGTCCTCAGATTTTTACCAAATTAGTTTCAATAAATCAGAAACTTAATTATCATAAAATTTGCAGAAATGCACGATCTTCCAATGGGCAGGTTTGGTTGAGAGATTTGCATCCGAAGAGGAGAAAACGTGCCCTAAAATTGCCAAATTTTGCACTTTCCAAATTTCCTGCAGGCTTTCTCCTCTTCGGATGCAAATATCTCGGCCAAATCTTGCGCATTGGGCGATAGTTCCGTTTTCAAATTTCATCTTAATTAAATCTGTCATCTTTTGACACTAATTTGGTCAAAATCTTCGACCATACCCTGAAAGAAAGCCATCATGCGACTATGTGTTATGCACATCAATCCATCCCGACGAGGCAACCTGAGACATCCCCATACCCCACATTTCCTCGAAATTAATCCCCCCAACTAATTCCTCCGAGAAGCTGAGGCCTCCCGAAAATTTTCATACGTGGCAAGCGTCCCACTACCCGGACGACGCTTGGCGATGGATGGCGTGCGTGTGCGTGCGTACAGCCAGACAAAGAAGTCTCGTCTGCTGCTGCTGCTGGAAGTTGGCAACCCGAAACTCGTCGTGGAGGAGGACGGACGACGATGGTGTATTTTAATAATAATGTCTGTATATATACAGTCGGGGTTGGTTTTTTGGTCGTGGGGAGAGTGACTGTGAGAGACTGAGAGAGAGAGAGAGAGAGAGTCGAGGCGAAAAAGAAGATCGGGGGTTTGTGTCGAGCTACCAACATGCCATTTCCTCTCCTATTTCCATCCACTCTTACTCTCCTTTATACTCACTCACTCGCATTACATTGATATTACACACAGACCAAGTTTTTTATTACACACGGATCTCTTCTTTGTACCAGAGATTCACCACCCAAAGAGCAGTCACCACTAACAACACACTGCTCTTGCCATCAAGAGCCTGCTGCACCTCCTCTCACCACCACGATGACGACGACGACGGCGACGGTGATAACTCCAGGACGATGATAACCACTCCCCCCGTCATCCCGTAGGTGTGGCAGCAGGATACCATGAGCAAGACCCCTTCGCACCTGGTCTCCGTCCCCGCTGGGAAAGTCTGCTTCTCTCCGCCCTGAAAACAAGAGTGAAAGTTGATAAACCAAAGACTCACCAACCACGAACCGAATAGAGTAATTATACAAGTATTTTATTAAGAAACAGTGCAAGTTTTAGTGTGTGTTTGACATGGAGTGGGTGGGGTGGTCGAAAAGTGTGGGTGAAAGTGGATAGGAAAAAAAATTGACTCGAGGATCTCATTTTGCCAGGTTTTTCCCCCATGACGATGGACATCTCGAGTGGTGGAGGCGGACTGCCTCCATCCGAAGGGGGTGTGGTAGTTAGTAGTGCTGGTGGGAGTGGAAGTGGTGGTGGTGGGGGTAATAATGATTGGGGTTCGTTGGACCACATCCTGCCCACGCTGGACTTTATGGGGGCGAGCAGTATAAGCAGTGGTCATCATGGGAGCAGTGGGAGCAGTTCGAGTAATTCGTCGACATCTTCGTCATCCAAGAGGAGGACGGATCATCGCTATGATTCGAGTGAAAGTTCAGACAGGTGGGGAAAATTATGTGTTTTCTTTTTTGCGTAATTTATTTTTATGATACTTTAATTTCGGATATCATAAATTAGAAAATTGGGAAGATTTCGGGGGAGAATTTCGTGTCAAATTTGTCAAGTGGCCTTATTTCAGCCAAGGAGTGAATAACATGGCATAATGATTTTCTACTTGTACATTTTAATTTATAACATGGGGGACTTTTCGGTGAAAAATTCGTGCAAAATTTGCCGAGTGGCCCTATTTTATTCTTGTATGTCAGTCAAGTAGTGAGTAACATGGCATTTTACACATAATGATTTTCCACGAAAATGAAGGGTTGCACACTCATCATCATGATCCTCCTCGATCCCTGGGATTATAATTTTCCTCCATCCACCGGTCTGTTGGACGGGATATAATTTTTGGTGGATGTGGACGGTCCACTATTTTAAGGGCCTGGAGCGAGCGTGTGTGTTTAGTTTAGCAGAGAGGGAGGAGAAGAGTAGTGCATTGTGAAAAAAATTGTAAAACCCGTCCAGTTCATCATCACATCAACGAGTCGTCGTTGCATCCACTGCTATCTCCCCAGCAGGCCATCCATCCATCCAAAAGCTTTTCAGAGAGAGAGCCATTCGGGTTGTTGGAGTGGAGTTGATTGGATTTGGCAAGGGGGTCATGCATCCATCCCGACGGAAGAGAGGGGTGCATGACCAAAAATGTCACCAGTCTGACCACGACGACGACATGACAATGACCATTTTTTTTCTTTGGACAGGGGGCAATTTGGAACTGGTCTCGTAACCTCGTCTTCTACATTAGCCCTTGAATATTTTTTAAAAGCTTATCACTCATTCTCCCAGAGAATGTCATTCTTTACATATTTTATTATGTGTGATTTGTTTGGCGTTATCTTATCTGGGGCTTGTATATGTATGTCCCTCATAGATTTGACGCTCTCCTCTTATCAAGGAATTGCAGGGTCAGCGAATACTTGACATAATATACATACATACTTTACTTGCTTATATAATAAATAAATGGGGGTGAATGGGCCGTGGGATTGGGATGAAAAAGCTTGGCGGATGAAGCAGGTTGAGGGGTTTGAGTGACCCACCGGAAGCAGGATTTGACAGGTCGGGAGATAAGATCGCCAGCACTTTCTCATTCATACATCCAGTCCACACCTTATCGTGGCTTCCGGCCCTGGTCGTGGCAACAGGTGGAGCAGTTTCATTAGTAAAATTGGATTGCATGCATTACTTTTAAGGGGCCATAGTTGACTGGATGTGTAAAATAAGTTGCTTGCATGCAGCGTGACGACGAGGACGACTCGTTTTATGAAGTTACCACTTGACTACTACTGACTGGAGTACATACATTTACACGTTCACATTTATCTCGTGGAGCTGGTGATGATGGTGGTGGTGGTGGTGAAGAGGTCCTTTTAAAGGTGCCTGCACCATTTTCCCTTTAAAATCGTCCACCACCACCACCACCAGGACGGCCTGGATGCCCTTCTTGCCTTGCCGAGTTCCATTCATGAGCCTTGTTCGTTGTCGAGGTTGTAAGTAGGCTGATGTTGAGGGTCTTTTTTTTGGAAGGGAGCAGCCCTGCAAATGTAGCAGTCGTGGTGGTGGTGGTGGAGATGATGGAGAAAGGATGATGCTCCTCTTACACGAGCGGACATGAGTCAAAATCTGGCTTCACGTACCATACCCTTCTTCCCCCTGGGAGTGTAGGTTATATAATTTAGTCGCTACTATTTACTTGGATAACAATGGATGGATAAGTTAATTAGTTGTGGTCATTGTGGTGTAAAAGAAAGGAATAATTTTTCTCGTCGACCTGGAAATTCCAGGCTGGAATGCAGAAAGTTTTAAATAATAAAAGTGAGTGCATTTGGTGGAGTTATTTTGATAGTAGTAGGAGCCATTTGGTAATAAGTTGGTATTTCGAGGAGAGAATTATAAAAACGAGTTATTTTGTGACGACCTTGACCTTGATGGCGATGATAAGCTAAGGGCATGGTTTTGAAGTTACTTAAAATCAAGATCGGGGTGCCTCTTATGGGTTTATAAACCTTAAGTGGTGTTTATGCTTCACGTCATCGTCACGTCCTCCTTCAAATCCGATTTTTTGATTGGCTGAACTAAATTATCACTACGACAATTAAAAATTTTAACCAATCAAAAAATCGGATTTGGAGGAGGACGTGACGATTACGTGAAGCATAAACGCACCTTTAGCGTTGGCCTCCTTTTTATGCTGTGTTTTTGTACGTGGGGGTTAAAGTTGGGTGAAAAAACACTGTCGAGATAGCATTCTCGATTCGAAACTGTGGTGTGGTCATGTGTGATGACCTGTATTTTATGAAACCATATCCATTTCCCGGAATAAATTCTTATAATATTTTTTCTTGTCTGGTTTCAGTGGTGTGGCGACGCTGAGTCCTTCTTCGACCACTTCGGGGGACACGGCGCCCTATTCGCCCTCTGCGGATTCATCCTCCTCCTCTTCCGACTGCTCCTCTTCACCCGATGCACCCTCTCCTCCACGCCTTGTCCCCATTTTTAAGAAAAAACAACCCCCGTCCCCTTCCTTGCCGACGTCCACGTCCATCATGACAGCCGTGTCCGCCGTCTCTGCTGTTCTTGCTGCCGCAGACCACAAGCAGCGTCGACCCTCCGTCTACACGCCAAATACCTCCTACAGCAAACAACAACAAAGCAAGCCATCCCCCACGCCACCCTCTTCCTCCTCAACTAGTACAACTACCTCGTCAACTAAGCCATCTAGGTACGTACGCAAATTTAACTGAAAATTCATACATAATTAATAATTAATTACAAACGAGCGAGTCTTGTACTAGAAATTGCTAGTAAATTGATTAAAAAAGTTAAAATCTCGACACAATTATTTCCTAAATGCCGTATGACCGTGACTCATAATTTGTTTGGTCAATTTCCAGTGGTGGTGTCGGTAAGGACTTTCTCGCCGTCGCCCTCTCCTTCCACGCTGCCCAGCAGGAAGAAAAGGCCTCAAAACAACAGCAGCTCAACAATAACAACAACAACGCTTTAACACTCAACAAAAACGCAGCTCCTCACCTCAGCCCCCAACCGGCAGTTGCCCCCACTCAAGAAGATCTCAATAAATCGGCCGTGCCCACCAAGAAGGCGAGATTGGATAGTGGCACTACCAATACCACGCCAAAACCGCTGATAAGCCCCACCAGTAAATCGAGTAGTAGCAAACAACAGACCACCATGCCGACCACGACCACTCCTGGGAACAACAAGAAAGTGTTCACCATGACGATTCCCACCGCACTTCAACAACTTTCCTCCACGCTGAAAAAGGCGAAGCGGAAGTTGGCCGAGGCAGAGAAGGAGGATGAACCCGACGTGAAAATATTGGGGGTGGAAGTCGTCTCCTTATCGTCGTCTTCCGTTGAAGCCACGGCCGTCCTGGGAGGACGTGTCTGCTCGGTGGCAGAGTCGCTAAAAGTGGCCACGACCAGTGTTTCGAGTAGTATTCTCATCCCGGGAGGAGTCGTGCCGAAGGGGGAGATTGTCGATATGTGTCTGTGGAGGGGTTGTTGTGCGGAGGTGGGGTACAATTTGTTGGAGCATATCCAGGTGAGATTTGACTTGTTATTTCCGAAATATTCAAATTCATATGTATTTTAATTTTTGTATTATGACGTCAGTCGCAGTTTGGAGTAGTTTAAATATTTTGCATCGTGACAATTTTACGTAGAATCAAAATATTTCAATTATAATAGTTTTTTTGAGAATGCTCTGTCCAGGTCAAAGAAAATTTGCGAATAAAATCATAGAAAGCTTTAGTCAAACTTGTCGCTTGTATGTAAAAATTTACACTCATTTATGTAATTTCACTCGCATTCAATTGTTTAATTTAGAATTATTTGTCCTTATGTATGTAAAATGTAATGTGTGACCTCAACTTAAATTATTTAACGCTTCTTTACAGACGGTGCATGTCGGGAGTCAAAGCAAGGGCGAAGTGGGGTTCGTCTGCTTGTGGGAAGGGTGCAAAGTGTTTAACCGGAAGTCGTCGTCTCGCTCATGGCTGGAGCGTCACGTCCTCTACCATTCTGGCAACAAGCCCTTCAAGTGTATCTTCCCCGGCTGTGGACAGTCCTTCGGGGTTCAAGGGGCCCTTGAGAGGCACGTCAATAGTCACATGGCCTCCAACTGTGGAGGCGCACTCTCACTCGCGGCCGCCAATCGCAACAAAATCGACGCCAACAGCCCGTTCAAGGGAGTCGGGAGGAGGAAGAAGCAGCGCTGCAGGAAGCAGAGACTCAATCTTGGTAAGCAATTTAACTCAATATTCACTTTCACTCTGCAAAAACTTTGCAAGAAATGTGACTCGTGGTTTGAGAGTTGTTAGATTGTTTAAATTTACATGTAACAAAATTTGCAAAATTATAAAACAACTTCATGAATTATGTATAAATGTAATTTCCTCTTAATAATTATAATCCTATTTAAACTTTTAGGTCAACACGTCGACTACTTTGATAAGCGTGTCATGGAGCTGATAAAACATCGTCTCGCTTCATCCATCAGTTCTCACACGACGTCGGCGCATCACTGCACTTTTAGGGGACAGGTAAGTCACAATTTTAGCGATTACCGTTGTCTTTATGGGCATTCTTAAATTTGTGGTCATTTCGTTTAGGTCCTTGCTAAGCGGAGAGTGGCCGGGGAAGAGGCACAACTGCTCGTTCAGTGGTTTCCAGCCTCAATGTAAGTCATACATTACATTACACCTCATGTAACATTTTAAATTTTTAAATAAAAAATCAATTAACCAATTATTCACTCTGGATACAGAATTCCCGACGAGTGGGTCCCCCTGAAAGAGTTTCATCCCGAAAAGACTGTCCCACTCACCTCCCTCCCAAAAGATAAGCTTCCCCTCGTCTTCCCTTCCCTCTTCCCCACCCAACACATCGCAACGGACAAAGCACGCCGCAAGTGGTGCCCTTCCTCTTCCTCTTCCCTCGACAACGGTGACGACGACGAGGAAAACGAAGACAGCGATGAAAAGGTCACAAAAACCACAGCGTCGCTCTTACTCCTACCAGACGAAGAAGTAAATAGCAGCGTCAAAACGTCCCCTTCTTCTTCCTCCTCCTCGGGTAGCAGTAGTAGTTTAATTAGCAGCAACAGCAGCACTAGCCAACAAAAGGTCTCTTCAAAACACAATAATAAAACAGCAGCAGCAGTTTCGTCTTCATCGTCATCATCTCCATCCCTCTGTTCGGACGAGGATGGGGACGAAGATGGCGACGACTGGGCACTGGACGCCCTCCTGGACAATTTGTTCCTCACCACGGTGTCCTCTTCCTCGCCTCCGTCGTCGTGACGATAGAAAGGATACAAGCTTAAAGTCCTCCTCTCTCCGTGTGTGTGTTCATGTCAACGTGTCGCCCTCCAGAAACGTGGGGATGACGTTAATCCAAAAATCGAGGATACAAAAACTGCCCTAAACACATTTAGAGTAGTAGAACTTGTGACTTTATTATTTACGAGGGATACACACAATTATGATGATATTGTGCCAGAACAAGGCTGCCTCTCAGGTTTTACACAGGAACAATAATGCAATTTGATTTCCTTATTTATTATGGTTGTTAATTAGGGTAGTAATTTGATAATGAGTATGAGAGTCAACTCATCATCGGCATCAATCGCTCCCGTGTCTGTAGATATGTAGTAGTCGTACAAAAAATAGTAGCCGTAGTTGGTTCGTACGTTCGTTATCGTGTGATTAGTTTGTCGTCGCGCAGGAGGAGAAGAATGTTTTTACAACTGTAACTACTTTTACATATTCTCGCTCTCTCTCCTCTTTTTCGGAGGGGGCATAGCATCGTCGTCGCATTTATGTAATTCCTTCGGCCTGGAGTGGATAGGTAGACGAGACACAAAACGCATTATTTTATAGGGTATACAAGAAATCGAAGGGGCTATCATCATCACATATTTACTGGATAAGTACATAGTTAGTTAGGCAGGTAGTAAGTGGATAAGTCTAGGTTTGTGGGGTGTGTTCAGCTTTTCGGGTCGTTTGTTACTTTTTCCGAGTGTTTAAAGTCAGGGTGGCACTTAAAATGAAAACCCTACAAGCCAAGCCAGTCACTGCCAGACTCTAGTAGGAAAAAACTACTCTGATTGAAAAAGAAAGGGTTAGTTAGTTAATTAGTTGATTAATTAATTAATTAATTATTGGAAGAGGCGACAAGTACTAAAATTATAATTATTGGATATTTAACTTGGAAAAAGTCTCTATGTGTATTGGGGACGGAATCAAGACTTGAGTATTTTTCTGAAATCAGAGACCTCGCTTATCTTATTAAGTCCTCCCCGACCGACGGACGGATGGACGGACATATAAATTGATGATCTATTTATAAATAACCTAACCATCAGACGTGATAAGTTGCTATTACCACTCTATCTATGCACTTTTTAAGACTTTAATTAACTAATTATGCCATAATTCGTTGATGGGAAAGTGAGACAAGACAGGTTTTCTCTGGTCGGAAGAAGCAGAATCGAGACAAAAAGAAAAACTACAAACAGGGTTATTATGAAGTATGCATTTGCTTATCTACTCTTCCTTATCATAGATACGTACGATTCCGATTTTATTATTTATTTAATATGGGTATCTCATCATCATTATATCATGATCGTCATCAGCATCACTGCCGGCCAAATTTGTATAACGGGCTAATTGTTGTTTTTATATATAGAAATATTTAATTATTTAATTTTATTCCACACACAAAACAAAACCCAACGACGCTTTCATTACGTTTTAATTAATTAATTTAATATTTTTAAACTGTTGAGCATTATCTGCATACTCGTTTTTTTGTATGAACAACAACAACATCAACTCACCGTTAAGAAACAACACTTATTAATTTTTATTTATTTTACAAGACTAAAATAACAAAAATTCTTGTTATTATTTTAATCATTATTTATTATTGAATAATATTTATTGCTCATAATCATCACCATCATTATAAAAAAAATGTTCAATTAATCGATTTTGACTCAATCGACTACTATCAACATCGCAGAAAAAAAACAAACAAATTGGCGTTGACAAAAAACAAAACGATTTTTAACGAACGTGCAGATCCAATCTAAATGTGTTCAATCATGAGCTCTTATTAATCTTAGAGAAACTTTTACCTTATACATTTTACTTTTAAAAAATGGGGAAGATAAATTCTTGTCTGTTTTAAAAATTCTTTCAAGTCTTGTGTATGTACGTAGTACTTTTTTAGTTGGTTGATGATGATAATTCTCAGATCCTCGAGGAGTCGTTTACATTTTTATACGAAAAAATAAACCACTAAATTATTAAACTCCTTTAACTGAATGAAACCCTTAAATTACAAACGAGCAATTATTTATTACTTGTTATAATTTATGTACGTGATAAAAAAAAATGTCCGAAAAAACAATTCCGATTCAATCCAAAAATGAAGAACAAGAAGACTAGAAAAATCTCGCGAAGAAAAAAACCCAGAATGAAAAATAACAATAACAAAACGTATGCAATTACTTGGTAACAAAACTAATTAAGAAATTAGAGGATAAAGAAATTTTTTAGCTTTATTAAGAAAAATCAATCGGTATTAAATACATATTTATTATTCGAGGCGAATTAATTATACGGAGAGAAAAACCAACCTAAAATCATGAAGTTTTGGGTGTTAAATAAATTTTTAAAATTTAACAGACAAAATTCATGAAACTAATTAATTAGTCGCTCCCTTGCTGAATGACCCCTGAAGAAAACCGCATTTTTAACGCGTATTTGTTACATCTTTTAAATAATGATTGATGACAGTAATTTATTAATGGTTGTTACTTGTAAATTGTGTGTTCTCTGGTGGTGGTAAGTTTTGTAGTGCTTTATAAAATTAGGAGCGGAAAGAAAGGTCAGAGATCATCATTATCATCGTCATCATCATCGTCGTCGTCATCATTAATTACTTACTTAAATATGTGTTTCAACGGTGATGATACTACATAAAGATGACGACTTATAATATTTATTATTAATTATTATAATTATTATGATTATTATTCACACTGGAAATAAAGCGTGGAGAATTTATAATGAAAGGAAAACAAAAAGTTTATTAGTGTGCAGTTTGTATTTATTTCTTCATTTATTATATTATTGATTAATATTAATTAATATGTTTAATAATATCGTGGCCGTGCTTATCGGTTGAGTGCGTGGAACGAAACTGAAGAGTCATCCCGAGGGAGGAGGGAATGGTTACAAATTATAATAATGATTTTCTTCTTGATGATAATGATGATGAACAAGTGATTTTCATTTCATTGAAGAGGTAGAACCAAATGCGGATTTATTACTACTATGGCTTCCCTGCTGTTTGGAGGAACAGGCCCTTTGCTGGAGTTGGAGGGCGTAGAGGCATTCCTCCAGACAACCAAGGGTCGCTTGGGCGGTCGCTTTGAGCACTAGGACTTCTCCGTCCGTACACTTCATGGTGGGACCTATGACAAAAAGAGTACATTTGAGTACAACGAAGGCAAAATGCTTGTAACTCTGAAACTGTGCATATGTGCATTGGGAAGTTACAAAAGTCATCCCCGCAAGTCGTACCAACTTTGCGCCCCTTCATCCCCTTAAATTGCCTTTTTACTTTTGTCCCAGTTTGTGCAAATGTCATGACCATGACCCAACTTCCTCAAGTTTACACACAGTTTTAAAATGACAGAATAAATGTTCATTTACCAGAAATAGGAAACCTATCGATACATCCGGCCACGTCGGATGCGGCGTTTTCCGCTTTCGTCAACCAGTCGGTGACTTGGGAGAAGGCGTCTAAAATTGAGGCATTTGTGGGAACAATAAGACCACCCGAACCTTCGCGTAGGCCACTATTAGTCTGACAATTAATAATGAATCGAAATATTAAACTTACTGAATTACCACAATACTAAATGCATATTTATTAAGTAATCAACCTGCGATAATGCTTGAGAATGGAGTTCGGCGACTACTCTGAGCCTCGTAATCCACTCTTGTCTCTCCTTGGCGTCGACGGCCCTCAACTTGTAGAGGTCACCAGAAGCAGCGTGGACAACAAAGGTGTGCGAGTCTTCCTCTGAGGGGGAAATAACCGCTCCTGCGAGATGGAGGCAACCTCTGGGTCGAGATCCGCGAACTTCGCCCTCCGTCTAAACAATCAAGTGCAAAATTAAAATTTATCACACCAACAGCTACCCCCACAATATGATGTATATAATACTCACCACATGATACTCCAACGTTCCTTTGTCCGGGTGGAGAACAAACCAACGAAACTGCAACAATTACATGATCAAATAAACTTTGTTAAATGACAGTTCAACTTTTTCTCTAGACAGTTTTTTCTCTCTCGCTTTTCTCTTTTTCCCGTTCGAGTCAAACCATCGTTTCACAAATTGCAAATACATATTTACAACAAATTTCCAGCAATAAAATTAACTACTTAAAATCATCATCATCTAACTATTATTATCTAAGTTAAAATATATTTGTATAAAATGAAAGGATGTCGAATATTTCCTGTAAATTTGATAGTGGTGAAAGGAAGGAGTTGAAACTCGTGGATGAGTTCACAAGCAGCATAATAATTCACATTAATTATAATTCGGTCATTTTATTGTTGAAGTTGAGCAAAGCCTGGCTGATTGGAAAATTGGGAAACTTGGTGAATGGTTTGATGAGTTCAAAAAGGGCTTCATTCACAGAAAGATATAAACTGTTTCTTGAGTAAATTCTCCGTAATTATCGTAAATAATAATGTTGGTCATACCTGCCACCCCTTCATGACGTTGGTATACTTATTCAACTGTCCTTCATAGTGTTGCCGCAACTTAAGCTCCGACATGGCGAGGTAAAGGTCACGGAGAGAGGTCGAAGAAGTCACACCACGCCGTCGTCACGTCCACATCGTCGTGTTAATTAATGGTCTGCGAGTGACGATAATTGGATTATTTGATGGTATGGTTCCACCCGAATGTCAATATCGGGGCGAGCTGAGATCACCCGCTAACACCAGAGAAGAGTCTCACTCCCTTGACAAGAGTGTAATTTAGTAATAACGAACGAACGGATGGGTATGGCGACAAAAATTACGACGCCATGACCGTGTCGAAACATTACCTTGTCGTAACCCTCCTTGTCGACATAGTCGTTGTGACCTTGGCGCTACAACCATCACCACCCGGGGATTTGAGGGTAGTTGGGAAGACGGAGAATGCCGTTTTTGTCCAGTGGACTCCTCCCAGTGGTGGGGGTGCGGTGAGGGGTTATCGAGCCGTGGCCACACCGATAAAATCGTATGGAGAGGTAGGCAATTGAATCTCATTTATAGATAAGCTGGTCATCAGGAATCATCTCTTAATTATTGTACTGTTTTTGTTTTAGAATTTGGGTCCTGTCAGATCGTGGGAATGGTTGCAGCCAGGTCTAGTCTCGTCGTCGTTTATTACTCTTTCCCCCGCGACCCAGTATACATTAAGTCTTACAAGTTTGGGAGAGAACGGTGAAGTCAGCAGCCCCACCATGGTCACCACTTGGACTCGAATTGGAATCCCGGAAGCCCCACCTACGCCAAGCTTAGAGTGGCAGCAGGGACAACGGATGGGGATCAGTTTATCACCTGCAAAGAGTATACATCTTTTAAAATTAATTCTGTATTTTGATACAAAAACTTTCATTTTACAAAAAATGTTTACATTTTCAGGCAATTTAAACGGTCCCATCTCATTTTATCGATTGGCGTTAGTCGATGAACGTGGTTTCTTTAATAAGGACTCTCTCGTCGGGTGGGAGGAAGGAACTCAGCTTCATCTCCTTTATTATATTGCTGCCCAGTGGGACGACCCCTCTGACCTACCGTACTCCTTCACTCTCGGGGATGGCGACAGGCTGGGAGGTTACTATAACGGGCCACTCCCGTCCCACGGGCATTGGCACCCTGCGCTTGGGTTGGGTTCCACGTGGGAGAACGTAACCAAGATCCAGTACTCACCAACGGGACATTACCAACATTCACACATCACCCTTTCCAGTAAGTCTTTGTGACGCATGTATTCACGTCACCTTTGCGAACTATAGGTTTTTTGAGGGGCTCTCAACCTGTAGTCTAGTGATTGATTGATAATTGCCATCTTTAAGTAATTTGGGTTTACCCTGCTTTTTAGATGACCAGCGAGCCCAAGAGGTCGTTACTGTGGAAGACGGCGGTGTCGTGACTGGACTCTGGATCGCGATTGGAGCCACATCCATCATCCTCCTTCTAGTTTTAGGCGTGTTTCTCCTCCTTAAACTGAATCTCACGAGGGGAAAGTTATCCCGGAGAAGGAGTCGAAGGGAGGCGCACCCCTTAGCACAATCCTCCTCCTATAATCAACCGTCAACATCAGTATCGACCATTTCAGTCCCATACGCTGTAAGTTAAATACAAACAAAAACTCTTTTCCGCAAGTACGTAACATGTATAATTTTGTATTTGCAAAGACGAATGAATTTAATGACTGTGGCGGCTACACCCACTTATCATTCGTCCCTGAGGAAGAGGACTGGGGACGAAAGGCGCTGCTCGGTCTGGCTTCAATCGCCTGCATTCCTCGCGCAGGAATCGTCCTCCCACATTCAGACGAAGCTCGTGGTGGAGCTACTGGCGTGGAGGATATTCCCATAATTGCGAATGGGAAATTCGGCCCTATTTTTGCCTCTTTGCTTCAAGACCGTCACCCTGTTCAGCTCTTTCAGTTGACCATTCCTTCTAAAGTAGGAAACGGTGGTAGCAGGTAGGAATCCAGTGTTTCTGTAACTGATAAGTTTTCCTAATACAAAGATTGTTCCACAACAGTTCTTGGGACGAGGCTTCTTTTCGAGCTTTAAACTCTCTCCTGCTTCCCTCATCCCATGTGAACGTGACCTCTCTTAGCGGCTTTCTCCAAACGGAGGGATATCTCTACCTTGTTATCCCAGGGGAAGGAACCCCCTGAAGACGGAGCTCCACCGGACAAGGAGCGGCGAGGGGTCGAGGAGTTCGCAGGCTCTTCTTCTTTGTGCCATGGGAGTGGCGGAAGGCTTGTTCCACCTTCACTCGTACAATGTAATGTACAAATTAACAAATTCTCATTCCTAACATTGACAGCAATTATAATTATTGGTGTTCTCCCCTTTTTCTATGCAGTTAACCCACGGTGAGTTGTGTTCATGGTCTGTGGTGCTCCCTTACCAGGATGACTGGGCCAATCCAAAACTGACTGGATTTAGTATTCTAGCAGCCAACCCGGTGAACAAAGTATGTCAAGTGAAATAACTATTCTCTAAAAAATGTATGACTACTAACAATGCACATGTCAGACATGTTTCGCACGGATCTTGTTGAAACCAGCACTAAAATATCAAGGAACTAAACACAAACAATAGTTAGTATGACATTTGAGCACTTCTGCAGAATTCGTGAAATGGCGAAGGTTTTAAGTTAGAGAACACGCGTATTTTCACCATGCGAAACTATACGGCCGCTTTCCGATTTTCCCCTGCGCTTCTCTTCGCCAGGTCATCCGTTTTCACTCAAAATTGAATTAATTAATTTCCTAACCAAGTTCTCATCCGATTTTTTATATTTGGATTTGACACAATTTTTGAACCTTTTTAATATTTAACATAAAAATTAAGTTGCTATCATTGGAATTTTTTAAGAATTTGTTGAGATTTCAGAATAGTGGATTCGATTTTCCTTTTTTCACATTGCATATTTATATTTGTAAACTTATTTATATATTAGACCATAAAAAACCAAATATACCTAGTTCCCTATGTGTGATAAGGGCTAACATTACACAAAGTCATAAGATTTTTGTCATCAAAATCTTTAAAGCACGCCAAGGGAATAAATAGAAACATCGAATGTATTATTCTGAAACAATTTTGAAAAATAATATCCACTTATAAGTTAGTCGAATCCATTTTAAATATTAAAAAGTGCTCAAAAATTATGTAAAGTCCAAATATAAAAAATCGGATGAGAACTTGGTTAGGAAATTAATTAATTCAATTTTGAGCGAAAACGGATGACCTCGCGAAGAGAAGCGCAGGAGAAAAGCGGAGAGGTGAACTCCATATAGTTTCGCATGGTGAAAATACGCATTTTCGCCAACTTAAAACGTTCGCCATTTCGCGAATTCTGCAGAAGTGCTCAAATTTCATACTAACTATTGTTTGTGTTTAGTTCCTTGAGATTTTAGTGCTAGTTTCAACAAGATCCGTGCGAAACATGTCTGACATGTGCATTGTAAGTTTGGTTTTCATTTAAAGGAACGCGACCGCAACCGATGGATCTCCGTAGAGCAGCTTCACTCGAGAACGGCACCTCCATCCGATGCTTGGTCGTTTGGTGTCCTCCTTTGGGAAATCGCCACTTTGGGTGCCACCCCGCTTCATGAGATTAAAACGGAGGACATTAAACGAAGAGTGGAACGGGGAGCGAGGCCGCCACAGTTGGAAACGTTCGGCGACGGCCTCTACCAACTTATGCTCTCCTGCTGGCAGATTGACAAAGAGGAGCGGCCAGACCCGGAGACATTAGCTTGCACGTTGCATGAACTCCTACCAACGGCGAATGTAAGTACTGTCAGCAAAAGACAGGGAATGTACATTAACGCAAAGATTGAAAACTGCAAATTTTGGTGCAGAACCTTTTAAAAATTTAAAAGACATGGATTTAGATTTTTCACTGGGCATGAAATGATTCATGGGATTAACTTGGCTCGTAAATTTTTGCAAACGTTATGCAAATATTACAATGCACAATGTAGAAATATACACAGTTCCAAAGCTTGGTGTTAATGAATTATCTCAATAATTTAATTTACGCACTTGTTAATGATTGTCATTATTATTAAATACAATTGTGTTCACAGGACGAGTTAGGAATCTGGGACTCTTTCAAGTGGCCACCATACATTGAATCTCTAGAGTTTCTCCCAAGTACAAAGTGATCAACGATGTGACATTGAAAAGAAGGACGCTCTCTTACAAAACGAAACAGAAATTAGAAATACACACAAAATAATCGTTAAAAGTATTATACAAATACACCATTTCACTCCCTCCTCTCCAGAACATATATCTCATAGTGAAGGATTATACGCCACCTTTATAATGCAACAAATGTAAATTTTGTACTATGGGTTTATCAACTGCTTCGACAAAATTACGAGATTGATTGTGCTCAGGTATAACTTCACAAAGTTTACACAAATTGTGGCATGAAATTCCTCACCATTTATAAACATTCCGATCCAAACCAAACCATATACTTATTTACTTAAATAACTCTTGCCGAACCGAAAAAGTACCTTGTTTTGTTCTGAATCACAATCACAACACCTTTTTACTTTTTTATGATTACATGATTTTATATAAATATATTAACAATAAAGAGACAAGATTAATTTACAAATTGAGATTCTTGACTTATTTAATTAGCTGCATTTAACTGGTTGAGAATATTGGTCATTTTTATAAAACATTTTATTACTTGTTTCCTGTATAAAAATAGTATTAAGACTACGACATTATAATTTGGAGTAGTTTACGTGGTAACTTACTTATCTAAGATATCTGTACTGCTAAAATAATCACGCACAATTTAGCAACAATGACAGAAAATATGAGCATCATACTCTAGTGGACTTATGTTTCAGCAATTTTTTATCACAGGTTTGTTATAAGTAAAGCACATAATGTTCATTAATTGATTCTGTTCTGTATTTCAGTTCTTGTGCAACTTGAGATCGATGTTTGGCAGACAATTCAGACCAATCAGTTCATTAATAGCATAATATAGTCGCGACTGAGGTTGATATTCACTTGCAATTGATTCGAGTAATTTTAAAGTCAGTCTGCATTTTCATTTTCTGTACTTAAATTAAGCAGAATTAATCCGCCATGGTTAGCATATTAAATCTCGCCACATTGACATCATCGTCAATTTCTTCCTCTCCGTAGTCAAAAAGGTCAACCTCTTCTCCAATAAGCGTTCCGAGATAGGATGTCATAACAGAGATCATCTCCTTGATCGTGGGGCTTACTTCATTCCGGATCGCTTGCATACGATCACGCGCTTTCCCCACGATATCGACCCTGTCACCCACGATGAGGTTGGTCATCTGACGAAGTATGGGCTTAAGTCGATCGAAAAAGGGGAAGATCTGAGTTTCAATTACGGCATGATCTTCTGGGTTAAGCAGGGCTGTCAGGGAGCAGACGGCGAGAACGAGCTGGATAACATGTTAAAAAATATACAATTAAGATTGTACTTACACTATGCAAGTTTTGGTGCAACAAAAACCGGGACAAATTAAAAAATATATATATTGGAATCATGAAGGGATGTACTATGAGTGGGGTCTGTTTCAAAAATATGCCTAGCAGATTTTTTTGGAAATTTTTTTGCCAACTTTAGCATGACTCATCAAAGGGCTTATTTTAAATTAATATTTTGCTTGCCTCCATCTCGAACCGCTCCTTCATTTCATTATCCGTAAATGGGTATCCCTCCACAGCGAGACAGATGTTGCTCAAGACCGTGTTCATGCTAGTTCCGAGCATGGCGCGGGCTGAAATTCGTTTTAGCCCGAGGAGACACTGTATTTTCTCTTTATAATTTTGTGAAATCTTCACTGCCCATGACAGAGCGATCACCACTTCGTCCTGACAATTGAATAATAATAATGTTTTGAACAATAATTATAAAATTGAGAAAGCAAATTTTAATACAAATTTTAATACCAGAATACTATGACTTTGCGTCCGACTCTTTACTCCAACCAAATACATTGCGAAATCATAGTTTTGAAAGATACAGCCTAACCCGAACGCAGCATTCCAGCGATTCTGCAAAATAATTTATTCAAATTATTAACAAAGAATACAAGATCTATAATGTCTTCATGTCTTTCAATTACTTTGTAATCTTGACCCGTTCCGATTTGTTCTAGCAAGTCGTACACAAGATTCACACAAAGCTGAAATATCACCACGGCTTCCTCATCGGTGCCGTGTCCGGGTGGACACATCATTGTAAAGACGTTGCCACAAGCGCGATATCCATTATACCGACCCTATAATTAATTAAGAATTATTACATTATTTATGTTTCTTTACTAATAAGATTGTAATCATGCTTAACCAATTTGTTGACATATTTCGAAATCTGACTAATCATACCTTTATGATTCCTTGATTGATCAAGCCAGCGAACTCAATCACTTTCTTCACACCGCGTTGGAAATTGGTCTGTTACTCGCCAAGATCGTCTGAGACATTTCGGCCAAGGCCCACGACCAGTTTGCCCTCACAATAGTGGGCTGGATTGGCGTGGGGAGAAGGCGCAGGTTCTTGAATCCAGATATGAACACGGTATCTATTATTCTCGGTGTACTGATCATTCTTTCAATATGTAACAGTTTCCCCATTGTACGACCCGCTTGTGCTGCGACACGCGCTGCGCTGTACCGATTGGGGTTGGTCGGTTCGTAGTGGAAATCGAGTACTTTATTGACAACGAGAAATAATAAGTCCGGCTAAAACATGAGAAAGAATTATTAAAATATGTATCTATATCTCATTCGCAATGCCAATCATCAATTGGAAGCTGTGCAAATATTGCAAAATTGGTAATGAAAACGAGCTGACTTGCTCGAGGGAGTTTAAAAGGCGTGTGTGCCTCTTACTTTGTTTGCCAACTACATGGTAGTTATTTTAGAGCTAAAAATGTCTTATCGACCAACTTACTATAATCAAAGCATCAAAACCAGGCCCAATTTCCCCACAAATATCAAGGAAGGCACACTCCAACTCCGGGTCCTTAATAAACGTCAGGTAACTTGACAGAGCGAGGGTTCGACTGAGTACTTTATTCATATCCAGAGTGACCTCTGCAAATAAGAAGACGACACGTTTTAATTACCGAATGATTCACACTTATTATGCATTATTCTGGGTGATTATTTCTTTACCTCCGCCTGTCTCCGAGTGGAACTTTTCGATAGCTCTGAAGCCCATCTGGATGGCGTTGAGGCACTTGATGCACCCGACTTCTGGCAAGACTTGTAAGGAGCTGTTGACTATATTATTGAGAGTTCCAGGAGAACGAGCTACATTTTTCAACAAGGTATCCGCCATATCGATAACGGTTTCCAAAGTGTAGAACAGTTCGGACGTGGTAAGTGCCGCGTAGATATTCGCTATGTTCTTGAAGCAAACCTTCATCAACGGCGATCTCACATAATCCACTTTAAAATTCCAGACTCAATCGAATTCCGTTCCAAGATCTTGATCAGGGAATAAGTTATTGCAAAATGTGGAGGAAGACTTATATCAGTGATAAACTCAGTTATTGGCGTCGTCAACATGATCTCCATTCGGCAAGAGAGGTTATGTGCATAATAATTCAGCGCCTGAACACCAACGGGCTGCAATATGGCTGGGTTCAGAGGATCCCCTGCATTTACGACGAAAGGTGTCCCGAACGTGGAATAGAATGGAGGTGGCGGCAGTCCTTGGTGGCCAAAAAGGTAAATGTCCCCAAATTCCATGGGAGGTGGGGGTGGTGGAAGGCAATGGCTGGACCCATTGGTACTAAAAGAAGAAAAGAAAATTAGTCTACTACTACAGAACTACTTTGTACAATAAAAACACCTAATAAAATTAGCAAAGAAGATCAGCAACAAAAATTTGCCAACTTTGCAAATCTGATATGAAATATGTGCAAACTTCACTAATATATAAATCCCCCTTGTTTACCAAGTTATTCTGCAAATTCTACAAATTTTGTTCACGTCATGATGAAAAGTTACAAAATGTACTTACTAAATGGCTGAACGTAGTATGAGGGCACATAGACGACGGCAGGCTGCATCATTGGATGATGACCAGGAAGACTCGTAGGAATCGGAACGGTAGCCTGCATCGGGACCCCATTGATGAATATGGATTATTCATCCTGACTCTGTACTACTCTATCAGATAACCGCTTATCTTCTTCTACCAAATTCTACCACGTGCGAGACAGGAGACTCTTCAAACCGAAGCGAAAATAGAAAACTACAATTTCCCCAACTACGATTTACAGTAAATTTCAACCCCCACGACTAATTATGAAATAGTTTTTGTGACAAGACGATTAGAATTAATTAAAGTGGTGGCTGGCTGAGGAAGAAATTGTGGAGAGCGACTAACTCTCTCATCAGCAGGTCAAACCTCGAATGAATCACCACCAACCATCGCACGTTGAAAGCGAGAGCGATGCCTCAACGTGCCTCAACTCAATCTCGCCGACGGAGAAGGGCCGTGCGCAAAGATTGTGGTGGATTTGCTTGCGAGGGGACATAAGGTCATATTTCAGCATAATATTAGCCAAGGGTACATAGGTCACCACTGGGGTCAAAGTCAAATTATACGAAAATCAGTCACATTCTTTGTGTACTGTCCCAAATCCAGCAGAATCAGAAACCACCACCACCACTGAATCTGGAAATTTCTAAAAAAAAAAATATTGGCAAAATTGCGGATTAAGTTTGCCAAAATTAAATTCTCGGCATTTTTGTGAAATGGACAAAATTAAAAAATGGGGATCTAATTGCTTTTAACTTTTGGCCATTAACTTTGCAAAGTGAGTCTTGGAAATTTTTTAAACTCTCAAGTTGTGAAAGTATAAATTGTCCATGATAGCTTTTTTTATGATTTTTATGATTACTAATTATTGAATTTTCTTAATATCAATTTGTCGAGGAAAGGAAGAAGAAATCAAGTATTTTAGTATTGCATTAATTCATATCGTATTTGACAACAATCGACAATTTTTATTTTTTTTAAGTTAATTACAAATTAAGAACTAGTAGATATTTTATTTCAATAAAATCTGGTCTGCACTCTGGTCAATTGCTGCTAATTGAGACTAATTTAAAAAGAAAATTTATAAGGTGATCAGAAGATGAGAGTTAGTAAATAGCAGCAGCTCAGCAGAAGACAGATTAATAAAGTACATATCGATTTTTTTAAACGGAGATGATAAGTACATCACGATTAACGTCATATAATTTGCGATATATATGTGTGTAGATATTTTGTATATATAATAATTGCATTGGATTACAATATTTTCTTAATTATTAGCGAGAGCGGAGAACGAAGACGGGCGAACGAGCGTTTTCAATTTTAATTTAATAATAATTGCGACGAGGGCGATAATGGGCGAGGACTATGTGACGATGAATATTATGCTCTGTTGACGTTGATTTGACTGGACTTTGTGAATTAACTACGGAAATAATTCTTAAATAAATAAGAAACAAATTATGATCGTTACTCGGGAGTGAGGACTACGTGAATTTAAATAAGCTATTATTTTTGTGGTTGGTGAGATGATGACGACGACCCATCGTCTGACGACGGCGGCGGTGGTGGGGATGGATCACGATTGCGTTGTTTTAAATTATCCAAGTATTCCTGCTGCGATACTGCGAGGACTTGCGCCATCAAACCGGCGTCTTCCCATTCGTTCATGCCTAAAACAAGGTAATAATTTGCGTTTTATAATGAGTTAGTTAGGATAATAGCAAAACTTAAAAAATTGGAAAAGTCACCAAACAGCAAATAATTTAGTTATAAAATATTGTTTATAATTACCGAAAAGTTCCGGAGGCAACTGATTAATAAACGAGGACGTTTCTAATAATTGAAAATTATGGGAATCCGTCGCCGTTCCCGTGGGACTTTTTGGTGGGGATTTTGAGGGTGGTGGTCGACTCGGTCCTGGGAGTGAAGGGGGAGGAGATAATCGAGAAGGTGAATGTTTAAAGGACGGAGGAGGTTCTCCCCGGAAAGGAGAACCCAGCGGAGAAATGTTCGCCCCACCACTTTGAGACGTCTTGCTGCTCATCTTGACTCGTGGTGACCTCACTTCCGAGGACGAGGCAGAAGTGGACGTAGCTGAGGAAGAGGAAGTTGCCGTCGTGGGGGAACGCTATCCGGGGAAATAACAGACCAGTTAATCAATTAGGCTTATCTACGTGGAGGCGTATTCGCCATGTATGCACAAATTTAATAATCACAATCACTCACCACTGCTCTGTTCCTCCGCTCATTGTCCTTCAACCATTGTAGATAACTTTCTCTTGCGACTTGTTCTTCCAGCGCTTCGTTTGTTGCCTCCCAGTCCGTAGCGCGGAGCTTGTCTTCCAACATTGCCTGTTCGATGAGCATGTCCTCACTTTGACGGGTCGCCTCCTTCACGACGTTCTTATCCGCGAGGCCAGGAATGTGACCGGGGAGGCCGAGACCGACCCCGACGGTTGCCTGGAAAATATATTAATATAATTACAAATTGATAAATTATGATTAACTTAATTATTTGAGATGGTGAAGATGCTACCTTGTACGGATCAACCAAACTGTTGTAGTGAACTCCACGATGATAGGAAAGCCGAATTGGTTCGTTGTCAGATTGGTTCGTCCCATGAAAAATGTTGATTGGATCTGTTTTTTGTCGTTAATTAGAAAAGTTTAATCAAGAAACTGACAATTTTTTTTGTCGCATTAAATTCTTACCTGTACTGTAGCAAAATACTTCAATGGTTCGATTGTACATTTCACTCATTGCTTGAATCTCGATGTGATTGCCATGAACATATTCTAACCGTTTCCGGTTTACGTAGTGGTTAAAATCCTCCGTGACGTATTGGGAATAGTAATCTCCGTTGGCGGCCTATGAAGAATTAAATTATTATTAATTAACTAATTTGTTAGCTAATTATTTACTTAATTAAACTTCTCACAATGTAGTCCATGCAATGCTTCCGTACAACGGTGTGCATCTCTTGATCTCCATAAACTTGATCGGACACAGCTCTAAATAGACAAGCACCATCCTCCCCCATCTTTTTGATAATGTAGCCCTTCTTCCGCATCTTTTTTTCGAATCGGCGCTCACGCTGGTAAACACAACAAAAATATAATTAATTGATAAGTCATCAACTTTGCTAAATATTAGTAATAATAATAAGTTAAGCCCCCACCTCGGCCCACTCCTCCTCCGAAAGTTGCGAATGAGGCTGCGCCTCGTACTCGTCCTCAGAATTATACGCCACTTCAGGACTAGATGACATATTTGGGAGACCCTGACAGATCGCGTCGGGCAGGACTTGTGGCGCTGGCGACGAGACGGAAACGTTCGGCGATCCCGGATTTGGCGACGATGTTCCCGACGAGCGACCATGGTCCCCGCCACGGTCAAGGCGGCTATGTTTTGATCTTGACGAGCACCGAAGTGGGAGTGGGTGAGTAGCATGGGAGTGGTGGTGGGCGTTAATGGCGTTGTTGACATGTCTCCGCTTGGTCCCGAGGAGCGCGATTGGGTGTGGATTGGGAGACTCGACGTCATACTGGGCCTGTTGGGAGGCACGCTTCTCTTCTCGAGTATTCCCAAGGCTGAGGTTTAGATTGTGCGATAAGTTCTGACTAGACCATAACTGAGATGAGGGGGAGGACGTTCCGTATAAACGGTCAGGGTTCAAACTCAAGCTCTCCGGCTGCAAAAAGAGGAAAAAATACGTTTTATTATTACTTCTAGTTTATTATTCAATCCTGTTCCTTATTTTATTGGATATCGATCAGCACATAAAGAACGTGTTGATTGATTAAAATGTGTCCAGTTTATAGACTTATTTGTATATACGAAACTTTGCACTGTTACAATTATCTCGGATGATTTTCTAAAGTAGAACGTTAAATTAAAGACTAAATTTCTGTCCCACCTGAATTTGTGGCAGTACCAAAGGATGGGGGAGGACGTGCGCCCCACCTCCATGATCACCACTGTCAGCCTCGCCATTCCCCCCACTTTTGGAAGAATTGCCTCCCTTCTTTTTCGTTAGAATGGTCATTCTCTGTTTATAATATCGACGTAAAAAACAGGACGAAAATCGGAGGCGAGGTGGTGGTGGTAATGAAGAAGATGTTACGAATACGCGACTTTCCACATTTGTCCCTGTAAGAGAAATTTTTAAAAAATTACGAAAAATTCATAATTTCTACATAAGTAAAAAAGTAAAAAATCACTCACACGTTGAAAGCACGACAGTCACGGTTTCGATCGTTTGTTCACTAAATTTAGTTAATATCAAACTCTCCTTGGACTAATTACTACTTCAAATTTAGATTTCTTATCAATTTTTCCCATCCAATTTTAAACTCATTGCCAAATTTCCAAATTTCTACGACCTCGCAAAAATCCGGAAACTTGGGCGATCACTAATTGCGTATGTCTGCTTGATTTTTACAAGTCTCTCCCTGCACCCTGTACGGACAAACAAAGGAACATAAAACGTTAATTACGTCACTCGAGTCAGTGGCGAGGCTGAGGCTAAAAACCCACTAAAAAAACCATCACCCAGAACAAAATCAGATACGGATTTCATTTCTACAACGACAATCTCGATTTTGTCACGATGGAGGGTGTGGTTTAAAAATACGTTTTTCCTCCTCGCCCTCACGTCACGTCCCGATAAGCGATTTTCCCATACCTCAAATAATTTCCCTAGGGTCAAGAAGACTCCGAAAACTTGCTGGGTGGGGTTGATGATGTGATGAAATCAAAATAGGCAACATGTAACCTTCCAGAGGGTAGGAAAATCTTGGTGAGAATGTCAATGGTTATAGGGCCCAAGGAAGAAGGAGACCATATGAGCAGTCAAGGTTTTCAGTCAAGGCAGAAAGGCCTTAACTACTAAATTTACTCCTAAATCTTGGTGAACAAGCAAGTAAGCAGTAAGTAAGGACTTCTGAGAAGCGTCTGCCTGGGCCCCCATCCAACGAGTCTCGGAACCAGAGTCCAAACACTCGATTCGTATACAATCAAGATCATGAATGACACTCCGTTTAAGGTTACTCACACCAGGGGGAGTTATCACGAACTGTTCCACAAACTGGGTAGGATTATCGTTCCGTAACAATTAGTTTTTCTGAAAAATTTTCCGAAAAAAGACGAAATTTGTAAAGTTTTTGCAGTCAGAAACATTACTTTTTTGATGGTGTGCAAAATTTCCGGGAGAAAGTTCCCATCTATATATCATACTGTACGTTTAGAGAGTGAGAGAGATGACGACTGTAGTATGAAATGTGAACAGGGTAGGGTTATCATCGCATAAAAATTTTTCCGAAAAAAATATTCAGAAAAAAATAACAAATTTAGGAAATTTTTCCTTCCAGAAACATTACTTTTTTGAGTGGCGTGCAAAAATTTCCACGGGAGATAAAGCTGTCCAAATATTCATACGTTTCGCAGAGTGCGAGAGATGACGAACGACTGTATGAAATGTGACCGAGTTTTAAATAGTCATTTTTTTGCTACCCGATATTCGTTTCTTTTATTTTTTGTTTCTTCTTTGTACTTTGTACTTTAAACGGAAACCGGTGGTGAAAAAGTATGAAATCATCATTTTTACATGTGCAGTAGGTGACTGACTGAATTTCTTCCCGTGCAGCAGTCCACGTGTTCATTCCGTGTCCTGTCCTCCTGGTTGTTTTTGTTCTTACAATCATTTTTACTACAAAGAAGCAAATATTATTTTGTAGGAGTGATCGTGGTCAAGATAATCTAGATATTTCTCGTACGTATAATCTCTCTGCTTGCTGCGCGTGGTATGGTGCCGGCTGGACTGGGCAGCAAAGCAATTCTTCATGTTTAATTATAACCCTCGTAATAATTTTTATCGTTATATAAGAAAGTCAAGTTCTTCTCCATACGCCAAGTCAGAGGTCATGATCTTACCTCCGTACGTATAAAATATGGCTAAATTTTGATCAACAAGTCGCTAATGGGAGAGAGAGAGACCAGATCAATCATTTTGATTGAAAGAGAAATATGAGACACGTGATAGTGGGCTTATTTTGTAACGTGACGGCTTTTATTACAAGGTACACATATAGAAATGTATTAAATGTGTATGTGTGGTAGATTTGACGGTGCTTGTCGTAAAATCTCGACATTTTAGGAAGAATTCACTACATCACTTTAATTTAATACCATTAAAACTAACATGCTTGCATCGCATGCAATCCATGTGCAGGGGACAACTCGACTAATCCTAAATGAAGGAAAAATTGTGGTCCTGATTTTGTGAGGAATTAATTTGTAAAGCAAAAATAAATTCCACGACTTAATGCGGAATTAAATATTATACGCAATAATGATTAACTAGTCCAAAATAAATATGTGTTTTCTTTCATGATAAATATTTCATCTGTCGGAGGACGGTTTCTTTCATGTGTTACGACGTTTTCAATTTTATTTACATCGTGATAATTGCTTTCGTATACGGGATGAGTGTGAGATAACCTTTTAGTTTAATTAGGATCCGTGGCAATTTGTTTAGTGCTCTCTTCTCGTAATACGTACTTATTTATGTATGGATGCATTTGTTTGTGTGGTTGGGTTATGTTGGTCCTGTTTTTTTCGAGTCGATGCAATATATCGTCGTTGTAGCTTCTAATGTGCGTTTTACTGGAAGAGAAAATCTGAATAAATGACGACTACTTACGTCCGTTCATAGGTTATGAAAGCAGACAAAGCGCCACCATAAGCTTAAGAAATCTTATGAAAATGTTCTGAAAATTTTTCAAATTGGTATGAAATTGCGTTAATTTTACAACAATGTTCTCATTATGTTTTGTGATAAGAATAGAGTTATTGTGGCGACACTCGATGGGGAGCATCGAGGCAAAATACCATATTTGTCCAGTTTGTCCGTCATATTTGTCATAAATGTCGGTTACTTTGGAATTATGACAAAATTGACAAATGTAACATATGACTACTAATTGTAAATGTATAGTAGTAAATAACTTACTAGAGTTAAATATACATTTTTACAGTGCTGCTCCATTTGTTATAAGCGTTCTAAGTTATCCACAATTAATTATATTAGAAATTTTTAAATTATAGAAACCAAATTGAATGATTTGTACGCCAAACAAAAATAAACTGGTAAATAAATGGAATTATTATATTATTTGATACCAGTTTATTTACCAGTTTATTTTTTTTGGCGTACAAATCATTCAATTTGGTTTCTATAATTTAAAAATTTCTAATGCAATTGTGGATCACTTACAATTAACATTTTATTAAATGAAAAAAAAATTTAAAAAAATTCATTCCTCTAAATTTCCTCATGACGTAATGGTCATGATTATGATATTAAACTAGCTCGTACTCTAATCAAAATATGATTTTGAAATCGTCCAAAACTATAAGTTTAACTCATTTGATGCAAAAGTTTATCAGAACACTTCATTCCATGGCACACCGTTTCGTCAAGTCGTGAATGAAGTAAATACATAAGTTTGTATGTTTTTTAGTCGTGGATATGGAGAAGAATCAACAAGTTGATGGTGGTCTTCTTGTAGCAACAATTTTATTAAGTTAACTACACCACGAGACGACCTCAAAACACGGTTGGACGAGTGAGTGAGCACAAGTCGTAAAAGAAAAGTGGAGGTGCATGGTTTGTGAGATTACGGACGGACAAAACGACAAGACTTTTGTGCACGCCTGCTGCTTTCTCATACATTTGGGGAATTTTGTACCTTGTTAAAAATATCAAGAAATGTCTTCCCCAATGACGACGACGACGCCGCCGACGAACATGCTCCTCCTGGTCCATTCGGCGAAACAGATCGTGCGTGTGGTGAGCAATGAGGCGAAAGTGGTCAAGGGGACCGACATGAAGTCAATTTCCGTCCTCGTGGGAAAACCAGGCGATGGGCTGTCTCTCGTCGTTGGCAAGTAAGTTGGCCACGCAAAAATATTTGGTAAAAACTTTGCAAAAAAATCTGAAACGGGATCCATTTTACATGCAAGCTAAATATCGGTTCTTCTTTTTTCGTGAATTCAATGCCGATCAATATTTTGAGCAAATTTATTTTCTCAAATTCTAAAAACCTTTATTTCTTGCATTTATCTATCAAAACACCCATTATTTTGACATTGCCTATTTTTATTTCACATGCTATACAATTTTATTGCGTAGTTAGGATTTCGAGATTTCAATGTGTGACGTGACCTCTCTTGATTTTTATGTGGTGTAAAAAGTTGATATTTTTGTATTTCCATCCGCAAGGGTAAAGTTGAAGTTGAACTGGTCATAAAATCTTTTATCTGCAAACTCGTAAAATTTTTCATTGATTGATTGATAGCACGGTGCACCTTTGAGTGAGACGCACCTCCTCCTCCCATTCCTCTGACCTTAACTACCTGACAAACTGTGTGGCAATAACAATGCCTCGTTCAACTTGAATCCATCCATAAATGTTGGAATGCCCACTTTTTTAACGTGCGGCGCAAATTACGCATCACATGTGCACATCCCTGTAGCAAGTGGTCATATAAAACTGCGTAAATTGTCTCATAAAAAATTGACGGATGGAAAAATCGCATCGAATACAATTCTTTTTTTTTTGTGAATAGATTCAATTTCAGATTGAGTTGATAGTTTTAACGAAAAGTAATATTTGTGAATGGAAGTAACGTGACAAGAATTTGTGTCATACAAAATTTAATACATAATCTTTGTTACTTCGGAATCTCTTCAGAAGAGTTTGCGCTCTTAATTCTTCTGCAAATAAATCATGTGCTGCTCATCTTATTGAATTTGAGCTTACTTTTTGAATAAACAAATTTGATGAAGAATTCAAAACAGCGCGGATTTGATTAAAATTACAGTTTGACCTGTTAGAGTTCCAAGTGATCCGCGATTACATTAACCGAATTATTTTATTATTTAGCACCAGTTATTTTTATTTTGGCATTTAAATTATTCAATCTCGTATGATGTTTATTCGGTGATCCGCGATAGCCGAATAAACATCATACGAGATTGAATAATTTAAATGCCAAAATAAAAATAACTGGTGCTAAATAATAAAATAATTCGGTTAATGTAATCGCGGATCACTTGGAACTGGAACTCTTATAACATGTCAAACTGTAATGTACAGTCAATTAATACAATAAAAATGATCCCCATCCTTCCATAATAAACGCGATTTTATAGTTATAAAACTGGCAACATTTTGTTTAACATGTATTTATTTGCAAAACTGGATAAAATAAGAAACTCTGTCCATGATATGTCAGATTTCGTCTCGCATTTATCCGCAAACTTTCACTATGCTCACAATTGCATACAATACACACAATTTCAAGCCTACTTTGACTCTTTGTGCTGCTGACTGGATGGTGTATGTATCGGTGTTGCATGGTTTATGGGCTGATGGTATTATGCGTTATGCAAATAATAAAAATGGCACAATAGCGAGGAGCGAGCGAGGAGAAAAAGCATATCCGGAGGGGATAGGAAACCCGCATAAAAATAACGGAAGGAAATATTTTGGCACAGATTTTTAAGAACCAACTCATCATAATATTTGCTGATGGTATCACATTTCCCGTCACGATGACTTCTCCCTTTGACTTCTTCATTATCAAAATACGTATTCCGCAGTTTAGTCGGAATGAATTTATGGAAAATTCTTCTTGGGGATGAATTCCTGCACAAAAATTGTAATCGAATATCAGATCACATTTAATATGGGACGTGTCGACATTTAACGGATACCGAACTGGGCACGATTTTTGGGGTATGCTGTACATTTGTTTTCTGTTCTCAGGGACGGTCTCATCGCCGCGATTGGTTTCGATTCCGACATTAAAACCAAGTATCGCCACGTGTCGTTCGAACGGACCGTGAACGCGTCCGACCTCTGCATCCTGCCAGGCTTTGTGGACGCTCACACCCACCCCGTCTGGGCGGGAGACCGTGTCCACGAGTTCAGGATGAAGGCAAGTTATTTACTACAAATTTTAAGATTTTTCAGGAATTTACATAACAATTGATTGACCACGATTAATTTCTCTCTCAGCTGGCGGGGGCATCTTACATGGACATCCACAACGCGGGGGGAGGCATCCACTACACCGTCGACCACACTCGACGTGCCTCTGAAGAGGAGTTGTTCTCTCTTTTGAGGGAACGCTTGATTCGAATGTCCAAGTCGGGTGAGTATGCATGCAGGGTGATCAGGGGCTGCGGAAGCCGTGGGGACATCTGGGGCATTAACATTGCAAGCTAAGGAAGGGAGGACAGATGATGAGGACATCGAATAACCGTGGGGACATTGTCCCTCTGTCCCCACGCTTCCGCGACCACTGACTGTGATTGAGATGAATGAATTTTTCCCCCCTCTCTCTCTCTGATTCAATTACACCTTAGTTTCACCTGCCCAAACGATAACTGTCAAAGTCAATCAGGAAGTGCGTGGGTGGGTGGGTGCGTATATTCATTTACGTTTCCTTTACCTTTACAGGGACAACGGTGGTGGAGTGCAAGTCCGGCTACGGACTGAATACGGAGACCGAGCTGAAAATGCTACGTGTTCTGGAACGGGCGAAAAGAGAAATTTCCTTTGTCGACATTTCCATCACGTACTGCGGGGCGCATGCAATTCCAAAGTGAGTGCAAAATTATGAGGTCGATTGCAAATTTTATTTACGTTGTGTCACATATTTATTTGTGTAGAGACATGACGGAGGAGTTGGCGACCAAGGCGATCATCAGTGAGCAACTGCCAGCCATCTCGCGAGCCATTCGACTCGGCGAAATTTCTGTGGACAATATTGACGTGTTTTGCGAAAAGGGTGTGTTCGAGGTGGACAGCTCGCGGCAGATTTTGGAGGCTGGGAGGGCACTCGGATTTAAGATGAATTTCCATGCGGACGAGATCTACCCGCTGGGTGGGACGGAGGTGAGATTTATGAAGGACTGTGACCCCCAATTTTGTGGCGGAGCGCGACCCCATGACCATGACTAAACTAATGCACGGTGACCTTTTTCCAGATGGGGGCTAGCATCGGAGCGGAAGCGATAAGTCATTTGGAGCAAGTATCGGACACCGCGATTCAAGAAATGGCACGGAACGAATCGATCGGGGTGATTTTGCCCACAACGGCGTACATTCTCCGTCTCCCGTCGCCCCCCGTGAGGAAACTCATCGAAGCCAATGTCCCCATCGCGTTGGGGTCAGATTTCAATCCAAACGCTTTCTGCTTGGCGATGGTATGCAAAAAAATACGAAATTTTAATTGCTGTTGTCACAAATTTTGACCTAGGATTCGATGGCTCGATGCCAAAACCGTCAAAAGCAACACATTTTTAATCGTTTCTCAGCTCTGGAAAATTATTTAAAAATTCTTGACGACAAGTTTGTAGTTAGTGAATTGATTAATAAAATGGCGGTGAGGTGTTTAAGCCAATTTCGATAAGTTCCAATTTTCTGAAGGCTTCTTAAGCTTGAAATCTCCTTCAAAAAGTGTCAAAATCTGGAGTGTATATTTTTTTGATTAGCAACGACTTGCTCTACAAATTAGTCGTCCAGAATTTTAAAATAAATTCCCAGAGTCGAGAAACAATTAAAAAAATGTTTTGGTGATGAATCATCGAGTCCTACATTAAACGATTATGATCTCTTCCAGCCCATGGTCATGCATCTCGCCTGCATCTTGTGCCACATGAGTTTGGAGGAAGCCCTCGTCGCCTCCACGATAAACGCGGCCGCGACCCTCGGTCTTTCCGGAAGTCACGGGTCGCTCGAAGTGGGGAAAAAGGGCGACATCGTGATGGTCGATGTTCCCACGTGAGTCAGCAAATCTATCAAAAGCCTGGTAAACTCTGAGTCTGAATCATGTTTATCTTTCAGCTGGGAACACTTGATTTACCAATTTGGCGAGCACGAGAACCTAATTCAGATGGTGATCAAGGCCGGATTTGTTGTCTACGATAAAGCTCACCAATAAATAAATTTATAATTTAAAATTGGACAAAATTTCCACCCCTGGAACGACTTGATTGAAAGAGATAAATGAATAAAAAACGAGCAAAGTCAAGATTCTTATTTTAGATTGGCTTCTTACATCCCATGTCATCATTTATTGATCCCGAGCAATAAAACTGTACCTTTTTTGGAGGAGAGAAAGCTGGAAAAATTACGAGATCATCACCACTCGTCACACCCACCCAACAAATAACCTCCTGTCTTATCGAGTAACGGTAATCGGGGCAGTATCGAAATCTAGAAAAGTGTAATGCATCATCATCCCCTATGTGTAGCTTGAAGAATTGGACGGATTAGTGTTGATCGGACGAAAGAAAAACAGTAAATGGGTCAAAATCCCATCTTGTCAGTCCTGCATACATACCGTCATCAAAAAATAAATGGTCACTCGTTCCAAATGTGTACATACATAGATACTTCTTGTTGTCACTAAGTACAGTGGTGCACGAGTCAAAATTTCATGTATTTTTGAAATTTCAAAGTTAAGAAATACTGGAATTTTGGGGGGCTAATTTCCTTTCATCGCAAATTTAGCTGTTCAGAATTGCATGAAATAAACATTTCCAACCGTGCACTTCTTCTTGTCACCAAATACGTGTCAAAATTTTGTATATTTTTGAAATTCCAAAGTTCGGAAATACTTAGATTTTTTTGGGCTGATTTCCTTCTGTCTCAAATTTAGCTATGCACAACCAACATTGACCAGCGTATTATACACGAGACAAGAAAAAGAAGCACATACATCACCGCAACGTATATATGGACGACCCTTCACGTTTTTGGTCATTAGTCGCGACGAGAAGAATGGGTCGCTTTTGGAGGGGAAGAGAAAGCAGGGGCAGAGAAAGTGGAAAGTTTGGATGATCCGAATTTATCTTGACATGCTCTTAAAACCAGAAACCAAAGAGGACCAGGCTCACCCCAGACCAGATTTCTCCACGATTCCAATGAGACAAATGATGACACACACACACAAACATCCAGCCTTTCATTTCCGTCTACATGCACGCATACCCCTTTAATATCTTCTTACTAATAAAATAATGATGAGGATAACAAGTCCTCAATTTTTGCACGGTTTCGAATTCCTCGTCATAATTGGCTCCTCATTTTCCACAAACTTGTTCCCGTTAGGAAACTACATTTCCAAATAGTTTCTTGCTTTTCTCCCTTAATCCGAAAATAATTGAGTGGCAGACTCCTCCTCCACGTTTCTCCGGAACGTGTGCGCGATTGGAGGGAGAAAATTCGAGCAAGAAAATAAGCACGACTCCCTTGCCTTGGAAACTTTAAAAAGCTGGTTTGGTGGACAAAATTGGAGATTCTGGAAAAACATGGAGACACAAATTGGCTCCGTACGTACGTCTATATCCTCAAGGTAGACGAGGAGCGCTGCAAGTAAGGTAGGTAATTAATTAGCTCATTTGTTCAAGCTTAATTGTCCTTGGCTGCTGGTGGAAAAAGCCGTGTTCATCTTCCTCCGGCAGAGACCGATTGAATAATTAAATTTGATTAGGAACAAGTCAGACGTGCCAGAAGAAGGAGAAGGCCAATTGGACAACTTTGACTCACTGCTGGACTGGACGAACGGCTTTTCTGGTTAATTCGCCTGCTTCAATGCCTACTTTTGGGAATCAATTAAGTTTTATTCTACTCTTAAATGTTTGTCAACAAGACAACGAAGGGGAAGATTTTAGCTAATTTTCGGCACAAAGTTGGACAAAGTGCGTGGGTTGTGTTGTTGTGTTAAAATTAAGGCACGTGCGACTGCCTTCCTGGAAGAAGTGAATTTGTGTCCCTCTTTTTTTCCTGGAAGGTGGATCACGAAATGGGGAATTAGAAAGAAGATGAAGAATGTTTTGTTTTATTTCCTCGTTTTTTGCTCGTTTATTGCGGGCCGTGCAGGCCGGATGAGGAGTCAGGATCTAATTGTGAATAGGTTGTCTTTGGTGCCTAAAAAAGTGGACGGTCCCTGGCGAGGGGTAAAAAGGAAATAGATAATTAAGGTAGGCAAGATTGATTTTGTTGATGGTTGGTAGTCGCTCACTGGGAGAAGAGGTCTGATTTTTCCTCTCAAAAGAGATTGGAGAAAGTGGGCGAGTTAATTTGCGAGCATGATTTCTAAGTAAAACACGTTTTAATGAAATTTCTATTTTGTACTGGATGCTTTTTTGCATGTATTTATGCCTAGTCGACTAAATATTTTATGTCATATTTGAATTGTGACGATATAAAACAAGAGATTGACATAATCTGACTTTCTCTCCTGTCAAAATACAGAAATTTTTACAAACTGTCCCGTAATTTAAACGATTTTTATCGCATCAAAAATTATTCCTGCTCTAGACTAATCCCCAACTTTTCATGCAGTGAAAGTGGCGTGCTTTCACTCTGTCCGTGGATATCTCTCAGCGGGGCAGATTGAGACAAAGGATTGATTTAGCAGATTATTTATGAGAGTCCGAGAGCCCTGTGAAATGCATAATAAATGGATGGATACACACCTTCTAGTCTTCTTTTGTGTATGGATGGATGGCTTGATGATGAGGATGGATGGATGAATCCCTGCTGACGTACGTACCTACAATATGCATGCTTCCACTGAAATCAAGTCACGTTGCAGGACTCCCGGCCGTGCGGAAGGGATGGGATTTATTTCCCAGAAACTATTTAGCATCTCACCATTGCATGGTAAAAAAATCGACAGCTTTTCCCTCCGATGAGAATTGACTAAAAAAATTGTATCGTAAAGTATAATGTGTGTCCTTGACCTCGAAAGTGATGGAGGTCAAAGGTCGCCCACATTCTTCCTGTCCTCTCCCCATATTCATCTGAGGAGAATAAGAATAAGAAAAAAGAGTGGTCGTCGATGCATAAAAGAATGGACCAAGTGATTTACAAGCCCCCAGATGATGCCTAATGGGAGCAAAATATATACAATCGAACCAAACCCACCTTCACCTTCTCGATCGGGTCGAATTAAGCAGTAGTAGTCGTAGTCGTAGTAGTAGTAAAAATTGGATGTACGTCGTATATACGATGCAGGGCAGCCAGACCAAGCTATTTTTATGCTCTCGCTATAGGTACCCGTTGTGACGTGGAATCTCGCAAAAATAGAAAATCGCGTAATGTATACATACACTGCTCGATAATTTCTCGCCTCCTCGGTCACTGCAGAAATAACAGTTTGGGGTGATTTGTTTGTTTGGGGGGAGGGTAAGTCCTTCCTATTTTTCTGGCCGGAGGACGAGGACGCGAAGGAGAACGTCTTGGATAGAACACTGCATAAATTGTTAAGACACCTTCCTCACATTCTCATAACTTTCTCCGTCTTGAAATTCATCCAAGTACATATCCCACTCCGCCGCCGTAAGCTCTTCTGGCCACTTGTGATATTCTCCAGGCTTCAATTCCAGTGATCGCGGAAGAAGCGTGACAGAGGGACAATGTCCACACGGTCAGTGTTCCAGGTGCAATTAACCGCTTGCAAGAATAACAGGGAGAAAGAGGTTTCTTGCAGCTAAATATGTTGACCCGCAAGAAATGCAAGGCGCAAGAAACTACGCCCCGTCGTTATACTTTATCGGCGTGTGACTAGATGGTCAATATTTCTTGGCATTTCTTGCAGTTTCTTGCACCTCGCATTTCTTGCGTTGCTTGCTATGCAGTGCAAGAAATGTACCAAACCCGCAAGAAAGGAAACATTGCCCGTGGAAGCGGGGGACAATGTTCCCACGGTTTTTCGATGTCCCCATCATCTGGCCATGTTAAACCCTTCCCTCCCGTACCCTACATATGTCCCCAGATGTCTCCACACCTTCCGCGGCCACTGTTCCCTTCTCCCCATTTTTTCCTCGCTGAACAACAATTTTATAGGGAAATGTTCTTGTGTGGGTGCGGTTTTATAGGACACGACCCTATTTAACCAGTCAATATATGATCAGGTGTGTTTTCCTTGAACCACATACCTCCATCCAACCCAATCTCGACATACTTTCTCTCCGCATGGAATGAATGCATGGATGAGCTATTCCCAGAGTAAAAAGTCCCTTCGTGATTGCGTATACCCAGTGAGAATTAAATTTCCCTGATTACTCGCCCAACCAAAGGGGACCCTCCAGCCTTGATGTGCCCCAAAACCTCCACCAACCAACGTGTCGTCATCCTCCCCACGAAAAATGGACGGTGTCCCCGCACCACTAACTCTTTCCTCATTAGACTCCCCAACTTTGTCTCATTTGGACAGGTGAATTTGTGAAATGGGGCGAGTAATGTAATTCGCGAGGAATTATTTGTCACAACTGCGACAACTTTCTTTCTCCTGCAGTCAGTAAACACTGTACGCAACGCAACAAAGATCATCCGTTAGTCCTCGGAATTGACTCAATTTTCTTCCAGCTAAAAAGCTAAATAATGATGAAATGTTCTCCCCGCAAAACGAAAACCAACCACGAAGCGACCCACGACCGACCAAAGTCTATTTCCAGCGTCAGTCTCATTGACGTTGTGGCATTCACAGCTCGTGAATAATTTGTGTGGTCACTTTTATTTCCTTGGCACGTAATGTCCACCCGGATCCATTATGATACTTACGTGGTGTGTAATTCGACTCTGTTTTTGACCCTTGACCTTAAAAAATATAATAAGTATGCATATGCAAATGTACACAACCCGTTATCACGAATGGATAAGAACATTTAATATTTTTGTAACATTTTGTCGTGTATACAGAGAAGAGAGAGGTACGTTTCGTCTTAATTAGGTTAATTATCTTGTAATTAATTAGCATACATATTTAAGAAATAAGTGTGCTTTTCCTGGTAAGCGTTGACATTTATTTATATTTAGATAACGACGAATGACTCTTTCTTTTTTTAGAATTCGTCGTGCAGTGATTGTGCCAATTTTAAGGATTTTTTTATGTCCGCTAATCGTGATAATTAGATATTTTAATAATGTTTTTAGCTTTTATAATTAAGTGCAGTTATTTTTAGGCTTAATCGTAATATTTTTTTGCATTTAAAAAAGTTGAAGTTATCACATGTGTACCTTTTTCAGAGACAGATTGATAGATAGATATTTGTATTATCGTATATTATTTTTGCATAATCTTCGTGGAGTGCGAAACATTGAGAATTTTGATACTTCTTTTTTTACATAAATTTATATGTTGTATAATAAATTTGTTGTTTTAGCACGACGATTACGATTTTACATGATTTTGGTTCTCGATTGTGGGAATATTTTTTTTACAACTACTTACGAGTCACAACATGCAGATTTGTGGATTATTAAATATATATAACGTTAAACACATTTTTTGGTTTGTTTCTCGCCATAAGTTTTATGCACGTACAGTTTTTGAAAAAGAGGTAAATAATTTTTTGTAAAATTTAAATACACTTTTTAATTCTAGGTCAAAATGAAATTTTACAAAAAACGAGAAACATTCAAATTCAAAATTCAAGGTGTGTCCTCTTTTTCAAAAACGGTAAAATATGTACCTTTTTTTGTATTTAAGGAAAGTGCGACGACGATTTTGTTTTTTCAAACCGTGAAGATAATTAACTAACTTATCATAAGTTATGTAAATATGTAGGACTTAATTAATTAGTTAACTAATTGTATACCGTTAATTAATTACTTTTGCCCTCGTCGAGAATCTTGTGTCCACTGTAACCAGCTCCTACAATAGTTGTGTACGGATAGAAAAGAAGGTGTGTAAGAGGTGAAAGGTGGCGAGGAGTTGGAGCGGGATGGCGACGACGAGCTGGTCCCACGCCCTGGGTCGAGCCGAAGGGTTGCAACCGTCCGAATCTTCGCACGACTTGAGACAACCCTTCACGTACCTGAGCACAAAATTCCAACACAACTAAAATTAATGAATACAAAATAGCTACAAATTTCCCTTCGCATTTCAGCCTCATCACAACGGAAGTCTCCTCGGTAAACAAAAAAGGAGAGAAAATAACGTAAGGACTTGAGACGGCCCGAGCCAGTTGGTCTGCTTTTAGATGCGTAATTTAAAAAGATGGTGAGGGGCACTTTTTGGGGGGCTAATATTGTACAAAAGGGAGGATCTGTGCATATTGTGGATCAATTTATAGATATTTGCAGCGAAATATTTATTTGGTTTTTTCCGATTTCGAAAATAAGGTCAGGTTTTCAGTATTAAAAATATTTTTGAAATTTACTTAATTTATGATGTATGTTTAGTGTGTATGTACAGTCATAAAAAAATTGGTATGCGACAATTTATAAAATTTTGTAGTCAATCCAAGATGATCCCCGATTTGATGCAATAATTGCATGGATCACTCCCATCTCCAAAGTCACCCAAGACTAAATACTTACTTCAAGACTGATAAGTCCCTCAAAATCCACTAAACGGACCGACAAACACACCCATTCCATAAGCCCTACCTACCTCTCGCAAAAACTGGAGCGTAAATTGGAGTAAATATTAGCCAAGGAACAAAAAAAATAGAGCGAACTGCATTTATGTATTCATTCACTCGTCTCCTCTCTTTTCGTCGTTCAGAATTTAAAAATTCATCGTCACGTGTAACCTACGTACGAATCTGTGATTCCGCTGGGGAGGAAAAAAGTACAGAAGATACGCGAAAAAAAACAATCTTGATATATATATATTTCCAGATTTTTCTTTTTTTCCTCCCTCCGTTTGACGGAGAAAGTCTCGCTGGTTGACTGAGTGAGTGAGTTGGCAGGTTTTTGAGTGCAATGTGCATGTCTAATGTGGAAATGGTGTGTAAATATGGGGACGGCAGGGCTGCAGTACAGCCACCATGGTCGTCCAGGTAGGGTGGATAATTTGGCGAGAGAGAGAGAGAAAACCTGCGAGAGAGTCGACTTTCTCTCCTCTTGAAACAAGATCAGATCGTCCATTAGCAGAATTTTCTCTCTCTCTCTCCAATCGTCCTCCTTTTTATTGCAGGGAGGAAATTTAAAACGGAAATTGTTCCAATTGCGGCAAGATTGCTTTTCTTTTTTTCGCTATAAAAGATAAATCTGAATCTGGTCGATGGGGAAAAGATGGAGAATTTTTGGGGGGTTGTGCATGCAATAACTTGTGTCAAAGAAGAATCAAAGAAGAGGTCAATTTTGTATTCTAATTTCTTACCTATCCTCGAAAAAGAAGTGGCCGCAATGAGACATCCGAATGATTTCGGTGTCCGTGTTTAGCGTCCCGCTGTCCAAGGCACAACCCCGCACCGTGATCGTCTCCCCCGTCTCCACTGCGCAAACAATTAATAAAACGGGACATAATAATAATAATAACGTGACATGATTTCCGTGAGCAAGGTCACTCACGAGACGACGAAAGCTACGAGTCTATTTCTTTCGTCGTGGTGAAAGTGGTGGAAGAAATTTGATAAGGAATTTCTCCTCAGTCACCACTCACTGCGGGTATAAAAATGAGTGACTCAGATTCACCGTGTGGTCTGATAAACCATACGCTACGAGGACAATGACGATAATGTCGAACAGGGGAAAAAATGTGGAATGAAGATTAATAATAGATCATGATGGCAAGAAAAATGAGACAGTTTGGGGCATGATGCGATGAGGTGGTACCATTTGCATGCACGTCGACCTCTCAGGTGACCCATTACGAGGTCAAAGGTTACCTTACTGACCCCTCGATCACATCCACCTTCCCAAATTTATGCAATCCACTCTTTCTCCTTTTCCCCGCATGCAAGATTTTTCTTAAGAAAATACTTTCTACTTAAAAGATCCCAAAGTATGAATAAAGCAGCAGCAGCAGGAGCATCGGACGAGTGAGCGAGCGAATCCAGCCCCGTCATCAAAGTGGTTGGATGGTTGATGTCATAAATTTTGAGAGTCTCGTTTAACAGGGAGTCGATCTTTGTTGGTTTTTGACTTGAGTGAAAAAAATGGAGAGTAACAAAAAAAAGTGGAGGAAGGATGAAGACGATAATGAGTTGTTGAGGAGAAGGAGATAGAAGAATGAGGAGCAGCAGCCTCCAGCAGACAGATATCTGGAGAGAGAAGCGCTTATATGATGAATCTCTATCTGGGACGAGGACTACACAGTTTGTGAGTAAACAAATGGATGGAGGGAGGGAGGCTGAGGAGAAAGCAGGAGAAAGCAAACAGGGCAGCAGCAGCCCATGTATTGGAATTTAATGCAACATCTCAAATCAGAAAGAAACCGGGGAGAGGAGAGCGAGTCGACTACTTTCACTCACTTTTCCTCTAAAAGATGAGGGCAGAGAGCTTAATGGATTCTGCCTATTTTATTCCTTTCACCATCCCCGCGATCCAGCCAGCGAGCCAGGGTTATCTTTCCTGGCTAAGAAGAAGGAGGAGGACCCGCTATTATGTGGGGCTCTATATGTACCTACGTCGGACGGATCTTTGGCGTGGATGCATTTTTAATTGAGGCAAAATGAGACGAGGAAGATTATGTATGGGTTGGCGAAAACATTGCTATTTTGTATGTAGGTACATAGTTAAGTGACTCTGAAAAGTCATATTTGGCGTTAAAATGTGTCAAATTTAAATATTTGCAATTATGTCTTTTAATTATCTTTGTCTAAAAAAGCTAACTAGACAAAACAGAAAACTTGAGATTTCGAATTTACATCCATTTTCGTTGATAATTCATCCATAAAATTATTAGAAACAGATCAATTTCGACCAGCTGCAAAGTTTAAATCGACGCCGTGTCGTCGCCAAAAGTAAATTTATACAAACAAAATGATGCCTAACGAGACGTAAAAAAGGGGTTTGTGACCTCTCAACGCGACTTGAAACGAAACGTTATATTTCCTACATGCACCTTCGTGTTGATTGGTTGTAGAATAATATCATCACGTCACCTCCTAAATACTGGGCTGATGAGATGGATCGTTTTACTGGGTAAATTATGCAAAATAAAAACTTATTGTGTCTGCATCCGAGACTAATAATAATTGACACATAAATTTGCTGTGTAATCAACCACACCTCCAAAGTCCAAACCTTCGTGCGACAATAATAAATAATGTCATTTCCACCTTTTTCTCTCTCTCTAACTAACCTCACGCTCTTAAATAAACGCACCTGGTAACAATCTACTACCGAAGTGGTAATACATGTAATTTGGGCACATTTGAAGATCATGCATACATATTTGTTCCCACTCCATGACAAACCGGTAACAAAATATTACCGTATTGTTCCAAAATGGTGGATTCCGTACAAACTGCGACTGATTGTGAGTCGCAGGTATAAAAACACCAAGTCGAAATGGGACACGGAGGTGGATTTTTGCCTGGTTACACCATTTTATTAGGGTGCATGGCGTGCCGAAGGAAATATCTTTCCGTGATGACGACGAGTAAAAAAGGGAGCGCCGCTGCCGTCGCCGACGACAATGTGTAACCTCGCCTGCTGACAATTACTAATGAGCACGAAATTGAATGGAATTGAATCCCACCAACAAACAAGTCATGGCTTGGAGTAGTTTGAAACTTGATATCTCATCAAACTACTCGGTGGATGATGAAATACAAAAAATCATCATCGTCGTCGTCGTCGTCGTCTCATTATTCACAGTTTCCACGACTCCATTTCCAACGAACTCTGTCTCCGTATGGATGGATATAATGAGGAAAAAGTTAAATAGGTAAAAAACGAGGCGACTCAGAGAAAAAGAGGATCTCGATCTCTTTGATAATTATGAAATCAAAGTGGGTTCTGCGCTCGGGTGGAAGAATAGAAGCAGCCGAAGGAAAAATATGTCTGGAGCTCGACTTGCTGGAAAATTGTAGGAGATTTGGATTCCCAGTGTTGCGCTTTCACTCCTTTTTGGAAAATGGATAAAATAAAAAACGAGGCCAAGTTTTTACTTCCCAATTTTTTTGGAAATATTCCCGAAATTTGGGCTACCTCGCTTATTTATTGACCTATCCAATTCTGTGACGACCCAGTGGCCGCGGAAGCGTGGGGACAGAGGGGCAATGCCTCCCCGTTATCTGCCCACGTTATTTAAACCCCTCCTTCCCCTATCCTACAATGTTAATGTCCCCACGGCTTCCGCGGTCACTGGTGCGACCCCCCATTTCATGCAGCGACATGACGCAACACTGTAACTGCAGGTGGGCTGATGAGCAGACAAGATGTGACGATGATGATTCTAACACCGACTCTGGTGCGAAGGTACATCACGAGGAAATAATGGACTAGCAAGAATCATTAGTGTTTTGTGGCACGTTGATTAATTTCTCGTCGTATATTTATAGCCAAGCTTTTCCTTCCTGCTCGAGTTTTTGCTGGACGATGAAACCATTAGTGCATGGGCTCTGTGTTATTGTATCGGTCGTGACGTGATGGTTTGCTCTCTCATTATTTAGGGGTGAAAGCCCTTTATGAAATTGTTGTCCGTTTGTCTGTCCGTCCGTTGGTCCGATAACTCGTGAACGACATACAGACTTTAAACTATGCAGAGAAAGGGATAAGCCTCCTTAAGGAGATCTAGAAGGTTTAACTCCATAAGGATGCGTAAGCCACGTTGAGAGCCAATAGCAGATAACGTCGAGGTTTTCGGACTTTTTCCCCATAACCTCTCACTTTTTCCTTTAAACAGTTAGAAATATACATTTGTTTCGATTTTGGCGTACAAACTGTACAATTTACTGCATTTTTGACAAAGTCAGGCTCCGAAAATTAAAAAATAGATACAATAAATAATATTTCATTAAAAGAACAAATAGATAGTGCTTTCAAAGAGCTATCCAACTGAACAAGTCATTTCAACCAGTGAGACCCTAGTGACCGTGTGAATGAGGTCATAGGTCACAAACGTCAGGAACCCGTCAAACGTGTCAATTCTAACAGATTTTCGACAGCAAAAAGCAATTTGACATTAATTTTGACGTATGACACACTGCATTCACCCCTCTGTTACATGCGTTGTAACGTTTTATTATTGTTATTATTATTGCAATCCTAACCACACCACAACGTGTGTCGTTTCATCCCCGTTAAATACTTTGACTCGAACAGCCTGAAAAAATCACTTGACCAAGAAAGCCAAGCCGGGTTTATGTCTCAGAGTGAAAGTCGAGTAGTCTCATCTCTCACTTTCCACTCGTAGTTTTTTGTAAGTGGTGCAGTTTCACGTCGGCATCCATAATGCGAGGGGGACTTGTTGTATGTATGCACTTGACTTGACTCGGAGAACCATGACCACTTTGCCCTGTCACCTCAAGAAGCAGACACGTAGATAAAACTCGGCATTTTTTATGCTCCCTGAAACCCAGCAAAATCTGCGGAGTTCGGTAACACACACAAACACCTGGTCGTGAAAATAAATGTGCCACTCGATGCTTATTACTTGCAGGAACTTATTTTTAACTCGGTCTTTTGTACTTTTTACTATTGTGAATTAGAATTTGATTGTAAAAATCTTTCCTCAATTTTTTAAATGTCGTAGTGAAAGTTAAAAAATGTGAATAATTTTATTTTCTATTTTCTCTTACGCCCAAAATGCACGAAATCGTTTTCAATTCGTGCATTTGATAAGTGGTATTGCATTTAATGGAATATTGTTGTTTTATGTTTTCTCTTGTTTTTTTATCGAAACTCGAAACTCGATTGGAACATGTGGTCGAATTTGAATGGCTTTCTCCCCGAAAAAGTGAGACCTCAAGAAATCAAACAATTTACTTATGCCGTGGTTGAGAACAATAATCCTTCTTCTTCCAACCCGACAAGAACCCAGTAAAAAAAGAAGTGTTTTCTGTATTTAATTTTTTCCCCAAACTTCTTTTGGAGAAAGTCATCTCAATAAGATGCATAAAAAACATGCCACCTTTTAGCCTATAACAATGCATGGAAAACAATGTATTTTAATCGTCCCATTCCTGTGCCCACATTGTCCTCATTAAAATGTGGATTTATCCGGATATGAATCTCTGTCACGCGTTGAGACGGGGCTATCTCGCTGCTCCCAGACTTTCTCCACCTGGCTGCTTATTGCTTTACAAGCCTCAATTGTGACATGACGTAACGTGACGTGACGAAATCCCTTCGACGTCCGACAACCTCTCGTTCCTTTTATTTTATGGATATGTGTATGTGATCATCATCATCTTTGCGGGATATGTGGATAGGGAAAGTATGCACGGCTTACGATGGAGGTCTCGCAGCGGATGCTCTCAGATTTTTGAGCAAACTAGTGTCAATCTATGATGAATTTGACTAAAATTTGACTAAAATTTGACTAAAATTTGACTAAAATTTGATTAAAATTTGACTAAAATTTGACTAAAATTTTATTAAAATTTGACCAATATTATATATGCAAAGGACACAATCTCTCAATGAACACATTTGGCAGAGATATTTTTATCGAAAGAGGAGAAAGTGCACATAAAATTTGGAAAGTGCAAAATTTTGCAACTTTATGGCGTTTACGTTTTTTCCTCTTCGGATGCAAATATCTCTGCCAAACCTGAGCATTGGGAGATCGTGTTTGATGCTAATTTCATATTTGTCAAGTTTGTAATCTAGTTTGGTCGAAATCTGAGAGCATACGCTGAGAGACCTCCATTGTGAGTTTGTGATCTGGTTTTGAAGTTGATCCGAGAGGATGGGAAGGTTACTGGAGGAATAATAATGGGACAATAATTAACCCAAAATGGGATACTATTCAGTCCAGTCAACAAGTTGGGGTTGCAAATAATAATGACTTTGTTCGTGGGTGGGTGGGTGGCATGTTTCCTTGTGCGGTAGTAAATTTAATGAGTTTTGTTTATTATCCGGCCGTGCGGATCGATCAGGAGTGAAAAACATGACCCCCGATATTTCCCTGCTGCGTTGTATTTTTAGCTGCACAAGTTTCCACCAGAATTTTGGACATGATTTCTTAAAGGGCACACATTTTTGGGTAAAATACGAAAATCTGGAATCTACTTAATATCTCGGAACTAATAAAGCAGAGCGTTTTCAAATTTTCTGTACAATTCTTAATAATTATTAGAATTTTTGCATTTTATTGGCAAAAATCGCAAAATGCGTAGTGTCTTTTGTATTATAATTGCAAATTTTGCTAATACGACAAAATTTTTTGCATGAATTTTTAAAGGACGCAATTTTTGACTTAATCTTCCACATTTGAAAACTATTTAATATCCTGAACTAATAAAACGGAGCGATTTCAAATTTGCCGTACTATTCTTAATAATTATTAGAATTTTTGCAAAATAGTATTTTTTATCGAGAAATGTATAGTATTTTTGCATTATCATTTCTAATTTTGCTAATATGAACTAAATTCAAATTACGCAAAGTTTCTAATATTTTACTCGAAATTGGATAATTAATTTGAAGAACTCACCGAAAACGCCGGCCATTTTGATGCAGGCGGTAGCAGGAAATAGGCCGTCCCTCCCTTTTCGTCCCCCCATGCACGGCGACTCCAGGGTGGCGGCAGAGAAATTGTTGTGAAACGGATCTTCACTGCAATATGGACAAATTCCATGTCAGAAACTTAATTAATTTGACATTTAATTAATTAACGAGAGAGAAAAGTGAATTATTTATTGGATTCATGTTCAATTTACCAAGACGGATTATCTCCATTGAGACTGGCGCATTTGAAACAGTCAATATTTGCTCCGACTGAAAGAGAGAAAGTTATAAGTAGGTAAGACGTTTATTAATTTACGATTCGCTTTCATTGGTCACATGACGTTACGTACAGATTGACGAGATATATATAAATGATGACGGGGTTCCGAAAAAAAATCAGGATTTCCGTAATTTTCCAAACTATCATTTCCGAAAAATTGGGGTGTCATTCTCTTCTCCCCAAATTTTTTTAACTTTAAGAAATTTAAGACATCTTTGAGATTGAAAAAAAGAGTAGAAATCTCACAAGTTTTGAGGATTAGCAATAAGACATGATTTTTGCAACCCTATAACGCGAAGGATGGTGATGCCCTAATTGTAATGAACTCTGACATGATCATATTTATAGGTTGCCAGGAGTGAGAGTAAGTAATCGTGGTGGTTGTGGTTTAGTTTAGTATTCTACATCTCCACAACTCTCTCCGCACATTGTGGTCCATCGCTTAAACTACTTATTTCATATCCCGAGTTCATTCTTCCCTTTCATTACGGCCGTGCGGGGAGGATGGCACCGATTTACACAGCTGCTATTTCCTCCCTATCTGAAAACATCACGGTTATTACAGTGTGACTTAATCCCCCTGAAGAACGAGAGGTGACGACATCCAGTAGTTTATTTATTGCGTGTTTGATACGTTTCTTGCACTGAAAAGCAAGAAATGCAAGAAATGAGAGGTGCAAAGGCAAAGAAAGAGCAAGATACATGTGCCATTTAGCGACGCGCGTATAAAGTAAAACGGTGGGACGTAGTTTCTTGCGCCCTGAATTTCTTGCGGATCAGAATACTGAAAGAAACCACTTTCTTGCGTTTATTCCTTGCAAGAGTGTACTTGTCAGTAATTCTTTTCTGCTGATTTGCTACAGTTCTTGCAGTGCAAAGCAAGCCACGCAAGAAATGCAAGGTGCAAGAAACTGCAAGAAAGTGCAAGAAACATGGGTCATCAAGCCGTATGAACTATAGCGTGGGACGTAGCGCCTTGCATTTCTTGCAGGTCAAGAGGAATGCCTATCTGCAAGAAACCGCTTTCTTGCCGTAATTTCCTGCAATTGGTTACTTCCCCGGAACCACTGCCGACATCCCTCCCGCACACCCCGTCCTTCTTGTTCCCTCTGTTTTCCCGTGGTGGTGGTGGCAGGAGATAATCAGTCATCTTTTTTCCCTATCCATCACTGAAGGGGAGAAGAAGACATAGGAAGGAAAAGCACTCTCGCCGGCCACTCCCATAATCATCGGCAGGAAGGAAGACGGATTTTTTGCAACTTTCTCTCCTTGTAAAAACCTCACCCAAAAGTAGTCAGTCTTCTTCCTCGCTTCCTTCTTCTTCTCCATCTGATCCATCATCATCTCTGATCTCTCTCACCCGCACCCTTATTATTCTCCATGTGTGTCCATAATGGTGATGCAATCCATACTGCCCACCAACCCACCAAACCATCTACTACTTGGCCTTGTCTACCGCTTGCATTGTCAATTTCGCCCCTAATTGTGCCCTGGATGTGATGCGATTTGAAATTTAAATCCGGATTAGGCCGGCCCAGGGTGCTGGAGCATTAAGGATAAATGTGCGGTTTTCTTTCATCACGTCAGGTCGTGACGGATCGACTTTTCTCCCACCTCGCGGCCAGGCAATAATAATATGAGGGAAAAAATGAGTGACTGACTGAGTGAAAGGCCACATTTATCTTCGTAAATGATAATGATGGTAATAATATAAAATCTGGACTGGTCCCGCTCCATTCTGATCCCGCACAGGAAAAAAAGGTGACAATTACATGACGGAGAGTAACGTGTTACTTTTTTCTCCTCATTTTTTTCCGCATTGATTCGTAGATATTATTTTTGTGGTGGTGACATATTTAGAAATTGAAATAAATCTGGTAGAAGTCTTGTTTTTTTAAGAATTTCAGCTGACCTGATTGTGCGAGAAAAAAATCCTGCACTTTTTTAGGCATACAAACTCTGAGGCGACCACAAGCGGGTGACGACGACGACGACACGACCGCGCTGGTGACACTTGGTTCCTCACCCGTTTTATGGAGTGAAAGTCTCAATCGAATCGGAATGCGGGGAACAAGACGGGCTGTCATATTCCAACAATAAAAGTCTGCATGGAATCAGACACACAAACAAAGAATGAAAGGAAAGCTAGACAAAACGATTCTCGTCGTCGTCGTCGTAAATCGCAACGTGCGATACGACGAGCCCGATGTGACATGACATGACGCGAATAATATGGCATAACAATTAGTCATTTGCTTTACTACGAAGCGAGCAAAACCAAAAGTCCAGATGGAGAGGGAGACCAGAAAAAAAACATGATTTGACTTTATCCATGACATTGACAAATTATCGTATCCGATTCGTCCACCATTTACGACGACGTGGATGAGACCAAGGGGCCCGCATGGGTCATGAGTGTCTAGACTTTTCAAAGCCTGAAAATCCATGTCCACCATAAACTTTGTAAATCGTATGGAACACGAGTTTATGGATGGCCTAAAAGTGGAGAGAAAGTTGACTCGGATCAAATTCTGAGTATTTTTTGAGGATATTAAATATGTGCGAGGCTTATCGGGTGGGTATTAATTACTTTTCGGTTTTTATGATATGCGCACCTTATCGACTATAATGCTGACGTTATTAATTGCAAAATAAAAATCAGAAGGAAACCATTTTTTGGCAAAAATTTTACCACATTTTAAAACCCTTTGACTTAATCAGAATATTTACATAATTATCTCAATCACAGCATTAATTTCGTCTCACGTCGTTAAAATATTTACAAAATATATGCACTTTAAAAAAATATCTAAAAATTTTGTACATTTTTCGAATAATAGTGGAAATATTTCTAAATATTTGTCTGAAAAATTAAGAAATATAAAACAATCCGTAAAAAAATTGACAGTTTTGCGATCTATAAAATTTAGGGAAAGTTTGACCGTCATCAAATGAAAAAGTAGAAAATACATACATATCCGCCCTCTGGAGATAAGTATTTATTTAAAGATTGTGATGTATGGGTTGATTTTTTGCCTATGTTTTTTTGAGTGGGAGTGGTTGAGGTTGATGATAAAAAATCAATGAATTCTTATCCATCTCATCATCCTCTTCGTGATCCTCATTCAACTTTTGCCGTTTGGAGGGTTTGTTTAGTCTCGGCTTTCTCCTCTCGACAGGCCGGACGACCGGATCAGGGTTCGGAAAACCCAGGGGTTTTTGTAGAAAAACCCAACCCCGGGGGTTTTTCCGGGGTTTTTGGGGTTTTTGTGGGTTTTTGGGTTTTTGTGGGTTTTTGTGGGTTTTTGTAGATTTTGGGGCAGGTTGAACCAGAATTCCTAAAATTATTTATTAGAGATAAACTAATTTAATATACAATTTTAACATGCAATTTTAACCGTAATCATTGATTTGGACTAATTACATCGAAAATTCATGTTTGACATGTAAACTTGGAAATATGCAACGATATTTAGAAATTCAAGTCGCAAATGAAAATTCTCAAAATTTCTAGATGAAGCAGAAAAGTTAATTAGCATTGATATCCGTTGTAGTTTAAAGGATTTTGTTTCAATCTGCCTCAAAATCCTACAAAAACCCCGGAAAAACCCACAAAAACCCACAAAAACCCGCAAAAACCCCATTAAGCATTAGGGCTTTTCCGGAAATTTGATACCCCAAAAACCCACAAAAACCCCAAAAACCCCAACCCACAAAAACCCGGGGTAGCGAACCCTGGACCGGATGAGCTTACTTATTCCTTTCTCATGTTTGACGGTGGGGCTCATTTATCTTCTCGAGGGTGGTGTACATTTCCAACCCGCTCATCAATCTCGAACCCCATGCGAGTGGCTGGATGAATAAAAACTTGATAGAAACAAACAAACCACACCCACGCGACGTAATCTCATCGCCTCCTCCACCCACTCCACGGGATGAATAAATAGCAGGAGAATAATGGGGCACGTTAAGAATCAATGGATTCATAATTCCTAAAGTAAAGATTTCCAGGCTAATTTTTTAATATGGGAACTAAAATTGCACAATTTCCTTGCACGATTGCATGAAAATGTATACACAATAAGTTAAATTACAATTATCCTGACTAAAACACTTACAAGAAAGTCTCCCAGCGTACTGTCACCGATTTTGACCAAATTAGTTTCAATCGATCACAAATTTAATTAGCATGCCATTTGCAAAATACAAGATCTGCTAATGGTCAGGTTTAACAGATATTTGCATAGAGGAGAAAGTAAATTTGGAAAGTGTAAAATTTGCGAACATGTATTTTACAAATTTCATACTAATTAAATTTGTGTTCGATTGACACTAATTTGCTCAAAATCTGAGATCACACGTTGGGAGACCTCCATTATTTATGGGAATAAAAACAAGTGAAAACTGTTCACTGACCAGGGACGGGGCCGGAGGCGACCATGACGAAGCAGACGACGGAGCAGAGGAAGAGGACGGTTTCCTGTCGCGAGAGGAACAGCGTTGATATCAAAAGTTTCCTGTATCTTATAAAAATACATTTTAACTGGCCACCCCCACCACAACCAGCACCACCAGCACCGTTCCTACTCCCTCCACCACCACCACCACCACTGTCACCACCACCACTGTCACCCCTCCCCCGCGGCGGCGGCGATGTTGAAGGCGGCGGTGTCGATGTCGACGAAGGAGAAGATGAAGAAGACGATGGCTCCCGTCTATAAATACACACAAAGAAAACAATGACAAATCAGTCAGCGATTATGTATTATTGAGCGATATCATCATATTTGATCCTCCGAGAAGAATGAGGGGACAAGGAGAGGATGGATGGATAGGAAATAGGAAATAAGATAAGCGCATTACACTAAATCTGAACCCGCTAAGTCGCCCAATTCATTTGATTCGAGCATTTTCTATTGTCAGATTTGCCATGAAAGGAAGGATTTCTGATGTATTTTAGATTTTAGGATATCTTCTTCGCGGGTGTGTGACAGGGTTGGGTGGATGATTTCTGAGATATATTTCCTCGGTTTTGTGTGTGTGTGTGTTTTTTTCTTTGGGATATTATCTTTTTTATTTTGCAAAAGCACAAAGGGCGCTTTGTAATATTTACAACGGGAAGAAATTTAACCGGAAATATGAATCGTTCATTTTCACAGATTTTTAGGAACCCTGGTGGATATCAAGCGTTTTATTGTTACACATGTCATGGGACATATGCAACAAAATCTGGATGAATTTTCAATTGAGGAATATGCTATTTGCTGGATTTAAATATGATCAATTGTGTCCTGGCATGAGGCGTGGCTTGGCGTGGCGTGGTTTGGTTTGAGTGCGTGACTCGGTGGGATGATGAAATTGGAAATTAAGCCGAGAATTAGTTGTTGCGACGAGACGACAAGTTTTGATCTTCTATTGTTGAGATCCTCCATATGCGATATGTGGTACACATGTACAAAGGATGTGTTTCGCCCATTTTTTGCTGACATATTACACGCACGGCCTCTCCTGGATTCTATTCTCTCTCTTTCTTTCTCGGAGATGAGATGAGAAACGAGAGAACTTGATGTACGGATATATTTCCTGGGGATAAATTAGGACCAAAATACCATCGAAAGGTCACTTATTCTTCTAGAGTTTAGGATTTATTCGGATTTTTGTGTATTTTATGAAATCCCAGATATTAGACGGGATTTGTTAAACATCTTTTTTCCTTCGTCTCAAATGTATACTAAATTTTCAAAGTACTGCTCCATTTGTTATAAGAGGTCCAAGTTATCCACGATTACATTAGCCGAATAACTCGAATTATTATATTATTTAACACCGTTTATTTCATTTTGGCGTTAAAATCAACCAATTAGAAGTTTAGAATTTGAGAATGATGGGCGATTACATTAGCCAAATTATTTTATTATTTAACACCGATTATTCTTATTTTGGCATAAAAATAATACGAAATTGAATAATTTGTAAGTCAAAATAAAAATAAATTGACCTTAAATAATAAAATAATTTTTATTTTGGCGTTCAAAATGTTAAATTTCGTATGATTTTTATGCAAATTTGATAAATTATTCAAAAATTTCTGTGCACATGTTTTCCATTTTTTTAGAGTGTTCCACACAACGGGAATCTGTTCTCTCGCGTCGTCTTGTCCCAATTAATTCGAGGTCTTGATTGTTCTCGGGCTGCAGCATGGAGGAAAACCTGTCCGTATTTATTGACTTAACCTTTCTATCCACAGGTTATGTGTATGTACATACGTTCACCGCCCCATGGATTTCATGCCTGCTGCTGCCGGGCGGAAGTGATGATGACGATGGTGATAACATCAATAAACAAACTTGGCGTAAAAGTACATAAGTGCAAAATGTAGGCATGGCTGGCGAGCAATAAGCGAGATATAAATAAAAAAGTAAGCATTCGTTCCACCAGAAAATATGGACATAAACCAAGGAAAAGTTACCTGCTATTTATGATAAGATAAACTTGCAAAAAATTTCAGTAAGGCGTAACGCATTGCGAAATTAAGTGGCGTTGAAGCTTAATTCTAAAAAAACTGGAGAGAATTTTATAATTTTATGTGATATGAAAAATTGGGAATTTCTTACAAAAAGCATACTTTCTGAAAATGAGTATCGTGGTTAAATTCGAGCATATTTTGCTCATTCGTTGTTTACATAGATTTGCTAAAAATACATTCCATCCAAAATTGTGAGACTACATTTTTTTCCAAATTGTTCAAAAATGGGAACATATTAATTTTGAAGGAATAGTGGAAAATGAAGGCCTCGCTCGGATGGCGATTTGCTTGCACCGCGTTCAGAAAACTATTACATGTCGAGGTGTGACGTGATGCTAGCGGTGGACGTGGAATAAAACCAATCGACCGGAAGTGAACGAGATCGACGGCTTGATCTGCATGTTGATGAGACAAAAATGTTGAAACTGAGGATCACCCCACCCCAGTAAATAAATTATGAAAACGCGTTCAGAGTTCCTACATTTTTCCAAATAATTTTGACCTCTTAAAGGTCACCCCAAGCACGTGTTGTATATCGATTTACTTAAATCCTTATCTGCAGCTTATTAATTTATAAATAATTCCGTGACCTTTGACCCCGCATCGAATACAACAATAACCATCCAGATATGACTTTCTCCCAATAAACCTAAAATTCCACGATGATCTAATATATGCACAAATCTGCGTATGTAAAAGTCTCACTTTCCTCTCTCCTCACACCCCTCAATAAAACTCCTCCCCACGTTATACAACCTTTTAGGTTACACAACTGGCTCATTTTTTTGGCTGAGATTATAAGTTGTAAATTTGTCCCAGAATTTTTTTCTTCAGGATTCGCACACACTACTCCTCATTCCCTCCATAAAAGAATGTGATGATAAATTGGCACTGGGGGTGAAAGTCTCTCTTTCTCTGCAGTGCAAATGCATCCTCGTCTCCCCGACCGATTGCACATCTCAGCCATCCCGGAGAGAGAGATACCCAACCAACTGCCCGTCTCTCCCTGTTCAGTCCGACCAACTAAACAACGGATGGATGGATCCCGTCCAAAAATCAGGAAGTATAAAAGGGAAAGGAAATCTGGGTTTACACTTGGGACCGTCGTCCACAAATACGTACGTACTTTGGTCAATAACAAAGGAGATTTCTTAACCACGACGAGAGACGGGAAGCATTTAAAGGGCTCGGTCACCACCAAATAGGGCAGTTTGGGAAGGCTTGCTTCCAGTGGAAATAATGTGGTGACAAAAAGTGTCACCGGGATGGTGACGGTTCTTTATGTAAGTGAAAGTACATGAAATTCTAATTTATTCATCTGCCAATTTATTTCAGTGTGGTAGAAAATTTAGACAATTATTGTTACAATAAAAAATGTCTGCATAGTTGTCACCAATTTACACTCGCTGCTAATTTTTCCCAATTCGCACCGTAAATAAGTACATTTCCGGCCATTCCACAAAATTCATCGCCTCGAAAATAGAAAACTCTCAGCAACTTTCTCTCCTTGTAAATGCGTCAATACCGTCGATTTCCTAAATCTCCCCTTCCCTCCACTTCACATCGCACACGTCCAGCCCCCACTTTAACTCTCCGCTCCCACCACGACACTCAATTTAGTCTGGATTATTGTGTAATTAATCGCATCAACGCGGCGGTCGGGTCGGATTTCAAGCCAGGAATTGAATCAAGTCCTGCTGGAGAGAGAGAGAGAGAGAGCGAAAGTCCATACGTACGTATGAAATAAGCCGCTTTCTCCCCTCGGGGGCAGAGCTGTATGGCTTTCACCACGAGGACAAATCCTATTAGGGGAGACATGACATCAACGACTAGAACTACATCCGTCCTACCACCGTCGTCCTCGTCGTCCTGTTGCTTTTCACTCACTCACTCACCGTAAGTACAAATCGTGACGGTGAAACTGGACACGGCCAAGGTAAACTTTCTCTCCTCCTCCTCCTCCTCATTCATGTGGATCTGGTTTCCTTTCTGCCCCACTTTCATCAACAGAAGTACTTAAAAAATTGAAAGGACACCAGCTTTAGTTCCGATAAGACCTTATACTTTTTCTCCCCACCAGTTCAAAAACACGGGTGAAATCGTGCCACAAAAACACACCGTGTTTTTCCCAACCCTGTATTCCATCCATGTTGTTACGCTACGAATGCCAACTTTTGGCTCCGTTTCAGTTGGACATCCTTCTTCTCATTGGTGGTGGTGGTGAAGGTCCCTTCTTTTCCGAGATCTCGAGATGATGAAGAAGCTCTTGCCGCTGTGGAGGAAAGCTTATCTTTTCCATATGTGTGTGTCCGTCCTGCTCCTCTTCTTCTTCTGCCGCTGGTGACCAAAACCAACCCGACAAAGGAAGAAGGACAGGGTCCCAGTTAGAGGGACAAATCTCTCTAAATCCGAAAACCCACCTCGCTTTTTCTCCTCTCTCTCCTCGTAGATATTCGAATGCGATGCAGTTGCACTGGGTACATATCTATCACCAGTTAAGAAGAGAGGAGAGAGTAAGACGTGGTCGTGGTGGTCCTGCTGCCAGAGCGAGGACAATATTAAGTTTTTTCCCTTCATATCCTACTCCTCCTCCTCGTGCTGCCTGCCTGGCGAGGCATGAATATACAAAAACATACCAAGGATGAGACTTTGGAGATGAGATCAGAACGAGCTGAGGACAAGGATGAGGACGAGGACGCAAAAAATGAGGAGGAACAACCAACAGAGAACAGATATGAGGATGTTTTATCTAATTCGTTGTGGTATTGGTATTGATTTCTCGTGGCGTTCCTACTACTACACGCTGGTACTGCTGCTGCCCCATTTAGTGTGTCCTTCTCTCCGCGTAATGCTAATATATCCACTTTCCAGCTAGTTCGTACCAACGAATGGATGGATGGATGAATGAATTCGAAGCAAGCTTTATTCGGTTATGTAAGTAAGAAGAATTACACAAGTAATGCAAGTCGTGCGGGTGCTGTCAGCCAAAAGAGGAGAGAGAGACCGGTGGCCGCGGAGGCGTGGGGACAATGTCCCCCCATAATCTGTCCATTTTATACAAACCCCTGCCTCTCCTCTCCTAATGTCCCCACGGCTTCCGCGGCCACTGAGAGAGGAGAGAGAGAGTAAACATGGTAAATGATTCTAATGTGGGTTGAAACCTACCTAAGCATCAAGACGATAACGGTT